GCATCGAGAGAATACAAGCGCAGCATCGAGAGAATACAAGCACGGCATCGAGAAAACACAAGCACGGCATCGAGAAAAGACAAGCGCGGCTTCGAGAAAAGACAAGCGCGGCATCGAGAAATAAAAAGTGCTGGACATGGGGGCCTTGATGGACAATTGCAAGTCGTAACGTTGAACACAAGTTTTGGTCGTGCACTACACAATGTAGTCTAGTGCCTGTTGCTGTATAGTACAATGTACCATTCACGCCGTGCTATGCCGAATATCCGAACCGTGAAGCAGAAAGATCAGCTAGCTGCTTAGCCCTTGACCTTGTAGATGGCCTCGGCAAGACGCCCCACGTTCTCGCTGGTGATGCCAGCAACCGAGATGCGGCCGTCCTTGGTGGCATAGACGGAGTGCTGCTGTTGTCAGTAAACGTGAGCGGGTGAAATGTCATGGGCTACCAACCTGCTCAGCGAGCTGGGTCATCTGCTCAGCGGTCAGACCCGTGTAGGCAAACATGCCAATCTGGGACGTAATGTGGCTCCAGTCATGCTTGCTGCCAAGCTTCTCGAGGTTGTCCTTGAGGAGGGCACGCATGGTGATGATGCGGTCGGCCATGCCCTTGACCTCACCGAGCCACTGCTGGTTGAGGGAAGAGTCGTTCAAGATCTCCGAGGCGATGCGGGCACCGTGCACGGGGGGGTTCGAGTACAGTGGGCGGACGAGGATCTTGACCTGCGAGTCGACGCGCTTCTTCTCCTCGGCCGACTCGCAGACAATGGAGAAGGCACCAACACGCTCGCCGTAGAGACCCATGTTCTTGGCGAACGACTGGGCCAGGCAGGGGCGGAGGCCCTCCTTGATGAAGTGACGGAGGGCAAAGGCGTCCTTGTTGGTGTCGCCAGAGGCAAAGCCCTGGTAGGCCATGTCGAAGAAGGGGTAGTGGTCGCCCTCCTTGACGGCGTCGGCAATCTTCAGCCACTGCTCCTCGGTGGGGTCAACACCGGTGGGGTTGTGGGCGCAGGCGTGGAGCAGGACGATGCTGTTCTTAGGCATGGCCTTGATGTCGGCGACCATGCCATCAAAGTCGAGGCCGATGGTGTCCTTGTTGTAGTACCTGTACTTCTCGACCTTGAGGCCAGAGTCCTTGAAGACGGCGGCGTGGTTTGCCCACGACGGGGTGGGGATGTAGATGCTCTTCGCGTGAGGGTAGTGGCGCTCGAGGAAGGCGCCACCGATGCGGAGGGCGCCGGTGCCGGAGATGGTCTGGGTGACGGCGACGCGGTCCTCGGCGAGAGGCTGCGAGTCAGACCCGTAGGCGAGCTCGAGAGCGGCCTTGGTGAACTTGGGGACACCGGTGATGCCGGCGTATTCCTTGTCAAGGGCTGCGTCAACCACCTTCTTCTCGGCCTGCTTCACAGAGGGCAGCACGTAGGGCTTGCCCTTGTCGTCGCGGTAGGCACCAACACCTGCGCGCGTCAGTCGCGGTAGATGGATCGTGTGCCGGGCAGATACTGACCAAGGTTGATCTTCTTGGGGTTGGTGTCGGCCTTGAACGCCTCTGTGATGCCAAGAATGGCCTGGGGGTCAATGGTAAGCTTCGCGCGTCTGCTGGTCACGTGGAAGATGAACATACATCCTGCGATTGTGTTAGCCACGCCGCGCTTCATCAACGCCGCAGTCGACTCACGGGCGGTCCCTGCGGCACGGTCGACCATGCCGAGGCAGCGCGAGCGCCGGCCTTGACGGTGAAGGTCTTGTTTGCTGCTGCGCGCAGAGCGGTGCGGGATGTGCTGAGCATCATGGCTGTGTGGCGTGTGTGGGTGTGTGGTGGAAGAGGACAGGGCAGTGGGTGGAAGAGGACAGGGCAGTGGGAGGAAGAGGACAGGGCAGTGGGAGGAAGAGGCAGGGAGAGGGAGCACGATGTGGCGCGGTGTGGCGCGATGTGGCTCGGTGCGAAGCTGTTTGCTAATTAGTCACAAATCTGGGGTACCTAGGTAGGTTTGGTGATGTCGCGGAATGGAGGGCTGTCGGAGAATTGGCCGTCATGGTCGTGGACAGGATTTGCGGCGATTGGCCAGAGCTTCAGCGAGCTTCCAATGTCCTTGCGTTAAGTCCGACGCCAGCGATAATTTTCTGGGACGCGCGGGTGCAGCGTCGCGTTGGCGTGTTGCGGTGCAGGACAAGCCACAGCAACGTGCCAGCCGTCAACCCGACCCATAGAGTGCCAGTGGTCAGCCCGACCCATAGAGTGCCAGTGGTCGACCCGACCCATAAAGTGCCAGCGGTCAACCACTGCAGAGTAACAGCGGTCAACCACTGCAGAGTGACAGCCGTCAACCACTGCAGAGAGACAGCCGTCAACCACTGCAGAGTGACAGCGGTCAACCACCGCAGAGTGGCAGCCGTCAACGACCCTCACTCGGCAGCATGCGCCCTGCTCTGCGACAGGCCAGGACGCTGCTGAACCACGATGCGCGGCAGGCCGCGATCCCGACGTTCCTCTGTCCAGCGCTGCTGAGACCTGCCAGCCAGCCGCCTCGCCGCCCTGCAAGGCCTGCACAGCGCTTCTCAACATTCGGGCGAGCGCAACAGGAGGCCCCGACACCCGTCCACTCCCCCGAGACCATCGAGCGCGCGCCCCTCGATGCGAATGCGCCCCCGAACAGCACGCGGCCGGCGCAGAGGTCGCTGCCCAGGGCGTGTCCTGGATGTGGAGCGCCGTCGCAGCTGTACGACAAGGCCGAGGCGGGCTTCTACAACGTCGACAGGGGCGCGGTGCGGGCGTACCTGGCCTGGGACCCCGCCAGAGTCCGGGAAGCCAGAGTCCAAGCCACGCAGGAAGACGACGTCTACTCGAGAGCGCTAAAGGACGCCGACCCCGCCCTTCTGGAAGAGCTGGGCGTGCTGGACGCGCCGGACGCGCCCACTGTCGCCGAGGCGCCGTCGCCAGACACGCCCGTCTGCGACCGCTGCCACAACCTGGTCCACCACAGCGTCGGCACGCCAATCCACCACCCCACCGTCGAGTCGATCCAGGCCACGCTGTCCGAGTCGCCCCACCGCCGCAACCACATCTACCACGTCGTCGACGCCGCCGACTTCCCGCTCTCCATCATCCCCAATCTCCAGTCCTCGCTGCGCATCCCCAAACTGCGCACGCAGAACCGGCGCGCCAAGCACAAGGGGTGGGTGGCCAACGACCGCATCGCCGAAGTCAGCTTCATCGTCACGCGGGCCGATCTGCTGGCGCCGAAGAAAGAGCAGGTCGACACGCTCATGCCCTACGTCACAGAGGTGCTGCGCGACGCGCTGGGCCGCGACAACAGCAAGGCCCGTCTGGGGAACGTGCGGCTCGTCAGCGCAAAGCGCGGCTGGTGGACAAAGGAAGTGAAGGAGGACATTTGGGACCGCGGCGGCGCAGGCTGGATGGTCGGCAAAGTCAACGTGGGCAAGTCTCATCTGTTCGAGGCCGTCTTCCCCAAGGGCCGCGGCGCAGACTACCAGGACGTGCGCACGATCCGCAGCGCCGCCGAGCGCGAGGCCATGATGAGCGCCGCGCAGTCGGTCCAAGACGTCGCGCGCGTGCAGAAGCAGCTCGCAGACGACGACGCCGAGACGGAACGCTACAACAAGCGCCCAAGCCAGCACCTCCACCAGCCGCCCCGAGCCCTCGAGCGGGACGCCGAGGAAGAGGAAGACGAGGAAGAGGACCCAGACGCCCTCCTCCCTCCCCCGCAGCCGTACACGCCCTACCCCGTCCTCCCCATCGCGTCCTCCCTCCCCGGCACAACCGCCTCGCCCATCCGCATCCCGTTTGGCAAGAACCGCGGCGAGCTCGTCGACCTGCCCGGTCTGGCGCGCACGTGGCCCGGCCTGGAGACGTTTGTGCAGCCCGCCCACCACCAGGACCTGGTCATGACCTCGCGCCTCAACGCCGAGCGCCTGTCGCTCAAGCCCGGCCAGAGCCTGATCCTCGGCGGCGGCCTGCTCCGCATCACCCCGGTCACACAAGACACCGTCTTCCTGGTCCACGCCTTTGTCCCCCTCCACGCACACGTCACGCGCACCGAGAAAGCAGCCGCGTACCAGACACAAACCTCGGACCGCCAGCTGCAGGTGCCGCCCATCCTAGCCCCCAACGTAGGCGACAAGATGGCCTCGGCCGGCCGCTTCGCACTTTGCTTCGACGCGACCAAGAAACTCGCCGGCCCGCTGACCAGCCCCGTCGCCGCCAAAATGAAACCCGAAAACCTCCCCTTCCGCGTCTGGAGCATCGACGTCCTGCTCGAGGGCGTCGGCTGGCTCGAGGTCAGCGCCCAGACGCGCCGCCCGCAGGGCTGGTCGCCACCGGGGATGCGCAAGAAGGATCCGAATCACGCGCGGCATGCGCGCGAGGCGCGCATGCGCGAGGAAAAAGAATACAAGGACCGGAAATTCGCTGCCATTGCTGCCGCCGAGCAGCAGGCAGGCGGCGGTGTCGAGGACGCGCTGTCGCGCGCGTTTGCGCCGACGCCGACGCAGATGCAGACGCAGACGCAGACGCCGACGCCGACACAAACGCCGACGCCGACGCAGACGCAGGAGCATGGCGACGCCATGGCGGACTGGCAGGACGCATATCCCGAGATCGAGGTCTTCTCGCCGCTGGGCCGGTTCGTCGGCGTGCGGCGGCCCATGTGCGCGTCTGTCGTCATGGGGCCGAAGCAGGTCAGCAGCCGCGAGAGGGTTGCGCGCCCGCGCCGCAGCATGAGGAGCGTTAAGCGGCAGCGGAAGCCTGGGGGTGGGGAGTAGTGTTGCGGGGAGAGAGAATGGGGTGCTGCGGGGAGAGAGAATGGGGTGCTGTGTGCTGTGTGACGGCGTTACAGGTGTTTCTCGTAGCATAGCGAGGGCGTGGACTGTAGAGTGTAAATTAGATGGGACTGTAATGTATGTATGTATACATGGCTTCATACGCCACCGCTTGGTGGCTAACGCCGTACTCCATGCCGCCCACTTCCTCGGCCGCGCAATCGCCCCATGTCCCGTGTCAGATGCGCACAAGCAAGCTACTCCCGCGATGCTGATCGGCGAATCGAACTGTCCGTCAAGATCAGCGGTATTCCCTCACTTCACACAACAGCCTCTCTTGTCCTCTTCGCCGCCGAGCATGCTGCGCGTCTAGGCGTACTCCTGCTTCTTCCGCTCTAGCACCTCGAAGAACGGCTTCTGTTCCTCCGCACAGCTCCGCCCTTCCTTATCGCAGCCGGGAAAGTTGGCCACAAAGTTGCCCTCCTTGTACTGGCCCTTGTCGGCGCTGGGGCCCGAGACGTATGCGTTGAGCAGCGATTGCGGGACCATGGCGAGCTTGGCCAGGATAGTGCCGTGCCACCTAGAAATGTCAGTCTCCGTCTCAATACCTCGCGGGATACAGAGCAAGAGGCTCTGCTGTCGCTGCACTCACTGCACGATATGCTCGAGCGCGTGCGCCTCGGCCTTCTGGAAGTTGTAGCTGCGGTAGATGGGGTCGAACCACGCGTCCAGGAAGAACTTGGCCCACTCGCCGTTGCGCACCACGAAGCTTGCATCGCTCAGTCCCTCCTTGTCCTGCGTGACGACGAAATCGATCCGCTCGCCCTTCAGGTTGCTGAACGTCTTGATCACGCTGTCTGGCGGAACCACGGGCGCGTTGGTGATCATGTGTTTCTCGAGCACGGCTGGGTTGAGCAGGTGCGATTCGAGCGACACGTCGGGGGCCGTTATCAACGCAGTGCTGTCGAGATACCAGAAGAACGTCGAGCCGGGGTGCAGCGTCATGGCGTGGCGGAGCGCGGGGACGCGGGACCACGTGCTGGGCGCTTTGTTGAGGGGGTACTGCGAGGGCGTGGGGAAGTGGGTGAGGTAGCCTGATACTGTTAGTACGCTCTTACGCCTCCTGCATGCGTCTCCATGGCTTCTTCGTGGGGGGCGACATGCCATGCTTCTTCGCGTACTCCTCCCTGTTCGCCTTGATCTTCGCCGTCCACGCCGGGTTCGCGCTGGGATCCAGCACCGTGACGACGACGACCGGCGCACCGCTTCCCACCGCGACCTTGGGTATGTTGGCCAGGGGCGCGGAGCTGGAGCGCCCGCCTATTATGCCCAGCAGCCAGAGCAATGTGAGGAAGCCCAGCACGGCGCCGGCGACGCGGGGCTTGCTGCGCAGGAGATTTCGCAGCGCAGGCGGCATGATGGAGGCAGTCTGGGTGTTGCGCGCGGCGTATGGCGGCGGCCGCGAGGTCTTGCGCGGTGGCATGGCGAAGTGCATGGTGAAGGTGTGGGGCCAGGAGGCCTGGTGGATTGGGGGGGGCAAACGAGCGTCGCAGTTGGAGGTGGGTGGAAGCGCGAGTTGGATTATAGGACCATGTCTGAGGTTCGAGGCGTCAACAGAACAGCGACAATGAATTGTCTGAGATCCGTCTACCTGACATGTGTCTGTGTCGCGGGAGAAGGACAAATTGTGGCTTGGCAGACCCTTGCATTGATTCGGGTCCGGGGTGCTGCTGGCGCCCGTTGGGCGAGGTACTCGCGAGCTGACGATATATTTGGTTGCGCTCTTGCGACTTTTCCATTCCACCATTACTCGGACATGCGCTCCAGGCATGCTTCACTCTGCGGGTTTAACGGGCTCAACAGCCTACAAGGCTTCAGACCTACGGTGTCCTCCGCCACCCCCTGCCGAACCCCTACCAACAGCGACAGCAACGCCTAGACGAACGGCATCTGTGCTATGCACTTAGTTTGCAACGATATGCGCGTAATCCAGCCGCTCAAAGTCGTACGCCAGCCTCGGAAATTTCATCTGACGTCGCCAAGACCGAAGATGCGGAATTCAATGTCCATGGCACAGGCTGACGGGACACCCTCACGGTCCACTCGATGCCCCTCGGCGGATAGCGGCTCACAAACGTTCAGAGTCTTCACTCCAACGTCACTCATTGCGCGGTAGTCTCACAGCTTAGAAATAGCATGGGGGTCCGCTATGACGTCGCTGTATTGTCACCATGCGCTCGAGGAGGAGAGCTTATATGAGCGCCGTTGTTCAACGCCTTCTGCCACATTCACGATACCCAACACCTGTTTCTGATACCCATTTCCATTTTGAACGCAAAAGTTACAATGGTCAACAAGGTCATCCAGCTTCGATGTTGTGTGAATGAGTACCAGTGGGGGAAACTGGGTCGCGAGTCCATTGCAGCAACACTATGCGAGAAGACCCCAGGGAGTGGCTTCAAGCTTGACGAGAACAAGCCGTATGCTGAGATGTAAGTTATAGCTCGGAAATCTCGGCTTCTGTGTCTGACAAGACCAGGTGGATGGGCACATACCCAACACTACCCTCATATGTCCTCGAGACCGACGTGGACCTCCAGAGCGTGCTTGACAAGTACTCCGACGAACTCATTGGGCAAAACGTCATCAAAAAGTTCGGTCACTCAAAGCTGCCATATCTCCCCAAGGTCCTGTCGATAGCAAAGGCGCTCCCTCTCCAGCTGCACCCGGTACGTTCACGCATGAGCCCTTTCAGTCCAGAGCTAACAACATGGCCAGAACAAAGCCCTCGCCGCAAAGCTCCACGCAAAGGACCCCGACCAGTTCACCGACGCAAACCACAAGCCTGAGATTGCGCTCGCCCTCGGGCCATTCGAGGCCTTTGTTGGCTTCAAGCCACTTGAGACGATCCAGAAGCTTTTTGGGCTCGAGCCTCTCAACAAGTTCCTCCCCAAGGTCCAGAAGCCCGAGTTCGATGACCAGACCCTGAAAACGGTCGTCGAGAACCTGCTCAAGGCATCAGAGGACGATGTGAAGAACACAAACAAGGCTCTCCTGGACTTGCCCAAGGACAAGTTCGGCAACGAGACGTACATTCCGGAGCTCATCCCGCGCCTGTCAGAGCAGTACGACATCGAGGACAACGGCACCCTCGTTGCGCTCCTCACCATGAATTACCTGCAGCTCGACGAGGGCGACAGCATCTACATCCCCGCTGATGGCATCCACGCGTACCTCTCTGGAGACATCATCGAGTGCATGGCGCGATCCGACAACGTCCTCAATACCGGTTTCTGCCCCCGCGCTGACCGCAGCAACATCGACACCTTTGTTGGCTGCCTGACATTCAGCCCGCACGACACGAGCGAGGCGATCCTGAAGCCTCGCAGCTTCGATGGTAGCTCGAACGGCAAGACCCAGATCTACGCACCGCCCATGAGCGAGTTCAATATGCTGGTGACTTCTTTGAAAGACGGCGAGAGCGACAAGATCCGCGCGATCAGAGGGCCCAGCGTTATGATCGTGACTGAGGGCGAGGGTACGCTGAAGGCCGAAGACACGGAGCACAAGTTGAGTGCAGGCTACATTTATTTCATCGGTCAGGGCACAGAGATGGAGTTTTCGGCAACAAAGAAGCTAAAGGCCTTCACAGCCCATGCCGAGTAGGAGGCTAAGAGGCTGAACCTAAATCCGCCCCGCGGACATGCCGTTACGACCGATTGGAGGACTTACGACTACCAAGACTTTCTCCGCACGCAGTAGACACGAATGTACACCAATGTAACTCGATCAAGACAGTTCCATGATTCCACGGTTGGTGTTGCGGATCCGGCGTTCCCGTTCCCCACACAACCCCTGCTCACCCCGCACATGCAGAGCATACGCGCATCCCCCGCGTTGGAAGCTATAAAACCCGAGAGGGAAGCTCACATGTGTTTGTATACAGACGGCTCCGTGCTCAAACGACTCGCAGCTCAATTGACCCATTGACCTTGACTCAACATCCCAAGTCCAGGCAATTGTCCCTCGTAATCAGCTGCTTCACCGGTAGGCCGGTACGAGCGCTTCGTATTGACGGAGAGCCATTGCTTACTGTGATCAGTCACTCGAAGCTTTTACCATGGCTTCGGCATTGCCAAAACGAGACTCGATGGAAGCTGGCGTCGGGATACCACTCTCCACGAAATCTTCCAGCCCCCGACCTGATACAGATCAACCTAAACAGAGAGCCAGCCTGACCTCTCTCCCGCCGTCTATCCGGAACACAATCTACAAGTATGCACTCGACACTGAGCTTGTCAACACGGGCTTGTCCAACGTCTCATACACCCAATCTCTCGACAGCGCTACCGGAATGTTGCAGTTCAAAGCTTCGAGATCGCCCTTCCCCGTCGAGACCGGTCTGTTCTACGTGTCTAAGCTCATCGGCACCGAGGCTCTGCACTTCTTCTACTCCTCGAACCTCTTCGTGCGCCTCAGCCTCTTCACCTCGGACGCTCGTCACGCAAAGACGATGCTCATCGACTCCGGGCTGCTCTTCGCCGCGCCGCCAGTCTCGATGCTCGAGACCAGCACGCACCACGCGCTCGACGTCGATCTCATCGAGAAGAACAGCGAGAAGAAGCGAGCGACCATCATGTTCCCCGCCCAGTACCTGCCCCGCCTGATCAACTTCCTCCGCTCCGCCGGCGAGGTAACCAAAACCTGGGGCAATACACGCACCCTGCACCTCGCCATCGTGAACAGCTACTCCTTCCCCACATCCCGCCTGCAGGGCGATCTCCTCGAGCCCTTCCGCGTCCTGAAAGGCTTCTCCTCCGTCACCATCGCGCCCGCACACACGCTCCCACACTACACGTCCGGCCTCAGCAGCTCGATCACAACCAAGACGTTTGACGCCTCGCACTGGATCGAGACTGTAACCGAGCTCGCCGACCTCAGCGACGCTGCGCGCGCCACGACCACCGCCGGCGCCGCTGACCACGCCCTCAGCGCAGAGTACGCGCAAGCCGTCGTCGTCGCGCTGACGTACGGCTTCCTGACCTCGGCCGAGGAAATCCACGGCCCCGCCCATGCAGAAGAGACGTTCAAGGCCATCCAGCGGCTGCGCTGGCGCGTCGAGCTGGGTCTCGGCATCGCGCTGTCGCTGCAGCACAAGAGTTTGGACAGCCACAAGGACTGGCTCACCGACGACGCTGTGCCCGCGCTGCAGCGCAAGGCGGCCGCGCGCGATCTCCTGCTCGCCGAGACGAGCATCTCCCGCGCCCTCAGCTTGGCCACGGATAGCCCGAGTCCCGCGGAGAACCCGTGGTATCTGAGTCTGCCTGTGGAGCTCATCCCACCGAATAAGCCGGGGTGGTTTGAAGAGCAGGAGAGGGCGCAGACGTGGTATGCGCTGGGCGTTGTGCATACGAGTCTGGGCGAGTATCTGTTTGCGGCGGGTGCATTTGAGCGCGCGCTGGGCATGTGGGGTGCGGGTGAGGGCGTGGAGAAGGTCGAGGCTGCGTTTGAGAAGGCGCGGATTGGGATTGAGAGTGATAGGGAGGGTATGTTCAAGGGGCGTGTGCAGCCAGGTAGCGGTCTGCGTCGGGCTGCGCGGGTTGCGAAGATGAGCGTAGACGAGTAGAATGGCGTACATTATGTAGCAACTCAAACCACCTCCCAAACATGCTCCCGTTTTCTGCTCACGTCCTAGGTGTCAATCCGACCTTGCAGCCATTCAGCCCCGTGCAGGTGATGCTGAATTTCTCCCTCCACGCGTCGAAATCCCTCCTCTCGATATCAAACCCCTGCACCAACCTCACCACAACATACATGGCCTCCGTCAGCGCAAAGCTCTGCCCAATACACACCCTGGGGCCACCAGAAAACGGGACAAACGCCCAGCCAGGCCTGAACCCCGGCTCCAGCCACCTCTCCGGGCGGAACGCATCAGCGTCAGCCCCGAAAAGGTCGGAACGGCGCTGCATGCTGTACATGTGCCACGCAACATAGCTCCCCTTGGGCACGAGCACGGGCTGACTCTCATGCGCGCCGCCCCCGCGCGGGAGCAACGTGTCTTCCAACGCCTCCCTCGAGTTAAGGGGGACGACGGGATACAGTCTCTGGCTCTCGCTCACGACGGCCTTGAGGAATCTCATATCCTTGAGCTGTTCGTAGGTCGGCGCATTACTACCCACGGCTTGCTCGATCTCAACCCGGAGTCTGGCGAGAACGGAGGGGTGGCGCGGGAGGTTCCAGATGAGGTTGCTGAGGAGGGAGGCCACGGTATCGCGGCCGGCGAGCAGGATGTTGAGCAGCTCGGAGCGGATTGTTGTACGGTTTGGAGTCGCTTCGAGGAGGGCAGAAATGAAGTTGTATCGTTGCTTTCCTTCTGTTCTAGATCCGGCGATGTGCGCGTCGATGATACGGTCGACGAAGTCTGGAGGTGGTCAGCACCGTGTGGATTCCTGATGACGGAAGCATGAGAACTTACCTTGCATGATCTTGACGTGCTTCTTCTTCGCCTTGTTAAAGCGATCGGGCAGGAAGAGCGTGATTGTGCCCCACTTCTTGAATGCTTCTCGCTCAAAAGGGTTGGATGCGTAGTCGAATGCATCGCAGAAGGCTTGCACCTCGCTCGCGTTCTGTCCCTTATCGAGTGCATTCGTACTCCGTCCAAACAGTAGATCGGTCGCCATGTCCATACTCAGATCATGCAATAGGGGCTGAAGGTCCACCGCGCTCCCATCTTTCGGCACAAGCTCAAACAGGCGCTGCACGTGTCGCTCTAGAGATTCTGTGTCGGAGATAACGCTGCGCTCGAAACACGGCCGCAGCATCTCGCGAGAGTGCTTCCACGCCGCTCCCTCGTTGACGAAAATGCCCATCCCGAGGTAGGATCGTATTTCATCGATGCGTTCGCGGCCGAGACTCCACTTGCTGAAATCTGTGGCGAGCACGGCCTTGACATTCTCTGGATCTTCTGTAGGACTGTGAGAGGCTCGAGCTGAGTTGAGTGAACAGAGGGAGCGCACCTGTGGTGTAGATGTCGGTTCCCAGGATGTAGTGGTGCCGTGTATGGCATTCGAGCTCAGAGAAGCTGGATTGCATGTGCGGTAGCAAACGGTGCTCTTTGATAGCTTTGATCTGGGCGTACCAGAAACACAGACCGAAGGTGAAGGGTGTTTGGCGCCTTTTGGCAGAGAGACAGCCGTGTTGGGCGGCGAATGCACGCAAACGTCGACCGGTGGTGAAGTAACAGTGAATTCTTCGGGTTAGGTAGATGGCGAGGAGGGAAATGATTACGTTGACTGTGGTGAAAATGGCCATGATGAAGCGGTGTCAAGAGGTTCGAGAAGTCGAAAACCAAAATTGACAGCCCGTAATTACCTAGCGTAGATGAATCACGATGGAATCTGTTGTAAAACGTGCTTGAGATCTGCGATTGATGCTTTGGGGGTCCTTCTGCTCTGTTGCTTTAAGTCTCACAGCGGTGATCAGGCAACCGTTCTTGTACACTCACCATCGGCGACCCGGAGCGTAAGCGCTAGAAATCGGATGATTTCTCCTTAGATCCCAGTATGTTTCATGTCAGCAATTGCGGTGGACGATGATGAATCTCGTAGAATATCGCATTGTTGGTATAAAGAGGAAGTGACGGAGAAAGTGATCAGCCAGTTTCGGGAAAGCGGGGTCAGGCTAGACACGACAGCAGTTGCGATGGGCACTTAATGGCTAGCATCTTGGCTTTGCTAAACAGACGAACATATCCCGCGGTTTTCTCCTTGTTCTAACGATCTGATCCGATTGGCAGTTGTGCAGTGTGCAGTGTGCAGCGACACAATCCGAATTCTCCCGGACGATGCCCATGTTGTTCTGCGAGCCGCACCCCGAATGCCTAGAATGAGATACCAATTCTATTCCTACACTCTGCTTGCAGACGTGGGAGTTCTAGAATCGCGTCCTCTACTAGTATCTCTCCACTCAGTCGTTGGGCATCAAATGTCGAGAGAAATTTTCCATTTGACGTAACTTAGCTAAAAGAGGGGAGAAACGACGATACCAACGCAGTGCATGCAGCATAGTACATATCCAAACGAGTGGCCAGATTTCTCCAAGAACAGATTGTGTCGAGCGCCCAGGACTTGCCTTCGTGTGAGTCGACAAAGGAAGGTCGCAAGATAGCTTCCTGACACTAGCGCTCCTGTTGCGAAGGTGAGAAAACTGCAAGACATAACGCCGATTTCGCTGTACAGGGGTTTCGAAGTTCATGAAACCGAATCTGTAATCCAATCGGTCAGGAAGAAACAAAAACTGTGTCCTTGTATTCCAATTAGCCCATGCTCGTTCACCACGTGAAGGTGTGGTACTGGGAGGCCCGCGAAAGTAAAGTCGCAGCGCAAGACGAAGAAGCAAAGGTCGTAATATCGAGTGGAACAAACAAGTGGAGGAAGCTCAGAAAGCAAGGGATACAATGCAATCCTTCCTCGGTACTTGGATAGGTGGATCGGTCAGTCTGTGAGTTGTGTCGGTGACATTGTTTGTGCGTGGTCTGCGGTCACATGGGTACTGAATGGCGAGCCAAACGGTTGCGAACTTGGGAACCTGCGAAGGGTTGATGCGCTGAAAAGCTTTAAAGCACATCGTAAAGAAAGGGAATCGTCAGTCAGAAAGGTATGCGCGTGGCGTCTCAAGACTCGAGGTACGCATCCATGGCGTCCTCGAGGTCCTTGCTGAGGAGATCGTACTTGACCTCATCGTCGATCTCGTCGACGGGAAGATAGACGTCTTCCATCGTGGGGATGCGCGCAATCTGGTCAATCGGATACTGCTCGACAGCTTGGAGCTGGTTCCACGAAAGCCCTGGTGGACCTTGCTCACGGGGAAGAGGCGGGAACCGGCCAACGCCAGTCTTCGCACGATCGTCTCCCTCCCACTTCAGCTCCGCTAGGCATGGCCATGGGGCAATCTCATCCTTACCGTCCTGCCAGTCCTTACACCAGATCGTCTTCGCACCGAGGGCTCGACCGTAGTTGCCCACCTGCTCGAAGTTGCCCTGCAGGCCGCAGCGCTGCATCGTGTCCTGCTGTTGGGGCGAGATCGGTGGGACTTGGAAGTTGGCCTCGTCTTCCTTACTTTGAGCCTGCTGCGCAAGCTTCTTAGCCGCGGACGCCGTGACTGCCTCGCGGTGCGCGATGTAGTCAGAAACCTTCCACTTGGCGACCTCGGCGTTCCTGAACTGCCGTTTCATCGAGTTTCGCACGACGAGGAATTCTTGTGCGGCACGAGCTTCGTCAGACAACCAAGTGCGTGCGCTGCGCTGACCACCACCGCCACGAGCGAAACCAGGGCCAGGACCATAGTGGGAGTTGTTGCGGCGGAAGTGCTGAACAGGTTGGATGTGAGCGGGGGCGGGGCTATGGTAAGGATTGACATTACCGTGGCGCGGAGCAGGGAAGCGGCTGGCGTACTTGTTGTGATGCGAAAAGTCATCGTCGTTGATGTTCAAGTCCTCGAAGTTCAGCGTGGCCGTACTGAGTGGGCTGATGTTCAAGCATTTGCGGTCATCCCCGAAGCTCTCGTTCTCGTGCAGGGTGTCACTGCTGCTTCCTGACGGCGGAGAAGGCATGGCCGTAGGGATTCTTGAAGTGGGTGCACCTAAGTGGAGCTTACCGCCGGTGGCCGTGGGAGATGTAGACATTGTGCGATTTGAGGAGTCAATGTTTTGAGTTTGAGGATGTGATAACTTTATGATGCTCACGGCCGAGATGTGGGGTCGACGAAAGAGAGCGTTTCTGTGTTTCTTGAGCGCAGTAGTCGGCGGAAGATGCACTCTCAATGTTGAGATGCGATTGCGGCCTGTGCAGAGTTGCTTTTGATGTCAGCGAAGTTTTGAGAGTGGAGTAGAAGTGATTTGAAAAGGCCGTGAAGCAAGATACCAGTATATATGGGGCAAATGAAAGACAATAACGCGTGCACGTGATGCCTAATATGTTGGTGTAGAATTGCTCATGATGCCTGATGGATCGAAGACAGTCGAGAACAAGCGTTCACCGCTCTCGCTGTCCAATGAGGTCCTTAAGCAGACGTCAAACGCAGGGTCAGCCACATACCTTGCGTGTGGCGCTCCGGTTTGCGGAGTCTCGTCGGGTACAGAGATGGCGAGGTGATCCTCGAGGAATTGAGGTTTGAAGCTCAATGGTGGGGCCTCAATCAAGTTAGCCCGCCTCCTATCAACGTCTGGAAAGTAAGGCGTACGTTACAGAGTCGGAGTGTAGAATGTGTGGTCAAGGTCAAGTAGATATAGTGCTGTGGCAGAGGACGTCGTGAAGATGTGTTGCTACTGCAGTTGATACTAGTGCTTTTTGTCGCTGGTGTTGGGTTGGGAAGTGATCGATGGAGGAGAGATGCTCACAATAGGACCGGTTTTGTACACCTCTCGACTGATGCCTGAGCGCTAGCCAACGACGAAGGTGAGAGGCCTGCTTGATCGAAGTAGCGGTGAAAATAGACTGTTAGAGAGAGCCTGCGTTAGTGCGTTGCTGGGTGGTCATGCGTTCTAAGTGATCTTTGAGTGTCTAAGGAGTCCAAAGTAAGCCAAAATTGTTCGGTCGCGATGCGGAGACGCTGAAATGATACAGGAAGAAGAGGCTGTGCGTGTGGACGACGAATGACAACGCGGGTTCTTGCTCGAAGCAAAAGGCGTTGCGGTGTATGTTTGTGGTTTCCGTGGTGTCGATTGAGAAATGAGCGGGTGAAAAGGTTTTCTTAGCGACCGCGGAGCGACGCCAACGGTGAGAGGTGAAGCCTATCGTGAGCTGTTGCTAGCCACGGAGCCTGCCCTGCCCCGAGTGAAGTACTCGTCAACAATTTCAACAGGACGCCTACGTCTGTCTCCCAGAATGGAGGACCAACTAGCGACCAGCGCCGACTCGGGTGGAAGACTAGGAGGACGAACTGGACGATGCGAAGTGACTTGGAGGATGATAGAGATGAGATAGAAAGAGAAAATCACGGGTCGACCAGATGTTTGTGGAGGTTCCTCACGAAGCAGGAAGTCGCAGCTTACTGCATGATCCCGCAGCGACGTTGTCGACCCTGAACTAACGAAGGAAATTGAGAAGGAAGCCGACGATCCTCGCACCTTCCTGGACTATACAGAGTAAGGTGCAGGGACAACACAGTTTCGTTTTTGCCGGCTCCATCAATGCACCAACCTGCGGACCTGCAAACTCGAGACTGCGATGTCGCATTTCCCAGCAAACCGTCAAGCCAGCATGCTTACCTGGCTATGCCCGCCGAGTATGCTGATGTGCGGGAGGTGAAAGGAAACAATGGGCAGTCCACCGCAGTTGGAAGAGATTTTCAGCGCTACACGACCGTGAAGTTCTGCCCACGTCATCTTTCGATCATCTGAGCTGCCAACTGGCATGAGGCAATTTTCGGTATCGTCTCGTGGCATATGGACAGGAAAAACACAAGTCTCGATGGTGGTGATGACGAGAGGTTGGGACGGACGTGGACAATCCACCACGTTTTAGACTTCTCCAACCGCCAGTGCGATGGTTGGATGGCAGCGCAGCGGCCACAAAGCTCTTGGCCCCGCAACGGGCGCTACGCCTCAGCCAGCTGTTGATCACCGCTGCGGCTGAAGTGTTCACGAAAACACACCGCAAGCGCTGTCAGGCAGCAATCTATGCGAGGGATGTGGAATGCGCGAAATGAATTGTAGCATCTCTAAAATTGTATTGAAGAAGAAACAAGGACATTATGAAGTCCAGCGACAGTCCACGTACGAGATGGGATGACGTCTCGCCTCGCCTGCATAAACCGGGATAAACGGTGCCACTAGCCTTTGACGCGGCCGTGCGGTGAGAGCCTACAAAACACGCTGTGCCTGCATCTTTCAGACCTCGAGCACTTCCTCTGCTGACGACTGACGTTCGGAGGTCGTGTTCCCTTGCGCTCGACCAAAATCGCTCACGGCGGTCGTACGTCACGGGCTTGCGCAGGTCGACAGATCTGCCTTTCTCGCGCCCGTACGACCGTCGCAGGCAGCCAATGAGCGCAAGTCGTGGAACAGAGGACGCCCGCTCAGACACTTTGCGACTGCCACCCGAGGACACAGAGGCCCAGAATAACGGCCGCGCAATATCGTTCTAGCGCGGTATTTTGGTCTTCCCCAAACCGACGGTCTGACAAGCAAACGACTGGTCGGCAGTGGCTAGCTCCACCTCCAAGGGCGCCTATTCGGGCCACCACCACTCCAGGATCCACCTGTTCTAACTTGAGCCTCACTGAGCTGGCTACGCTCTGAAACGCAGCGGTCGAGCAGGCTGTCCCATGAGGTACCATTGGCACTTTGTGGGGCGCCTGCAGCTGGTCCTCGCTCTCTCGCGGTACGTAGCTCGGTTCTATTTCGCCCGCATTGTGAAGGTTGATATTCACGTAGTCTGCACTTCCACTCCCCCTTCACCTCATATTTCCCCTACTTTCTTGCATTGTGTCAAGCGCTCGGTTTCCTATTGTGTCTATTCTGTTGCTTTCTTTCTTTCTTAAACGCATAATACCTTTCTTCCGTTGCAGCGTATCTCTGTGAGATACACTATAGCTGGCCTATACCCACAACGCCTTTACGACCATACAACGACTGAGACACGACATCTAATACGCCTTTCAGACCCCGTTTCACAGTCATCCACCTCCGCCATGGCTTCCTCAGCGAACCAACAGCAATCCTTCCCAGCTGTGCCTCCATCTATGTCCGCTGGCGATCATGAGATGCGAGACTACTACGCACCGCAAAATGCACCACGACCCCCAATGAACCAAACACCAAACTTCAAGCCATACCTTGGCCTTCGAGCTAGGCTCTCGCAAATATGGATCAACCGCTGGACGATTCTCCTCCTTCTAGTGCTCGTCCGCCTGCTTATCGCCATCGCGAGCACCGACTCAAGCCTTGCTTCCGCACGTCGCGAAGCCCTCAGTGCTTGCACCCAAGTCGAGAATATGGGCAGCTCCATGGCTTCCATGCCTCATTACATGGCGAAGGGCGTTAACGAGATGACCGCTTCTGGTGTTGAGAAGGCAGTCGGTGGCCTCATGTCCATGTTGGAGATGAGCGTCACTGGTGTTGAGGAGATTGTTCTCTTTGTCATTCACATGATGACACAAACATACCTCTGCCTGATCACACTGGCTGTTCGCGGCAGCCTTCACGCTGCTGTGGAAATTGGCACCGAAATCAGCAAGACCCTCAATGCAACTATCGATGAGGTCACCGACGACATGGGTAACGCCGTCAAGTCCGTCACAGACGGTATCAACTCCGTCCTCGACAAGATCAACTTTAACCTTCCCGGATTCGACAAGCCGGAGATCAACCTGGACTCTCAGATCAGCAAGTTGAAGGGACTGGAAGTACCACCCGAGCTCCAGCAAGGCCTCCAAGAGTTGAACAACTCGATTCCCACATTCGAACAGGTGCAGAACTTTACCGACAACATCATCCGCCTGCCGTTCGAAGAGGTCAAGAAGCTGATTCGGGCGACAAACAACTTCACGTTCGACCGTGATGCGCTTCCTATCCCGCAGAAAGAGAAGCTCGACTTCTGCTCCGAGGGCAACTCCATCAATGAGTTCTTCGACGACCTCATCAAGATGGCTTACGATGCACGCAAGATCGCTCTTGGCGTGCTGATTGTCCTCGCCATCCTTGTCTGCGTCCCCATGGCATGGATGGAAGTCCGCCGATACCGTAGGATGCAAGAACGTGCCGCACTCTTCGCGGAAGGCTATGAAGCTATGGACGTTGTCTACCTAGCCTCGCGCCCCACTTCTTCCGGCTTTGGCCTGTGGGTTGGCAGGCGCTGTGGCTCAGCTCGCCGTCAGGCAATCATCCGCTGGGCCTGGGCCTACGCTACCTCCGTGCCCATGCTCTTCCTGCTGGCTCTGGGTATCGCGGGTCTCTTCGCCTGCTTCTGTCAATATCTCTTGTTGAAGGCCATTCAAGACAAGACTCCCGAGCTCACGGAACAGGTCGCTGACTTTGCCGGCAAGGTTGTTGCTGCCATGAACAACGCCTCCATGTCTTGGTCTGAGGGCGTCAATGGCGCCGTCGGCAAGCTGGATGACGAGATCAACAACGATATTCTGGGCTGGGTCAACACCAGCACTACCGCAGTCAACGAGACCCTCAATGTTTTCGTGGACGAGATGAGCAAGACCCTCAACTCGACATTTGGCGGTACCGTCCTGTACGATCCCATCAAGGACGTGCTGAACTGCCTCATCGGCCTGAAGATCGCTTCCTTCCAAAACGGCCTCACCTGGGTCCAAGAGCACGCTCACGTCAGCTTTCCTGGCGTGGCGAACGACACTCTCTCTCTTGGCGCCGCAGCTGAGGCCAGCGACTCTTCTTCTGCTGCTGCACTGCTGTCCAATCCCAACGGCAAGGCGGCGGACGAGATCACCGAAGCAGTTGACCGCGTTATAGAGAAACTCCTGAGCGGCATTCAAACCGAAGCGCTCATTTCCACCGCACTTGTGCTCGTCTGGCTCTTCATCGCCATCGGTGGCCTCGTATACGCATCGACTCATCTCTTCCGCCGCGACTCAGAGACAGGTAGTGCCTACTACATCGACCCATCCTTGGACCAATCCAAAGCCCATGTCAACCCTTCTGATGCCGCCCCGCCCCAGTACGTCGCCAACGACTACCAAGTCAACAAGAGCGCGCCCTACACAATCACTCCCCGACCTTTCCAGACCGTCGAGCCCGACGCTGAGAAGATTGGGCAAGCAGGTGCGCGCGCCGTGTCCGACTCGGCTCGTCCCGGCCACGCACGCATGAGCAGCCACGGCACCCTCGCCGAGCCTTCGCCCATGGACGAGAAGCACAATCCATTTTCCGACCGGCGCTGAACCGGTCCAGCACTCCATCGTCGATAATGACAGCCAACCGTCTACCACTGACCGCCGCTTCTGCTTCCGAGTCTATACCAGACGGGCGGGTTGTCATTGACATTGCGACTGCAGCCGTAATTGCTCAGACCATATTCTGGTCCTTGAAGTTCCATGCCACGAATTCGATGATGCGCCAGGTGATGCGAATACGCTCTCTGGCGCGGAGACGCGCGGATTGAATGAGCTTTGCTCTTCTTCGCGTTGCGCGGCTTGGTGCACACATTTCCCCCTCAATACCCGATTTGTTTTTGGTTCATTTTGCGCTGTTACTGCTCTCTTTTGCGACGCGTTGAGAGACCCCTCGTGTATCCCCGGCTAGACCGCCCGTCAACCCACCAATCTCACATGCACGCACGAGACAAGGTCGGTCTAGCAGGAGCCGATCACGAGTTATGCGACCTCACTCCCCCTCCTTTTTCTTGATAGTAAGGAGTTGTGTTGGAGTGCAGCGACGCATGCGTTGAATCTCTCTTCGGTCAGTCTGTCCCCGAGGTCCCTTACGCCCGATCCTCTCCCGCACTCCCTGGAACTCTCCCCTGCTGCTCCTCGCGCGCGCGACGCGCCCGCTCCTCCTGTGGCTTGCCCGTTGGACCCGGCCCCTCGCGCACGCCAGTACGCGGCAGTGCAGAGACGCAGGGCAGTGCTGTGCACGAACCGGCAATATGTGGATATGAATCGCTCTTTCGCCGCCCTCTCGACTCCTCGACTCGTCCGTTTCCCAATCACCGGCCCTTTGGTTGTATCGCAAGACCCGCCGTGGCTGTTGCTGGTGGGACTCGGAGTCGGCGTGCTGACTGATAACGAGCGTTTGTCTTTCCTCCTACCTCTCCCCGCAGCGCGCACTTCGCGAGGGGCGCGCGCTACGGGCGGTAGATGTTGTTGAAAGTCGACATTTTTGCGCCTGTTTGTACGGCTGGTTTTGTTTATCTTGTAAAGCAGTCCCCGTCCGCTGGATGTGGGGTTGGTTTTTGCGCGCGCTTGCGCCGCCGCTCGAGTTGATTTTGGCTTTTGCCTGACCTGTAATGGACGGTGACTTGGTGGTGTGGTGCCGATCGTCCTGGCGGCTTCGTGTTGACAGGCGTTCGTTCGCGTACACATCAGTGGAAGAAAACGAGGGAGACAGTCTGGCGTCCGCTGAGGACTGTTCGTAGCAATTGACAATGCCCCCTCAGTAACTTCCGCGTCCGCTCCTTAGAATACACTCTCGTTGCCGTCTAGTTGAAGATGCATGAACATGATGGGTGCTGTGTGGTGCGTGATGCGGTGTGGTGCGTGATGTGGTGTGTCACGTGATGCAGTGTATCACGTGATCGATGATGTGGATGGAAGCTTGGACGGCAATGACGACTCCAGCTCGATGAGCAGACGACGGGCCCCAGCGAGCGCGCAACGACATGCTCGCCTGCCCGTGACACTGCGCGACTCGGACGGCCCACCATGCTCTCGGCGTTCACTGCGAAGCCGATCGTCGAGCTGAAGCAGCGCGACAAGTCCAAGATCGAGTCGATCCTCGCGTACGGTATGAGCTCCATGTAACGGCAATTCTTGCCCGGGCGCTGCTCACGATACTGCGCAGGCGACCGCGTGCTGGTTGGGCTCAACAGCGGCGCACTGCGCGTGTACCGTGTAAACGAGGAGACGGGAGAGCAGCCCGCGCAGGCGTCGGCGGCTGACCTGCTGCGCGAAGAGGACAAGTTCTCGCGCCGCCCCGTGGTGCAGCTCGGATTCCTCAAGGAGATCAGCATCCTCATCTCGCTGTCGGACGGCCATGTCTCGATCCACGACCTGCACACGTACGCGCTGCAGGAGCGGCTCGAGAAGACGCGCGGCGCAACAACGTTCGCCGCGGCCAGCAACATCGTCAAGGACCCAACGACGGGCATCCCATCCATCGTCAGCCGCCTCGCCGTCGCGGTCAAGCGCCGCATCGTGCTCTGGACGTGGCGCGACACGGAGCTCAGCGGCGACGCGACGGAGCTGTCGCTCATGGCCAGCGTCAAGAGCCTGACGTGGGCCGCGGGCACCAAGCTGGTCGCCGGCATGGACCCGGGCTTTGTGCTGGTTGACGTCGACACGCACGACGTGCAGGACGTGGTCAAGCCGGGCGACGCCGGCGGGCAGGGCGGTGTGCGCTTCGGCGCCGTGCAGTCGAGCGGCATGGGCTACATGGGCATGGCCAGCTGGGTGCCGAAGCCGCTGGCGACGCGTCTGGGCGAGGGGCAGCTGCTGCTGGCCAAGGACGTCAACAGCCTGTTCATCGACACGGCCGGCAACGCCCTGGACCGCCGCCAGGTCCCGTGGCCGTCGGCGCCCGAGATGCTGGCCTACTCGTACCCGTACATGCTGGCCCTGCAGGCCCCCGCCAAGGGCAGCCTGGAGGTCCGCAACCCGGACACGCTGAACCTGCTGCAGAGTATCGGCCTGCCCAACGCCAGCTTCCTGCACGTCCCGCAGCCGAACATCAGCCTGGCCCACCAGGGCAAGGGCTTCCTGGTCGCGAGCGACCGCTGCATCTGGCGCATGGCCGGCCAGAGCTACGAGGCGCAGCTCGACCAGCTCGCCGCGAGTCGCCGCTACGACGAGGCGCTGAGCCTGCTGCGCATGCTGGAGGACACGCTCCTGCAGGACAAGGACGGCCGCGTCCGCGAGACCAAGATGCTCAAGGCCGAGGCGCTGTTCGACGACAACAAGTGGGTCGACGCCATGGACCTCTTTATCGATGCCAAGGCGCCGCCAGAGCGTGTCATCGCCCTGTACCCACGGGCTGTGGCCGGCGACCTGTCTCACGAAGACAGCGCCACGGGCCATGGCAGCGTGGCCGACGGCGACGTCGACGGCGACGACAACAACGACGACGATGAGCGCGAGAGCGAGAAGCCCGCCGACGACAGCGAGGAGATCAAGAAGACCAGCCGCGAGAGCACCTTCAACCCCGCGGCCACAATCGGACGATCTGTGATGGGCAGGCTGGTCGGCGGCCACAAGAAGGCCGACTCTGACGCAGCGTCCATCCGCTCTTCTGCGCGAGACGACGCAGCAGAGACGGCAAGCATCAGGCCGGCGAAGAAGGTCACTGAGACCACGCAGCCTGACAAGCAGGTCGACTTCAGCAACGCCCTGCGCGCACTGCAGTCTTACCTCGCACAGTGTCGAGTGCAGATCAAGCGCTACATGGACACGGACGGCAATCTCAAGGAGCCACTGCCCGAACCCAGCGACAGCCAGCAAGAGCTGCTGCCTAAACCGCCCTTCCACCACTTCATCCAAGAAACGTCTGGCCATGTCGACTGGGTCGCGAGGCTGCTCGACGTCGCCCAGCTCGTCGACACAACCCTCTTCCGCGCCTACATGCTCACCAAATCCACACTCGCAGGCTCCCTCTTCCGGCTGCCCAACTTTTGCGAGCCCGACGTCGTGCAGGAGAAGCTCTACGAAACAGGCCGTTATGCGGATCTGATCGACTTCCTACACGGCAAGAAGCTGCACCGGCACGCGCTCGAGCTGCTCGAGAAGTTTGGCAAAAACGAGGCCGACGAAGAGGTCGCGCCTGCGCTGCAGGGACCGCAGCGCACCGTGGGATACCTGCAGCAACTGCCCCCCGAGATGATCGATCTCATCCTCGAGTTCGCCGAGTGGCCGCTGCGCACCGATCCCGCGCTGGGCATGGATGTCTTCCTCGCGGATACGCAGAATGCGGAAGAGTTGCCGCGCCACCAGGTGCTGGCCTTCTTGGAGGGGTTGGACCTCAAACTCGCGGTCAAGTATCTGGAACATGTAATCGAGGAGCTGAACGATCTCACGCCCGACTTTCATCAGAAGCTCGTTGATTTGTTCCTTGAGCGGTTGCGGAGCGGGGAGTTTGAGGACGAGGCGGAGAAAGGGAGGTGGAGGGAGAGACTGCAGACGTTCCTCAAGACGAGCGGGAGTTACAACAATTACCGCGTCTTCAAGCAGCTGAGTCCCGACGGTAGGTTACCACTGGCAGTGATCGGTACCGTGGATCAAGCTAATCTCGCCGCAGACCCGGATTTCTTCGAGTCCCGCGCCATCGTCCTGTCCAAAATGGGCCAGCACAAGCAGGCGCTGCAGATTTACGTCTTCCAGCTCAAAGACTACGACAAAGCCGAGGAGTATGCCTTCCTCAAGTAAAAAAAACCCCAACTAAAATCCACCCCAACTGACAACCCCAGATACTGCAACACCATCTTCCTCACCACCCCGCCCCCCGAGAAACAACCAGACCCCCAGGACCATACAATCTACCACACCCTCCTCGCGCTCTACCTCTCCCCCCCGCCCCCGCACGCTCCCAACTTGACCCCCGCGCTCGACTTGCTGAGCAAACACGGCGCCCGCCTGCCAGCCAGCACGACGCTCGACCTCGTGCCCCCCAGCCTGCCGGTGCGCGACCTGGCGAGCTATTTCCGGGGCCGCATCCGTGCCGCGAATTCCAGGCTCAACGAGGAGCGCATCGTGGCGCGGTTGCGCGGGGTGGAGAAGGTGGGCGTTGAGATGGGGTTGTTGCTCGGTGAGGGCTGGGGGAAAGGGGATCACAGGCCCGGCGGGCTGAATGCGAGGGTTGTTGTGGATGAGGATAGGCATTGTGCGGTTTGTCATAAGCGGTTTGGCGGGAGTGCGGTTAGGGTTTGGCCTGATGGGGGGGTCGTGCATAGTGGGTGTATGCGCGGGAGTGTTGGGAGGACGGGGGCGGAACGGCCCAGGGCGTGGTAGGTGGGGTGTGTGCGTGTTGAAGGTGCTAGACGTCTGGACGTAGGAGGGAGGTTGTGCACACCTTGTGCTTCTCGCCTCTCGATGCGCGCTGTCGGCCTGTGAGGCATACAGTGGAGCGCGAGCGGCGCGCTTAGATTTTTGTACGACATATCCATCTCCAAATCACTTCATCGCTGGCATCAGAGAAGTGCGAGCCTTATTCCTCATGCTATAACGGCATCTTAACACTACTATAGGGTGATGTCAGGGCCATCTACTTAGCGCAGCTGATGTGCAAGCTAAGGTTAGATGCTTACTGCGCTATGTCACTGGTACAGGTCAAGATTGCAGCGTATTTCCAGCACTCGCGACAACTGAACATCCTTTGACTGAGACTGTGAGTTTCTAAACAACGACATGTTTCTTCTTGTACCCGTAGAATCTCAGTTGTGTAAGATTTAGCCTAGTAGGGGTGCCCTAGCTAGCGAGGGACTCACGATTTCAATTGTCTCAATTGCATCAAGAACAGGCCAAAACAAGCGTGTAAAAAGGTCTCTATTGACTTGCTTAATTATCTGTGAGTATGTTGATACCTCATGTGTACCCTAATCCTCACCCCACTAGCAGTTGCAACCCACGACTTTCTAGCAGGTGGAGTCTCCTCGTAGAGTATTTACAATTAGATCTGGCATTGGTTCGGATAGTACAGCATCCGCACACAATTAAGATTCTACGGTATTTGCCTCCGTCGTATCTTGCCTTCACTCTGCACGTGCTAGCTCGCTAGGGCCTAGGCCAACCGCACACACCATATTCCAACCTGTCCGTCATCTATTTCTTTGCGTTTCGGGGGAAGTTGGGTGGGCGCAATGGTCCCACCGGATAGATTGATTGATGAAACGTCGGAGAAACTAATCCACACGACGTCCGCGAATCAGCGCCGGTTGGTCCAGCGCGAACTTTGTCATTGCTGATCGACAATAATATGCTCGTTAGGATTTAAGCTTTTGCCCAGCCACTACCCAGCCATTGCCCTGCACATTACCCCAGAAAATATGGTCCGGACTATGCTTCTCACGGCGTCCCTTGCCGGTACAGCTTTTGCTGCTGTCTGTTCGGTCGCCGGCGGAACCAGCGACGACTCTGCAGCCATCAAAGCTGCGTTGAAGTCGTGCAACAATGGCGGTACAGTCGTTCTTGACAAAACCTACACCATTGGCTCTCTTCTGCAGACTACCGATCTCTCGAATATTGCGATCCAACTGAGCGGCACCATCAAGCTCTCAGCAAACATCGATTTCTGGAGTTCGAATGGTTTCCAGCTGAACTACCAAAACGCGTACACTGCGTGGACTATCGGCGGAAGCAACATTCACATCTACGGTGGAGGAACTTACTCTGGCAGCGGCGATACTTGGTACAGTGTAAGCGAGGCCTGAGCTTAGTAATTGGAGGCTGCACTGACATCATGGTAGGCTGGGAAGACTGGCCCAATCCCATGGGTCATCTACAACGCACAAAACGTTGTCGTGGACAACATCAAGCAAGTCCAGAGTCCATTCTGGCACAACTTGGTCTACGGATCCAGCAACGTCACCTTCAACAACATCGACCTGCACTCAATCCAGACGAGTGGCAAGCAGGCACAGAACACGGATGGATGGGATATCTACCGCAGCGACAACGTCCGCATCACAAACAGTCACATCGTCAACGGAGACGACTGCGTCAGCTTCAAGCCCAACACCACCAACACTTTGGTCGAGAACCTCTACTGCCAAGGCTCGCACGGTATTTCCGTTGGCTCTCTGGGCCAGTACGCCGGTGTCCAAGACATCGTCGCCAATGTCCTCGTCAAGAACGTGACCATGGTCAACGCTGAGAACGGCGCCCGCATCAAGGCCTTTGGCGGCAGTGCCAGCTCTACGTCCACGACTGGCGGAGGGAATGGGTATGTCAGGAATGTCACATTCCAAGACTTCACAGTGCAGAGTGTGGCTCTGCCCGTCGTGATCGATCAGTGCTACGAGACCTCGGCTTCGACATGCGCCTCCCACCCGTCCAAGGTCACCATCAGCGACGTCCACTATGTCAATGTGACTGGTACGGGTAGCAAGAGCAAAGAAGTTGTCAGCCTGGTTTGCAGCGATGTATGTCAGGGTGTCACGGCGACTGGAACCCGTCTCGTGGGTTCGAGCGGCAGTTCGGAGTATTTCTGTACTAACATTGCGAGCACCGCGAGCCTGGATTTCCCTTGCAATTCTGCTGGAGCTGTGGTCTCTGGAAGTGCGGTGACGACCAGTGCATCGAAGACAAAGACGAGCACTTCTAGCAAAAACAAATCGACCACGTTAAAGACGTCAAAGGTGGGTGCGAGCAAGGCCCGAGCCACTCTAAGTAGAGCTTCGAGAGAGTAATCTATTGAGGACCTTCATCAACTCATCCGGACTGTCCAATGTTGCCATCCACCGACTAATCTGCACAGGGATTATTACATGTGGGACGAGCCCTTCCCCGCATTGCTAAGCCAAGCCGTTTAGTTTTAATCTGTCGAATTCCATTTAGGCAAGACGGAGGATCCGTTCATTGGTCATGCGTTTGACGTTTATTGACGTTTAATCTATGCGAGAGCTCCTTATATTAAGTACGTTACGTGTTTCAGATCCGCACAGTCGCGGAAGGTGACATCCGACGGGCTTTCGGCAACCCGAACATGGGAAATGAGCAACGCAGTCAGATAGTGTCGAATAGAGCGTTCCAGCGGTTTTTGCGCGCATGGTGGTCATTACTCATTCGCGGAAGTTTGCTTCGCAGAAATTATGCGGAGGGCAGATCCGCTATCGAATCGATCGGATCACGGAAGATCTGACTCTTTTCGATCCTAAGCATTGCCAATATTGCTTCATGCACGCCTTTGATCTGGCTTCACATTGCTTGTCTATATAGCCAAGGATTTGCGTGCAAGCGAGGCAGTATCCAGTGCATCCTGTCCACGAACAATTCACAATGAAGAACTCAATTGCTGCAGGCTTCGCATTCCTCGCATCTTTCGCTGCTGCTCAGCAGGGTAGCCCCATTGGATATGCTTCCCAAAATGGCGGCACCACGGGCGGAAAAGGTGGCACTACGACCACAGTGTCTTCCCTGCCTGAGTTCACTGCTGCCGTTGGAAAGAAGACGGACACGACTGCCAAGGTCATCTACATCAACGGTGCCATCACTGGCGCCGCCAAGGTCAACATCGGCTCCAACAAGTCCATTCTCGGTGTCGACTCCAGCGCATCTCTCACCGGTGTGGGTCTCTACATCGACAAGTCCAGCAACGTCATCGTCCAGAACCTAAAGATCTCCAAGGTGCTGGCTGAGAACGGCGACGCGATCGGTATCCAAGCAGCCACCAACGTCTGGGTCGACCACGTCGATGTCTCGTCAGACATTGACCACGATAAAGACTTCTACGACGGCCTGATCGACGTCACACATGCCTCGGACTGGGTCACCATCTCCAACAGCTTCATCCACGACCACTTCAAAGCCTCCCTTGTTGGCCACTCCGACAACAACGGCGCCGAGGACACAGGACATCTACACGTGACCTACGCCAACAATTACTGGAACAACGTCAGCTCCCGCACGCCATCTATCCGCTTCGGAACGGGACATATCATTAACAGTACGTAGTCGTCATCTCCTCCTCTCTTCCTGCTCCTGCACTTGCTAACTCGACTTCCTCCAGGCTACTACAACGGCATCTTCACCAACGGCATTGACACGCGCGAGGGCGCAGAAGTTCTCGTCGAGAGCACTGTTTTCGAAAACACAGCCGAGGACATTGGCTTCTACGATGGCAAGGTCACGGGCTTTGCGATCGCAAACGATGTCAGTCTCGGATCGGGGACGAATACTGCGCCCGCGGGTAATTTGACCTCTGTACCGTACTCGTATACCAAGCTTGGTAGCGCCAACGTCAAGGCCTCAGTTCAGGCCAACGCGGGGAACAAGCTGAAATTCTAGGTGTGAGGATGGCTTGCATGTAAATATGTGTCGATGAGCGGGAAGGAGACGGGCTGGCCCGCGCGATCTAAGGAAGGAAGCCATCAAGTGAGGCGTGCCTGATTGGGCCTCATCTTTGTTTACCACCTTAGACCCTTTCGGCAGTTCCATCCATTCTTCTTATTCTATATCCATCATCTATCATTCAGTCTAGACACTTTGTGAATTGTCAACGGTGATGTCGCCTGTGAAATCTCACGTTCATGTCTGCAGGGAGGGACGTGAGATCGCCTCGCTTATCGAAATCGGCAGGAAGACTTGCATCCTACGCTGGATTGGCCGCGAGCTGGTCTTGTGCGATGCATACGCCTCAATCTGGCGCGAGAGTTACAAGCGAGTATCTGTATAATCGCATTGGTTGGAAGTTCCCTAGGCGAGCCTCAAACTTTACCATTCATCCTCCACACAGTGCTCATCAATGGTGCTTTGACATTTCTGATCTTTCCAGCGCCTCAATCGCGGCTTTATACGCTTTCGACCTCGCGATCACCATGGCTGCGATGTCTGGTACCCCTGCATTCGCAAGCCGCAGACATTGGCTTTCGCCCGTGACGACGGCCTATCTTTCTCGATGGACCTGAACCATATTGATGCTACGCACAAGGTGCCAACTATTGCTATGCTAAAAATATCGTGCTGACCAAGGAGAACGAGGCGCCGAACGAGAAGGTCAAGGAGCTTGAGGAGAAGCTGGATGACATTGAGGATTTGGTCCAGTTGTCTGACGAGGACAAAGAGTAGCAACTGGACACTCATCTAACGGGAAGAAACTCGTGAGAACAGAGCTCTGCACCAAAACTCACTGATCCGTCAACGACTTCCCAGCAATCGTGCAGTCATTACTTTCACTTTTGATCGCTCGCCAAGATCAAGGTTTATACTTTCTTTTCTCCCCGCCCACACGCCCACGGACGTTTCCAATTGAACGTCGGCTTTAGCCATTTTACGGTGATTGCAGCGTCTTTCAAACAGATTATCTGCTCAAAGCTTCAGGTTCCGTCCGCGCCGCTACGATTTACTCTACAGCGGGAAATGCAACAGCTGGGAATCTAGAGAAAGTAGAGCTTGGGGTCTTGGACTAAGCGCGAGGACGCTCAGTATCGGCGTTGCGATTACTGCATCAACAGGACACTGTGTTTTCGCTAGAGCTGTGATAGTCACCTGGGTCGCGCTTTGCGTGTGTAGTGACAGCTCCTGACAGGGCGCAACAAACAATGACAAGCGTCAAAAGGACCGACACCGCCTGCAGAAATGCTGAACACCCACGCGTAGAGTCGCGCAAAGAGATGCAGGAGAAGCTGGTGGTGAAAATAGTCATAGTCGGCTGCGGGACTGAGCTCCAGGGCTGAGAAGCAGCGGAGCTGAGATCGAACGAGACGGAGTTGGACCAATCGCAGAAGCAAAGCCGGGCCAAGTAGAAGGCGAAGAAGCTACAGAAGTCCGTTCAAGAGCCCTCTGGGGGGGTGTTGAGTGTATCAGACCCTTCCACAGCAGATGCTGGAGGTCCTCTGATGCTTCTGCCCAAATGCTTGCTGCGCCCGCTGGCGTTCTCGCAGAAGGCCCCGTCCGCCAACACCCACTCACGCATCGAGCCCAAGCCCCGCAATATCATCTTCAACCTCATCAAAGAGACCCTCCAGTTGCACAGAGAGCTCGACAAGACAAAGTCAAAGCTACTTGAAGCCGAGTCTAAGCTCTGGTCGAAATGTCTGGACGCTCAAAACACGGCTGCAACCAAGGACGACATCGAATCGAAAACGCGAGTGGCAGAAAGAAGACCTGACGAGATGGTCGAAGCACTCAAGGCAGAGCGCGCCAACAAAGAGTCTTTGAAGCAGGTGAAAAAACAGCAAGCCGAGGCTGAAGCAGCAAGACGAGTACCGGAAAGCCCAGGACGAGGTCATCAAGGCCCGAGGCAAGTTGATCGAGCGGCATGGAACAACCATCGAGGCTCAAGCAGACATGGACATGGCCGAGTATATGGAACGTGACATCGAAGAACTTGAGAAGGTGTGCGGTGCGGCGCTAAAGCTGTGTGCGGAGGACAGACTCGGAGTGCGAGGCCGTTCCACTTAAGCAAAGACGCGGGTCAGCTTACATACCTGATTCTTCATTCTCCTACCTGCTGTATGTGGAAGGTGGGCTGCCTTAGCAGTTCGCGTCTCGACACTTCCCTTCAGCTACGTACAGCAGCAAATTCAATTCCGAACATGACCATCGAACTACCGGCCTCACTCAAAGCTTCGGGAGTCGCTCAAGGCAAATGTGGAGACGCCAGATGCCGTTGTTAACCTATTCGGGCGTAGCGGCCGCAGCCATGCTCCCCTCGGTCGTCGGCAATGGGTCACGTTGGCTCGCCGTTGCAAGTCAATTAAGAGCTGCGGAACCCTCCAAGAAGCGTTCCGAGCTGAGTTTATATCTCTACGTCCTGTACAAGTATCTCTTGCGTTTCTGTATAGCTTTGTGTAGGTCGAAGTTTGCCAGCATTCGCAAGTCACGCAATCTGCTACACACCGCAACAATGGCTCTCGGTAAGTGCTCCCAAGCTCCACGCCTATCTCCAGCTTCCAGCATTCTACCACCTACGGCCTCACCACTAACACGACATGTAGTCCCCGTCGCAGGCGCTGTCGCCAGCGCAACAGCCGCCGCCGCATACATTGACGCAAAATACCACCTCACAAAAGACATCCGCTCGATCCTCGGCGCACGGGCAAACCAAAAAGCCCTCGACCGCAATGCTGCCGGGCGGGGCCAGTCGCTCTGGTACCAGTTTGAGTCGCAAGTGCACCGTCTCCCCTCCGACGCGCAGTGCATCTGGAGCCGCACGGGGTGCTATACGTGGGCCGAGACGTACGTAAATGCATGCCGGTATGGACAGTTTATGCTGCAGCAGGGTGTCCAGCCGGGCAAGCTGGTGGCGCAGTATATGATGAATCGCCCAGAGTTTTTGTTTGTGCATTTGGGCAGCTGGGCGATTGGGAGTGCGCCTGCGTGGATCAATTACAACTTGGCTGGTGATGCGCTGGTGCATTGTCTGAAAGTCGCTGAGGCGAAGGTCATCATTGTCGATGAGGATGAGGAGTGCAGGAAGAGGATTGAGGAGGTCAGAGATCGATTGGAGGGCGAGCTGGGGATGAAGATTGTGGTGCTGGACCAGGCGCAGAAGGGCAAGATCTCGAGACTCGAGCCCACGAGGCCGGGCGATGAGCTGAGGGTTGGCGCGAAGGGGAAGTTCCCGCTGTTCTTGTTCTACACAAGGTGAGTCTTCTGGGATATCGTGCAGAACGTTCGACTGACACATGCAGCGGCACCACCGGTCATCCCAAAGCATGTCCCTTCGAGACTCAAAGAGCGGCAGGCCTCACAGGCAGAGTCGGCGCCATGGGCCTCAAGCCCGGCCCCAACGGCGACAGATGGTACGTCTGCATGCCGCTCTACCACGGCACCGGCGGTACTACAGGACTCGTCTGCATGGTGACCGGCATCACATGCTGTATCGGCACCAAATTCTCCACCTCACGCTTCTGGACCGACGTGCGCGACAGCCGCTCGACAGCCATTGTCTACGTCGGCGAAACCGCGCGCTACCTGATCAACACACCTCCCAGCCCACTCGACAAACAACACAACGTCCGCGCCATGTTCGGCAACGGCCTGAGACCAGACGTGTGGCATCGCTTCGTCGACCGCTTCGGCATCGAAGTCGTCGGCGAGTTCTTCAACAGCACCGAAGGCGTCATGGCGCTCTTCAACGGCAGTCGTGGCCCCTTCACAGCAACTTCCGTCGGCCACCAAGGCCTGATCGACCGCTGGCGCTTCCACAACACCTACGTGCCTGTTGCTGTGGATATCGTGACTGGCGAGCTCATCCGCGATCCCAAGACAGGGTTCTGCAAGCGCAAGAGCTACGAGGAAGGCAGCGAGATCTTCGTTGCGATGCCTCATGAGAGCGCATTTGTAGGGTACTACAACAACCCTGACGCCACAGCGAAGCGCTTCGAGCGCAACGTCTTCAAGAAGGGCGACCTGTACTACCGCACCGGCGACGCCTTACGGCGCGATGCCGACGGGCGCTGGTTCTTCATGGACCGACTGGGCGATACATTCCGCTGGAAATCCGAGAACGTATCCACCGCCGAGGTCGCTGAGGCGCTTGGCTCGTTCCCCGGCGTCAGCGAGGCCAACGTCTACGGTGTCGAGGTCCCCGGTCACGACGGCCGAGCCGGCTGCGCGGCGATCAACATCACCGAGCCCTTCGATTTCGGCGGCTTGCTCGCTCACGCCCGCAAGAAGCTGCCCAAGTACGCGGTCCCGGTGTTTCTGCGTGTGCTGAAGAAGCAGACCAGTATGCACAATAACAAGCAGAACAAAGTCCCGCTCAGGAATGATGGGATCGATCTCAGGAAGCTGCAGGAGAGAGCGGATAAGGAGGCGCAAGAGAATGGAGAGGACGTTGAGTATGACACGCTGTACTGGCATCCTGCGGCGCTGGCAGCACACTCGGGGCTCGTCAAGGAGGACGGGGGGTATGTTGTGTTTACCATGGCGGACTGGGATCAGTTGCGGGCGAACGCCGGGGCTGGCAGTGTCGAGGCGAAGCTGTAAGGCTGCTTTGCTATGTCTTGCTGTCTCTTGGGACAGAACTATTGTCAATTAGCGAGGTTCTAGGTATTCGATTGTAAGATCTCACGTGCTGAATTTTACTTCTCTGGAGCGTCTCTTGCTGCTGACGACGAAGGGTGCAGGCCTAATGCAGTGCGTTCTCACGACACCATCACATCGCGAAGTTCACCTTTTTTGCGTAGAAATTACATTTCAAACATTATTCTTATCTACATCTACCTCGTCATCTAAGCATACGCCAGCCTCTCCTCAGTCCAGCCCGGCCGGAGGTACTCGGAATCGAACCTCGACTCCCAACTACTCTCGACGGCGTACTCCTGCACAATCTTGACATCGACCTTTGCGTCGCCCTTAGACTGCGACCACACAGAAAGACCAATGACGTTGTCGCCGGCATAGTTCAGCACACCGGCAGGAACGGGGAACTTGATCTCGTTGCCGACCCAGGGGTTGAAGCGGCCATACTGGTAGCCGTTCACGAAGAGCTGGACGCGCACCTGCTTACTGGCGGGTGCATTGAGGACGAAAGCAAAAGAAGCGTCAACGTTGGCGGGCACATCGAGCGGGACAACGGTCCGATAGAAGTTGATTGTGGCGCCGCTGAAGCCGGTTGACGGCGAGGAGGTGTTCCATTTCGAGTCGTCGAACCCGGGAAGGTGCCAGCCCAGACGCTCGGCTGTCAGACCGCCCTCGGCTAGCGGACCTCTGACGGGGTCGAGCTGCTTGGACTCACCACCGGCCTCACCGGCGATCTTCCACTTCGTGAAGTTGCCGCCGCCAACGAGGCTGGCGCCGAGGATACCGCGGGGGTCTGTAGCACCACCACGCAGGTCGTGGCCGGAGTTGTCCTGCGCGACAAGCAGGACGTTGGTTCCGTTAGCATTCAGGGTGGCGTTGTTGAAGGAGAGAGTCTGGTTGCCCTGGCCGGCGGTTGTGTTACCGTACCAAGAACCGATGAATTCGCCGTTGAGCCAGGCAGTCCAGCCAAAAGCAAGACCTCCCTGAAGCGCCAGGTTGACACCGGTAGCAGCGCCGTCAAAGTATCCGCGGAAGAGGTGGAAGCTGTTGTGGAAGCCGTACTCGTCGACGTACAGGACGGGGAGCGTCGCAGGCTTGGTAGGGTTGGAAGTGGTGACGTGATTAGCCTCGACCCAAGCTGCACCAGAGTCATCATAGCTGGGCTGCTTCTCGGGCAGACCGTCGGCGATCTTCCAGCTGGTCAACTCCGGAAGCTTAATAGAGCCGCTGAAGGCCTTGACGCTGGCCTTCAGACTGCCGTGGGCAGTGCGGTGAGTCTTGAGCTCCTGACCGTTCCAGGAGAGCTTCTTGAAGCTCTTGGAAGCGAAAACCTCAATGTCGGTAGACTTCAGGATGTCACCCTTGAGGGCCAAGATGCCGTTCTCGGTGGCAACGTGACGGACGAGGTACGGGCCTCCAACGATAATGGACTGATCCACGGGAGCAACGGGGTCCTTGGACAGGTTAGGAGCCCAGAAGAGGTAACCGGTAGGCTTGTCAACAACGATGACCTTGACGCCGTTGTTGAACTCATAAACGCTCTGGCCGTTGACAGCAGGGAGGTTGACAGAGATACCAAAGCGGTCGGCCTTGACAGTGGCGTTGGCAGCCTGGCCATTTTGAGCCACGGAGCCCTTCTTTGCGCCCTTGATGTGGAACTCAGCAGATTCGCCAGCACCAGTCCAGAGGACCACAATAGGCTTTCCATCGACGATAGAGTACGTGAGAACCTCAGCAGTCGAGTAGGTCAGAGTGTTTTTGCCGAGAGCGAAGTCGGTCACGAGAATCTTCGACTGGTGGCCGTTCAGGACAATAGAGCCAGTCTGAGGAATGGTCAGGTTACCAATAGAGGTGCTAACCTTGAGCTTGAATTCCTCTCTGGTTCCAGATGGGGAGTAGTCGTGGATAGTGACGTAGAAAGCACCGTTGGTCTCGGGGTTGCGGAGCTCACTGGCCTTCACAGCGGAGTTAGTAGTGTAGCTGGTAGAGTCGCCAACGCGGTCGGTGACCGTCAAGTCCTCAGCAACACGAGTGAATAGAGCCAGGTTCTTGGTCTCGTAGAACTTGCTGTCGATCTTGCGGTTCTCGCTGATGGGCGAGCTGTAGTCGTAGGAAGTAGCAACAACAGGGCATGCCAAGGCGCCCCAATTGGTGCCTCCGAACATCATGTAGAGTGACAGAGCAGTAGAGCGCTGCGAGATCAAGTTGCGGTAGAACAGATTGGCGAAGTCTGCGCCAATGTCACCAGGGCAGCCGCCCTCAGGTCCGCCCCAGGGGTTGTAGCTGCCACCTTGGAACTCAGGGAAGAAACGAGGCTGTGTGTTTGAAACTTCAACGAAGTGGTCGTAGTAGTTGATGGTCTGGTAAGCGACATATTTTCCATTGGTGCCCGTGCATTCATCCAGGTTGCAGGACCAGCAAGACGGGTAGCTGTCGAGACCGGCAACATCGACGTTGCCGAGAGCACCAGGGCCAAAGTCCTTCGACCAGCTCTTGGTGTTCAAATTGGGGTCGTTGTGGATCATAGGGATATCGATACCGTTCGCGCGAGCCAACTTCTCGAGAGCGTCCATGTAGCGACCCGAGGGCAGATCCGGGATCTTCTTGACTGTATCCTTCCATTGTTGGCCGTACTCGTTCTCGATCTGGAAGACGAGGTTGTTGCCGCCCTTGGTCACACCGTGCTCGGCAGCACGCTTTGAGAACTCAGAGAAGTAAGGCTCCAAAGCCTTGAGGTAGCGCGGGTCGTCATCACGGAGCTTGCCATAAGCACCTGTGGTGAGCCAAAGGGGGAATCCACCAGCATTGGCCTGAGATTATCAGTATTGATCAAGACATTCTTAAGGAATGGATTACCTCAGCATTGACGTAAGGGCCCGGGCGCGTGATAACGTAAAGACCGACACGCTCTGCAATCTCGTAGAGCTTGGTGAAGTCGTGAGCGGGGCTGTCGAAGTCGACAGTTCCGTTGTTCGCGCTGTGGTAGCCCCAGTTTCCGTAGAATGCAAACGCGGTGAAGCCAGCAGCCTTGATCTTCTCAAGGATATCCTCCCAGACTTCGGGCACGGGAATGCGCCAGTAATGAATCTCTCCAGAGAAGACAAACAGCCGCTTGCCATTGACCTTGAAGCTGTAGTGGTCCCATTGTACAACGTCATTCAAGCCGTTGTCGTGGAGTGGCCATTGCCCAACGGAGTTGTTCTGAGCATTGATGGCGGGGATGGAGGTAGTCAGAGACGCCAGAACAGACAGCCATGATAGGCTGTTGATAGAGCGCATCTTTGCCGGTGGTTGAAACGTTCAAAGTCGAAGCTTAGAGCGATACCGTTGTGTGATCGGCCATGGAGTGGCCTTTGTACCTCGCGAGAACCTCAAAAAGACGGCATGCGCAAATTGTGCAGCTCGCACTAATGCGAGTGCCATGACGGTGAGCACCTGGGTTCGCGAGGCTCCCGTCGTCGTGAGAGTCTCATGTTGGTGGAATTGTGAATCTCCATGGACAAGCGTCAACCGAAAGTCCGGTGCGGAGTTTAGTGCGAGTGACAGGGCGGAAGGGGTTCCCAACGGAGCTAGACATGCGGGGACTATCCAGGCACAGCAACGTTCGGATACATGAAAAGCAGGCGGGCGGGAGAAGGACCCGGGGATGAAATGTGGACGACCGGGGTACAGGTGGAATGTGAGAAGCATAGGGCACGTATCGGGCTCATATGACCGTCACGAGGCTGGCGCCCTAGCCAAAGATGGCAGTGCCGATGTGGAGGCCTTCGGAGAGCTTCCCCGCTTGATCATCATTTCCACCCGCCACGACAAACTTCAGAAAATTACACAATGAGAAACACTTCATCAGGTAAGCCTTTTATTCTTCAGCCCGGACGTGACCGGATCTATGACAGCTGCACGTAACAACAGTGGCCTTTTGGCGCGATCAGGAAGCGGTTGTCAAACTCCATCATGTCGTCTCGCATCGCGCCGCCCAATCTTGCGCCACGACACTGCTTGAAGAACAGAGCTGTCGCGAGTCGAAGCTCCATGTATGCGAGATGGATACCAAGACATACCCGAGAACCGCCTCCGAAAGGCATGTACGCAGCTTTCTGCTGAGCCGAGAGTTTCGTCTTGTCCATGAAGCGGTTGCCGTCGAAGCTGTGAAGCACATTAGATACCAATGTCCGAGTACGAGACCGAGATTACTTACCGGAGCGGCTCTTGGAAGATTCTAGGGTCCCGATGGAGTGTGTAGGCCTGGGTGCTAACCTCAGTACCAGCAGGGAGCTGATGGCCAGCGACGATCATTCCTTGACTTGGTACGATGCGCGGCAGGGCTCCTGGTGCAGCTCCATACAGTCTCAGGGTCTCTTCGATCACACTATTGAGCAGGGGCGCATTCTCGAGCTCCGCCATGTCCAGCTGATCACTCAGTCCAGCTACCTCTTCCTCTAAGCGAGCTTGCAGCGCAGAGTCCTTCAGAACGGCCCAGACTAGGTAGGTCAAAGTCACAGCAGTGGTGTCAGATCCGGCGACGATCAGATTCCCGGCCTCTTCGCGGACCGAACTGTCGGTGAGCGCTGCTTTTTCGTAATCGTCGCAAGCCGCCACCATCTGGCCAAAGAGATTTAAATTGTTGCCTTGGCTGCTGCGCATGTTCTGTATGGCAAGAGCGCCATACTCATACACAACGTCGTCGGCTGTGACCATCTTTTGCACATTCTTCAAGGGGATGTACCGAAGCATGGAGTGCACGAGAGGAAACTCGGCGCGCAGTACACCACCAAGTAATGCTGCCTGGAGTGCATCGATGTAGGGTGTTTGCTAGAACGTTGTCAGCTGAACCGTTTCACCAACCTCAATAGGTAAGAAATAGTACCTTGCCCTGCTCAAGCATGCCAAAGCTCTCTCCAAAACTCAGATGTGTGATCACATCCGTCGCCATTAGCGTCCACCATTTCATAACGTCAGCTCCTTTCCCGGGTCGCGACGCAGCATTCTTGATCTGACTGACCGCGAGTGCAGTCTTGCGTCTGATCTCGGACTCCCAGGTGCCCTTCATGCTTGAGTTACTGAAAGCACGGGCAAACAGCTTCCGCCGGGCTGCATGATCGTGAGGGTTCTGCATGGCGAAAATTCCTGGCTCGCGGGTAGGTGTGAGCTTTGTGTAAAAGTCTGCCTTCAGAAAGCCAGAGCCGATCTTGTGAATCTGAGAAACGCCCGCGATATCCGCCACGGAGACTTCATTTGGTGCGATCCGAACAACGTCGCCGTACTTTTGGTGGAGAGCATCCACGTAGAATATCCGTCGTCCTGATAGGATGTGGAAGCGTAAGGCAAGATTGGTGTACGTCGAGTGCCATGTGCCTGGCAGCTTCGCAAGAGGTGACCGCTGACCTGTCAAAACGATCTACGGCCGTACTTAGTTGCGCTCAAACCGTGGACGCATACTTCTATACCTTGACTATGTAACCGACTAGGGCAAGCCCGATGGCTGCAACAAGATAGAGCGACGGCATGTTGCCTAAAAATGAGAGAAAAGCGCAGTTCAAGAAGACGCCTGCGACTATAGATACGAAGGATGGAAGAGATGCTTTACATATGACTACGGGAATTGCGGGCTCGGCATGTGGAGTGAAACTAGAGCGCCATGCTAGAGAGGCGTCTCCGGTCACAGAATGAAGACCATGTAGCAGGTTTGTACGAGTCTAGTACAGTGTCGTGCAACAGGGCTGCTATCATTAGACGTCGATCATCACAAAGCGTGATCTACAGCGTCAACGTGAAAGTGGTGGATACTAGGGATGGTCCGTAGACGATCACAACAATTGCTCCGCACCTGACACTTTCCTGGTCTTCTTGTCGCTTCACACGCGCCACTGTGCAATCAGTCTTGTGCGAAATCGGTGCAAGAGTCTTTGACTTGAATATCTCAAAGCTTACAGGGAAGTGCTGCTCAAACATCTTTGCCCCGCATTCTCCGCACTCGATGATGAAGAAACTATTCCTCTTCAGGTAAGCGATCGGACCCCGTGGGCTCCGCACGCATCCGCGCATCCGCGCTGTACAACCGCAAGGTCTGCAACGACGTTAAACGAGCAGCGCGTCGGCAGTTAACAGCATTACTGGTGAACCATACACGATCACCGTGATGAAGAATGGCAGCCAGATCTCGGCCCTCCTCGGAGAGGCAACTGCTCAACGAAAGTCGAATGCTATACCCTGTCAGCAAGCGCCTGGGGTTCAGCCCTCGACGAAATGAGGTCACTGCAAGAGAAGAAAATGAGGGTGAGCAGCATATGGCTGGCAATGGTGGTTGTAGTATATGGGGTCGCTGCCGACAGGACCATCACGATCAGATATTCTCAGCCTGTAAGACCATACACAGGGACTTGCTCTTGAGTCTGGGAGGCACTCGTGGGGTCAAAGGTTGTTGCGTCACGTTAGTGTACAGGTCTCTCCTTTATTGCGGCCACGGCCCGACTTCGTACGTGCTCAAGAGCGAAGAGCGTTGGCTTGACAGGGCCGCTGTTAGTGTGCTCTATAGCGGCAGCACGAGGTTCTATGAGAAGGTGGATTGGACCACATTGCCTAACACCGAGACCTTATTCAGCAGCACTCCGTGGCTGCAAGATATCTTGGGCCCTTACGCTGACCCGGAATTACGATCTTTGAGCGACGCAGACGTCTAAGACTTGTGCGCTCAAGACGTCGAAGGGCTTCGAGCCGAGGCTCGTTACACCAATGTTGGGGTCGAGGAAAGCAGACTATTCACCCTTTCAACAGCAGGTCTAGTGAGATATTAACACGCATTGTCCGATTACATGGACGACCAGTGGCACGACGAGCCCCCTGAGAAACGCGGCACAGCCTTTGGAGACGAAGCGTGGTTATATTGGCAGCATGACTTTCGGGGCCGGTATTTGTCCATCCAGCATGCACACAACGCCATCCAGGAGGGTGGGAAGAGGCGAGGCATCATGACAGCACTCTTTATGGCCGCATTTCGAGAGGCAAACGAGTGGAACTTTACTTCAGTCGCTACCTGGGACGTCAGTCCGGAGGTTCGTCGTGCGCTGGATGCCTTAGCTCAAGCGAGCAGCTCCAAAACATCCGCATGTGAAGGCCACAGAATGCAACAGATGACACTACGCTGGCGGTATGGGGAGAAGACAACGGGAAATCTAGTAATGCCCAAGAGACTTGCGCCTGAAACTCGAAGAACTGAATAGGTACTGCTCACAGATTGAAGGCCGACGGGCGTATGCTCAGGGCATCCAGCTCTTTCGCAGCAGCTGAGCACAGGACATCATTGCAGCACTTCTCTACCATCCAATGTCAAGATAAGGGCGCGCGAGGCTTCTAGGAGATCCGCTCTTTCCGTCGGGAAGCCACGGACGGAAAGGGCCGATTGATCCGGTGTCCCACTTTCAACACCAAGACTCACCCTCAAGATGAACGTTGCGCGCTACGCTGAACTATCTAGGCGACTCGAAATTTAACGAATCCAATCCAAAAATCGCTCCGTAATTACTATTACCTCAAAGGGACCACACAAGGTGCAAAATACACTTCACACGCAATGGCTCTCCATGACCCAATCGCCGACGCCAAAGCGCAGGAAGCGACTAACAAATACGCCTTCCGTCCAGCAACAATGGACGACATACCAGCGCTGCAGCAGATGATTGGGGAGTCGTTGCGAGCGCTTGGGAAAGGGTATTACACAGATGCGGAGCTCGATGGGTCGATAGGGTTTCTCTTCGGTCCAGATACAGTGTTGATACGCGATCAGTAGGTGCCACAATATCTCATTACTACTTTCAGTGCATGTCCCAAGTGAAGAAGAACGCGTGGTGCCATGAGAATCGTCACTTCGGCGCTAGGAATGAGGCCGAGAGCAAGCTTCGCGTTGATGAGACAAGAAAATCGAACATGAGCAAGCAGCGGAAGACTTGAGAGAAACATCCAATCATTCAAGCGCAAATTCAATCGAAGAATAAGAATACACAGAAGAGCATAGGAACTCTAGACTACCAGGAGCGCATGCAGCCCCCATACGCATGAAGGACTAACAAGCATTGAATCGATCCTGACCACACCCAGAACATACTACATCCTCCACCCCCGCTCGTCCCCTTCAAAAATCGCTGCCTGTGGCGGCTGGTCCTTCCGCCAAACTTTGTACGGCGGGAACAACGCGCCCTCCTCCCTCCGCATGCCTGCCAAGCGCGACCCCAGCACCGACCGGGCATCAATTCGGGCAATTTTCACCTCGCCCTCATTCGCACGCCAAGGGTTGGGGACGATGATGATGCGGCACTGCGAAGCGCGTGCAGCCGAGGGTAACGAAGAGACAGCCGGGTTCGAGAGGCTGGAGATGGGAGCGACCTTGTCGGGGGTGGCGTTGTATGAGAGGTGTGGATATATTAGGAGTGGTAGGGAGGACGTGGTCAAGTGTCCTAATGGAGAGGGGATTAGGGTTGTGCATATGGTAAAGGATTTGTAGGCGGGGGGGGGGCCGTGAGGATAGATGGGATTGGGGGTGGGGTGGGAACGAAACAGAATATGGGCATGGCTGAGGAGAGGGATTGATGGAAGACTAGGAGCAAGACGAACTGATGAATCGCGATCGCTGTTAGATCGAGGCGATATGAGAGATAGTTCTTGTAGATGCATAGAACAAACCTTAGACCATTGTACATGGCTGTTACTTTATGGGAGACCACTTCTGAATGAGGAGCCAGCCGATGATGTGCAGTCGTACCCGACGCCAAACGAACGCAGGAAAGGAAACAGTCTGTGCTCCGTCGGCAAGCTTGTTCTTATCTCGATATGCTGATGAAACCGAGGTGGGTATCGAAAATGATGCGACGCTGATGCCCCTCCCAAATGAAAAGAAACTTTTGAGATCTGACAATGCAATCTCAGGCCTTTGTACATCCGATGCGATTCTGGGCAATCCGGTCTGTTGACACACTTTTGTATATCCTGATGGCCTCAGAAGAAAATAAATGGCGATATGTAACTTTGGAAAAAGACAAACGCATGTTGAGGCGGGCTTATTGGGTGTGGCAGCGCATGCGTGTCAACGACGCGGTCGCATCGTCAAATGACGGCAGATGCTCTAAGCCGCGGCCGCGGAAGATGAAGGCTGATAGTTGGTGGTGCTGAGTTGCAAAGCTAACGCCTCCGGCTTGACAGCTGTGCGCCGGATGCTGGCAGGAGTACGCTTCCGCGGAACGGCGATGTCGAAGTCGAATGGTGGACGTCGAAGCGGCATGGATGGCCTCGGCGGAGCTACAGGACTGACGAGGTCTTGCAGAGTCAAATTCTGCTCGAGAGCTTGCTCCTGCTCCTGACGCAACTCTTCGAGAACATCGTCTGAGACTGGCTTAGGGTCATGGTACTCGTAAGTCTGAGTGCCTTTTTTGCCGGGTAAGCCGGGAGCTCTGTATACCGCAACGCCCGTGGTTTCGTCGTACGACTCACATGTACTGACGAGACGCTTACCGCCACCGCCCGGAAGATCGATAACGAAAGATGGCATCATGAATCCAGAGAGCGTGCCGCGTAGTTCCTTATCAAGGTCCAGGATCGTTCGCAGGGGTGTGCGCAAGTCTTCGATGCCACGTACCATATCGCACTGGTAGATGTAATACTGTAATTTGTCAATACAGTGCTATGAGAAAGCTCATGGGGTACTGAAGGTGATTGAGTGACATAGAGGGAAGAAAGAAGCACTTACAGGCTGAATGTTCATGCTGGCAAGCGCCTCGATCAGGTTAGAAAGGGCCTCCTTGGTGTCGTTGACGTCCTTCAGCAGCACCGACTGGTTGCGTACAATCACACCATGCTTGAACAGACGATTGGCAGCTTCACGTGTGACCCACGTGATTTCGTTGACATGGTTGATGTGCGTGTGCAGGCACACTTGTTTGGCCATGTCTCGGCCTTTGTTCGAAAGTTCAATGAGAACGTTGGTCCATGGATCAGTTTCGTCAGCAATGCGACACGGAGCCACAGCCAAGCCTTTCGAGGCGAAACGAATACGCTGAATATGAGGGATGCTGAGTAGCCTAATAAAGGTCAGACGCTGATCACAAGTGGAGTGATATTCACCAACCGTTCGCCTATCTCTCGAAGATCTTCAGGTTGCAGGTAGTAGGCGTCACCGCCAGAGACGACGATGTCATGAAGGCTTGGATCATTCTCGATGTGTTGGAAAACGACCTCCCACCGCCGCCGACTAGGCTTCTGTGGTGACTTCGAAACGGTCTCTGTGTTGGCTCCCACAGCGTAGGAGCGAGTACAAAATCGGCAGTACACTGGGCAGATCGATGTTGCTATGAAGGTTAGAAGCCTGTTCAAAAGACGAAGCATCCCCAGGTAGAATGGTAGGACGTGGACTTTGGAAGAACTCACCAAGAAATAAAGCCCTTCCAGGGTAGCGGTGGACTAGGCCAGGTACAGCTGTCTGAAATCAGAATCGGTAAAGAAGAAGCACTAAATGATCGTACGTGAGTCGTCCTGCTCGTTGAGTGAGTCGAGCGTCAACTTCTGGTGATCCGGAACAATCCCACTTGCCAATGGGAGAAACTGTCGACGAATCGGATCATCTAGCGGGTTTTCCCAGTCGATAACTGATAGGAGATGCGGGGTCAATCTGATCGCCATTGGCGCCAACTTTAGCGCAGCAGTCGCGTCTTCGATGAACTGCTCCCTTGTCCTTATTTTGCTGAGCAGACGGTTTTTCGAGGTACCAAGTACCGGCGGAAGAACATCCGACAAGAAACGATGTAGTCTTCGCGTGTCGGGTACGGTATTTGCAAGCTACACAAGAGTCAACATATGGCTTCTCCATGACCGTTCAAAGGAGATGAACGCACCTGCCATCGATAGGACTTGAAGTCCTCTGCCGTAACGTCTTTCCAGGGCTCGATTTTCTGCCAATACGGCTCTTTCTCGGTAGATGTCGATAAAGACCTGTATTGTGTAGTCAAGTGTGGGAGAACTAGGGAGTTTGGACGCAATGCCAGACATTGTGCTCTGATAGTTGAGAGGAACATAGTGACTGCAATTCAGGCGATCATCAAACGTCAAACTCAATTCGAGGACGGAGAAGTAAGGGTGTTGGTTCCTTGTGCAGTGGGCAAGCCAGCATATATGTTGCAAATTCGAATAAAGCGGAGTAGAGAGTTTTGAGCTCCCGTCTAGAGCCTGTTGTGGCACAATAGACGCGACCCACCATGGTGCCTTAGTAGGTAGTGAAAGAGTCGAGTCGGTTGTCGGACCCGGCGGATATGAAGGGGCTTACTTTTCGCGAAACATCGCACATGTATTTGGCTCGCGGTGCTGGACAAAAAACCGAGGTCAAATTTCTCTGAGCCTACCTATACCCGATTCTGACTGGCAATGGACAAGGACTAGCGTCATAGGACATGATGCTAAAGATCTAGAGATGTGTTGAGAGCAATTGCCAGTGAACCCGCGGAGCAAGGAATGACAACGTAGTACCTGCTCTTGTCGAACGACAACAAAGCTAGCTATTTTTAAGGTTATCTCCGACGGGAGCGACGCCGGCAGCTCTCCGGACGATTGGATCAGACTGATTCGGTGTGTCGTTGCCCTCGTAGCGAGCTCATAGTGACAGACCAAAGCAGAAGCCCTGCCTCGGCCTCGTACGGAAGGAACATTGTGACAGACGATACTGTCGCCGTCGTCGATGCTGCGTATCTGCGAATGTCAATGCATGGGTAAAAGCCCGCCGATGCTGTTTCGACGCTTCAACCCAGGCCCATGGTTAGTGGAGTCCCGGTAAACTGTGGTTTCCCATGCACCGCAGGGGGCGGTCATTGGGCCATGTGTTTATGTGGTACAATATAGTCCGTTCCGGAAACGATAGGCGCCGTTGCAAGGTTGCGGGAAAAGCAAAAGTTGCATAAGTGGAAACCTTGAGCATCCGGGACATGCGGTGAAGCCGCTGATCTGGAAAAAGTACAGGTAGATTGGATTCTCGCGTACTATTAGTTTAAGGACGCCAATGGCCGAGCGGGAGCGGCGGCTGCGGATCATTGCAGACAGTGTGTGACCAAGCCGATGCAACACGAATCGAGAAAGAGAGTGACAGAGGGCCGATTCCCAAGTCGTGTCAGTTACGCAGACGTGAAGTCGAGGCAAGCGCGATGCAAAGTGGGTCCAAACTAGCTTCTCGATTGGGTGCTGATCCACAGGTCCCTTCCGCGCTAGCTGTCGCCGTTTCCCTGATGACATCGCTTGGCCCCGCCAGCTCACAGCTCACCTCCAAACAAACAGTTCCACCTTGACCATTCTTCGTCGCCCGACCGCCGCAGCACAGCCTGCGCCACAAAACCACGCAAAAATGACCGACTTCCCCGCTGCTTCATCAGCCCCTGCCGACGAGTCGCCCGCACAGCAGAAGGCGCGTCTTCGCAGAGAGCGCCTTGCTGCGAAAAGCGGTGCGTCTCGCCTGCAACAGATCTCGGCACTGCAAGGTGGCCCTCCGAAAGATCTAAGTGAAATCCAGAAGGATCTACCCGGTATGTACGGCCTACTGATCCAGCCAATCTCTGTTGGCGCGTATATGCGCGCCTGCATTGCCGCCTTTGTGACATGCACAACTTTGATAGTACGTGCACAACGGCTTACTGCTTCCTAGTCCAACCTTCCCCGGCCCCAACGCCTCGAGCATTGTCTGGAACAGCAACGCCAGACCCAGATGAGATAGATATCTCGCAGCATCACTACACGCCCGCATCTCAACCACGCCTGCCTTCCCCTTTTGCTTTCGATGGCAACGCCACGGGTGCTTTCCCGCCGTCCCCCTCGGGGCAAGGCGATCCGTCTCAGGACCCCATGATGGCCATGCTTCAGCAAATGATGGGCTCTGGGGCAGGTGGGATGCCAGGCGCTCAAGGACAGCCAGGCGGCCCAGGTGATCTACCTCCGGGTTTGGCCAACATGTTCTCGGCCATGGGTGGTGGTGCTACTGCACCAGAACCCTCACCAGAGCAATCCTCAGCCTGGATCTGGCGTCTTTTACACTCTCTGTTCTCGCTGAGCCTTGCCATCTACATTGTCCTGCAGACACCCTTTACTGGATCGAAGCTGTCCCGTAATACTGCGCTGTCTACCATCGACGAAGACTGGGCCGTCGAAAGCAGGCCCAGGCAAGATTTTGCGCTTTTTTTTTATTTATTTGCTACTTTCGAGGTCATCATGCAGTCGACACGTTATTTCATCGAGAAGGGTCAATTGCAAGGAAGTGGAATCCTGAGCACCGTGGCAGGTTTCCTTCCACCCCCATATGGCGGCTATATCAGAACCATTGGCCGTTATGGCGTTATTTACACCACAATTGTCAGCGACGCCATGGTCGTTGTTTTTGTTCTGGGCGCCACCGTCTGGTGGAGAGGCGCTGGTGTTGCATGATTATGCACCTCTCGCATCCAAGATAGGTATCATGGTAGACTAATGGAACAACGTCAGCCAGTCACACGACTTCATACATGCAGCTTGAACAGGGAATTTCAGGGCACCATTCTACTTTCTAGCAGCTGCTGTTGTACCCACGACCCAGACACCTGGTTTTACTTCACTGCAGTTTCTCCCAAGACAGCACGTGAGCGTCAATTGTTTCACACCAGCGACATACTCCACTTCACGTTTGCATTGGCTTGGAAAAGTTTCCGGGCATGCACAGCATAGCGTACAAGACGACTAACAGAATATTATCCTCCACAGTCAAGCACCTGCTACGACTGCCATCTGTGCCGGGACCTTGCGTTACCACCAAAGCTACGATATTTCGACCATCAGTCTTAGCGATATGCACGCCACACGGCGACTTGCATGGCCTGTCCTGCATTGCAGTCACACATGGCGAACGACATAAAGGCGGCCATTGTTAGATAATCATTATGTAATGACGGACTGATCTCGAGTATTGCAATGTACAAATGCGATGAACCCGGCGCAAGTGTCCTATGCAACAAATATGTACTCGCATGTCACTTTGATGTGACTTCATGCGGCGCTGTTGCAAGGCAACATCACAGCCTAGAGATCCCATAGGTTTCTCCTCTCTCTTAACAACCTTGTCATTGATTTCACAATTTCCGTTGTTGTCGACACCCGTTTTGCGGTAAGCTCACTAAACTCGGGCGTGTCAACATGAACGTGCTTGTAACGGTGCCTGCAGCTGGGCGCGTAACGGAAAAACCACACCCGTCGTTCCTGCACATCGAAAATCTACCTCGTATTCAACGGTCGCGCGCAGTTGCACAGCCTTTACACCATACGAGCCACCGCACAGTCGCGCACTTCTGATCGACTAGTCCCGAGACCTGTAACGGATATTTAGTCCAAGCAAATCATGCGTTGCACCAAGGTACAGGCGCCGTATGTATGCGCCGTTGCTGTTGTGTCATGGCTAAATGCGTACCGGTACAGTCGTGCTATGGTGCTCCGCTGACTAGTGTGCGGCACTCGCGCAAAGAGGTGCTACACCATTGCGTAAACATCTCTGGTATCCTGCGATTGAGCAAATAGGATAAGTGCTGGACCTGGCGCTGGACCTGGCGCTGAACTCCGTCGGAGGCTTCTTCGCTCATGTCGACAAGCATACGATCTTGACCGCCGTTCCGGATTCAACTGTGCATGTCGCTTGTCTGGCTTTCTTTTGAGCATGTGATTCGCAATAATAGCGACTGCAATTGCGCGGCTCCCGTTGTGTGTTCACATCCATCTGGCCGTATGCGCAAGATCATTTCTCGTAACCTGCCTGTTGGGCGTGCAATGCAGCTTGATTCATCATGGGTTGATGCTCATCAGCTTGACAAACGAGTCCGGAACCGTCGACTACGACCTCTTCATCTCCGTGTTGGGATCAATACTGATCTGAAAAGTACAGTCCAACACGTCCAGTTCGAATCTATGACACCTTCCCTTCCAAAGTCTACATGGTCCTGGGGAGGTAAGGCCCCTGAGGATCTTGGCATTCTATGGGCTCTGCACTCGTGTTGGAGGCTTACGCATTCACCGAGATCGAGATTAGATAACGTACTCGAAGACGAGACGAGCGGACAGGATGAAGTCTCCAGGCGTTGTTGATGGTGTCGTAGCTCAAACTCGCGGCGGGCTGCTCCCTCCTAGGTGTCTCCTCGACCGGCTTGCCTGCCCTTGCCATGCCGTCGTACCCTGAAAGACGGTGAAGGTCGATCAGACGTTGCTGTCTCTGCGACGGCGAATCGAAGTGGACGGGACGAGGCTGGTGTGGGTTGAGAATAACAGATGCAGCCCCAGACCGGCCCAAGCTTGAGCAATTTCGCGGCTTCTGGGCCCGCTAGCCACGAACGCGTGTTGTCGATCGCATTGTGGCCGACGTTTCCGTCTCCTTCTCTGTACTGCCTCCATAATTCAAGTCTGTCAGGCTTTCACCGTGGTGCATCAATTCCATCCAATTGCTTCGTTGCAGATTGTTGCTTCTTTCATCGCTCCTTCGGCGCCCCGCCCCGCAAACGTCATCTTCTTGGACCCTGAACCACAGGCAGCGACGCACGCATCAATAAGTTTCCCTGCTTCATCGCGCAACCCTCTGCCACGACACCCACAAGCACAATGCGTTTCTCGACAACAGCTGTCCTTGCCCTGCCGGCGCTCGCGCTCGCTGAGCAGCAGATTCCCCTCTTCGACAAGCTGAAGGGTTACCTCAACCAGGCGACGGCGTCTGTGGCCGCTGTGATCCCCTCGGCGCCATCAGTGCCCTCTGCGCCCGTCGAGGCGGCAGCAGCCAAGGCCGCCGCGGCAGTCCAGTACCCTCTGACGCTCGAGAACTGGAAGGAGGTTCTGACGGTGGACCCCACTGTCAGCGCGCCGGCGACACAGGAGTGGCTTATTTTTGTCACTGGCGGCAACAGCACATGTTACGGTTTCTGCGGGCCTGCTGAGAAGGCATGGAACGTATGTACTCATTGCACGCCTAATCATACGTATGCTAACGCTAGCAGGCATCTACCGCTATCGTTGCCGCCGCGCCCTCGTCGCCCAAGCTCGGCTACCTCGACTGCGAGAAGGAGAACATCCTCTGCAACTCGTGGTCTATTGGCGCGCCCTCTCTGATCAAGTTCCGCATCCCCAAGCCGCTGGCTGACCAGTCTGCGCCCGTTCCCGAGTACCGCTACAAGCCCCTGAACCGCACCTCGACCACGACCGAGACGTTCAAGGAGCTTGTCCTTGAGAACAAGATTGACGAGATTGCTCCCTACGAGGGTCCTTTCCACCCCTTCAACGGCATCCTCCAGCAGTACAACCTTGCCATTCCTTTCGGATACGTCACCTGGGGCTTCTCCAAGATGCCCTCCTGGCTGCCCATGATCCTCATCTCGTTCTTCAGCAGGACCTTCATGTAAGGAATTCGCTTCCGCAGCAGCTTTAAAGCAGTACTAACGCATGACCAGGAGCAAGCGCATGAACCCGGGAGCCCCTGCCCAGGGTGCTGCTGCACCAGCGGCCGCTCGCTAAGCTCTGGTGCCTCTGCAGACACAGCAGCAGTACGAAACCAATACTGCCACTACTGTACATGGACACGACTTGGATTGTTAGGAATCTCAGTTTTTGCGTCTGCATTAGCTTCGGCTTCTTCGAAAAGACGTGCCAAGGATGAACAACGCGGGGACGATGGCGTTTCACGTAGCTAGGATAATGTGAATCTGAACGACCGAGCACTTTGCCTGTGAATTGAATTTCGAGATGGTATTGAATTGACGTTGATGTCTGAGCGTTGATGTGCATTGGCGCTAGTCGCGAAATCTTCGGCAATGCGGAGATAGATGAGTGACCAGCGCGGACATTTCTCGACGCCGTGTCGGCGAGCCCAGGGCCACACAGCACGAAATGGTCAACATAGTAGCGCGCGCGCGGAAACTGCAAGAGGTACGGTGGTCGTCTGTGCAAACCAACATAGTCCTCGATTGATCGCTACTGACGCCCACCCCAGAAGGTATGAGATGCTTTGCGCCTCCAGAGCCCTCCACGCTTCCCTCTGACTCGGACGGATGGCCTTTGGCAACGGCAACGAACCGGTTTCGCTGGACACAGACGCTGACGTGGGGATATAGCTGCTGTGGATACGATGCGGGCCCGGTGCGTTGGTGCTGCCCAAGGAGGTGGAGAGGATTAGCATGGAGTTCAACACCAAGCTCTACGGCGGACATCGAGGCGCGAGGTACGCACACTCCCCTTGCACCGCCCACTGGAGCCGCTCCAGCAGCCAAGAGGCGGAACGCACACGGCAGCAGCCTTGGTGGCAGACTAACACACCACCAGGAAGTTCTGGCGCGAAATGCTGCCGCGCATCAAATACCGCAATCCCTCGGTCCGCGTCCAGATCAGCCGCCACACCTCGCCCGACGGCCCTGCGCTGCTGCACATCCACACGCGCGCCGCGACCACGGCCGAAAACTCTGCCCCGTCCGTCGCCAGTCCGCCCGCGCAGAGCAGCCCCGCCGCCTCGCCGCCCCCCAGCACCCCCGACGCCACGGCCCCGTCCCACACCATCAACATCCGCGACCAGGCGCCCAGCGAGATCCTCGACGCCCTGCTCGCCGCCCTGCCCGAGAGCCGTGTGCTGCGCCCCACGCCCGAGGAGGAGCAGCTGATGGCCGACACGGCCGCGTTCAAGGAGCGCTGCGAGGTGGATCGCGCGCTGGTAAAGGAGAAGCTGCTCGCGGAGCGGCGCGAGGCCGAGCTGCTCCGGCTGGCGAGGGGCGAGGCTGTGGCGCAGTGAGCTGGCGTAGCATGTACGAGTAGAAATGGCATGTAACTAGGCGTTTTGCTGCTCGAGGGAGAGCATGCGAGATTGTATCATACGTGTAGCGAACTCATTCTCACTTCTGCGCGCACTTGTGCATTGACTCGATGCTGGTCATTCCGTCTCGCTACAGGCACACTTCAAAACCCCCGTCTCGATATTCCCAACTCCCACCCCCGGCGCCCGCTAGATACTAACAAAGAAGCTCTTCTCCCCCTCACGCGGCTCAACCCACGCGCGCTTCAGAATCGGATCGGCGCACGACACGCGGATGCGCTCCGGCGTTGCGGGGCTGACGAGGTGCAGCACCGACTCCTCGCCGAATTCTCTGCGCGCGGCCTTGAGCGCGTCGCGGATCGCGAAGAAAACCGCGCTGCCCATGAAGAGGGGTGGTTCGCCTGGGGGTTGTTAGTGAAAAGGCTTAGTCAGCAGGTCAACGGCTCGATGGCTCGACGACTCGCTACGCTCGCTGCGCGGAAAGGAGAAAGAAGGCAAGACTCACCAACACCCCTAGACCGCTGAATAGTCCTCAGATTCTCCCACTGCACGTCCTTGAGCAGACTAACATTGAAGACCTGCGGAATATCCCTGAACCCAGGGATTTTATAGTTCCCCGGCCCGCGCGTAGCAATCTGGCCCGAGGCACGAACCCACAAGCTCTCCTCGGTCGTAAACAGGCCCTGGCCCTGCACAAACGCGCCCTCGATCTGCCCGTAGTCGATGGCCGGGTTGATGGAGCGGCCGACGTCCATTTTGATATCGGCGCGCCGCGAGGTCCAGTCACCTGTTAAAGTGTCGATTTCCACCTCGGCGGCCGCCACGCCCTGCGTGAAGTAGAAGAACATTTGTCCTGTGTTGGCGCCCCAGACGTAGCCGATGTCCGGCGTCTTGTAGAATCCTTGCGCTGAGAGGTTGCACCGGTCGAAGTAGGCCCTGTGCGCGAGCTCCTTCATGGTCGCGCTGGGCCCGAGTTTGGCGCGGTACGGCCGCAGGCGCTCGTTGAGCTGCTCGCAGGCGTTGAAGATGGCGTAGCCGTTCAGATCGCTCGAGGCGGATGCCGCAGTTGACGACGCGTTGGCGACCGTGTTGGTTGCCGTGTCGCTGATGAAGACGCTTTCGAGCGGCACCTGCAGCGCTTCGGCTGCGATCTGCGTCATCTTCGTGTGCAGTCCCTGGCCCATTTCCGTGCCGCCGTGGGCGACGAGGATGGAGCCGTCGTGGTAGATGTGCACGAGCGCGCCGGCTTGGTTGAGGAAGAGAGCGGTGAAGGAGATGCCGAATTTGGTCGGGATGATGGCGAGACCGCGCTTGTTCCACTTGTGTGTCTTGTTGAACTCTTCGATCTCGGCGCGGCGCCGAGCGTATTCAGACTCTTCTTGCACTTGCTTGTACATGAGGGGCACGTACCAGTCCTTGATCTCTTGGTTGAAGTGCGTGATCATGTTGGACTCGGGTGAGTACATGTTGATCTGGCGCAGCTCCTCGGCGGGCATGTTGAGGTGGTCGGCAATCTCCTCCATGAAGGTTTCGCAGATGAACATACCCTGAGGTCCACCGAAGCCGCGGAAGGCAGTGTTGGAGACCGTGTTTGTCTTTGCGACCCTTCCACGGACGTGGACGTTGGGGATGGAATAGCAGCCATCGATGTGGGAGAGTGCACGCTCAACCACAGCACCGGACAGATCCTGACTCCAACCGCCATTGTTGAAGACATCCGCATCAAGCGCCTGCAGCTTGCCGTCCTTGTTTACCGCAACCTTCCAGCGGGCAAGGAAGGGGTGGCGTTGTCCAGATGTCAAGATGTCTTCATCTCGGTTGAGCATGCAGCGAACTGGTCTCCTGACCTTGTTCGCCGCAACCGCGACAATACCAGCGATCTGAACCGACCGCGTTTCCTTGCCACCGAACCCACCGCCCATGCGCTTGACGCGAGCGTTGACCTTGTTGGCAGATACACCGAGCACCTTTGCCACGTAGGCCTGTGTCTCCGCCGGATTCTGAGTGCTGCTGAAGATCTCCATCTCGCCAAACTCAGGCTTCGGGACCGCCACACACGCCTGCGTCTCGAGGTAGAAGTGCTCCTGGCCGCCCATGCGCGCTGTGCCAGTGAAGACGTGATCCGCCTCTTCAAAGGCCTTCTCCACGTCTCCCTTCTTGATGTGACGGAAGTGCTGGAAGAAGCTCTCTTGCTGAATAGCTTCCTCGATGGTGAAGATGGCCGGCAGCTCCTCGTACTCGATCTTGACGGCTCGGGCCGCCTGCTCCGCGTGCTTCGCTGTGTCCGCGAGGATCATACCGATCGGCTGGCCTGCGGTGAAGACCTCGTCCACTGCGAAGAAGGTCTCATCGCACATTGGTGCGCCCCACCAGTTTGACTCGGGAGTCGCGAGATCCTTGTGGTCCACGTAAGCAGCAACGCCTGGGAACTCAAGAGCCGCTTCCGCATCGACGCTCAGTAGCTTGGCGTGTGGTTTCGTTGACAGGACCAGACAGCCGTACAGCTCGTTGCGCTGCAGCGGGATATCGTCAGTGTACTGGGCCTCTCCGGTGGTCTGCTGCAGAGCAGCGGCGTGGTTCTTTGATTGTCCAACTTCGCTCTGCTTGTATGCCTCGGCAGCTTTGCCGTCTTTCCAGCCTGAACTGATGTCTCGCTCGATCTCGCCGATCGCCTGGGTATCAACCTCGGCCTCGTTCGCATCCAGACCAGCGAGCACTTCGTGGTAGAACTTGTAGAAGAAACCCAGGGCGAGAGTCTTCCTGTAGGTCGCCATGCCGCCAGGCACGCCAAATCGCAGGTCGAAGTCCTCCTCGAGCTTGGCCATGACGCCTTCCAGGGTTTGAAGGTCGGTAAATTTCCTCCCTTGGAGGAACTCTGTTGCCTTCTTCGCGACGATTGTAGTTGGAGCCATACCGCCGTAGACGAGACTGACGTCCTTGACAGTGTCTTCGTCGTCTAGCTTCACCCGCAGCGCAGCATTGACGATGGCGATGTCGTCATCCTTTCGTTTCGACTGCTTGTACGCGCGGATGTACTCGCCCTTCTCCTGTGCCACGGGGATCCTGAGGCCGGCGATGATAGCGTCCGGGGGCAGAGCAGTCTGCCTGTACCCCTTGAAGAACGTCGACATGGGGATCTCCGTCGTCTCCTTCAGACTCTTAGCTACCAGTGTCGCGTTGGTCGCAACAAAGACTGGATTCAGATCCGAGATGGGACTGGCCGTTGCGAGGTTACCAGCAGGCGTGCCCACATTCCTGATCTGCCGTCCAGCGAAGTAGCGAATTTGCTTCAGGATAGTAGCAAACGGCTGTCCCCTCTCTTTGCCGTAGTGCTCGACAGCATCTTCGCATATCCGCTCGAGGTCCGTCAGCACCACATTTCCGCCAATCTCAAGGTGGTCGTCGTTGAAGCTGAACTGGCGCAACTCGGGAATATCGCCAACGAACACCGAGGCACTGTAGTTCATGCCCTTGAACTTGATCTCGATCTGTGTCTCTGTGGATCCACCGATGAGCTTGGCCGAAGGGTGTGCGTTCTTGATCTCCAGCAGCTGCTGTAATGTTGTGGGTCTGTACCATCTCTTCCTCTTGTTGCCGAATGCTAGTGGCCTGAATTCGTGCCTGTGAAGCTGTGGCGGGAAGATCAGCTCGGTGTCGGGCTTGTACTCGATGAAGCCGGGAGGAGTGAAACGCTTGATAGGCTGGTCGTCGCCGTCGCTCTTGCAACACCCCCCACCGTTGGCCCCGCCAGCGCCATTCTTCTCCATGCAGCATCCGCCTCCACCATTGGCCTTTGCCTTGCCACACCCCGTCTTGACACTGAAGCTTTGCGCGGCGTCCAATATCGGCCTGTATCCCGTACATCTGCACAAGTTGCCGTCAAAGGCTTCCTCGACATCGTGCTCGGTGGGTGCGTCGGTGTTGCGGAGGAGAGCGTACAAGCTCATGACGATTCCTGGGGTGCAGAAACCGCACTGGCTGCCATTGCCCTTTGCTATCCGCTCTTGTGCTGGGTGGGGTCTCTTCACGTTGCCTATCCCCTCGACTGTGATGACGTGCTTGCCATCGACGCTGACCAGCGGTGCCAGACATGCGTTCACGGAGGCGTGGTAGATCTTCTTCGTTGTAGGGTTGAGCTGTGAGACGACCTGAAGAAGACGTTAGCGACTGATCTCGGCCTGGTTTCGAAGAGCTTCGCCATAGCATACCACAGTACAAGCACCACACCCTCCCTCGGCACATCCCAGCTTCGTACCCGTGAGTCCAATTCCTCTCAGATACTCTAGCACTGTGACTTCTGGATCCGCGTTGTCCAGTGTTACCTTGGTGCCGTTCAAGTAGAACCTCAGCGTGTCATCGAAGCTCTGTGTAACCTCGGTGAGCCTGCGCAACGACTCCTCTGGCGCTGCTGGCCGCGATTCTGTCTCGATGAGTCCCGGCGCCATGTTTGCCACACTTACAATATATACAGGGCTATACACAGTGAGGACAGTGAAGAGGGAACAACAAAGACGAGTACCAAGCAAAGACGAGTGTCAAAGCAAAGACGAGTATCAAGCAAAGACGAGTGTCAAAGCAAAGACGAGTGTCAAAGCAAAGACGAGTGTCAAAGCAAAGACGAGTGTCAAAGCAAAGACGAGTATCAAAGCAAAAGCTCGACAGCTGAGTGACGGCAAAAGTCAGCATTGATGTCTAGACTACCCAAGTAGACACAGCTCCAAGGTGTGTGGAGAACGCCGCGGTCCAACCCCAAAGCGCGCTCCGCCGCGGTTCGCTGGACCCTGCTAGACGGATCTCTTAGTCTTGCGAAAGAGAGCAGCGAATGAGAAGGACTGGAATTGATCGCTATCATGGTGCCAGGCCGCGGCGCGTTCGAAATCGCCGCTGCTCGCGTGCAGGAGCTCGCCGATTACCGCTAGCGTTGGTGGAAGGAGGGGCAAGGTCCCGCCTGCTCTTTGCGGTTGGCAGCGTGGCTGACCCCACGTGAGCGGTGAGGGCGGGCAGATGAGATGGACTGGAGACCAGCGGTGCTGTTTGTACATGGCAGCAGAGCCGTGTGGGAAGTGTTTGTGGACGAGGACTCGTCGATATGCATATCCTCCGCGTCTTCGTCCGTCCAAGCTTATCTGTGAGCGACTCAAGCTCACGGGTATCATGTCAACTTGCACGCCAAAGACACCATGGCCCAAGGTCAGGTCTGAGGTACAGCTATGCCTTCCCTTTCCCTTTGCCGCCTCCAAACGGCCGTCCGCGCTTCTTGCCCGTTGCGACGGGCTGCTGCTGCTCTCCCCTGCCCTCTGCAGCCCTCAGCCGATCCAGCTCCTGGCGCAGAACATCCTCGAGGGCTTCGTTGCGCCGGGTGAGCAGCATGACGTCATCATTGCTGATGGCTTTGCGGCCGGCATGGCGGGAGAAGGTCTCGAGGTCGCGGGATGTGTTTGCTGTGACTTGTCAGGCGGATGGTGCGCAGGCTGTCCAGTTGCACGTCTCGACGGCTACTGGGCTGTGGGCTTTGAGAAAGGCGACTGCGTACCGATCTGGGTGTATACAAGCTCGGTCAAGGCGCCAATAAATTGCGGTGTTGCGTTCAGATCGTCTGCGAGGAGAGCATCGTCGACGAATTGGCCAATGGAGTACCAGAGGGCCGACTTGAGGCGCTGTGGAGGACCGAGTCAGCCTGGACCGCAGCACTTTCGCAGGCAGTGACTTGCCTCTTCTCGCTCCGCGGCCTCGCCGTCAACGGAAGCCATGCTGCTGTGCGGTCGCCGTCCAGGAGGACGCAAAGGAAGATGGGGCAATGACGCGACGCGTCGTGGGCAGCCAATGGCGGAGGAGAGCGGAGGGCTGCCACGATCCACCATCGATCTCACCCATGGATTGCCCGCCGGGCTTCTGCCGAACGAGTTATTTACCAGCAGTAGTGGGACTGCGCTTTGCTCTCCACCGCCGGACTCCCCTGCTTCGTGTCGTCCGCATACAAACAGCAAGCGTGCGCCGTGACATCACACGCATCCTCCCGCCAATCGAGCCCGCCCTTCACACCCAACTACTCCTCCACCCATCCACGACCACCGTCCCGTCCGCACGACTGGCAGCCATGGCCGAAGAAATCTCGTTCAACGCGCTCGTCGCCAACCTCTTCGAGTGGAAGGACCGCCTGGTCAACAACTCGGTCAAGTCGTGGGAGGAAATGACGGCGCAGCGATGGGTTCGCATCGTCGTCATCGTCGGCGCATATCTGCTCGCCCGCCCGTACCTGCTCGCGCACGCCGAGCGCAGCCGCAAGAAGCGCGCGGAAAAGGAGGCCGCCGACCTGGGCCTCGATGCTGGCACCACCGCCAACGACTTCCGCGGCGGGAAAAAGACAAAGGGCGACGAGGGCCTGGTGCAGCGATCGACGCTGCGCTGAGGGGGCGGCCGACGGGCATTGCATTCCGCGGCGTTCCTGGCTTTGCTACAAGCTTTGCGAAGCTTTTGGGGGTGCACAAATATCTAATGGAATGCGACAAGGGAGCTGTGAGGCTCGAACTGCAGCATTTGCACGCGCACTGCGCCATCCATTCTTCACTGCAGCCCGTTGTTGACAGACTTACCGAGACCTGACCAGATCCACGCGACAACCAGGAATTTGACGCGCAACTGGCCCAGCTGCCACCGCCATCCCTTGCTTGTGACCATATATCCATCATGACAGCTCTGCTTCTCCAGCACGCCCTCTGCTCCTCCAGCACGCCCTCTGCTCCTCCAGCGCATCCTCGCACTCCACTGTATGCTGGCCATACTCACCATGGCTCCCCTTTCCATCATCGCTGCGCTGAGCGCCGTCCCCCTTGCGCTCGCACACATGCAAATGTCAGACCCATCGCCCATTAACGACCCCCACCAAAGCCCCCAGCGTCCGGGCGAGAGCTTGGACTACAACTATCTCAATCCACTGAACGCAGACGGCAGCAACTTTGCCTGCAAAGGCTATCACCTCAACACGCCCCTGAACACGGTTGCAACCTACGCAGCCGGCAGCAAACAGACCTTGAGGCTGCGAGGGAGCGCAACGCACGGCGGAGGTAGTTGCCAAATCAGCCTCAGCTGTAATGGCGGGAACGACTTCCACGTCATGAAAAGCATCATGGGCGGCTGTCCCATGAGCGACAGCTACGACTATATAGTGCCCCGCGACATACCGCCGGCGAAGAAGTGTTTGCTAGCTTGGACATGGTAAGCACTCCCGATCTTCTCCGTCCCGCAGGAGAAAGACAGCCGCTGATAGTATGTAGGTTCAACAGGATCGGCAATAGAGAGATGTACATGAACTGCGCCGTCGTCGACATCACTAACAAGAGATGGGGCAAGCGTGACACCCAGACCTCTGCTGCACAGGCTCTCGCTAGATATCCCGAGCTGTTTGTTGCGAATCTGGCGAACATCAATAGCTGCAAGGTCCAGGAGACTACTGATGTTATATTCGACAACCCGGGCAAGCAGGTTGCGTTCGGCAACGGCGAAAGCGCTTCCATGAAACCCAGCTTCGGCAAGGGACAGTGCACTGGTAGACGTTCCAAGAATGCTGGCAGCAAGACTCCAGCATCTAGCAACACCGGAGCCGGCGGTAGCAACAGCGGCCAGTGGCCGGCGCCCAGCAGGGGTGGCAGTAACAATGGCCAATGGACTCCGCCAAAACAAAGTACGTCGAAGCCAGACGGTTGCGAAGCCAAGATTCGTTCTGGGGGATACTACCCTGAGTGTTTGCCAGGGTACAGTGGTAACTCTCGTACAGTACCGCAACAGCAGCAGCCAGCGCAGCAGCCGCAACAGCAGCAACCAGCGCAGCAGCAGCAACAGCAGCAACCAGCGCAGCAGCAGCAACAGCAGCAACCAGCGCAGCAAAAGCAACAGCAGCAGGTCCAACAGCAGCAGGTCCAACAGCAGCAGGTCCAACAGCAGCAGGTCCAACAGCAGCAGGTCCAACAGCCAGAGCAGAACTCACCAAAACAAGGTGCGCAGCAGTCGAAAAAACCAAGTAGCTCGAATCCAGAACTTGAACACGAGCTCGAAGCATACCTAGCATCACTGCCCCCAAGTCGCCTCGCGCATAGGAACACTGTCTTAGCGGCCGAGTACTCGGAAAACCACGAGCAGAAGAAAGAATACTCAGCGCAGCCATCCGAGCACGTTCACACGGAGAACTGCAAACACAAGACCACAGGCTACCCCCCAGGCTCGCACTACCACAACACCGAGGACCTGGACCCCTACCCTGAGGATGGCATCGACTACTCGAACAGGAATGTCTACAAAACTCAAGACTCACAAGACCATGACGACCCGGACTCTGCTTACAAACGCGCAACCCGCCAAAAACGATGGTCGGCCTACGACAAGCGTCAAGCCGCGACAGGCAAGACGACCAGATACTACCGCCCGGGCGGTGACGAGAATGCCTACTATCAACAGCTGGCGCTGGCACAGGCTCAAGCACAGGCTCAAGCACAGGCTCAAGCACAGGCTCAAGCACAGGCCCAAGCGCTGGCACAGGCACAGCTCCAGGCGCAGGCTCAAGCCCAAGCCGAAGCCCAAGCCCAAGCTGCCGCGCAGACGTTGGACGATTCCTACACGCAGAAGCAAGCATCAACGGATGCCTCCACACTGACATCCACGGAGGCTTCTCCGCAGACTGCAAGTGACTCCGCGCCGCAGAGAAGCTACTGGGACATGACAGAAAGAGAAAAGTTTGATGCCTTCCTTCGGCGGATGGTTGAGCTCAGCTCCAACATGGCATCGCTGATCAAGTATGCTTCGGCGTCTAGCCTAACACCAAGCCTGCCGCACTATCCTCCTGCGTCTACTTATGACCGCACCGAAGATTCCACCGCAGCTGTAGCACGCAGATACGCACGAAGAGGGATCTTGTCTTCGACCGGTACATCTGCTCAAGTCTACCCCGGCCCCGCCATCGGAACCATCAGCGCATCCGGCGAAGCCATAGACGCCGAAGAAGGGTTCCGGGAGTGGTTCCCCAACCTCGTCCAAGGCTTGGTGACCAAGCGTCAACTCGTCGACCCCGTGACAAGCGAGGCAAGCGCCGAGTCAGGCGACGGCATCAACGTCTTCGACGCGCTGCTGGCCAGTTTCTGGAAATTGTTCGGCGACCCATTTAATCTCTACGGCGATGGCGATAATCTAAATCTCTATCCTGTGCCTGCTTCAGACGAGCCTGGTGCCGACGCAAGCGATATCCCGTTGGTGCTGGGCGAGCCGGACTTCTACAGCAACGATGACTTCCCGGACTTCGACATCGCGGATCTGCATGGCCACTACCTCCCCCCGCCAATGATACACTACGAGCCTCCTGCACCTCAGCTGCTGCCCGGATACGAGTTGGGACCTGACGGCATAGTCTGGGTCGGCGAAGGACCTGACCCCCTGGCCGGCGAGCATGAGTCTGAGCCGAGTATCGTCATCTCCATCGATCCTGTTCCCACGTCAGAAACCCCCATCTTCCCCGGCGAAACCGCTTTCCCCCTCCTCTCCTGCGTCGCGCCCATCCCGCAAATCGGCTTCAACTCGTGCTTCGGGGGCTGCAACCACTCCGCCGAAGCCATCGCCGCGCACGACGTGTATCTACAGACCCTCGCAGACCAGCAGGCCGCATACGAGGAGTGTCTGCAGAACCAGGCTCTCGTCGGCACCGCGCCGCCCGCCGGTATCTTGCACAGCCCCGACGACGCCGCCGACGCGCCCCTCGCCGAGGCAGAAGACGCGTCGCACCGCCGTCCGCGCCCGGGCATGTCGTACCCGCTCATCCCCTCCCCTCTGCCGGCAAACTCCACCGCGCCGGGCCCGGCGAACGCATCGGCTGCAGACGACAGCGCAGCGCCGTTCCCCCTCACCAACGCCACGGCCGCGACCGACTCGGCCCACGCGCCGCTGGAACTGCAGCCCTACGCCAACAAGACGCTCGGCGAGCTCGTCGACGACATCCTCAGGGATCCAGATATGCTTGGCCCCGTTCTGCTCATCGACGACGCGGCCCTCCTGGAAGAAGCCGCCGGCCTGCCAACGCCGTCGAACCCGCTGCAAGATGCTGCCGACCAGGCGGAAGACGGTGTCACCGTCCCTACCACCCCGGTGGCTGTCGATCTGAATGCCCTGGAGAGCATTGCTGATGCGCTGCCGTGGTTCTTGGGCCCTGGGCCTGTTGTCACGAATGCGGACGGCGGGCTGGAGGGGCCGCTGTAGAGGATAGGTGAGGGAGAGTGATGGTGCGAGGTATCCTTAAAAAGAGCAGTGGTATGAGGTATGACGTTATGAAGTTTGCAAACGGCGAGGAGTGAGGGGTCATGTTTGTTTTGTTTTGTTCTGGGTGGATTGGCGAGGGCTGGAACGGGTTTGTTTGTTTGTATGTGTGGGTGTGTTTGGATAGTGATATTCTGCATAGTGGCACGATGCAATGATTTCTAGTTATCTCGTTCCGCGATGCCTTACAGTGACGAGCGCGTTCGATGCTGTGCTGGCACTCTGCTGGCGCGCCCAGTCATCTCCATGAACTACAGCGCAGCGCGTTTGCTATCCCATCACTCGCCCCCCTTCACGCGCCCCTTAGCAGCTCTTCACCAGCACGCGAAGAGTCGCAGCATGAAAGCTGTATGGAATCAGCACATCTCCACCCGTCCTCACACTGGTGTCTATGGCGAGTAATAGCCACTTGACCCCAAATCCCGCCGCGCCACCGGAACAGTACAGACAGCAAGTCGCTGCGAGCATCCAGGATCTCGTGTCCGGACGCCGAGCCCGTGAACCCGTGATGAGTGGTGCCGGCACGGCACGTCTGATACTCGAGGGCGTGGTTGAGAACGTGAGGATTTACCGATTGCATAAGGAAGAGCAGGCGAGGGGAAAAGAGGATGAGCGAAAGCGGAGGGGGAGCAGATATCAGGGGAAAGACCGCTCGCGCAAAGGAAGACACGGTCATCGACCGCCGAGGCAGGAAGGAGATGGAGAAAGACTGGGCCACCGGGTGAGATATGGGGCTCCTGATGAGCGTGATGGAAATCGACGCGGACACCGTCGTCGACACTCTGGCTACGGAGAAGGACACGAGCGCAGGCGGAGACATGGCTCTCGATCACGAGAAAAACACGGTGACAGAGAAGTAGGAGATGGTCCGGTTCGCGGGGACCATGACCAGCAGCAGCGCAGCCGGTCTGAGGCAGTGAGTGAGCCGCAGTCATCGAGTGGTGACCACAGGATGTCTGGTGCTTTGCCTGTTGGAGCGAAAATTGCGAGGAAAAGCCTAGAGAAACTGCTCGGCCCAGACGGTACGCCGTTCGGCACTCTTCCTGCCAGAGGCAAGGGCATAGGTCTTCTGGCCCATGCGAGGACGATGTACCAGCACATCAAAGCCGAGCACGACGTAGGACATCGAAGCAAAGGCTTTCTTGAGAAGCACATTGATGCTGCGCTGCAAAAGCGGGAGGGTGCAAAGAGTGTCGCGAACGACACGATGGAAGGAGAAGAGCTACTGATCGAGACGAACAGCTCGAGCCGTCCTGATCGAAGTGGACATCCCGGAGGTCGAAGAAGACGTCGCAGGTCCAGGAGCCGAGGGACCAATAGGGAAGTAGGACAAGGTGGCGAACCTGTCTTCATGCCGGTTGTCGAGCGAGGAGAACCATCTGCTGCACGACAATGTAGACCAGCGCCGTCCGAGTCCGGGAGATCTTTCCAGCAGCCAGCACTGTCAGCTCAACAACCACCATCGAGACCGAATAGCTTCTACGGTGACAGGTCAGTGCGTGTCGGTTCACTAGCACCGTCTGCATCTGTTAAGGCATCGCAAATGCCTACTCCATCAATTCGAGGTGCACCCTCGGTCAGGGAGGTCGACATATGCAATGCAGGCGGTCATCGAAGTGGTAGCCGTGTTCCCACTATACGCGTTCAGTCGCCGACTCCACCAAAGCAGGCGAGCTCTGTACGACTACCTACTCCAACTGTACGTGGGATGCAGTCACGGGTCCAGTCACCAGAGCCGAGTCCTCGAGGATCTGCAACGCCAGTGTGGAATCCAGGACCTTATCAACACACCACTCCTCCTCCTGAGATGCCTACCCCACTGCCTGCGACTGTAACACCCTATCATATTGCTTCGTCAGCTGTCGACATGCCAGCGCCGATCATTCCTATTGCTCCACCACCTTCACCACCTGCTGTGCGACTTGCTGTCGACTCAAATCGAGATGCGTTTCTTGCAAGCATTCAAGTTGGTGTGAAGCTAAAGAAAGCAAGCGGAAAAGACAACAAGGGCGCAAGCGTGGCACGTAAAGACGAAGCGCACATCGAGGATGTGACTGGGCGGATACCGGTCTACGAAGAAACACCACACAGTCACGACGTAGAAGCACTCGAGCATGCTCAGGCCGTTGAAGAGAGGGAGATAATGCAGGAAGAGGAGCGAATTGCTCGGTCAAAGACACCATGCATAGCACCTCAACCCAGGCCGAAGCTACCTACGAACTTCCAGGATGATCTTACAGCGAAGCTGGGCAAGATGAAGTTAAATAATGGAAAAGATGATGGAGAAGTAGGAGCGTGACCCAGTGAGACGCTGAACATTGTCAGGCCTCGAGCCTGCAATGAGACGTAGAGGAGTGTGTGTTCAGAGCACGCAGAAGAAAAGAGGATGCCTAACCAGCAGTTCAGACAGGATCTGAAAGACCAGCTGTCAGCTAGAGGAACACTGCAGCCACCGACGACAGTATCGATAGGCTCCGAGGTGCCCGCCAGAGAGGTAACTCCGGCACCTGATGTGTTTGCAAATCCGTCCGCGGATATTGGGGAGCCGGGCTGGCAGTCTTCGCCAAACTGGAACTTTAGTAACGTGCCAAAGGACGGGTCGCGCTGAGAATATGGTGTGGATGTACATGACTAGAATCACAAAAGAAGTTGGGAATGGGTTGTGGTTGTGTGACTCGTGGCCAGCTGATGACGTCTGCTCCATCCCTCTGCCGCCAGCCCTTTTCTTGAGTCGTGTAAATCGTAAGGTTCGAACTTCTGAGCGATAGATGCAAAGTGCTGTGGTGATGCAGCATCTTGACCAAACGTTGTGACTACCTCCTCTACCACATTGTCGCCTGTCAAGCACAAATTGTAGTGCAGTTTCAAAGTTGTGTTCGCGATGTTGTCGTGGTGTTTAGGCAATTCGCTAATCGGGCAAGATCGATCGGACCCGTCACGCTAGCCGGATTCGATCATCAACATGACGTCGTCCGTCGCGCAGCGCTCAGAGCTTGACGCGTTTCTCGTTCAGCATGGCTGTCAAAGGCAATTGCATGTCTCTATACCCTCCATAGTCTGGGAACGTATATTCTCTTTCCTCCATCTTACGTCGACCTACTCTTTGATGATCCGTTTTGTACAACGGTTTGGTCCTTCCGTTGCATATCGAACAGCGCAGCGAGCGCCACTTGTCTTGCATAGCTTTCGTGCCTACCCCTATCTTAACGCCATGCCTCAAAAGCGTAAGGCTTCGACTGTGGCTGCGTCGCCTACGGCCGGTGAAGCACCTGTGGATCGTTCGAAGATGCGCCGCTCAGAAGTGCCTTTGCCGCCAAAGGCTGCAGCGAAAGGCAGACAACTGCCACGCCGACAATCATCCCGTGGGGGCGCCGCAGTCACGAATCCAGACGCTAATCCTGAGGTGTTCGACGCGCCCAATGCTCTGCGGGCTTCACCTGATCGGCACGAATGCGCCGACAGAGAGGCCCACCTGCATCAGCACGACATTGACGCCGGCAATGCAGTAATAGGCGTCAATGCGGCCTCAGCTAAGCCTTCAACCTCGCAGAATGCAACCACGGAGGTCAAGGTAGTTCCATCGAGCGGTACCGAGAACATTGACGAAGCAGGAGCCACCTCTGCAGCGCCAGCAGCCAGCAGGGCTAAGAGAAGGGGGATTGGCGCGGCGCACGTGAAGACTGAGGGTGGAGACAGCAATATTGCCCCTGCAGAGGATGCGGGTGTTACTGGCGATCCTGAAGTCGAAGGCTTAGACCGCGAAGAGGGGGGGGAGGTGGACCTCAAGGAAGCCCTAGCACGGCCGCCTCCTGTACACGCCGAATACCTTCCTCTTCCGTGGAAGGGGCGGTTAGGATATGTGCGTTCCCTGCACAACCCCACGCAATCTTACCAGACTAACATGCACGTTAGGCTTGTCTCAACACCTACCTTCGAAACGCCAGTCCTCCCGTGTTCAGCTCCAGAACGTGCCGAATCGCGAGCATCATCGAACATCGCCACCCTCTGAAGGACCCCTCTCAGCCCGAGCATGCCACTAAAAACCGCCCTGATAAGGATCAGCCGGCTGATCATGCACGAGGAAAGAAGTATGTAGAGGCGCTTTGCTTGGCCAATGTCCGAGACATCATCAAGATGGTTCGGTGGAACGACAGATATGGCATCAAGTTCATGCGATTGAGCAGCGAGATGTTTCCATTCGCCAGCCACGAGGAGTATGGCTACAAGCTTGCGCCTTTCGCTTCAGAAGCTCTCGCTGCAGCTGGCAAAGTCATTGGCGAGTTTGGCCATAGAGTCACGACTCATCCGGGCCAGTTCACACAATTGGGCTCACCACGCAAGTCCGTCATTGACAACGCCATCCGCGATCTTGAGTATCACGCTGAACTGTTGTCCCTGCTGAAACTGCCGCCGCAACAAGACCGTGACGCCGTCATGATCATGCATCTGGGTGGTGCATTTGGTGACAAGCCTGCTGCGCTGGATAGGTTCCGTGAAAACTATGCCAGGCTCTCAGATGAAGTCAAGAAACGGCTTGTCCTCGAGAACGATGATGTTGTGTGGAACGCTCACGAACTGCTGCCAATGTGCCAGGAGCTCAACATACCCTTCGTTCTTGATTTCCATCATCACAACATCCTCTTTGACAGTAAGAAGCTTCGAGAAGGCACCAAGGATGTCATGGATATGTTTCCTGCCATTCTCGAGACATGGTCAAAAAAGAACATCACACCAAAGATGCACTACTCTGAGCCGTGTCCAAGCGCCATCACTGGAAGTCAACGAAGGAAGCATTCACCGCGTGTGATGACCCTCCCTCCCTGTCCAGACACAATGGATCTGATGATCGAGGCAAAGGATAAAGAACAAGCTGTCTTCGAGCTCATGCGGACATTTAAGCTGCCAGGCTTTGAGAAGATCAATGATATAGTTCCACACCAACGCCCTGATGAGAACAAGCCATGGACTCCAAAGTCGAAAAAGAAGCCCAAGAAAGGCAAGAAGAAGACTGATGGTCTCGAAGATATCGGTATGAAGCTCGAGGAGGCAGAGGAGGAGGATGTCCCACCTCCTATCGTTCCTGATGAGGAGGTGGGCATGGGCGGACCTGAAGGCCGAGTGTACTGGCCCCCCACAATGGAGGAATGGCTTCGGCCACCGAAGCGCATAATCAAGAAGAAAGTGGAGGCGCCAGAGGGGGCCGCTACCCCCGCCAAGAAGAAGACTGCAGCGACCGACAATGCCTCCGTTGCCAGTGAAGCTGCAGGCCTTGACGAAGGCAGAAATCGAGCTAAGAAGGCGGCGCCCAAACGGGCTGCTAGCTCAACGAAGAAGACGCCGAAGGCGGTTCCTACACCCTCTGCATCTGATGACGAAGGTGGCCTCAGCTCGCCACCGCTCAGCGAGCTGGGCGAGGAGGACGAGGGTCCTGCCGTGCTGAAGCGAGCTGCCCATCCCGCGTCTACACGAAAGAAGTCATGCAGAGCTGTGACCAAGGTCAGCTACAACGAAGAAGACGTCGACGAGATGACCATGTAGCGGCAGACGATAGTAACAACCGAAGAGCACATGAGTTTGGTACCGGACATTGAATCTCGGGCCTTCATATGCGTCACCATCACTTGTCACGGGCCGTCCAACGTCGTGAACCGTATCGAATGTCACTGACACCGGCAAAATGTTCCTATTTTCCTACTCCACCCTTGCTACCTTCGCTTAAACTCCCGTGCCGCTGTTAGCCAGGGCTTCCCAGCCTGGTCCGCAGCTCTCCGCTTCTAAGCTTCTCGCGGCTCGCAGCATCTCACATTATTGACCTTCCCGATGCAGATAGCTCCGAGCTTCACACGATACTCCAACACATGAACAGCCAGCGCATTGGATGCCTCCTCAACAAGAAGCAGGGCAATATACGCAGGCATCTGATCACGAAGCCCATCACGATCACGAGCCACAGCCACATCGTAATATGGGGGTTCCATAACGCCTTCGTTCTTGAGGATCACTAGCCCTGCTCTTCCAGAACGTTATCGAAGCACGGCTCGCCGCGCGACCCTAGGGTCCGACGACAACCGGGACATTCCGCATCGTTCTTTGCAACATTTCATCGTCTATCGCACGACCGCAATCCAATGAGGTGCTCTGCGTAAGATACTATCGAAACATGCACGACATTCGAATAAGCTACTGATGCATTGAGGTGTACCTGTCACAATGCATTACCTACGTGGTGGCATGCATGAGCCGTCACCGCGAATGTGCGGAGAGATAGATTGATGCCGTTCTAATTCTGTTGGCGCGCTCTGGAAACTTGCTGATCGCAGCCAGTGCACGCTTGCACTTGTAATTCTCACACTTTTACGGTATCCCGTGATAGGCTACACGGCACCATCTCTTGGAAAATCACATCGTGTCTAGGCATGATGTGCCTTCGGGCATTCTGCCGAATGAGTCGGTATGCCCGCCCGTTGCTGAAACGAAGGGTCCAGGGGCGGCTGTACCCTTCCTCGTACTGCGAGTTCCGCAGCATACAAGCAACTTGGCAAGTAGAGGCGCTGAGAAGTGCCCACTTGATACGGGTCTACGGTCTGCCTCAACGGCCTCTAGAGCATTGAAGCGACATCCATCAATAAAGCATACGAGCACGCAATCGCTCAAGTTCTCGCTCTAGGCGGCACTCAAGGCTGTGTTTGTCGCTGGAGTCTCCACTGGACCACTGGGCATCTAGACAGGCAGTGGATCAGCGCGAATGCACAAGACTGCAAGCGAGCTGCAGAAGCGGGAGAGCATTACAGGCCGACTTGCCTTGCCAGCCACACTTCTCTATTGCGCCTGGAGCATGCAATTGCAAAGCAGGAACAGTATCGACGCCCGGAGCTAGACAAGCACGTCTGTAGCGAACATTCCATGCCCTTTCGAGAAAACAAAATCACGACCGCAATCGAGCGATAAGATGCATGAAATGCAGTTGCTGATACGTAGGCGCGGACACTAGCCGACCTAGGTGTAGGGCTATGTACAGGCATGGCTGCGTTCGAGAAGCGAGGCGCAAGCCGAAGAGCAGGGATGCTGGCCACGTCCCAGACCATTTATGTAAACAATGGAAGCCTGCTGACATGGGCGGAATGGACGCAAGTGGGGCAAGGCATAGTAAGGCAGTCATAGCGGGATACGTTAATGTAAGACGGACGGCCGGCGTGGGCTTCGTGAGGTTTGCTTCTTTGGGAGCCGGTCGCTGCTTCATCGGGAGGCTAGGAGCGCAGTGGATAGCGGCGGGTCGCGAGAAGCGCTGGTCAAGAAACGGGCTGGTGAATTATGGTGCAGCTCGAATCGTGATCATGTTATCATAGCAGAGAGATGACTCACAGTGAAGTCATCGAAAGAGGGGAGAGGGAGGATCCGCAAGGTGAGTACAATGCACCGTAAAGAGTGGAAAGTGCCGTGAGAAACGGTTGGGTGCTGAGGTGAAGTATTGTGAAGAATCTCATGAGAGTAGCGGTTGTTGTCAGGCTGGAATAGGCAGTACGAGCACGATACATTGAAGCATGGACCGTGTGTCAGATCCTGAGTCGCCCTGATGGAATGTGCCAGCACTGTTAAAAGGAAAATACTTTGTCTCAATCAGATTTTGGTGGTGGCTCTTGCTATACTGTTGGTGTCCACGTTATTCCTTTTATTGCACTTATTATTCTTGTTCATTGTCTCAGTTCAAGCAAGAACAAACGGACTCTCAACAGTGCTCGGTAGCATCAACTACAGATGAAACACGCATGTTCTCGTTGCAGCATAAGGCTTCGCATGTCTTGCGTTTGCCTCTGTGCCTTGTCGCAGTAAACTACATATTCGCTCCAATTCCGTGTAGTGCGGACACTGTTGTCGAGATCAACAGAACGCCACCATATCAGCACTGGAGCGGGCTTCTAGCATACGGCGCCTGGTACAGTGACTAACAAGCCGAAAGGACGCATCTGAAGTTCCCGCTTGTCCCACATCTGTGATCTACGAACACGTCCAGTAACAGCGCAGCTTGCTTTCAGTTCACAGCAGACGTAACTCGCTTTTCCTACATATGGACCAAGAGACGAACCAAACGGAAAGCCTTGCGGTGAACAACCGAGCACAACAATCCACTGCGGATAAGTGGGACATCAGTGACGAGCCGTTGGATGACGATGCTGTCGAGCTGGATGTTGACGGTACCTTCATTGCAAGTGTGGTCAGTGAACGCGAATGGATCCCTCTATCCATCAGAAAGCGGATCTCGAGTGCTACTAACGGGTGCCCACCAGTGACACCCCCAATAGAAACAGACGCTTGTCTAGAAGACCATACCGCATCACTGACTGTAGGGAAATCGCTGTCTCCTCAGGATGCGGAAAACCTCTCCCTCTCTGAGGAACTGAGCGGACATGATTTACTCGCTCTCGACGCCGACAATAGCGAGCCACTACCCTTTGAAGACATTTGTCCCATCGTTGTAGAATTTGTCGCCCAACAGCTGAACGAGTTCGACTGGAGTAAGCTGAAAAGGCGAATATGCATGGAACAATTAAAATACGATTCTCGAACCTTCCATTGGGTACAAGACGTGAGGCACGAGAAGTTTGCTTGTTGAACCTGCAGCATAAGTAAGGAGTGTGTGTCTGCGGTGGTAAGGTGGAAATACGTTCCTGGTCCTGCCTTTGCTGCCGAGACTGAGGAAGTCGGGCACGCAACCAGATGAATTTGAGTACTGGGTTTCGGGCGGACCAATGTGAATTGTTGGTGTAGTGTACTCAGTGTGAGGGCAAGCACCCAACCGAAGGTAGAGCATGTTAGGTGCATATCAGCCCAATCATTCATTCAAAATATGTGCACAATGGAAATCCTCATTCATGCTTGCTTGTTCATTGTGAGCTGGAGCTGTCTGATGCAGTCGCGACCCTCTCGACTGCTATGTCATTGGGAATTGATCAGCCAATCTCAATGGCAAGCCGAGCCGGCCGCGGCACCACGCTCCTAAACTTGACCCAAATCAGCAACCTGATCCGAAAGCCAGTTGCCTGTCGTTACGACGGACCAAAAGACAACACGAAGAGCTATCGAAGCCACTTTGTCACAGCGGAGATGACAAGCAACGGCCCCACAGCCACTCCGCTACCCCTCGAATCACGGGCGCTCCCCCATGTTTGCAGCTCTGAAACACAATGCGCCTTCGTACTTTCTGCTGTTTACGTACAGAATTGTCTCCCCAGAACATCACAAGCGCTGGATCTAGATTTACATTCACCGAAACTACCGCTTCAGGCAAGTTGCTCGACATACAGACAAGGAGGGAAGTGCGGTTAGCTCCACCGTTGAAGAAGGGCCCTGCGTCACGGTCCGACTTCTGCACACAAGTGTCGCGTGCGTGCTCGGACGACAGCTAGGGGCTGCCAGGCACACGGGCATGTCGATCATCAATAGCCTTCGTGTAGGTAGTCAACTTTAGATGCGGACCAAGCACGGATGTTTGGATCCGCTCTCACGTTCTGGCGTATCATTGGATCCCTACTCTAATGTGAATATACTCCTCTTAACGCACTAAATCGTGTCACCGGGCGCTTGGATTTGCTATTCATGTCGTCTACTACCCAGCTGCTCCTCTCCGACGAGAATGCAAGCACGGAGATTGACTCGATGGTGCATTTCATGCGAAAGGCAGAAGCGGAAAAGAGACTGCCCCTGAGGACTCTTCAGGCGTCGACGAAACAATGGCTTCGTCGCATCGAGACATGGGGTAAGCTATCGTTCCGTTCCCGTGCCGTAGCCTCGTCCATAAGTTGCTCGGAGGCTATCACTATCCGCGGGCACTGTACGCAAGAGCAACATCAACACGAATTGGTGCGACATTCTAGCAACTCATCGCGCAGGTCCACACGTGCGACCAAGAAGCAGGCACTGCAGGACTCTGAAGTCCTACACAAGATTAGCAGTACCTGGCAGAGATCTGCGCCGATCCCTTGAATGGCAAGCCGGAGGGCGCTGGGCCTAAGAGCACCCTTCACCAAGATGCCTGTTCCGAACTTTGCGCAAACTCTTCATAGCCACAGATCTCATAGTTCCTGCATCTGTGTTGTTCAGGAGGCAAGATGAGCGCGCGTCTCGTGCGAACGCTCATCACCGGCGTGGCCGAACACTGCCTACACACATTATTCCCGCTCTCGCCGAGCCAACCACGCACAGCAGACCATTACTTGGCAGCGCAGCGACGCGGTGGATCATCGGCGGGCAGCTGTTGCAAGGCCCCTATGTGCCAGTCGGTGGCTGAGGGGCAGTTGCAGGAGATCAGCAGGCGTCGAGTGGTGCAGGTGAGCTGTGAGTGCTGATTGGCTGAGGGGAGGAGTGCTGCAGATTTAGTGAGGCTGTGCGTCGACGAATTAAGCACATGAGCGAGGAGGCTCAAGAAGTGCCGTGATGCTGTGGTGTGGTGCACCAGGTCGTTTTTGTGGGACCGCCAGTTGACCGGTGGATAAGCCCGTGCTACGACCGTGGCGCCCGATAATTCAGACATCCTTCAGCATTGATTCCGTAAAATGTCAAGCTGTGCCATAATGCGCTGCGAGGAAGGGTGATCACGAGAGAAGATGCAAAGAGGGGTGGCTGTAGAGTAGAATAGTAACGCTTTCGTACATTTCGTTAATCAATAGCAGATCGAGCTGCTTCATCTTCGCCAGGGTATCGCTGCCCATAACATCTTGCAATATACAAAGACAATCAACGTTATCGCTCGACGCATCACCACTTTTGCCGAATAAATGCTAACCCCGGCTCCAATGCATGTGCCCAACAGACGCGAGATCCCGCTGCACCCCACCAAAATTAGATGACAATGTATTCCCCATCGACGCGATCCATCGCTTTTCTCCACCGGAACGCCTGCTGTAGTGTACCAAAGGGACCTTGTCGTGAGCTCTGCATGTCGCCATCAACCCACTCGTCGTCGTCCTGCCATACGCGTTCGAGCACTTCCAGACCACTGAGGTTGTTGAAGAAGCCGCTCTCGCGTTGGATCTCGACGCAGCGCTGTCGCACAACGGCGCGGTGCTCAGTATCGACACACTCAGTGCCGACAATGAATAGGGGCCAGAGTAAAAACTTGTTGACGCAACTTGTGATGCCGATCTGTGAGATGTGGAAGAGTCCTTGTGCGACGAGGTTCTGGAAGTTGAGTGCGCCAGCTGGAAGTGTGGGATGGGCGAGGCGCTCAGTGTAGAGCAGCGCTGCGTAGCGGAAGCTCTCACTGATGTGGAACAGTGCAGCTTCGTTGGGAGACATGGTGAGCATCGAGGACGATGCTTCGCAGTTATCTGCAGCGTTCTCACCCGGCGCACCGAATTCCCACTCCTGCAGACGATTTCGTACATCGTTCCACTCAACCCAGAATGGAGAGCATGGGTCTTCGCGTGCAGATGTAAACGGATCCTGATACTCGATAATCGGTGTGCCCCAGCCGTTACCATCAATTTGGTCAAAGTTGAAAGAATAGAAGTCATTAAGTTTCTTCGGCCGTGGAGAAGATCGAGGCGTGTCGTCGTTGTCGCGTACAGGTCGATTCTGGCTCAGTAGGTTGAGCCTTCCGAGTCGAGCAATGAGCTTGAATAGGCGACCTTCGCAGCCAGAGTGGTGCTCCAGAACGCCGAGATTGGCAGTGAGATTCATCATATCCAGTGAGTCGCCACGAACTTCAATCTCACGGTCGTTGACGGCCGCTGTCATGACATCGAACCATGTGAAGAAGAGCTCGATCCAACCAACAAAATCAGACTGCACAGTCCTATCGCGCATAGCAAGCAGCTTCTGTACGCCTGCGAGCTGGGTCTTGAATTTTGTGAATCCTGAGTCGCAGACGTGGAAGAGGCAAAGAATAAGAAGTGTGGCTAGAACAGAGTCGTCCTGCGAGCCGTTGATATCCACTAGCTTTCTGTTCAACAGAGCAATTGATTGCGCCTTGTGATGCTTCTCCTCGCTGGTCGGCTGACCATGCATTTCTCGTAGCTCGGAAGTGGTCATTTGCGAGTATGCGTGCTGCGGAATGAGGCGGTGATCTCCAGACGCACTCAGGCGCCGGCCCTCTAGACCTCCGCGCATGCGCATATTATTCGTCGATAGCGCGGCGATGGCATTCTGGAGTTCTTCGTTCTGCATGGCTAGAGGGATGATATGCATACGGTAGGGATTTGACGGGCCATCAAAAGCCACCAGCACCGGGCATATAAATTTGTCGTAGTAGTCCATCAGGTATAGCATCCGAGGGGAAAGGGGCGAAGCGATAGCAAGGCTCTGAGGAATAGATGTGGTGAGCGAGAGTACGTCGAGAGACAGGGGACCAGAACCGTAAGAAGACATAGACGTACCCTCCGATGGAAGAAAAGAGAAAGCTGGCTGAGACAACGCAGTATAACTCGAGCTTACATCCCCTTCCGCAAAAACATCGTGAAACACAACAGGTCCCATGCTCTGCTGTGCCGAGCTCACCTCGATATAGTCCTGCAGGCTCTGATCTGAGCTAACACTGGAGCTCATGTCGTCCGCCATGGGCAGTGATCGAGGAGCCTCGTGGAAGAAGCCGTCCATTGAGCCGATACGTGCTTGGTCGTAGGAGTGGATGGGCGAATACTGTGGGACTGAGGAGTCCGCAAAAGGAAACTCATCCGCAGGGGTACGTGGGTACTCTCCAGGTGATGGGAAGTCGCTGTCGCTATATGTGCCGAGCGATGCAGTCGAGGCTGACAAACCACCTTCATCAAACGGCAAATGTATTGAGGTATGCAGCCTCTGGAGAGGCCCTCTGTTGAGCTGCGATGGTCTCCTCATCTTCGAGGTAAACGAGTGCATCATATCGAAGTGCTCTCCATGTGACTGCATGGGGAATCCAAGTGGGGTCGACGGCGAGGGAATGGGGATTGGGCTGGTTGGACCGAAGTACTGGTATTCTTGCGGGGCCGAGTAGATGCTGGCGGGGCTCATGGGACTTGTGGGCGTGTGGATACCGAAGTCGACGCTTGCTCGGCTGTTGAAGCTGGATGAATGATGGCTGGCGCTGGTAGAGCCATTGGTCGTGGAGGCGGATGCACTCGACTCTTTGCGTGTGGTATTGGTGGTAGGCGGGGATTTGGCAACAGGTAGCGACAAGCCTCGAAGCTTTCCACGGCTAGCAACTCCCACTCCCCATGTTAGAGTTGTACGATATCCAGTGCAGTCTTTGCCGATTTCGACACACTGTCCGCAGTATGGTCGTCTCCGGTCACACTTGACTGAACGCTTCTTGCAAGAGAAGCAGTCCTCTGTAGCACCAGTGGCCGGTGCTCTTCTTCTCCTCTTCTTGGGTGCGGCATTCGCATTGCTGGCGTCATCGACCTTCTTGACCTCAATGGGCTGGGTGGTGGTAGGCGTGGCGACAGCCATGTTGGGAAAAACGAGTGGTGTTGGTGGTTGTTACAAGTGCTAACGATAGTGCATCTGTAGTCGAGTGCCGTGTAAGGTGTGTAAGAAAGATAGACAAATGGATGAGGGGCAATTCTCAATGAAGCATAGAGAGGCGCATCAAGGTGGGTAAGTATTATTTGGCTCTCGACGGGTAAGGGTAGGAGCTTGGTCCCAGTGTGATAAGGTCAGGGTTCTAGTAAACAGGGGTGGTCGGTGTGCCAAGAAGCAGGATGCAAAATACCGCGGCAGACTAAACGCTAGGATATGATGAGCGGAGGTCATCTCGAGATGTGCATGAAGGTCGAAGCCTGCAGCGAGTGGACCAGGTGCCCGCATGTTCGAAGCAGCCGCTACGAGGCTTTGGTCTGTGGCAACCCTACCACACCCCACACACGGACGGCGAATTGCAGTCCCGAGTGGATTGTTGGTCGGGTTACATCGTGGAAAGGGTGTTGCACCCCGGCCAGAAGCTTGGATTGTGGATGGCGACAGTGGTTTGCCTGCAGGACGGAAAAGGCTGGACGCCACGGACCGTCCACCAATCAGTACTCGCGCAGGATGCGATCTGCTACCGGCTACTAGCTTCGGAGCAACATGCGAGTTCAGCCATTCAGAGAGCTTGTGTTGAGTACGCTGATGAAGAAGCGCTCAAGGGCCCTGCTCGGCTGCGAGCTTCTGTAACGCCACCGCTGATAGCGTCAGGTCCGCCATGGGCAGCGTAAGACCGCCAGCGAATGGCCGGCTAGCAGGTTAGCAACGGAGCCGACCGAGGCACCGTGTCGAAGCTGCACCGAAGCTGTGTAGAAGATAGCAGCATCAGGCGCTCACCACTTGGAGAGTGCAGCGAAAGCCGCCCGCTGTGAAGCACCCGCCAAGCGGAAAGCCTTCCGGGCGGGCTTAACAAGGTTAAAGAGACGGCCGCTCTTCACCGTCATCACCCCGCAAGAAAGCAGGGCCATTGATTCTTGCGAGGAGAGCATCTCAGCTGCACAACTGGCGGTCGTGGGCGTGGTGCAATCTGCTAGAAAATGCACGCAAGCGGCAGCACGCGCGAACAGACGTTGAGCAACGCAGCGACGATCCAGACGAGGATGTTGCGATGACATTGAGGGGGCCGCGGCAGAAGCAGAAACGATGCAGACGATGCCCGCAGGGCCTATGCCTGCCAGTGTGTGTGCCAACGATGTCAGTTGCCCGGCCCTGCGTGCGCTGTTCTGGCTCCGCAGGAACTCTTGGCGAACCGTTCTCCTGGGTTTTCGCTGGCTTAGATAACAGATATGACCATAGCTACTTGTGCCCCCACTCACGCATCTGGTGCCAGCGGTGGCTGCGCAGCAGCGACATCAATGCTGATGGAGCCCGCTGCCTGTCCTGGCCGCAACGCCCGTAGGTACATACTCCTGAATTGTCTCATGTCAGTCCCTTAAGCGGTTTGCAACTACCATGACAAGTGCTCCGCCTGACGATCTCTGATCGTGCAGCCAATGCCTGGTGGCTGAGCACCACTCCGCCGCTACTGCTCTGCCCGCGGGTATCTTGGTCGGCGCTCATCTCGCATGGCTGCCTAATTTGATACCCCAAAAACAATGCCCTTCAGAACGGCGTGTTTACTTCGTAGAGGCGCCGTCTCAGATGTTTCCTCCGACGGCTCGCGCTTCTGACCGATGATTGAACCGCTGGTTTTCCGCATTGGTTGTCGTGCACGTGCCGGTGAAGCCAAGAGACACACGCATCGGCCAGAGGTACTACTTTGGCGCTCGTGTGTGCTCGAGTCCGGCTCCACCCACTCAGCGATTTTTCTGAGGTAACAAGCACTCCAGTTCGTCCCGTCAGGGCGCACATCATGCCTACTAAACATGGTATCTGCCCTCGGCGTCCTGTTGCTAGCCGTGTGTGCCTGGTGCCTTGAGATGCGCGCGGGGTAGAGTTCAAAAGTCTGGGGAAATGAGAGCCCTGCTGCAGACAGCTCCTGGTGGACGTCTCGAAGCGCCCCGTAATTTTAGACCAGATGTGCCTTGCGTGCTTTGCCTTGTGGGGACGGAATCGCCCTTGGATTCCGAGCCTAGCCCATGTCTGCAGCTTTACAGAGCTTGACTCGAGGTGAGCCTCATGTCGGCAGCCGCTCTGAACCTGGGATGCCGATGACATGGTATGCAATGATATGGAGCGTTCGCCGTTGGCGATATCCCTTATCGTGGTATGGACGAAGATCTCGGGGGCCAGTTAGATTGCAAAGACCCTTGACGATCAGATGCTGTTTCAATGACGATCGAAAACTCTGGACAAATCACTAGATTCATGCTGTGTGGAGACAGGTGCAGATGTTTCGTAGCGACCAGACCAAGACGCGCCGCGGACGGGTCCCAATTTTGACCAAGGGCGATTCTTCCGGCATTACTCAAGAGCAATTCGAATTTCACTTTGCGGAGCCTTGTTCTCATCCTGCCAATCGTCCGGCATGATGTTCATAATATGCCATTTTGCATCGAAGCGCGACTCCATTCAGGATTCCTTCCGTGGTCGAAAGCATTTGTTGAGGGTCTCGCAACTCGAGTTGAAATAGACAGTGCAAAGCGCCGGGTTATCAACAGACCGGCTTTCCGGCGAGGTGGGAGCTAAAGTTATTTTTGCACCCCAGTGCCCACAATGCTCTGAGACTTAGAATCATACTGCGGATAGCGCATCCGGTGGTTGGACACAAAGGCAATCGCGTGACAAGTTGCTGTTGGTGAAAGAGCGGTGAAAATGCCCAATGCCGTCATGTTCCTGAGGATGTCGACTAATGTCTGTGCGGTCGCACATGACGGACACTAATTAATGAATGTCGAAATGCGTAAAACTCATTTTGGGTGATTCCTCAAGCACATGCTTCCGATAGCAAAATTGCGCCAGCCTCCTCTTGGCTAGGTTCTGGCATTGTGGCTTATATAATCCTGAGCTTCAATGGACTGCAAGTCACCCAGGAAACTGAAGGAACTGCTCTGCTCAGTTCAACTTGCTGACAGTTTTCGTTCGCCCTCGAGACTGCTGTGAGATCGTGATGTGCCAAGTCTTGCCTTTCGTCCATGACATTGGTACACGGTACCGAATGCTTAGCCTGCAACTGCGTGTACGTGCCCTCGCACAGCACTGCCGAAATCTGGGGAAGGGAGCATCGCCAGAATCCACCTGGCTCTTCCAATCATTCAGATTCCGTTGTGTAACAGTTTGTGGGAAGTTGCTTTGTTGATGCTCGGCTGTCGAAGGCCCAAGGAAGGCCCTGAGAATAGAATGCGTCCAAGCTCCCTCGGCTCAAGGCGCCCTTCCCCACATCCAAGGTTGATAGCTCATTGACAGCTCTCACCACCACGCTATTACCCCATACTATTCCCGCATCCAAGTCTTAATTGCCCTACTTGCTCCGTGATTACCCCAGATTATGTCTTCGAAGTTTATTTGTCTGCGCTCCGCGCGTCTCGCTGCCCGGCACCCGCATCATCGAAGGGCATTTGCCTCGGCCGCCTCTAGCCGTGATGCTGTAAGAATCGTGGAAGTTGGGCCACGAGATGGGTTACAGAATGAGAAGAAGGTAATTCCTCTGGCTACGAAGATAGAGCTGGTCGAGAAGTTGGCACGTACTGGATTGAAGACCATCGAAGCAGGGTCGTTCGTGTCGCCGAAATGGACTCCTCAGGTAGGATCAGAGCCTTCAGGATGTTGACGAATGATGCTGATGTGCCTGCAGATGGCTAATTCGTCAGAAATTCTCGAATATGTCCTCCGCAACACACCACAATCCCCCACGCCGATCACATACCAATGGCTCCTCCCAAATGTCAAGGGCTTCGATAACTTCCTGAAACTATGGAACGCGCAGTTGTCTACAGGGCAAGACGTGTATCCAACCTCACCGCCCTCACCTGGGCCAGAAGGCGGTCAAGTGCTGAACACTTCCTCGAAAGACCCCAACGTTATGCCCTCAGCGACATCTGGCGCCGAAGCCATGGGCAAGGAGCGAGCGTCGAGCTCAGCCGGCAGCCCACTTCATGAGATCTCCATCTTCACCGCAGCCACTGAGTCATTCACACAAAAGAACACCAACTGCTCAATACAAGAGTCGCTGAAGCGCTTCGAGCCCATTATGTGGAAGGCAAAGGAGATGGACCTGAAGGTACGGGCTTACATCTCGGTCGCTTTGGGATGCCCATACGAGGGACCAGACGTAGACCCACATAAGGTCGCAGAGCTGGCGGTCAACCTGCTGGAGATGGGTGCAGATGAGATCTCGGTCGCAGATACCACCGGCATGGGTACAGCACCCAAGACTGCGAAGCTGCTCAAGACTCTTGATGCTGCTGGAATTGACAAGCACGACTTGGCGCTGCACTTCCACGACACTTACGGCATGGCTCTGGTGAACTCGGTAGTAGCTCTCGAGCATGGCATCCGCACCTTCGATGCTGCAGTCGGTGGTCTGGGAGGCTGTCCTTACAGTCCAGGCGCGACTGGCAACGTTGCTACTGAAGACCTGGTTCATCTCTTCCACAGCTTAGGCATGCCCACTGGAGTGAACATGGAAGAGCTGTCGGAAATTGGCGAATGGATATCGGCAGAGCTTGCGAAGTCGAACGAGAGCAGTGCCGGAAAAGCTACGTTAGCGCAGATGCGGAATTGAGCAAAGTAAGGGCAAAGAGATAGCCTGCTGAAAGATAAGAAAGCGGTGCTTCACCGTACCTATCCCCCCTCCGCCCGCAACAAGGTCGTCCGCATGCTCTCACTCCATGTATGTAACTGCGCGCCACGCAACTGGCATCTCTTTAGGCGGTGCGTGATATCGACCTCGAGGCTACTTCTTGAGTAATGGTGAGCAAGGACAGTGTTGACACGCGTCATAGCTCGTTCGCGCGTTCTCTCGCGACCATGGCCGCGCTTGCGCGCAACTCGACGTTTGTTGCCTTCGCCGCCTCACCACTGGCCATCTAACCAACACCACCGACGCGCAGCGATTACACGTCTCAATGCCGCTTGTATGGAGATCATCCACTAGCGATTGACGTATGCAAGCTAAGACTTCCTGCCCCAGGATATCGGGATGGCATCTTCCTTGCCGCCCGAGGACACATGGGCGCTCACACTCGATCTCTGACGTTACACGCTGGCACTCCTATCAATTTCGACGAGGTGTACTCAGAAATGGAGTCGACAGACGCCAGCGTCGAGACATGGTATCAGGACGTCACAGAAGAGAGACCGTCCAAATTGTTTCGTTTCAACGCTGACATGACGAACTCTATCACCGACGGCTCTTTTACAACCTTCTTTGGCCAGGCTATCTCAAGTCTACCATATCTGAGCTCAATGACGATCTAGCCATCATCAATTGGACCCGGTCTTAAAGACCAAAATTCAGCAGAACTGATCCGGCGCTGGCTGACGGCGGTCAGAGTGCTTCTAAAAACCGTCTCGTACAGAGGCCAGCCACTCAAAGAGCTTGTAATTGCTGCTCGCGCCAAGTACGGCGGCCCTGTGGTGTCACTCTCTTTCTTCGCTCGACCTCGTTAGAGCACCTTAGCTTAGCTCCACTTCGAAAGCTTTGTCTCGATCTGACTGTTGACGTTTCTACGGGTAAACGATGGAAACGTTTCAACGAAATCACAATCACTAGTCCTCGTTCACAGACGACTTTGCAGCCTATGTCTCGGCGCTAGCCTTCCTTCTTCGATACGCTGCTTGCGATGTCCTACCGTAACTCGGTTCCCAGTTCCTTCAAGCAGCTGAGTAAGAACATGCCTGCGCTGAGATTTACGACTCTGGAGCTCACCCATGTTGAGAAGTGGTACCGATACTTCAGTCTCTACCTGGATTTACGTGGCCACACCCTACGTGCACTTCGATTGACCTCTACGAAATCGAGTGGTGACGATCACGATCTCGGCTATATTTGTATGCAGTGCACTTGACTAGCTGTGTGCTGAAGACGACCAACATGACTGGCAATGGCTTCAATTTTAGCAAGTTTCACAGCAACCATCAAGAATGCAGGGGCCAAAGCCACAACAAATGGGGCACGGGGACTGACGTATCCGTACCGCACTGCTGACGAGCTGAGAGTCTCAGTCACAGAAGGAGAGGACATCACTGACTGTTTGCGTGATTTCTGTATGACCCACACAGTTGGGCTGGTGTGAACAGATTGGTGGCCAGAGTAGGGACTCATGCTAGGTAGATAGGCAAGTAATGTGCTAGCAGCGTTATATATCAGATCAAGTTCGTTCGATTGTACCTTCGGTCACCCCTGAATAAGCCATTTACTAGCTGCTGAAGCCCTTAGTGTAGTTCACAACTACTGGCCAGTGACACACTACAGCTCATCCTTACGAAGACGCAGTTGTCCCGGATTTTTCCATATAACCATATATTTGGCATCCCCTATTATATCACGTGTTAACCCTTGCACAGTATACATCTTCACAGGCCAGCCCGCAACGACCAAAATCAGTGTGGTCATAAAGACCGTCCCAAGGCATTTACGCCAGCAATGAAAACGATCTACTTGTGCACCGGGACAGCAGCAAAAGGCAGCATAGAGAAGGTGTATGCCCGAGGAAATTGGGAGCAAGGCACTATGTTCTCATCAGCCATTCACCGTTTCTATCCAGACAGAAATTCTCTAGCTCTGTTTTACATTATTCATCTCCAGCATCACATTCTTTGGATGCTGCAACCCAGCAGCGTTCTAAAAACATGATCGATTGTATGGTACTACAGTCGTCCAGCAGTCAGCTCCAGCGCCCATCTGGGGGACGTGTTAAGTCAGCTAAGCGATTCACGTTTGACGCAGCGCTGCTCTTTCCACCGCTTGACTGTTTTCTCGTCGTCGGAATCACTTTTGCTCTCGCCCTCATTCTCAAGAGGTTCAATCACATTATTTCGTTGAGGTCGTACTGATAGGATCCTCTCAAGTCAGATCATTCAGCAGTATTGCGGGGAAATCAGCATGGAGACTATGGGTCCATGGGGCACATAACAGCTCCAGAGAGTGAATTCCTCGCCCGATTTGTAGTACGAACCCATTGAGGGAGGATCGGGAAACGTGCTGTTGTCTGATATGATGTCCATGAGGTCCTGTAACGCCTCATATGCCTTGGCATTCCTCGAGCATGTTGATTTTAAGATAGAGACCGAGGATCTCCGAGGCGAGGTAGAAGGCGGTCGTTTGCAGGGCCGCGGTACGCTTAATAGAGGAATCCCTGTTGGAGGAACGAGCGCCAGAATCAGTTAAAATGATCAGCAAGCACACGGGATGCCATCAGGTCTATCTAGGAGTCAGAGCTCCACGATCAAATTGTGGCGTAGTAGACTTAGTCTCACCTTAGATAGGTGGCCTGAGGCACAAACTGCATGTCTAGCAAACTCAACAACGTACATGATGCATTATCGAGACCCAGAAGCCTGTGATTCTTAGGTATGACGGGCAAAGTATCTTGCATTCCAAAAGCTACGAGGATCTTCTTGGAGATGGCAATTTGCGCAACACCGTTTATTGAGTCAAGCGGTTCTTTGCAACAGATTTGCGCATAGTCAGTTGTGTTGCCAGAAAGAAAGGAACATAAAGAAGCAATGAATGAGAGGCATTGAGAGAACAATCCCAGCGAGCACAAGCTGACCTCATGAGAGTAATTTATATCCGATTCCGCATACTTGGGGCACAGCGGATCATTCATGGCCTGTAGAATGGACTTTTAAGGTCGTCTGCCTAGTCGTTAAACCCTGAGCCAGTGGTAATCAAAGAAAGGCTCTTATTGAGCTCACATAAATTTCGTGATGATTTGGTCTTAATGGTCTGATTTGAGGCGTTGGATTTAAGCTCATTAAGAGCCATCCAGTGGTAGAGACGATTTTCGTCACGCAGAGGGCTGTCAACAGAGCATGTGTGTGCAACAAAACCAGACATGCTCAATATTATAATATTTGTCGAATTCCCACAGCTCGGTGTCGTCGGAGACTGTTCTAGAGATAGATGTCTAAGCCGTGGAAGCATCATCAGCGCTTTCTTCTTTCTATGCCCCTGTCAGTACATCACATCCGAATGGGTCTGAAAGCACGTAGACTAGGCTCAGTCGGGCGAATCGTCACCTCGTTTTCCAACCGAACTAACGCCGCCTACTTGAGGGAATTAACGTCCACGAATCGCATCCTCTCATTCTCATTACTCGACACACGCGATACTCAAATCATCCAAACGGTAGCGCCAGCCAGCCACATAACGCGGCCTCGCCGTGCTCCACAACGGGTTTGTATCGAAACGCCCATAGCTGCAGGCAGCCCCCAAGTGTATCCGAGCTGAACGATCTCAGATGGTGAATTCTGGGGGTATCGGACCGCACCGCACAACAGCTGAACCAGCCGGGGACCTTCTGGCGGACGACACACGTAATATGCACAGCTCTTCCATTCGCTAGCTTTGGGCAGCCCTGCACGGCGCGACCGAGTCTCGCTGTACTAAACATCCTCGTGGTGTCTCAAGTGTGTCTGAAGTGCTCTAGTCTTTACGAAGACTTGAACATTTTGTGATAGCACTCAGCTGAACTGCTCTAGCTGCAGCTATAATCCAGTCAGACGAAGTCTTCACGCGCTCGGGGTCAGCGATAGTGTTCTCTCTTTACTAGCGATCGAACATCCTTTCGCGCTGAATAGCAGCACGCAAATATAAAAGGCACAATGACCACACCTTCTATCTCTCATCACTACACTCCTCTATCAGCAGACTCACAGTATCAAATCACCTCGCAGTCCAATTTTCTCTTCGAGATATCAAGCCAGCCCAATACTTCGTCAGAATGTCTCTCTCCGCCAACGCTTCCGCTAGTGCCTGGTAGAACACCTACTGACCCACCTTCGTTGCCTTGCTGACACATATCCAGGTCATCCACCGACAAACCCTGGGCACAAGGTGGCGCGACCACTTCCGCGGGCAGCGCACAGGCTGGTGCCAGCATCGGCGCCTACACGGGCGTCCAAGCCGGTGTCGAGGCTGGTCGCTACGAGCACGATAACGGCGAGATGCATCTTGGACTCGGCGTGGACACCGGTCTTGGGTACAAAGATGGAAGTCTCGAGATCAAGTTTCTCGGAACAGGCTTTACGCTGGGCAACAATACGGGCATAAGCTTTCTGGGCAGCGGGTTCACGGCGAAGAACATCTTTGGGTGGATGAGTTGAGTACTGAGGCATTCAGGGCATCTGATCTTTGGAAAGAGAGCTGTGTATGTAGGGAGAATGAGACTAATATAACTGTGATGGGCTATCTAAAATGCCTTGGCCATCTCATCACTAGACCCAGATGCCCAAAACTAGCAAAAAGCTCATAAGTGCATGTCCACGACAAACCACTTTTCTGAAGGTTCATACTGAATCGTTCTCGAACCAATCGATTTTGCAGCACCAAACTTGGGCTCTGTAACAGGTAGCAATGACATATAGGTGCAGATAACGTGCGTCCCTCTTGTCACGCAGGGGGTGAAGGCGGTGGAGCGGTATTCTTGTCCTCGAACAGATTCGCCGTACCAGCCCTTACAGGCTCGTTGTTACACGCCAAATCCTTAGAACACCCCTCCTTCTCAGCCTCTTCGTTCTCTTCGGCTCCTTTCTCCTTCACCGAGGTCGGCTTTGAAGTTAACGGTGTAGTATGGTTCGTTGCATGCGATGCCATGACTGGGTCTGCAAGTTCGGTCCTCTCAGGCCCGTCGTCACTCAACGAAGCGCTGAGCACTTCATTCAACAGAGCCGGTATTTCCGAGTCCAGTACTGCATTATGTGCAGCGTCGTGCTGCGGGTTCCTCTTTGCCACCACCTCAGCAAGTTCTACTTCAGCTTGGCGCTCCTCAAGCACGTTCAATTGACGTTGATAGTCCTGCAGCGCATTCAGTTTACTGAATACAGGAGCGCCGAAGCCGCTTCCGGACCAGGTTGTACCCGGGAGTACGGCAGCAGCCTTCACTGGCTGATCGAAACTGGCATCAGAGTGGTTGGGTGAGCTCAGGTTGCCGAACAAGCTGTTCCCCGAAGAAGGATGGGAAGACCCACTCAGCTGACTGAAGGCACCAAAAGAGGGCGCTGATACTGTCGTATTCGGGTTTCCAAAAAGTCCGCCGGGTCGTAGTAGGGTATTGGAAGGTTGGGCGAGGTTGGCGAATCCTGTCTGCGGCTGAGAGCGGTGGTTAGGCTGAGACGGAGAGGATGGTGTGGGAACAGATGCTTTTCCGGAGGGGTTCCTACCTAGAAGGCAAGAGGGAAACATTGCATCGGAGGTACCTGTGGTGTCTCTAAAGGGTTTCGTAGGAGAGAAAGAAGAGACAGATTGAGGTCTCGGTGCCGCATGATTTCCTCCAAACAGCCCGCCTCCCGGGAGTGAAGCAGGGGGCTTTGTAGCGGAAGCGAAGAGCGAATCATTCGGCTTGCTCTCAAGAACCCCGAAGATACCATTGCTTGCCGCATCGTTTACGGCAGACCATTCTGGCTTTGGAATCATATGAAATGTCGAAGGCCCGTCGTTAGTCCAGGAAGGAGATTCTGGTCGTGGCTCAGCAGAAGACCAGTCGAACTTGTTGTGTGAGGGAGCAGAGTTGGAACGACAGGTCTGGCATCTAAAGAGAACACATGGTGTCTGATGCTTAGTTTGAGGGGCATTTCTGGGTCCACTTTGGGAGAATTGGCTGACAACGGGTGAAGTAGACGACTTGCTATCGCCCACTTGCTCAAACGGTTAGTTGTCTGAGCCGCTCGAAGCAATCAGCCCAAAAGGATGCTGAATAGCGGGATGCTTGTTTGCGAAAGCTGCGAACGGGCTTTCCAATGAGGCGCCAGCAAATTCGCCGAATCCAGAAGAGACCGGTGGCTTCTCAGTAGCAATAGGTGGGCCAATGTTACCAAACAATGGCTGTCTCATAGCGGTGGCATCAGAGGCAGAAACAATCGGCTGAGTCGCTTGGGGTGGTACAAAAGGTTGCATATTTGATCCAAAGTGTCCAAACGGGTTAGAACTAGCACCCGTTGAGACCATAGCTAGTCCTTTGAGCAAGTCAGTGCCTGAGCTAGGTCTTGCGTGGGTCTTTTCGGGTAATGAGGCTGCCCACGCACTCAATTTGCTGAACACGGGTGCTTGCCCCGAGTTATCCACTGAAAATCCGGGGAACTTGCTGGGGGGAGATTGGGATTTGGGAAAGAAGCCGTCATCTCCAGACTTGAAATAAGTAACGTCGTCTATAGAGGGAGGCTCTGGGAGCCATTCAGACTTCAACGCGTTTGCTTCGGTAGGTGGTGGTGCTGAGCGACCAGTGTTTTGATTGAGGCCTGCAAATAGTCCTCTACCCGTGCGTCCAGCATTGTAGTCCACGAGTCTGATCTCCTCAAGCGACTGATCTTTGCCGTTCCATTCTTTGTTTGCTGTGATGGTCTGATAGTGCTGATACGCGCCCTTGCGTTCAGTATCTCCGACGTAAGTGCACGTCTCGCCTCTCTCCTGAAGGTGGCGTGAGTATGCTACAGGTGATGAAAGGTAGCCTGTAGGTCCAGAACCAGGAAGTAAGTAAGAGTTGGTCGTTCCCGGTCCTGGGACTGATGCTGGAGTGAGATTCTGGAAGAGACCCTTTTCAAGTGGTGGTCCGGCAGGTGCAATTTTGGGTTGAAAGAGGTCTCCGCAGATATATGTAGAGCCAGATGTGGCTGACGACGTGGCCGACTTTTCGGTCACGACTGTCGAGTACGAAATATCGGTGCTCTTCTGCGGGAGCACTGTCGTTGTCGAGACAACGTAGACTGTAGGCTTAACTTGCAAAGAGCCCATGACAGTCTCCAGGCTGACAGTCTTGCCGTGTTGTACAGAGACTATATGTCCGTGACGCTGTGCAGCCCGGCACTGCATCAAGTGCAACTGCTGGGGATGAAGATCGAGAAGCACGTCCATGATCGAGTAGTTAGATTCTAAGCTGCGAATTCGAGCCTGCATGTGTTCTTCGCTGAGTCGTAGTGGCTCGTCTCCATACGACAGCGTACTTGTGAATTCGGTTGTTTGGACTGTTGGGCGGAGGATATAGGCCTCCAGGCGTGGTGTGGGAGTGGACGGATTCGCCTGTGGCTGACTATAGGTAGTATATGCGGAAGAAGATGATATATTCGCTAAAAGAGAGCTGTCAGGAGGGGGTTTGATGACGCTGGGCTCGCCAAAAGACGCCTCTCCTGGCTTCGTCTTTCCAGTCTTTACCTTCGAGTCGGAGTCTGACGAGGTAAATGGCTTGATGCTCCGGGTCGATGCGGTAGTAGTTCTTAAAGTCGAGCCATATACTAATCGGGAATGACCTTCACCAGGATGGCTGTTGTTGTCTTTGTATTGTCCTCTTGCTGTGGCGGCAAGATACGCTGGGTGTTGGTAATTGCCAAAGGGGGGCCATTGATTGTAAGCCCAGATAGGAAGGATATCTTCTTTCGGTATGGGGTTCTTGGATTTGCTAGTCCGAATCAACGATTGTTCTGTACTAATGACGTGGCGATTACTCACGGAGATGGATCTGGTGTATTTGATGTTTTTGCTTGCGCATCTTCAGGAAGACCAACGGGCGTCGCAGAAGGTATGAATGATGGAATAGTGAACAGCTGCATGTGCTTCGATGCGAACGGCTCATTTTTGAGTGCCCATATGGCATCAAAATCAGGATGTTGGAGTGATCGAGTGAGCCGGAATAGTTCCTGGATCTCTTCCTCGTTACTGCGAGGGTTATCAGTCTGGATTCTTCTTCTGATAATGATAACAGAGCAACTTACAGGCTCTCGACTCGAGATAGAGCAGTATGTCGAACAACGACCTTCGTTTTGTGCACAAGGTGGGAGCACCTCACAATGGTATCCGACACCTGAGGCCCATCATCGAGCTGGACATCATCAATGTAGTCATCTGTTCTTTTCGAACTTGTCGACATGCGGGACTGTTCGTCAGCCCCGATGACTGCACGAAAGGTGGCCATTAGAATATCATCGCATTCTTTGATCGAACGTGTCAGGCTGTTGTGATGCTCGCTGGCCCACATGTGCTCCTGGTCCGCTGCTTTCAAAGCACTCACGAGCAGCAGATCACCTTCGAGGCTAGACAAGATCGCACCAAGAGTATAGATTTCCGGTATCAGCTCTGCTATGACCGAAGGACTTCTCTGCAGGTAGATGCTGGCATGGAGAGCCTGTGCAGTGCTGCGGGCCGTGCGACCAAGGCGCTTCACAGATCGAATAAATTCACTATCTTGCGATTGAACGTTCGACCCCGAACGCGACGGTACTATCGATTTGCTATCACCTGCATCGGCCATGGCTGCTGTAGTGACCTTTTTGCGCATGGAGAAGGGGGGGTTTCAAAGGCCAAAAACGTCTGGGACAGGATATCGTTGCTGATAGCGGCGAAGCCCAGAGAGAAGATACAAAGGCCACAGGGACTACTAGCAGCAGCAATGGCAAGAGAGGGGATACGAAGGCCGGAGAGGTCGATGCTATTGAAATGCGATTCGCGGACAACGCTGCGGAAGGAGCGACACGGGTACGAGTACTTGGAATGGCTTCAAGTCTACCTAAGATAAAGAAAAAATGACTGAGGGTAGCCAGACATATACTTGCGACATGCAGTTGCTTTTGTCCCTCCCCGTCCCAGGCTCCAGGAAGGCAGCGCAGGCACCGTCCAAGGCACCGCCCAGGCAGCGACTCAGCCCTGCGGCTGGAACACAGCTTATGTATATGCGCAGCATCATCCCTGCACCAGCAACCGCTCCTTTTGGAGCATCAACATTAAATAAAGTCCGCGAGCATCTTCCAAAGCCTCATTTTCGGGATGGATCAGAATCGATAGACCATGCATCACTCATGCGACCACTACGATCCACCTTGCATACTCGCCACGCCTCAACAACATGCCTACATGCTGCAGCCCCACAGTCCCAACCCCTCAGGCCCAGCCTCCTTGCATTGGCGCAGCATCACGTGCGCTTCCACGTCCATGCGGTGCTCAACGGCCACAGCGAGCTTCGTTGCGGGCATCACCCAGAAGCACGCGAGAAACAGAGCGCCTCCGCAGGGATGGGAGCTCATACATCCGCAGCGGGCCGGGGCGTGCAGGGAAAGGCGTGCGTGGAGTCGCAATCTGCAACATGTCAGCAACATGTGGAGCCAAGCTGGTGCTCTATTGCGTGATGATCTGTGGCTGAGGAACTCTATGTCGACCTCACTTCTCGAGCTCTTCTCACCGAAGTACAACGTCCAAGTAGAAGCCGTCGGTTCCACATTTTCTATCCCTTACGTATGCGGGACGGTCGATCCCGAAGCGCCTGTGGTCTGTGGCACTGCGTCTTGTCGCTCAACGTGGCTACGTGGGCGCGTCATAGCAGGTCATCGTTACCGGTCGATTCACATGCACGTAGTACGACGGTCTCCGCGCCAGCCATCATCAGGCGTCTAGTTGTGCGTCGATTACCACAAGCGTCACGAGTAAAGTGCAAGAGATGAGACTAAGCAATGTGAGTGATTATCGTATTTCAGTTTGTTGCTATCTACCAGCGCCCGAACACCGGAACGCTTTCCCACAAGCCGAGAGTGAGGGTATCAAAGCGCTAGGGCGCGTATACATGAAGGGTCATCGGCGTATGAGTCGTAACCATTGAGCCGTCGTGTGAAAGTCGTAAAAAGTCGAGTCCTGCGACTCGAATCGAATACTAGGTTTGGTATTCAATCCATCGCCGCATACACAGCGATATATCCAAGTCCTCCTCGCATTATGTTCCACCTCATTATCCATTATGCACATTACTCCGTCGAGGTTGGCCCTTGGACAGCGAAGATGCGCTTAGAGGAAGTAGGCAGCGAAGGCAAGACCGGCGGCAACAGGAAGGCCGGTTACCTTGGCGGCGGAGCCAGAGGGGACAGCACTGGAAGCGGCAGAGCCGGCAGCAGAGGCGGCAGAGCTGGCAGCAGAACCGGCGGCGCCAGTGGCCGAAGAGGCGGCAGAGCCGAGGGAGCCAGTGGCAGATGCAAGAGCAGACGAGGCAGACTCAGCGACCGAGGAGAGGGCAGAGCTCAACTCGGACTCGATAGAGGAAGCTGCGCTTGAGGCCGCGCTTGCTGCAGACTCAGTTAGCGCGCCCGAGCTGTAAACAGTGCTGAAACCAGAGGTAGTGGTTTGGACACTGCCGTCAGAGTTGGTGACGGTAGCAACGAGGGGCACGGTAGTAATAGCGGATTGGGAGGCGCTGCCAGTGGCAGAAGCACTCTCACCTGAAGCGGTACCAGTAGCGCCCGAGAGGGAACTGAGGGCCGGGTTCAGGATGCTAAGAGCCGCAGAGGGAGAGGCAGTGGCGCCGGAGGTGAGGGTCGACTGGACCTCTAGAGTGGAGTCAGTAAGAGTTGCTCAGTAGTGATAGAAGGGCACGTACGCTGGCACTGGCTCTGAGCGAAACCGATGGCCTGAGCAGCCTGCTCAGTGTCGCAAGCCTGCTGGGAGCAGTCGCGAACACCGTAGGCCCAGTTAGACTGGGAGCAGAAGCAACCCTGGTCACCAGCAGGGCAAGAGTACTGGGTGTTGGCAATGAGGTTCATGTTGTTGATGCACAGTTGCTGAAAGGGGTTAGCATTGTTTGCAAACACGGCAGCATTGCTGCCATCGAGGGTTGGGGCAAGAACATACTGCGCAAGAACCGAGGTTCTGGGCTGTGGCAGCGCCAGCAATGGCGGCGAGGAGGATCATAGATTGCTTCATATTGACGGTGGGTGTGTGGTGGTAGAGCAAAGGCTGCTAGGCTGGTAGTAGCTGTTGAGAGGGAGAAGAGATGCTGGCTGTGGAATGCTTAGTTGAAGATGAGGTGGGTGAGGAATCGAGATGAGAGGGAGATGCGGGCTTTATCCTTCTGAGGCGCGCAAACGGTCGCGCAGGTCGTGGCTGGTACGTGGGTAAAGCTCCTGCCCTGTTACCTCACATGGCGGCTGGTCGCTCCGCAAACAAATGGCTGGCGCAGTGACACCAACTCGTGCTAGCCGCGCAGTTGGGCTAGCACCTATCAAATCCTGCCGGGGTCCTAGCAGGCACGATCGCTTGCAGCAAGGAACAGGATTCTGGGCTATGCGCTGATTCGTCAATGGGTCGCGCTTGCCGAGCCCAGGCACGATCAGGACTAGACCACCAAGTTTTCCAGTTTTATGATGTCGTTGACGGGCCGCCATCTTCGCCTGTGCTTGACTTGCATGTACAACTCACGGCGCTGCACCAAGACGAAGAGGCACGGTTGTCCAAGTAACCTGCCACACCAGCAGCGCACTCATCCTACTGCTGCACAGTCGATCCAGGTCACGGTGGCACGACGAGAACGAGTCGTTCACACTTACACAGGAGGGCCCCTGTGCCGTTGCACAATTTGCCTTCGACTGAGCGCGGCGGCAGGATAAATTGTGAAATTACCAGCGAACCTTGTTTCGTCGAAGGACCGCCTATCGACGTGACGTCCGTACAGCTTCTCGACCTGCCGTGGCCAGCGAGGCTTTGGTGGTCATCTCGTTTAACAAAACCCAGATTGTGATGGCTTTTGATCGTGGCCCAGACCCTGATCTCGTGCCAGCCGAGCTGACTTTACCAATCACTGCTGCACATCGCCAGCCTCGCGTGGCGCAGTCGCTGCTTACCATCTACGCAGCCACACTGATGCGTGGCTTTGCATCGCCCTCCAACGGCTGCGATTGGCTTGTGTCGACCTCATCCTCCGTCTGCTCGGCCAGATGCTTCTCCTCGGCTGAAGTGATGCAGTGGGTGTTCGCACCTAGACGTCAAACAGCGGTCAGCGCCCGGCGGTTTGGCGGGGGAAAGTCAGAAAAAGGACCAAATGAACGCACCTAGTTTATTGATCGTCTCCATCCACTCATCGTATGGATCTGAGTCGAACACAATTCCACCCTTGGCCCTTGGTTAGCATGAGTGTGATAGCAAGAGTTTGTCGGACTTACCCCTGCTTGGAGATACGCGATTCCATCTTTGACAAGCATGGTCCGTAGCGCGATGCACGTCTGTGGGTGATCAGCCGTGTGAACACCGTGCGCATCAGGGGCCAACTCACGTCCATAGCACCCTCGATCTGCTTATCACCATCGACGCTGCCGTAGCCGAAGTACCCCACAGCGCCAGCATATACACCGCGCTTCTCTTTCTCCAGCTCAGCAATCAATTCCATCGCCCGCACCTTGGGCGCGCCGCTCACGGTACCTGTCCACTTCTCAATACCAGGTCATGTTATGAACCGCTTGACGTACCTGCAGGGAAGATGGAGCGGAAGGCATCGAATCGTGTCTTGCCAGGTCGCAGCACGCCCGACACCTCAGAGACCAGATGCTGGACATGCGAAAACTGGATCAATCAGCAAATTTACTCCGATGAGATCGCGTTTCGCATGAGTGCGATGACGATCAGTGGTGTTCGTACCTTTTGCACAACCATCAGCTTATCCACGCGAGTGGAGAGTGGGTCACAGACACGATTTACGTCATTTCGCGCAAGGTCCACCAGCATCACCTGTGAAGTCGGTCAATGTTGGGCTTGACGTAGAAACTGGGTCAGACCCACGTGCTCGGCCCGGTCCTTCAGTGAATTGGAAAGCTCCTTGGCCAGGGCTGCATCTTCCTGCAGGGTTTTGCCCCTCTTGACGGTCCCGGCAATGGGATGTGTGATGATCCTGCCCTGCTCCTCCTTGACCAGCAACTCGGGGCTGGCACCCACAATCTGGAAATCCTCGCAGTCGACGAAGAAAAGATACGGCGAGGGATTGACGTTTCGCAGGTTCCTGTAGACATTGAAGGGGTGCAGCGAGGTAGGCCGTGCGAAGCGCTGGGAAGGGACAGCCTGAATGATGTCGCCAACGGCGATGTGCTTCTTGAGCTCCTTGACGTGGCCCTCGTAGCCTGCCTGGCCGATGTTGGACGTGTACTCGTTTCCAAGCTTGATCGGTCCCTGCTCGGGCATGGGCACCTCCTTGTCCTTGAGAATTGTCACGTACTTCTTGAGTGTAGCCCTGGCCTCGTCGTATGCCTGTTCCAAGTTGTCGAGGCTGTCCGGGACTTTGACGTACGTGATGACCTTTACAACCTGTGCAAAGTGGTCAAGGGCCACGATCGTGTCATACAGCATGAACAAGCTCTCCGGCACACCCAGGATATCCTTCACGTCGTCTCGCCGTGTCTTGGGCTCGAAGTACTTGACGCAGTCATATCCAACGTAGCCAACAGCGCCACCGGTCATGGGAGGAAGCTGTATGGAGGGCACGGTCGCAACTCTGCTCTTTGCAAGCTCCTTCTCCAGGCTGGGGAGCGGGTCGGCCTCTTCGCCATGGCCGGGCCCGGTCTTGATGACTTTGCGAGGGTCTGCGCCGACAAAGCTGTATCGCCCGATTGTCTCTGTGGTCGCAGCGCTCTCAAACAGGAAGGAGAGCTTCGACTCGGACCTGCACGCCTGTCAACCCTTGCCGAAGGGCACTCGGATGAGTCACGAACTCACTTCGCGGAAACCTTGAGGTATATGCTCGACGGCGTCAGGAACTCGGCGGATATAGAGGAGAAGACGGGGACGAGATTGGGCGGGTTCGGCGAATTGACTGCCGCAGCCAAAACCTCGCGCACCGTGTCGAGAGATGGCTGAACGCCTAGCTATTGTGGTCATGCGCTCAGCTCTGCGTGCCGCTAACGGGGGTGGGGTCGCGATAGAACATACCTGGGAGGCCATGTCGTCAAGAAGCAGCAACTGGCGCTGTGCAGGACTGCTGATTGTGTGGTAGAGGTGCTCAGGGTCAGAGTCAGACAATGTCAAGCAAGGGCTCATCTATTCAGACCCAGAACGACTGAGCGACTATCCCCAGCTTATCGACGGCCCAATCGGCGGCCTCGAATGTCCGCCCTGCGACACGATTTTCGAGAAGCATGCCCCACTACCGCCCGAGCGTTGAGCCGCCGCCCTCAGCCAATGCTTTTGTTAGCCCAAACCACTAGGACTGGCCCCCCAAGCACACACGTCACATCTGCCAACCAACTTCCGCGCGACGCTCGCGTCTGTCGCACGTCCTTCACCGTTCCCCTCTGCGCGCACCGCCGCATTTTGTCGCGCGCCATCCGTCGGCGCATATAAACGCGCATAATCCCCATTTCTGGATCGCGAACATCGACCGCCTCACAGCCGCGCCATGGACTCACCACCGCCTTCCGCGCGACCCTGGACGCCGCCCGAGACCGAGGCCTATGGGAGCCCCGAGTCGGCCTACTTCTCCGACCCCTTCAGAAACCGCACCTCGAGCAGCGCATCCGATGTGGAGCACTGCTGGCCGCTGTTGGAGCCTCGGCCAGGCACCCCTGGCAGGAAGAGCAAACGCTGCGATACACCACACGAGCCGCTCAGCGTATCCAGGCCGAAGCCACACCATACTGTCACCGGACCGGCACCATACACACCCACGAAGACCTCCAGCCTGCTCGATCACCACGCGCCCGGCGCGTTGCGCTATCCGTACACACCCGAGAGCTCGCGCATATTGCGCGCAAGCACGGTTGGTTCACTGTCGCCCGTACCGTGGGATGGTGGCTCCCACTACTCCGCTTCGCCCGTGCAATCTGCGCTGTCCTCATGCATCGCGCACTTCGAACACCTCACTGCGACGCGCGAGCTCACAGACGACCAGATGGAGTACGTCGTTGGACAGTTCGAGAACATGACCTCGTACCTCGCAGCGCCAGATGCGCAGACGAAGACGGGCACGGATGACCTATTCTCTGGGCCAGACTCACCGCGCCCTATAAGTCCCAAGCCGAAGGCGCAAGCTACAGAAGAGGACAGCAGCTATATGGCCGAGGTTGCAAAGTACATCGAGGGGGTCCAGATCTACACGGCCGACTTGAAGAGGCGATTCGACGAGACTAAGGCACTGAACGAGATCCAGCTCGCCATCATCCACGATTTGAGGAGAGATATGAGCGCGATGCAGCAGAACATGCAAGGCTCGCTCGAGTCAAGTCCTCCAAAGGAGCGGAGAGCAAGTAGTCCGCGACGGAAAGACGTCGACAGTAGTTGGGAGTCGATCGACACTGCGGTCGACGACGCTGAGAACGAAGAACTATGCAAGGCTGTTGCGCCCAAATCAGCTATGGTCGAGTCCAGCACTCAGACCGACGAGGGTAAGAGAGTCGTCGCCGCCCGCAAGCCCGTCCGACCCGTACAACGGGGGTTCTGGACTGCCATCTACGAAGCTCTTGACAGCTTCAGCGACGATCTGCATGAGCGGTGATCGCTCGTCCTCTCCATTCGAATATTTTCTTTGTTGTCTACCTCCTTCTCATTCCTTGGATATTCCAATTTCACTAGGGAACAGCCTCCCACGGCTTAGGAGGGCGTTCGTTTACAGGATTCCACACCTACACCGGTCTTGGATACGAAGCTACGAATTGCATAGCGATGGCGCATACCATTTTGTCTTTGCTCGCGCTATGGAGCGTTTAGATACCCTGAGTACATCAGAGACACTTTTCCAAGAGGTCGATTTCCTTGTAGTCCCCGTAGTCTTTTCTCAAGCCTGCTTGCTTCTCTTGCCGCGCTTATCTTTGATTAAATTCGTTTGTAATTTTCAGTATATTTCTTGATGATCATGATGCACGTGTGCTGACGCAACTCTGCAAGAGTAGTGGTTGTGGTGTGAGATCTGCCTTTGTGATGACGTGAGCCCGGATGCTACCAGGTCGGATCCTCAATGCTGTGCATGTGAACAACGTCGATTGCGTGGTTTTCATGATATTCTGGCTGAGAATATAGCCCGTACTTGGTTTATAGGTCTAGCCTAATCATGGAGGCGGTTGCTTGCGTGATCCAGGGAAGGCACGATCAAGTGGCACTCATTCTCTACTCACGACCATGCAGTTAAGGGCTGCGAAAATTCATATCTCAACAACAGCGATGTGAAAAGCGTGTCACATGCCAACTGCACTCCTCACGCAGTCCCTGTGACTCTAGGGGCCGGCACAGGGCAATATCTACACATCATAGGTGACGACGACAACTGGCCAATCTGGCGTGACGCAAATCTAAAGTCCATAGGGACAGTGCTTGCGTTGATGGCGTGCATCGTCCCTTGCATTGTCGGCATGCTGCAGGGCATGCAATGCAGCCCTTCAAGACCCTCCAAGAATTCGTCCAGAGCTAGCGACGGTGTGAACCAGAATATCTGAGGCAGCGGACACGAGCGGTATTGTCGCGTGTATGCTAGCGTCCCGCAGGCCGGGCTTCTAGGTCGTGGCTGCCTTGGTTTAGCTTGTTTCATGTTGACCGCAAAACATTGTGATGTTGAGCAGTTCGCTACCTACCCCACGACCCTGAGGACACGCTGTTGACCTCATTTGGTGAATGAAGCTCGTGCGCCACACAAACGCTCAAGGCCAGATCACCCAGCGCTTCTGGCTCCAGCTCAGCGCAACGGCGAATTTTCACTGTTGCTCGACGGGCGCCGGATATAATTAGGCAGGTGAGGCTTACCCGTCAACTAGCTGCGGCATCGACCAGGGGACCAGGCCCACTCCGCATGTTCAGTTCAGCTTCGCTGGACCATTCACTTCGACAACACCGCCAAACGCCCGTGACGAACACTGCAAGGGCTTTGCACCGACTTTTCCTACACCTTAATCGCTATTTTGTAAACTACTTCAACCTTTGACCCTGCTGCATCAATTGCAGCGTCCCGAACGTGATATCTGGCGACGAGCAACCCTAGCAACATGGAGGAGGACAAGAAGCCCGAGAGGCCAACAAGCGTGCACAGCTCCGACAAGGATGCAGTGAGTGCCTCCAGCCCCGCTCAAAGCAAGCGATCAGACCAGGAGAACACCTAACAAGTGTGCGCCGTTGCAGGACAGCTTCGAGGACGCACCTGAGATAACCCCTCGCCCCGAATCACACTCCGAGCGCTCGCAGTCACGGTCGCGGTCGCTCCTGAGCAAGCGCGAGTCCACCGAAACCACTGTCCAAGAATCCAAAGCCGAATCCCCCGCGCCTGAGGTGCCGGTGCCAGAAGTGCCTACCCGCACCAAGGGCGAGGGCGAGGCCACCGAGACATCGACCCAAGACGCTGCATCCGCCAAGTCGCCCTTGCTCACGGCACACAGAATATCAGTGATATCAGACATGGACGATGTGTCGCTCGAAGAAGGCACGTGTACCTGTTGTCTGATAGACAGCTGAGCTTCGCTGATTCGCTACAGAAGGCGCGAAAGACGCCAGCCTGTTGCCCAGATTACCACCGCGAGACTCGAGAGACTCCACAGCCTCTGCAAGCGGCCTGCAAGGTCTCTCCGGCCAGATGCCTCCTGTCAAGTTCCTTCCACCGCCGCCCCCCCCTGCCGTCCAGGAGAAGCCCGCGCCGCCCGCAACGGTATCAAGAAAGCTCACAAGCCCTTTCGCGTGGCTCTCGCGCAATAGTTCGAGCAAGAAGCCCGGATCTCCGCCTCAGCCTCTCGCCGACCGCCGTAATACCAACGCGTCCATCCAGTCTTTGGGTAGTAACCCAGAGCTCACACTGAGCAGGATCGACGATGAAGATCAGAGAGGCAACAACCGATCTAGTCAGGGCAGTCTGCGTGATCGCTTCAAGGCGCTGAGGATGAGGGAGGAGGCTGGGATTACCATGGCCGACGAAACAATTGGAGAGGGAGGGCTTGGGATAACGGGCCCAGGAAGTGTTGTTGAGAAAGAGGCTGTGACCAATCCTGGACCCGGCAGTCTCTCTCGACAGTCAACTATCAATCCCGCTCTTGCGCCAGGCACAGCAGCTGGTTTCGCAACCGGTCCTTCCCCCGAGGAGGCAGAGCCAGTCGACTGGGATCTGTGGCAGTCTGTTGTGAACGAGGGTCCCGCTGCGATTGCTCAGACCAGCCCAGAGGAGCTGAACCGCGCTGTTTCCAACGGCATTCCACAAGTCATCCGTGGTGTCATCTGGCAGGTCCTAGCGCAAAGCAAGAACGAAGCACTTGAGCAACAGTACAGGGAGCTCGTAGCTCGAGGGACAGACAAGGAGCACATGTCAGTCCAGAGCTATGCGAACGGAAGCGGGAAGGAGAGGGATTCAATTGCATCCTCTGCGTCGTCAATCCACTCGGACTACTCCACGCCTGCTACAACGACAGGAAGCACGAATGCTCCTCTTGGATCGCCATCAGCAATGTCGGAGAGCTCCGAGGATCCCATCAAACTCCAAGCTAAAATGGCTGCAGAGAAGAAGGACAAGACTGCAGCTATCGTCAAGCTGGAGAAGACCATCAAGCGCGATCTGGGCGCACGGACAAGCTACTCGAAGTACCTCATGGCGGCCGGCTTACAAGACGGACTCTTCGGTATCTGCAAAGCGTACGCCCTTTACGACGAAGCTGTAGGCTATGCCCAGGGCATGAATTTCATTGCTATGCCGCTGCTGTTTAATATGCCAGAAGAGGAGGCCTTCAGTCTGTTCGTCACCTTGATGAACAAGTATGGCCTGCGAGACCTGTTCGTTGCGGACATGGCTGGACTACACCTGCATCTGTACCAGTTTGAGCGACTGCTAGAGGAATTCGAGCCTGCCCTTTATTGTCATCTGCGCCGCAGAGAAGTCAAGCCTCAGCTCTATGCCACGCAGTGGTTCCTTACACTATTCGCCTACCGGTTCCCCTTACAACTGGTTGTCCGCATATACGATCTGATTCTGACCGACGGTCTGGAAGCGGCCATCTTGAAGTTCGGCCTTGTGCTCATGCAAAAGAACGCCGAGACGTTGCTCGGTATGAAGGACATGTCCACTCTGACCAACTTCTTGAAGGAGAAGCTTTTCGACGTCTACATTGACAAGGCACCATCAGCCAACTCCATCCTTGAAAACGGATTCTTTGGCTCGACCAGCGGGATTGATAAGGAGATCTACCGCGCTGATCAGCTTGTTAAGGACGCTGTTGCAGTCAAGATCATGCCAGAGATGTTGAAGGAGTACACAGCCGAGTGGAAAGAGCAGCAGCGGATTGAGAAAGAGCGCGAGACTGAGCTGCAAGGTCTCAAGGAAAGGACAGCGACCTTGGAAACCAAGGTTAGGTCACTCGAGAACCGCGCCGAGCAGTCCGACAGGGAGCACGTTGAGATGGCGTCTGAGCTCATCAAGACCAAGGTCGAGAATGAGCAGCTCGCAGAAGAGAACGAGACACTGAAGACAAAGGTTGAGGGACTTCAGAAGATCGTGGACACGCAACCGGAAGAGGTAGAAGCGAGGTTGAAGAGCGATATGGAGACCGTGATGCAGAAGAATATTGTGGTTCACAACGAGAATCGAGCTCTGGAAGAGCAGATGGCTGAGATGGAGCAGGAGCTGGTGGACACCAAGATGAAGTGGGCGACAGTAAGCAAAACCAAGCACATCCGTAAGATGCAACAACTAACATGTTTCAGATCAACGAGGAACACGAGACGCTTAAGCAGAAGTGGAACAGCATCTCCCAGATGATGAGGTAACCTCAGCCTCTGGGTCTTGTTTTGTTTTGTCATTGCCGGCGTTTGGGTTGACTTGAATGTAGCACATCGGCACCATCAGATCTATCTGCAACCTGTCTCCTCGCGTCGAACGCGCACTAATTCGATTCGCGATGTTTATATTCGCCACAGCCGCTGAAACTCCTGGGAGCTGGCGTCTCTTATTTCCAGTACACATGCTTCGGCAGCTCTCAATGTATACCCATTGACCGACCACACAACCTGTCCTGTCGTATCCTGTTCCAGTTTTTGCTCGCTACCTGGATAGTATTTGTGTGTATGACGGACTTGCGGAAAAGTGGTTTGGAGAGTTGGATACAGTGACATCCTTACAACTCGCTGGAGTTGCTACAGTAGTCATAGTCCTAGCATATCAATGTGAGAGCATCCCGGTCATCTAGTATGCGTTCCGAGTCAAGAAGGAACCTCACGTCCACCATCAGTAAATCTGACTTACCTCAGCATCGGCTGGTGAAGGTACGACGCGCACGTGCCAAGCACGCTAGTTCTTTTGGGCGCACCAGCCTCGACTCTTTCTCTTTTCCACCGGCGCCACCCAAGATCGCAACACGACAACCACCACTGCGCAGCCAAGCCAATCGCAGTGTCACCCTCTCCCATTACTTTTGAAGTGCTTGCGACCCATTCTTCATAGGTATCTCGATTCTGCGACCTACTTTGACACCATGGCCGCACCTCCCGATCTGAACGCCATCCTGGCAGCTCTTGGTAAGCAGACTTCGACACGTCTGACACGCGCGATCTAATTCTTCAATCAGCAGCCGGACGACCGGGCTCTACTCCCTCTCAAACACCGCAACAGCACCCACCTCACCAGCCCCCGCCTCCCGGCATGCCTGCAGGCTTCCCCGGCGCCATGCCCACTGTGGCACCGCCTCAGATTCCCGGCTTCAACTTCCCGCAGCCCACGAGCTCTGGCAGTCTCGACCTTAGCGCAATCAAGCCCGTCAGCTCTGGCTCAGTCAGTATCCAAGACGCGCTCGCGAAAGCGCGTGGCTTTGCGGCACAAAAGGGCCTTGCCTTTGATGCGCGTCCAGGTATGGACCAGCAGTGGCCAGGCATGGGTGGACCACCGCAGACTTACGCTGTGCCAGCTCATCAAGAAGACCCGCGGTTGAGCGGACGCCCTTACCGACGTTCGCGATCCCGCTCCAGGTCGCCGCAGCGCCGAGACAACCCCCGTGATAGCTACAACCCTTACCGAGATGAGCGTCGTGATGAACGTCGCGGTGCGCCTGGCGGCTACGGCCGCGATCGCTCTCGCTCCCCCACTAGGCGCAACACCTTTTCCCCTCCCCGCCAGCAGTATGGCGGCAATGATCGTGCCACTCCCCCCAATGACAACTCTGAGGTGATTCTCATTGATTCTTCGCTCGTTGGTCTCGTCATTGGACGACAAGGTGAGAGTCTTCGTCGCATTGAACAGGAGTCTGGCACTAGGATCCAGTTTATCAATGGCCCTGAGGCCGGACCACAGCGTCAGTGCCGCATCACAGGAGCTCCTAGTTCCCGTATCAGCGCGAAGCGCGAGATCAACCGCATCATTGAGGAGAACGGCGGCAACCCTGCTCGTGAGACTGGTCGCAACGCTCGTGCTCCTCAGAAGGCGACGAGTCAACAGCCTGCCCTTCGTGAAGGTGAACAGTCATCTCAGATCATGGTCCCTGACCGTACTGTTGGTCTCATTATCGGTCGTGGCGGCGAGACCATCCGTGACCTGCAAGAGCGCAGTGGCTGCCATGTCAACATTGTCGGTGAAAACAAGAGTGTGAACGGTCTCCGTCCTGTGAATCTCATTGGAAGCCCTGCTGCTGCTGCCCATGCTAAGGAGCTGATCATGGAGATTGTCGACAGTGACACCAAGCAGATGGATGGTGGTGGTCAGCAACAACCCCAGCATCAGCAACAGAACCAGAGGCGTGACCTCGACCCCTACGGCGGAGGCGGTGCTGCCGGTGGAAACAAGATTAATGACAGCATCATGGTCCCTTCAGATGCAGTTGGCATGATCATCGGCAAAGGTAACATTGATCCTTCGGTTAGACTAGGATCTGTGCTAACATCAAGTAGGAGGTGAAACCATCAAGCAAATGCAGTCTGAGACTGGCTGCAAGATCAATGTTTCGCAAGCCTCCGGTGCCGACATCGAGCGCGAGATTGGTCTTGTTGGATCCCGTCAAGCCATCGACGATGCTAAGCAAGCCATCTGGGATAAGGTCGATCAAGTGGTAAGATTACACCAAGACCTCTTCGATATACAACCTGACACTTTGCAGCGAGAGAAGAACAACAGCAGGCGACGTGACAACGGTGGTCAAGATAACAGTTACTCACAGCAGTCACAGCCTCCGCAGTCATTCGGCCAGCCCGCCCCCCAAGGGCAGCCTCCTGTGCCTGCAGCAGGCGCTCCAGCCGGCGGCGCAGCTGACCCATATGCCATCTACGGTGGCTACCAGAACTATCTGGCGATGTGGTACGCATCATTTGCTCAACAACAGCAGCAAGGAGGCGCACCACCTGGTCCGCCCGGTGCCTAGGCTGCATTTCGCCCGTGATCATGCACATGATGCTGAGACCGCTGCTCGATGCCGCTGCTTGATGCTGCTTGCTTGCATGAATGCTGCTTGGAATGCTTTACGTGGCATGATTATACCCGACTTTCTGGATTTCTTCTCGACCTATCTTGACATGCGGACCACAATACCGCTTTAATCGCCGATGACTTGCGCTGCACTGCGATGCGATGCTTACTCGATGTTCACGCCGACTTCGACCTCGTACGTACATGGGCTGCTTGACCTCGCTGCTTTCGACGGATCTTTCAATGGCCGTCGTCGCCTAGTCTGCGTACTCTTATGCATCTCGCTTGAGCCATGCCTATCTCCGGATGAACAATTGCGCTTGAGTCCTTGTCGACTTGCGATGCTATGATGCGCCACTCTACGTTCCCGCTCGACTGATCTTCGAAGCTGCTTTTCTGCGACTAGACTGTGCCAAGATGTTCTCAGTGCAAGCACTTATCTTCGACATTCTCCGATCATTTCTCGACACATTACCAAAAGTCATACGTTCGTGTCTCGATGGAGGATGACTTTTATGGGCTGGCGCTAGTGGTGGATAGGGCGGAGGGCAGACGATGCTTTGAAGTCATCACCTGAATGACCTGGCGAAGCAGTATGAGTAGTGCTTGAATTAGCAAAACGCTAAGTACGTTGCTGCAATCCAAGTCTTTTCTGCTCACAGTGAATCTGGCTCCTCGGACCCAGAACAGAACGTCTTGCTCATCGGCTACCAAAAATACAATGCACTGTCAGCGTGACTGAGTAACTTCATTCGGTCGTAGCTGACCTCCACAACGCCTCTCGCACTTTCTCAGACTACCTGCATGCCCCTGCAGCGAATCTGGACAGCCAGCTGCACGCCTCATGCAAGCGCGGGGTACTTCCCCGCATTCTCTCAGCCCCGAGAGATCAGTGAGCACCAGTTCAGCACACAAGGGTCATTCGCCGTCTCGAGAGGCGCCGCTCAGCATGTAGGATTGGCCCGTCAGCATCTAAGGCTTGGAGCCCCACCGTATCTGCAGCTTCAAGATGGCGCTTACTTCAGCTGCAAGACTATAAAGGAAAGAACACCTGGACGTCAGGAAACCCCACACCTCGAGTCCAAAGGCCCAAAGCAACTACAAATATGACTGTCAAGGAGTTCACAAGCAAGAGCTACGGTGCGTCTACTCCGATCCAACATGATCGACCAATCAAATGATCATCCCGTAGCACGTAAGCTGATGATCTACAATTAGACTACGTTGTCTGCGGCGGCGGAACTGCAGGCCTAGTCATTGCTGCTCGTCTGAGTGAGGATCCCAACGTCTCCGTCGCAGTCCTCGAGGCCGGCGGTAATGGCCTGAACGACATCTTGATCGATGGCCCGAACCTATTCACGCAGCTGTGGGGCAAGCCGCAGTACGATTGGGACTACAAGACTGTCCCGCAGGAGGGTACGGTTGGCAGAGTCCACGGCTGGGCCCGCGGCAAGGTCCTCGGCGGCAGCTCGGCAATCAACTACAACATGTTTAGCATGGCGTCGCGTCAGGATCTGGATAATTGGGCTGAGCTTGGTAATCAAGGGTGGGACTTTGACGGCCTTGTCCCGTATTATAAGAAGTTTGAGATATATCACCCGGCGAGTGAGACGTTGGGGAAGGGACTATCCAATGAGTATCTGGACAAGGAGCTGAGAGGCACGAATGGCCCAATTCATGTAAGTTCGAAGGCGGAATCGATTAAGAAAAAGACCCTGACAGAAGTAGGTCTGCTTTGCCGAGACGGATGTAGCGCCAATGCAGGACATCTGGCCGAAGACCGTGCTCAATGCAGGCTACAAAGAGGCAGAAGGTGATTACCCAACAGTGCCCTCTCATTCACAATGGGTCTATCCTCATACTAACCCGTACAGATCCCCGCACAGGCTCTGCCATTGGCGGTTTCAACCAGCTCAACACCATCGACCCGCGACACAACAGACGCAGCTATGCTGCAAGAGACTATTACGAACCCAATGCTGGCCGACCAAATTTGGCCCTCCAGCTCAATGCGCTGGTGTCGAAAATCGAGTTCCAGAAGGATGGCGAGGAGGCGACAGCCACGGGTGTCCAGTTCATCGTCGATGGCACCACGCATACGGTCAAGGCCAAGAGGGAAGTCATCGTCAGTGGTGGAGTGATCAACTCGCCGCAGCTACTGGAGCTGTCTGGCATTGGCTCTCGCGCTGTTCTGGAGAAAGCTGGTGTGGAGATTATTGTCGACCTGCCTGGCGTTGGTGAGAATCTGAATGATCACACGGCGACGGCTGCTGTGCTGGTGATTCGCCTCAACATCCTGTTCGGTCAGAAGACTGACATTTCTAGGGAACCATCGACGAAGTGCCTTCGGCCGAAGCACTTATGCGCAACCCAGAGATCATGCAGCAAGCCCTCCAGGCCTACATCGAGCACAAAGCCGGTCCTTTCGTTGGCGCACCAACAACCACCGGCTTCGCATCCCTCGAGAAGATCCAGCCCAACTTCGCAGACGCAGAAACCCACATCTATTCCCTCCTCGCCGAGCACCACAACAAGAACCCCACTGCCGATCCAGCAGGTCGCAACGCCCTCCTTGCACGCCAACTCCTGGACCCCAAGGAGGCAGTGTGCCAGATCATCGGCCTCTCCACCGGAGCAAATCTAGCAAACACGGATAACCCTTCCAAACTCTTCCCCTCTGAAGAGGATGGCATGTGGATGACGCTGGGTGTCTGCTCGACGCGCTCCCTAAGCCGGGGCTCAGTGCACATCACCTCCGCCGACGCCACGGTCTATCCGACAATCGACCCGGCGTACTTCTCACACCCGCTGGATGTGGACATGATGGCACGAGCTCTGCTGCACACCCTGAGCTTCATGGAGATTGAGCCGCTGAAATCGGCACTCAGGCGCGAAGCAGACGGCACGCCTGTGGTTGCCAAGACGAGTGGTAAGTTGCCCACGAATCTGGACGAGGCGAAGGGCTTCGTGCAAGCGAATACCGTCACCGAGTATCATCCGGTCGGGACTTGTGCGATGCTGCCGAGAGACAAGGGCGGTGTTGTTGATCATGAGTTGAGAGTGCATGGCACGAGGAATGTTAGGGTGTGCGATGCTAGTATCTTCCCGCTGCATGTACAGGGGAACATTGTGAGTTTGGTGTATGCGATGGCTGAGAAGGGGGCGGATTTGATCAAGGTTGGTGCGAACGGGACGAATAGTGTGAACGGACACTAAAGATGTGCGCTGTCGCCGGAGGGGAATAGGTGGTGCGAAGAAAAACTGCGAAACAAATATCGCGTCTGTAAAGATCGGATGTTGTTGAAGTGAAAGCTCTTCGTTGGACTTCAGTAATAGAGGGGTCAGTACGCTCACTAGACATCAGACGAGTCCTCTCTCTACTGCTTCTAATGTCGTCATCAGAATCGCTAATTATCTCGCCGTCGATATCTCAATACGGCTAGGAACGCCGCCCTCACAAGCTACACACCGTCCAGCCGGCTGGTCACAGCAGCTCGAGCCTTGTAACAGAATCATGTCGGGCAACAAGAGGAAGAGTCGCCGACTACGTGTGCGTCTGGCCGTTTTTCGGATCTCCATCCAGCTCGCGACTAGAGGGCGATAGTAAGTCGGCGTCACGTAGACTTGCTAGATGTGCTTTGTCGTATCCTGCGAACCACCGGGCTCCACTACTCTGGATCACAAACTTGACTTCTTCGTCGTTGTTCGGCTTCAGATTGGCGGATGCAGGTTTGTTCGTCGCGGCCGGGCAGATATTCTGGTACTCGTAAAGAGCGTCGACGCTGAGTTCCGCAGTCCCGTGCTCATCATCGAGCTTCCCTTCGCAGATGGTTGGGACCGCGGGTCATGCTTGTCTATCGTCTGACGTTGCTCCTGTACGCCATACTTGGACTGGCACATGGTCATTACTCTCTGGCACTGGGAGATGTGTCCAAGCGAAGGTATGGCGAAAGTAGCATGCGCGATGACTGTCAAGATCGAGACATGGAAGGTTCGACCTGGGATATTGTTGGCTGTTCAGCCACGCCTGTGCCTTGCGGTGTTCGGAAGAAGATGTGAATGAGAAGCTACAATCGTAAAGCAGAAACGGCACCTGGGTAATTACCATGAAGAGAAAGGAATATAATTAACGGGGCCTTTTGGCCGCACCGTTCCGCTATGTATCATAAAATCATGTAAACCTCTAAGGAACTTGCTCAATCTACCACCTGATCTTCTTGTCCTTGCCGATGTACTCATCAATGATATCAAGATAGTACTCCTTCAAGTCCTCCACCTTGGGGATATCATCCGACTTGCTGTACAGATCGTACGGGTTGAACGCCCTGACAGCCTCGAGCATCTTGTGGTCCTTCTCGTTCATCATCCACCTGTACGCGTTCTCCTTGTGCCAGGGGTAGAAAGAGTGGTAGCGGATCATAGCCAGGCCCTCATCAGGGATGGTCGACTGGTCCTTCATGATGTGGTATAGGTACTCGTCGTGGCCCCAGGACAGCATGACGTTGTCCATGCCGCAGCCAGGCACGTAGATGCCGTGCTCAGTGCTGTAGATCTCGTCGTTGTAGTCAGGGTTGGCCTTGAATGTGTCGGGGTAGATGATGCGCTTGTCGAAGGCACAGCCGACGGGGAATGTGTCGCCAACAACGTCCCACTGGCCCTGTGCGTCGTAGAAGAAGAGAAGCTTGCCCAGGTCGTGGATCAGACCGACGAGCTGGAACCAGCGGGGCTTGCCGTCGCGGCGGATGGCCTCGGCGGATTGGAGAAGGTGGTCGATCTGGGAGAGGGATGTGTCGGGGTCGGACTCGTCGATCAGTGTGTTGAGCTTCTCCATGGCTTCCCAGATGGTCATCTCCGCACGGGTCTTGCCGTGGAAGTGATTACGGGCGCGCAGATTATAGGCGACGGTCTGCTTCTCGTGCTGCTCGCGGTAAAAGTTTTTGACGCGGTCGCATGCGTCCTCGTACTGGCGAAATTGTGTCTTGTCCTTCTCGGAATCGAACTCGGACTGTGCGTAGATGTCCTTCTCCTCTTGTGTGGCGGTGCCCTGCTTGACCTTCATAGTGGCCTTGAGAACGTTCACATCGTCGATGGCATCAGAGGTAGCCTCAAGGGCGAGGCCATCGCGGTGGCCGTTGAAGTTCTCAGCCACGTTGGGCTCCTCAAAGATGGCGCCTGGTGCCATTATGGTGTGATGTACGTGGTGGGTTGTTAGGCGTGTTCGCCAAATCTTCCAGGTGATAATGGTGTAGTCTGGAGACGGGATGAATAGACAAAGCTGAGAAGAAAGGATGATGATAATGATTTAGAGGGCGGCGCGCAGTGAAAGTACTTATCCTCCTGTTACCCCAGCCTACATCGGCGGGTCCCTTCTAAGTTGAGTAACATCACCATCTAGAAATAGGCTCTCTATGGACAGAGAATTCTCATAGTCCATCTCAGGTCCACTGAAACGAGAAGCCCCCGCGATGAAGAGCTCGAAGTAGCATGCGGGGAAATTCTGCCCGCGCGGCAGATCGCATGCGCGAGATCTGGGGATTCTGGAAACCAGCACTGACGGACCCACCGCAGAAATGTGTGGCTGGTGGTTGGTTGGCCTTTCTTAGCCTTCACATCGTCGAGCGGTTTGTGGACCCTCAGAGTAATAGCGGCGAGACAAGGCCCGCTTGAGATCAGACAGAGTAATTCTCGCCGCTCCTCCAGTGCCGCGACACTAGTGTCGGTTATTGTTGTGATCATGCGGGAGCGCTGCGTGATGACGAGCTTCAGCGACAAGGCAGCTCACGTGATGGCTACACGTGCTTCGGTCGAGAGTTCCCCGACAGATATGAAAGAGGCAAGGACACCCACTTGGCAAACAGCCTCCTGAAAACTTTTCCGTAGACGGAGCCGCAGCGGCGCGCATCAACGTTGTGCCAGCCTCCAGCTGTTCAGCGCGCGGGCTCTGCTGCCCCGCGGTGGGGCAGTTTCGGCTCTCGGAAGAATTAATCTCATCAATCAGAGCGTGACGTCGGCGCGTAGCTCTCCTCATACGGCGTTCCAAGCCATCCAAGCCATGGACCCCAATACTATCCCCCACCATATTAGATACATGTACCCAGCGCCTCCATGAATCCGGCCCTTTCAAAGTTCATTCTTAAGGCCACTCCTGACTCTATTCTCCACCCACAGCCCGAAATGAATACCGCAATCCCCCTCAACACTGGCGCTACTATCCCCGCCCTCGGCTTGGGAACGTGGCAGTCTGCACCTGGTGAGGTCAAGAAGGCTGTTATCCACGCCATTGAAGGCGGATACAGGCACATTGACTGCGCCTACTGCTACCAGAACGAGGACGAGGTCGGTGAGGCTCTCCAGGATGTCATTTCGCGGGGCATCGTGAAGCGCGAGGACCTCTTCATTACCAGCAAGCTCTGGTGCACATTCCACACCCGCGCCGAGGAGGGTCTGCAGAAGAGCTTGGATCTCCTGAAGACTCCCTACGTCGACCTCTACCTCATGCACTGGCCGGTGCCCATGAACCCCAACGGTGAGTACCCTGTTATCGCTCAACAGACTAGATGCTCACGCTCGCAGGAAACCACCCTCTCTTCCCCAAGCTCGAGGATGGCAGCCGTGACATCGACCACTCCATCACACACGTCGATGCATGGAAGAACCTCGAGAAGCTGATCCAGACACATCCCGAGAAGGTCAAGGCTATCGGTGTCGCCAACTACTCCGTTAAGTACCTCGAGAAGCTGCTCGCCAAGGCCACCATCACACCCGCCGCCAACCAGATTGAGAACCACCCTCTGCTGCCCCAGCAAGAGATCGTCGACTTCTGCAAGCAGAAGGGCATTCACATCACTGCGTACAGCCCACTCGGCAGCACCGGCTCGCCGCTCTTCAAGGACGAGGGCGTCATTGCGGTCGCGAAGAAGCACGACGTTGCTCCAGCCACGGTACTGCTGTCCTACCACCTTGCGCGCAACTCGTCTGTGCTCGCCAAGTCTGTGACACCTAGCCGCATCGACGAGAACCGCAAGCTCATCTCGCTTGACAAGGACGACATTGAGCAGCTTGAGGCTGTCCAGAAGAAGAACGGTCCTACAAGATACGTCTACCCGCCGTTTGGCGTTGATGTTGGCTTTGCCGACAAGCCTGGAGGTATTGACCTCTCCGGTTGACTGGAGAGCAAGCTGTAGGTATACCCAGATAGACAAAAGGTTACGATTGAATGAAAGATGTTACGCCATGCCGGTGCACCGAAAGACTCTACTTCAAATGCGCGTCGTCTCGAAGTTGCTCTGTCATTGTGCAGAGTGACTCTAGTACGGAGTTCTCGCTCCCTGAAAGCTACTGAAGTTCAAGTTTGCCTGCTGCCTCGTTTAAACATGTAACACTCACGTATACCTCAGCCATTATCAAGTTACTACCATCTCAGCTTCGACATTTCCATGATGGAAGTCAGAGTCTTCAACTACAGCAATCTAAGTCTATGCAGCACCTCGACCATTCTACCTACCCATCCACCCGCCATCAACAGTCAACACCTCACCAGACACATACGCACTCGCCGCGCTCCCAAGGAACACCACTGTGCCCTTAAAATCCTCCGGGCTCCCCCACCTACCCGCAGGTATCCTACTAAGAATACTCTCGGCGCGCTTCTCATCCTTGATCAGCGCCTCGTTCATATCCGTCGCAATATACCCCGGCGCAATCGCATTCACACTAACGCCCTTGCTCGCCCACTCATTGCTCAGCGCCTTGGTCAACTGACCCACGCCACCCTTCGACGCCGCGTACGCAGGCACAGTGATCCCGCCCTGGAAGGTCAGGAGGGATGCAACGTTGATGATGCTGCCGCGGCGCTGCAGGGGCAGGTCTGCGGGCTGGCTGAGCATGTGTGCGCCAATGTCCCGGCAGAGCGTGAATACGGAGGTCAGATTGACCTGGAGCACGGCGTTCCAGTCTGAGTCTGGGAATTGGTGCGCGGGGTGCCGTTTCTGGATGCCGCCACAGTTGAGCAGGATGTGGACTCTGTGACCGTCCTTCAGGATCTTGGGGGTGAGCTCGGTCACGCTCTCGTTCGAAGATAGATCGGCCGTGTAGATCGTGGCTTTACGGCCGAGATTTTCGACAGCTTGTTTGGTTTGCTGGTTCGAGTCGTCGCGCTGGGGAGCGGTTAGTGCGACCTTGGGAGGTTTGGTGGGGTGAGTGTACCTGTACGAGGAGGATGTCTGCGCCTGCTTCGGCGAGGGCAATGGCCATCGATTGACCGATTCCTCGTGTGCCGCCTGTGACGAGGGCTGTCTGGCCCTCAAGTGAATAAAGCTGCTGTACGGTGGTCATGGTGCTGTCAAGCTTTCAAGCTGGTATGTAACCGGAACAACGATGCTGTGATCGGAATCGCTTTGGAAGATGACCTTGAGTGTAATAGATTTAAGATTCTACGAAAACAGAAGAGCCTGGAGCGGATATCAGCTGAGCGATTTTCAGATCTCGAAAAGGTGCGGCACTTGTTACTCGGCGCTTCATGCTGCAATCTTGGGTCAACATTCAGACGGGCCTCGGAACGCGACCCCACACTTTCAAACGCCGACGCGCGAGCAGACGCCGACGTGGGAAGCTCCACGACCTCGTGTGTTTGGGTAAAGCTCGCCGCATGCGCGAAATAGTTTTCCGTGGGACGGTAAGCCGAGCGTGATCTCTTCCTCTCACTATCCTCTTACCCTGATTGCTATTTTCTAGCTTTGCAGTGAACAACTCTTCGATCCGATCTTGTCCAGCAAATCGTTCAGCAACATCAACCTACAATGTGCGCAACACACAGCCAGACGGCGACAGAGAGCACGCCAGATGTCTCAAGCCAGCAGCAGATCCGCGCATCCGTCTTACACGGTGCGAAAGATCTGAGGATCGTAAGCCATATTACCCAGAAAATGCTCGAAGTTCCAGCTAACTCGCGCCGCAGGAATCGCGCTCAATCTTCCCACCAGGCCCAACAGACATCCAGATCAGCATCCGCTCCACAGGCCTGTGCGGATCAGACCTACACTACTACAGACACAACCGCAATGGCGATATCCTCGTGCAAGAGCCGCTTTCTCTCGGCCACGAATCTGCAGGTGTCGTTGTTGATGTTGGCTCAGAGGTCAAGGACTTCAGTGTTGGTGACAAAGTAGCGCTCGAAGTTGGCCTGCCGTGCGAGCAGTGCGAGAGGTGTAAGGAGGGGAGATACAACATTTGCAAGGGCATGAGGTTTAGGAGTAGTGCCAAGAGCTTCCCTCACGCACAGGGAACGTTACAGGACAGGATCAACCATCCTGCGGCGTGGTGCCACAAGTGAGTTGAAAACGAACGTTGTGAGAGAATTATGCTGATTGGTGCAGGCTGCCTGAGAATATGTCGCTCGATTTGGGTGCGCTCTTGGAGCCTTTGAGTGTGGCAATTCAAGCCGCGAAGAGGGCGCAGCTGCAAGCTGGTTCCACAGTATTAGTCTTCGGTGCGGGTGCTGTCGGTCTGCTGGTCGCCGCAATGGCGAAGATCTCCGGTGCGGGCACGGTTGTCATTGCAGACATCGACCAAGGGCGGGTTGACTTCGCAGTGCAGAACAACTTCGCAGACCGAGCATTCACAGTACCAATGAAGCGCGGCAACACGATTGAGGAGCAGCTCGATATTGCGAAAGAGACGGCTGCGGCAATCGGGAAAACACCACGAGGCAGCGCTGGAGAGGTTGGTGAGGTCGACGCGGTATTTGAGTGCACTGGTGTGCCATCGTGCGTGCAAGCATCAATATACGTAAGTAATATTCCCCGACAAGCTGGATAGTCGCTGACATCACAGGCCGCACGACCCGGAGGTAAGATGCTGCTCATCGGTATGGGAACACCAATTCAAACCCTGCCTATCTCCGCTGCGGCACTCCGCGAAGTCGACATTCTCGGCGTGTTCAGATATGCAAACACATACCCGACCGGTATCGAGGTCGTGTCGAAGAAGGGGCCTGACTACCCAGACTTCTCGAAGCTCGTCACACATAGGTTCAAGGGTCTCGAGTCAGCAGATGAGGCGTTTGAAATGGCTGGCAAGACAAAGGATGACAACGGCAATCTCGTCATCAAGGTCGTGCTTGAGACCGGCGAGGAGAAGGCAAATCTGTGAGCATGTTGTGGTTGTAGATACCTCCGGCGTTGGGAGAGCTCATTGTTGTAGATGCCTTGTTGATACTGTGACCAAAAGTAATAACGTATGCGGAGAAGAATCCCGACGATCACACTAGACTGTGCTCAGGTACGTCCCATATCGTGACCCTGCTGACGCTCAAAGGCCATCGCAACAGCCGTCACATTAGTTTGCAGTCATCAGCCTCGCTGCGACAAGTGTTGACTTGGATTCGCCTTCTTCGCGTGTGTCAAAAAGCCGAAGCGCTTGATGTGGTGGAGTTTTGCGGGGTGGGCGTTCTCAATGGAGAATATCTCCCCGTCTGGCCCAGATCTGCAGAGGCCCTAACGAACTGCGGCTTCACATTGCTCCACACCGTCGTTCTCAGCATTTGCAAGAGAACATCACGATTTCTGGTACAGCGTGGTCACTTGGTGTCTCTGATCCCGAGGCCTTCCACGTGTGGACAGTCGAAGTGTCAATGTCTCAACAGTTTGGAGAAAGTCGGCGCGAATACTAACAGTGCCTGGCGGAGCATGCAGGCAAAGTGTGGAGAATAATGCTCTTTGGAGCGCCTGTACAGGCTCGATTTCTTGGACGTAGTATGTTCAGCTCAAGATGGATATTTCTGAGCCAGATCCAATGCTTTGGACCCTGGGAACTATGGCCGTGGATCTTTTTGGGTGGTGAAGTCGGTGCTCGCTGGAGACATAACTTGTTCAATCGTCCTCTCCGCACATAGTATCACACTTCTTTACTCTCCAATTCTCAAATCTCCTTCTTTCAATCGCACATTTTCACATTCGCAATGGCTGAGCTCCGCAGACTCAAGGTTGCCTGCTCTGGCCTTGGCCGCATGGGCGCCCGTCACGCCCTGCACTTCTTGCACCGCACACCCAAGGCCGAGCTCGTAGCAGCCTTCACACCAGACGCCAAGGAAATAGCATGGGCAAAGGAGCACCTCGAGCCCTTTGGCGTCAAGACATACAGCGACTACGACCAGATGCTGAAGCACGAGGGCCTGGAAGCCGTCGTTGTCGCGACTGTCACCACCGCCCACGCCGAGCAGTCAATCAAGGCCATCAAGGCTGGCAAGCACATTCTGTGCGAGAAGCCCTTCAGCACTAAGCCCGAAGTTGTACGTACTTCCCATCACATCAGAAGTGGAACGCAGAGCTGACCATTTGCAGTGCCAGGACATCCTCAAGACTGCCGCCGCCCACCCTCATATCAAGGTCATGTGCGGCTTCTCGCGTCGCTTCGACGCTTCCTACCGCACCGCTTACACTCTCGTCAAGTCCGGCGATGTCGGCCGCCCCTCCATCCTCCGCTCCCAGACCTGTGACAAGTACGACCCCTCGGGCTTCTTCGTCGAATACGCCAAGTTCTCGGGCGGCATCTTCGTTGACTGCAACGTCCACGACATCGACCTGGCACTGTGGTACTTCAGCGCCGAATCCAACGGCGCGAACCTGCCTAAGGTCAAGTCCGTCGTTGCCTTCGGTATCACAGCTCTTGAGCCCGATCTCGCCAAGTACGGTGATGTCGACAACGGTGTTGCCATTGTCGAGTTCTACGATGGCCAGATTGCATACTTCTACAGCTCGCGCATGAACGCACCAGGTCAGCACGACATGACCGAGATCATCGGCACAAAGGGCAAGCTTGCTGTCAACTCGAACCCCATGACCGACCTCCTGGAAACACACCTGCCCAACGGTGTCCAGCGCTCCATTCCCCAGAACTACTACGAGCGCTTCGAGCAGGCCTTTGTTACCGAGGCCAATGAGTTCACAGATGCTGTGCTCAACAACAAGGATGTCCCCGTCGACATTGAGAGCTCGTATCAGGCCGTCAGGATCGGTGTTGCGCTGCAGGAGAGTCTGCAGACCCAGAAGAAGATCTGGTTCGACCGCAACGGTAACCAGACCGACGAGCCGCAGACCAAGTCTAAGTTGTAGGTCAAGAGTATTTTCGTTCAGCAAGCGGACAAGTATGTTATGATAGACGGAGTCACTGAGACTAAAGCCTTAGGATCTCGGAACAGCTCCACAGATACGGTTTGACGGTATTGAGGATTTGTGACGGTTGAGAGGAGAAGCAGATCAGTTGTTGGCGGTGGTCTGGTGCTACTTCCTCATGTTGTTGAGCACCTCTTACCTCAGCTGCATCACAAACACTTCATCAAAACAGACCCCCCGCAGCGAGCCTTGGAGAGCAAAGATACAAGCAGGACAACAACACAGAAGAACACAATACACTCGTTATATACATTTGCCCTTGATACCGCAACAGGATTACCCGGGCTTCTAATGCACCCGTTCTCAGTACCTCTCACTTGCATCCATCGCGTGAATCGTCTGGTGGCTTAGGCCACATGTTGAGGATTGGATCCTGGCAGCCCTAATCGTGCCCGCTGAAGTACCTCGGATACAATACATCATAAGTACTAACAATCTTCTCACTGGTTCAAAACGTACCCAAGCAATGACTGCTTTGTACGAGATCGGTCCCCGACCAATTTGCAGACGCAACTAGCAGTCTTTGCTTGTAGCGTCGAACTTTTCAATGTATGGCATTACTTTCAAAATGCAATTCACCAATGTCGAAACAGTACTTGGTTTCGGAGTTCGGAAAAGTCCATATTGACCCCTTGTCCTAGCTTCTGGGTCTTCCAAGGTTGTAATAATACGACCCTACTAACACAAGAGCTGCGATTGCCAAGGGGCAGGCTATCTGTCCTATCACAAGATGATCTCCTCCTGCCTCGAAAACTGAGATATGTAGATGCCTGACGCTTGAAATTTCAAGATGCTGGAGACATGGGAAGGCACGATGAAGTGCACGAAGTCTGCAGTGACGATGAAATTCTGGGATTGAAACTTAATCCTGTCTTTTGTTCTGCATTTGTCATCATGAATAGTACCGGTGACAAAGGCCCAGCTCCACGATTGTCTCGACTCAGGCTTGTTAGCACGAGCAAAGATCATGCTAGACCCATCACTCACTTTAAAAAAGCCTATCCCCAGACTCTATACGGGCCGGGACGAGTCGGCACGAGCTTGTGGCTTAGTATCGCATAAAATGCGCTGTCGTGATGAGGCCCGTCGGAGGCTGAGCCGTCGTGCAGCAATTGAGGCGTTCCCTCGTATCGCCTTTGCGATGCGAGATCTACGCTACAATACGAACTTAGCGAAAGCTTGTTAGAGCTTAAGCTTTGCCGTTCGACCCGACAGAATGCTTAGGACACTGACAACCACACGTACACGGCACAGGTGACACACAGGTACGTACACTGAGTAGATGAAAATGTTTAAGGCACGAGAGACTACAATGACAATCATGCAGATGTACGAGTCAGCTCACGAGAGCTCGAATGGCAAGCAATATAATCAATTGAACTAAGCCAAGCATGTGTAAGATCGAGCCTTGACGAAGTATCCCGCCCTGTCCCCCATGAGCACTCAGTGGTAGCAGTGGTTGCACTCCGCTGGCTGTGGCGTGTTAGCAAAACGTTCCCAAAACCAACGTGGCAAGTGGAGAGTCGAACTTTCTTACTCGGTGCTAGGCTCTGGTAAGCTTTGCCGACGCAGGAAGCATCCTTTGCAGTGTCTTGAGGGTGATCAGCTCTCTTTCCGTCTGGAGTAGTGCCAATGATTGGACTTACTTCTACCTTCCTCGGCAGCTGCGATAGCACAGGATGCGAGGAGTGGACTAAGAGCCTCGACACATTCTGAGCAAACGTCGAGTCAGCTCAATTGAAACTCGTTAGTGTGGATTTACTAGGCAGACCTTTCATGTGACAGCCGAAGACGGTCAGCCTGGACACAGTGTCGTCAGCAACTGCGTTATAGTTGGCGATGACAGTATCTGGAGTCTCAGCATCGCGGCTGAAAACGACCGGGTTGGCTGCTGCCAGTAGAGAAGTGGCCAAGGCAAAGATGATAGAGGCCTTCATTGTGTCGAGTATAGTTGAAAGCTTGTAAAAGTAATGAGCTGTGAGGTCTTCAGCTAGGGCTCCTGGAGTCGTCTTTATACCTTCTGAATTGCTCAAAGTGTAATATCTGGAGTATCGTTGGTTGGCTACTGTTCACAGCTATGTTGCGGTTGCGCCGCCACTAATTGTCTCCATGTCGTATCACAAATGGTTGTGACATACATATACGAACCACTACTGTTAACTAATGTGCCGAACTGGTCGTATATGCATTCATCAAATTGTATCAATAGTACTGCGCCATTTGTCACAATCCATACATACCAGTAGGAACGTGATCCTGCCAGCAAGACTGACAAGCTACCAAGTTCGCCTGAATACGAGTATTCGCAGCTACAACGTCTGGGGATGAGCATGATTTCAGCACCTGCCTATTTGATACTAAATGTATACGTGTATACTGGTGTGCGTAGGATCACTCGCATCGGCAGATGAACCAACAGCCAAGATCATGTAACAGGGAGCGTAGAGATACCACATATAAATGCGATTGAAGCCCACTCTGCTCGAAATCCGCCATCATCTATTCTCAATTTCAACAACTGCCAATCCGATCTTTCTACTTCTTCCATTCTATAGCTATGAAGCTCACTGCTCTTGCAACTCTTGTCATGTCCACCTTAGCTGTGGCCACCACGACCACGACACCTGACCCCGTGCAGCATTTCCTCACGACCGCGAACTATACGGTCGTTGAGCTCTTTCGTCTAGGCTGCAAGTACAAGCCATGCTTGGAGGTGCTTGCTCCGACCATTGCGTCATGTAGCTTAGCATTGGCACAAGAAGAATTCGGTGAGTGACCCCAGGAAATCCCAGTAACCATAACGCTGAGACATGCTGTTCAGATTTCGTGAATGATGCGCTGTGCTTTGCCTCGGCTGCAAAGGAGATCCACAGCAAGGTAGGCATTGTCCCTCTCAGTCCCTTTCTTACTTCGAGTACTGACCTGCTATTAGCCTGCAGAATGCAAAGGCTGTTTCTGAAGCCGCAGACATGTGGGGGGATACTATTGGCAAGCTAGATAGGAATCATAAACCGCCTATACATCTCCTAATCTTGGCATTGGCTAAGTTGTGACATGTGTCCCACTTGCCTGTGCCTGTCCGCAGTGAACTTCTCAATATCTAGTATGACCTTACTTCATAAAACAATCCTGTAAGGTCGATCCAATCAAACCCGTCTACCGTCGGGAAGTTCGAGACAAGAGACCGATAACCGTCAATGTCGTCGTGCAGCCCTAATGTCATTATATGCATAGCGTAGTACCGTTTCAGCCACTGGTACTCTGGGATCGGTACCGCAGCGCCAGCTGAAGTGGCGAGAGCAAGGGACCAGGCCACCAGGTTGTTTACAGTGTATGGACGAGAATGACAGTGAAAGGAGTAGCTCTTCAAGTCCAGAAGCGAGAATATTGTTGAGGGCCCGACAGACTCAGCATCATCCTGCACGTCTGAACTGGGCATGAACAAGGATAGCGTCAACGCAACACGTGATGCGAGCAAGCTGGTCAACCGCCCCTGCGGTCGCATCTTTCGAGGTCCTATCCATAGATACAGTTGCAGAATTTCGGCTAGAAGGATCTCGACGTCGGATGAGTCGCGTCTGGCTTGCTTTTGCGATGCGAGAACCTTGAGCAAGGCATATTCGGTGTCATACAAGGGTCCAGCTACAAAACGGTCAACGTCTGCGCTACTTGGCGCACGCGCGTAGACGAGACCCAGCTGGTGCAGTTGATAGAGGATGGTGCGAAGCGGTCCACGGAAGAACGGTAAGCTCTCCATGCTGCGCTGAGTAAGCGCGAATGTCTCAGCCACTAAGCTTGGTGGTGACATGTTTGGTTCGTTGACAGCATAGTAGGGTATATCTGGTAGCTGGACTTGCTCAGCGGAGACGAAGAATTCGCACCTGATGATGGTTAGCATATAGAGCCAGTGGATACAATAAGTTTTAGATTTGGGTACTACCCACCATTGTATGGCTCTCATGGACCATGGAGATAATTGCTTAAGACCCATAAGAATATCGCCATTGCCTCTGATCTTTAATATCTTAGTCATGGCATTGTGATGCATAACAGCAGCTTCAAACATGCCAGCAAAACTCTATGGTAAATTAGCAAGTGCAATGCTGGAAGCGGATATGCATTCGCGTCGACGGCAAGACCAGCTTGAGGAGAAAGGCCAGCACTCACCGATGTAGCTTGTATGCATGCCAGCGCATTTATAAGATAATCTGAAAACCTCCCCAGTTGTGTCTGATCAGCCAGGTCTTGTCTGATTTTCCTGAGCGATTCAATGTACCATGATTGGACTTCTGCGGAGTTGAAGTCTCCCTTCATCCCGTCTCTGATCAGGACGACCGAGTACAGCCAGACCACAAATGACACCTCGCCTCTTGCCATATTCCACATGATGCTGTTTTCCCGAGTGGAGACAGATAATGTTTTGTCGTTCTCGAGTATGTGTTTGTCTACGTATGGAGTCAATATGCGAAGACTGCAATGGCACATGTCGATTATCCGCTTACCATCGCAGCACGGCAGGGCATCCCACATGAACGGGGAACTAAGGACTTCGCATTGTTGTCAACAGATTTTCTTGAGGTCTGTTCACCGTCAATGGGCCGGCAGGCCCGAGCTAAACTTACAGTACTGAAGGAGGTGGTAGCGATCCTTTCGGACACCAGGAAGAATGCTAAAGGCATCGAAGGAGCGCAACTCGGTGATCTTCGTAGGTATATAGCCGCTGTCTCGCCGTGCTATCATGCCCATTCGCTGCGTATGTTTGAAGTCTCGCAGTTTAGCCTTCCTTTGCGATTCTAACTTGCTTTTCTCCGCTTCTTCTTTGCTTTTGTTCACCCATGCTCGAGCCTTCATCCTGACGATCGTAGCTCTGTCTGGGTCCGAATGATCCAGCCATTTGAAATCAAGGTTCCTGGGTTGGGATTCCAGCGAGCAAGGCGGTACTACCCGCTTGAAGAATTTCGCAGTTGATCTGTTTGGATGATCTTGGTATGGGGACATCTTGAGCTGTCTGCATGGGGTCTTGAAGAGCCCATCGACTCACATCGTAGCTCTCTACGGAAGTTTGTTATAACGTGGGATAGGAAAAACTCCAAGTAGAGCAGCCGTGTTCGAGAACAGTTTATAAAGCCGTCCATGCATGTCTATGGGGGTCGACTTCGAATAGTCAGCCCGCATCTGTACGACGTTGGCACGGCGCAAACCCCCAAAAAGGTTGCGAGCCGGGCTGAAAGGATCGTATGGTGTCTTGTGGCTGATGACGGCCACCAATCGTGTTCGAATATCTAGTGCTCTTCCGGAGCTCTAATATTCAGCTCGCGCGCATTGTGGTGCAATGATGATGCATTTATCCTTCTGTAATATTCGATAGGTCCCAATAGGTTAATGCAGCAATCCGTGCGACATCTCTTCATTCAGGTAAGCAGGACTTCTTGCCCTCAATGCTGATAGAATTTTCTTATACTTATAATAGAGATAGAGAAGAAGCTTCTCTGCGCCTTTTACATGGGAGCTTTTTGAATTCTAGTCGTATACAGTGTTGTCGTGCAAAAGGCCTGAAAGGGTTCGTGTCGCATGAACAGCGACACGGCCTATGTATCTATTGGTTTCGAAGGCTCTAATGACGTCATTGTGCCTCGGGATGATCCGAACCGCCACGGAGATCAACGCGACACCATCAGAGCCATCAGTAACTTGTTTCAGACCTCCGATTGGTGGCTAGGTAAGAGGATATGTTGCGATATTTGCTTTGCGGACCTTGGTGTTCTTCTAGCTTTATCGTCTTTTACATTACGTAAAACATTTCGATTAAGGTGCAATGCTCTTTGACACCATAAGCGTGATTGTCTTGTTCCGAAAACCACAGCCAGCTGAAGAGGATCCTGGGCTTGGCTTACCTCTCAGGTGCAGCGTGCAATCGTACCTTGACCCCATCTTTAGGCCTCCCTGTCAGCGAGAAGCTCCACTCGATCGGATCCGATGTCGCGGCTCCGCGCGCCATTTTGTCAAATCGCTGCAGAAGGCGCACAACCACGTACCCAGTCTTGGTCAGCGCATTCTGCTGTCCGACGCAAATGCTGCACACCCATCAGTACATACATGACGCCACCACGAGACGTTACACATACCGTGGACCACCGTTAAATGGCAAATACTCAAACCCACCATGTTTATGATCCTGCCACCGCTCAGGCCGAAACTGCTCTGCGTCGGCTCCCCAAAACGCAGGCCGTCTCTGCATCAGCCAGACAATATACACCGTCTCGGTTCCCTTGGGCACAAAAATAGGCGACAGACCGTCTTCGCCGCCTCCACTGGGCAGACTCGTGTCCCGCGTGCTGCGGCGCGAGTTCCACGGAACGGGAGGGTACAGGCGAAGCGTCTCGTTCATGCACCATTGGAGGTATGCACAAGCTTTCAGACCAGCAAAGGTGATGTCCTTGGGAGATTGGAATGTGCCGAAGTCCTCGAGGATGGTTGTGCGAAGCCTGTTGTAGACCTCGGGGTGCTGGGCTAGCATGAGGAACAGGAAGCTCATGAAGGAAGCTGTGGTGTCGCGACCAGCCACGAGGATGGAAAGGAGCTGGTTGCGGAGTTCTATGGGGTCGCTGGTTTCGCTTGCGAGTTTATCGGCGAAGATGTACCGCTCTTTCTCTAGCTGTTGCATTTGGTCGCGGCCCTCGTGGCGGCTCAACGCCTGACTGACGAATTTGTCAATGTAGCAGTGACACAGCCGGCACTTGTCCACGAAGTTCTTCGTCTGAATGAGAGCGTAGAACTCGTTGAGCAGCATAGCCATCATGATTCGTCGCTGGCAGGTTTCAAACGCCTCAACGAATACAGTATCTTCAACATTCTTTGTTGAAGCTCCTTCAGAAAGCATCGAAAGTTGAGTGTCCGTGCTCTGCCCAAAAAGGAACTCACTGGTAGAGTCCATGCTGAGCCGAAGGAAAAGCGGTTGGAGATCTATCACCTCTGACCAGTCCCCTGCCTCTGTAGGCAAAGCCTGGAGCATGTTCTGGACATGGCGCTCCTCCAACTCTAAATCACCAACTTGATCGCGCGTGAACTGCGGTCGAAGAATAGCGCGAGCGCGCTCCCATTGCTCTCCGTCCGCTGAAAAGACGCCGTGACCGAGTCTGCATTGGATGGTCAGTCGCCTGCGACACATGTATTCGTACTATATGATGAATCAACTCACAAAGGAGCAAAAGATCCTCTCCGCACTTGACCAAGTTCGAAGTCCTTAAACTGCGTTGCTAGCATGGCTTGGATGTTCTTGGGGTCGGATGTGAAGATCACTTTGTCCCCGAGTATCTTGGTCTCGTACGTATGGACTGTCTTGTTCGCAGATGTTTTATCAAAGGTACTGCGCATGTAGTCTAGGATCGTGTTGTTGCTGAGAGCCCACATCGTCCTGAACAGATTGGTAAGCGCGAACGGATCTGGCCAGTTCTCCATAGGCGTAGGTCCGCAGCCGAGTCTCTTTGCTGCTACTGCATGGCGACGCTTCGTTGAGACCGTTGAAATGGTGCTGTACACGATGAAAGTAATCGTAGCGCCTAGTAGATAAGTGACCAGCATCTTGACGCGGTGCGCGAAGCTCTGCGCCAGAAAAAGACAGACTCGCAGAAAAAGACAACGGAGGCTCGTTGGTGTAGGCTTCAAGGTGGACCGGTGCGTGAGACCTTACAGTGGGTTGCGGGACCTGCTTACGATGCTGATGCTAGCTTCGGCTGAGATGACCATTTATCCAGTTTGGAGAATCAGCACTAGCTCTACTTTGTATCAAGGCCGACGAGTCTTTGAACGACTCTATTTGGTAATCATTCTTTGAATCTGTAGCTAGATTACGTGAAGAGACACCTGGATTGCAAGATGAGTGAGTACTCATTCCGAGATCTTGTCGTGTTTCGTCATCTATCTTTTAAATAATGCTAATCGTTCATGTCCTTTTCGCGTCAACATCGCCAATGATACTCAACTCTACCTCACAGGCAGACTCTCACTGTTCTCAAACGCAAAGCTCGGACTCCCCGGCTCCGCACTACCCGCCTGAGGCGGCAGCTCCCTCCTCTCCTCACCCTTGCTGCCATCCTCTTTGATGACGACACCCTTACCACCGTCAGCGACCGAGATGATCTCGACATCCACGCACTTCTGGATTGTCTGCTTAAGGCCGGGGACCATGGAGCGCAGGGTATCGAGCTCGTTGAAGGCGAGCTCGCGGTTCAGGACGACGTTGGAGGATTCGCCGTTGTCGAGACGGCGCTTCAGTGCGTTGATGAAGGGCATGGCTTTCTTGGACTCGGATTTGTCGATCTGCTTGCTGAGGGCCTTGATGTCGAGATTGGGGTAGTTGTCACGAATCATCTGGATGTACCTAAACACATGTCAATACGACTCGAACTGAGACCAAGTGTGGGTAACTTACTTCTGCTGCCAGGCAGGGAACTGCTGCGCCGCGAAGATGGTGATCTTCTTCTCCTTTTTAGGGTCGAAGCTCGCGGCCTTGCCCTTGCTGAGACGCTTGACTGCCGCGCCCTCGGCGGATGTGATGTTCGACTGTGTTGTGCGGACGAAGTCGCGGGCGGCGGAGAGACGCGCATCGGCCTCGGGGACCTTGGGCCACTGCGCCTTCTGGATAGTCTCGTCCTTCTTGAGGAGCTCGAGCCAGACGTGCTCAGCCCAGTGAGAGGCGATGGGGACGATCATCAGGGCCTGGAGCTCGATAAACTTCTTGACGAGGTCCTCGTGCATGCCGATGCCAGCAGCCTTGGTAGCCTCACGGTAGAAGTCACGAGCGGAAGTGAAGTCGTGGTAACCAGACTTAAGTGCGGCCTTGTACATTGTGGCGGAGTAGTGACCGTATGTCTCGGCGACGAGAGCGTTCATCTCGTTGTCGAAGAGGTCGTCGAGGAGGACGTGCTCGCTTCCGCTCTGGCGCTGAATGACGTCGGGGTTCCTGACGCGCTCCTTCTCCTTGATCTCCGCGTACTTCGAGCCATCGGTAATCGTGATCTTCTCACGGACCAGCTCCTCGCACCACTTGCGGAGCTCGTACAGCTTCAAGATGTTGGCGTTGGCGACAGTCTCCTCGAAGTTGGCATCGTTCATGTCATCACCAGCATCAGCGAGGGCCAGACGCGTGGCATCTGCACCAAACTTCTCGACGGCACCAGCGATGGTGAGGAAGTTACCGGTCGACTTGCTCATCTTGTCACCGTTAAGGAGCAGATGACCGTTGACACGGAAGCTGCGCGGCCAGTTTTCCTGGGGGAAGATGGCGGCGTGAACGTACAGGTTGAAAGTCAAGTGATTCTGGATCAGATCCTTACCACTGGTGCGCATATCAAGCGGGTACCAGTAGTCAAAGTGTCTCCTCAGTGTCTGAAGAGCCTCCTTGGGTATATCTGACTCGGGCAGGTTGGTGCGCTCACGGCGGCCAAAAGCGTAGTCCCAGACGTCGTCGGTGAACTGCTCAGGCTTGATGTTCAGAGGGCCGGGCTCCTTGCCGAACATGTCCTTGTGAAGAAGGTGGGCGAAGGAGTAGTAAGCCTGGTAAATTGTGGAATCTGACAGAGACTCGACCATGACAGCCTCGTCCCAAGGAACCTTGGAACCAAGACCGTACGAACGTGCGCAAGCCCAATTACCCAGCCAGTCCACGACACGTAAGAACTGGTTCTTGGCCTCGGGGTAGTAGAGGTTGAGCTCGTTCTCGATATGAGCGCGGACCTTCTCAGCCCACTCACCGTCACCGCCGTTCTCTGCGGTACCGTAGTTCATGTACCACTGGTCAAGGAGAGCAGCAACGCAGTCGTCACCGCTTCGGCTCATGACCTTGCCATCGGGCTCGGCGTATGGGAAGGCGTCGCCAGCATCGATGAGCTGCTTGCGAACGAGAGGCTTGGCCTCCTCGACAGACTTGCCCTTCAGCTCACCGTACACCATGGTGCCCTTGTAGAAGCCCTCCTTGTACGCCTTGTCCTTTGCCTCAGCAAGCTTCGCGGAGTCCTTGGGCGACTGAATCTTCATGTCCTCAACGAGCTTTTTGGCGCACAGGTTGCCGTATGTGGGGGTATCGATGATGGGGAGGATGTCGTCGAATTTTACCCACTCCTTCTGGATGCCATAGTACTCGGCCTTCTTGGCCAGGTCAAACGATGTGATGTAGTCGTCAGGTGAGTCAGACGGCACGCAGGTTACAACTGCTGTACCCTTGGTGTCCTTGACGGTTTCCATGGGTAGAATGTACACCTCCTTGTGCACGGATAGAGGGGCGTTGACGATGGTACCGACGAGGTCCTTTCCCTTGAAGCTGGCGATCTGGTTGATCTTGCCCTCTTTGGAGAACGTACCAGGTGTACCAGGCTGATAGCTCATGTTGCGTGCAGCGCGCTGACTGCAGACGAAGTACTCGTTATCCTTGACGTGGAAGAGTCCGTACTCGATGGAAGGTCCGACGAAACACGAGGTCTGTCCGTACATGGTCTCGGGCCTCAGGGTAGCGGGGACGAAGTATGCGTTGGCGCCTTCGGGAAGCTTGCCTTCAATGATGGCTTTTGCTGAGTCGGACCAAGTGATTGCCTTCATCTTCAAAGCTGTGTACTCCTGAACACCAACACCCTCACCAGATTGCCTGTCGTGGTCCATACACGCCTGGCCATCCTTGGGACTGTAGATTGTGTACCTCTTGGCGAAGATGATCTTGCCCAGCTCCTTCAGCTTGCGCATCTGCCATGCAACAAAAGAATCGTAGTATGGATTAGCATCTGTGGTAACGAACTGTCGTCGCCAATCTATCCTGGCTCCGAAATTTGTGAGATCGCGCTTGGCCAGAGGAGGGAAGAACTGGATCCAGTGGTACGGATCGGCGAACCTGTGAATCTCCTCGACGGGGATACCTTGTGCCAGCATAATCTGGAACTGGTACTTGGTCTTGACAGTCTTAGCGGCTGCCTTTCCCTTGGTGGCCTTGAACTTTGTAAGATCAGTCTTAGCCTCAGCCTGTGTGGGCGCAGGTGGCTCCTTCTGGGCCTCCATGACATCCTCGACGGGGCACCGCTCGAAGTTCTGGCCAAATTGCTCGACTTCCCTGACAAGCTTGTCCGCACAAGCCTTGATGGGCATACCAGTCACGTGGTAGCCGAGGGGGAACAGAGTCCGCTTGCCGTTCATCCTTTGGAAACCAGCTGTGAACTCGACTTTCGATGCAGTGAAACCATGGCCGGCGTGCAGGGTTCCGTTCATGTACGGGTAGGCGAAGTTACCGAACCATTTCGGGTGCTTTGCGCGCAATTCCTCCGGGTTGATGTCAAAAGGCACTTCCTCGAGGGTCGGCGCATCAGGCTGGAAAACTCCCTGCTCTTCCCACAACTTCTGGTACTTCTTCTCGGCCTCGATCAAAGTGTCCCGCTTTTCCGTGTTCTCAATCTTGAGGGTCTTGTCCTGTGACTCCTGCGGTTTGAGCAAATCGATGGTCGCAGTAACAGCGTCCTTTGCAACGCCCTTGGGGACTGCTGCTTCCGCCATGATTTCGAGTATTTCAAGTGGCAAAAGGGAGCGTAAGAAAGAAGTGGCCTGCTTGGTGCGTCAAGGCGGGATGCTGGACAGGCGCTTTGGCCGCACCAGTCATAGTACCTTTTCAGCAAAAGTGCGATGCCAAGACTGGCTAGTGCGGGACGCGCGCAACGTGTGGAGGTTTGTTCGAACATCGTCGAGTGAAGGGTCGCAGCGCCGCATTCAACAACGCACTGTCGCCAATCGTCGCATACTAACACCGACGCCATGTCGGCGATGGGCTTCATCAACCGCCTGCTTGGCCGCAAGCAGAGCCAGCTTCCGCCCTTTGACTTCGCGCGCAATCGATATCCCGCAAAGAAGATATGGCCGCCGAACCTCCGCGAGCTGACCGAGAAGCAACAATACCACTTCGAGCGCAAGTTCAAGCGCCGCACACGGCTGAAGTCGATCAAGCCGACCTGGAACAAGTGGACCAAGATTGTGCAGTGGAGCCTGATCAGCTTCATCGTCGTGCACGGCGTCTTCTTCTACGACTTCTCCACCGATCCCATGAATCCTACGCCAGGAAAGCAGCCGTTCCAAGGATTGCGCGATAAGATGTGGGCGATACTGGGTAGCTTCTACACGCAGAAGCCGTCTACGGTTGGCGTGGGCGGTCGAGGAGAAAGAAGGGCGGAACCGATGGCAACTCCTCGGGCTGGCGTGGAGGAGTTCGACGATGCGAATCCCACTGCGAAGTAAGGAGAGGTGTTTAAAAGACTGTAGTACTGCATGTTAGCGAATGGCGTTTCGGGAATGTAATAACAAAGCAAGAGAATGTACAACACTGGGCTTACGGCAATGGAGTCTGAAGACCATTCAACGCTTGAGGACGAATGCATTTTAGAGTCGAAGGAAGAGTCCATGGAGGTTGAACTTTGCGGCTGATTTCGATAGGGCGAAGGAGAATCAAACTCGCGATCAGGTCCGTTTTGACCGTGACCAGAAGATGTTGAAGGATTGTTTTGAGGAGAGGGAGGCGGACGGGAATGTGAACGCTCTTGACATCTGGACGTTGGCCATCGAGGTGGGCGACAACCTCTCGGCCAAGGACTGATCCTCTGTAAGAAGTCAACAACCTCGCTTCGAATCTGGTCGATGTGCGAAGCTTCACCGGCCAGGAACGCCAATGGCTTTCGCCATTCTCATTATACCAGCGCACATTCCCGAAGTCTACAGACTCCGAGCCATCTAGGAAGATGTGCGCCGTGGTCACGTAGTCTCCAACACGTCTACAGACCGTTAGTCCGTCTCTGAGAAGCACCGTATTGTGGCTACATGACAAGGAGGCTCGTGGACTTACATATCTCGGTACGCCCAGGTGAGCTTTACGGTAATGTGCGGTCCCTTAAACTGGTGTAATGACTCGATGACATGACATGCACTTCAGGGCTGATTGGAGGGCCCTGTAGTGGATGATCACGAGGCACGGGGCCGTTCCACCGACCGAACGCGAATTGGGCGACCATTGAGTGCTGATCGAGGCTTGCGACGAAACTGTGTACGGCCTCGCACTCTCCGTCCAATGTGCTCAGCAAATGTTACGCCTCCATGTAGGGCATCTCTCACCGTTGGGTCAGTATTGCAGACGGTAAAAGGTCGGCAGCCTCCACCGTCTCATCATGATACAAACAACGAGTGACAGAGAGCTATCCTTACCTGAACGCGTTCATTGCCTTGGTCCAGAAGTCTTGCCGTACAATGACTAGTCAATAAGTCGATGGAAGATAGAAAATAGTAGCGATTACAACGGCTCAGTGTGGAATTGGAAGAACCATACAGCACAGGAACAAATGTCTTTGCATCTGATTCGAGGTGAAGACGCGCTGGGGTGTTTGCATCGAATTCCACCTTCACCCTCAACTCAAACACTTCACAGCCCGGAACCGTGGCACAAGCTGATGGAAAATTTAGTTTATACTCTCAAATGAACCCAAAATATCTATTTCGCTGACTATGACTTGACGATCGGCTATACATCCTCCGCATCTTATACGTCGATCAGGTTCTCGCCCTGCTCTCCGCTTTGCGCCTCATTCTGCTCCGCATCATCTTTCGCGTCCTTTGCAGCCGCAGTCTTCTTGCTGTCGCCCTGTCCTCGGCTCCTCTGGTAGTACTGGTCGAGGATCTTCGCAGGAATACGGTTAAGGAGCTCCTTGGGGAAGATACGGAGCAAAGACCACGCAAGATCAAGCGATTCGAAGATCGATCGGGACTCGTATGCGCCCTGGGCGATGAAAGAGCGTTCGAACTTCTCGAGGAACTCGAGCGAAAGCTTGTCTTCTGAGGATAGAGCCTCCTCACCGACGACTGCCTTCATAGCAGCGGCGTCACGACCAATGGCGTACTTGGCGTACAGCTGGTTGGAGACATCGCCGTGGTCCTTTCGTGTGCGACCCTCACCGATGGCAGACTTCATGAGACGAGAGAGCGAGGGCAGGACGTTGATCGGTGGGTAGATACCCTTGTTGTACAGCTGACGGTCGATGAAGATCTGTCCCTCCGTAATGTAACCTGTCAAATCGGGGATGGGATGTGTTATGTCTGCGACGGGTCAGTGTCTGTTCGTGAGCTATTCTATTAGGTGGTGGTTACCGTCGTTAGGCATGGTCAAGATAGGAATCTGGGTGATGGAACCGTTACGGCCCTCAACACGACCAGCTCGCTCGTAGATGGTGGACAAATCCGTGTACATGTAACCAGGGTAGCCACGACGACCGGGGACTTCTTCGCGGGCAGCAGACACCTCACGAAGGGCATCACAGTAGGAGGACAGGTCAGTAAGAATGACCAAGACGTGCTTCTCGAGTTGGTAGGCGTAGTACTCGGCGGTGGTGAGGGCAAGACGAGGTGTGATGATGCGTTCGATGCTGCTGTGCGTTAGTGGAGCTTGCCTGAGTCTATCGTGCTCACTTACGTAGGGTCGTTGGCCAAGTTCAAGAACAGGGTGACACGCTCCATACTGCCGTTCTCTTCGAAATCCCTTGTGAAGAAACGACTGGTCTCCAAGTTGACACCCATAGCACCAAAAACGATGGAGAAGTTGTCAGCGTGACCGTCGTGTACGCCCTTGTCCACCCTGGTAGGGCCGCTGACCAAACTGGCCTGTCGGCAAATCTGGGCGGCGATTTCGTTGTGAGGGAGACCGGACGAGGAGAAGATAGGGATCTTCTGACCACGGGCGATCGAGTTCATGGTGTCGATGGCAGAGATACCAGTGGAGATCATCTCTTCGGGATAGACCTGGACACATTAGTCTGAGTGCTTTTCTTCTGCAGAAGACGTCTCACTCGGGAGTACGGGTTGATAGGGCTACCGTTGATGTCGAGGTAGTCCTCAGCAAGCACCTTGGGACCCTTGTCGATGGCCTTTCCAGATCCATCGAAGATACGGCCCAACATGTCCTCGGAGACACCGAGCTTCAGGCTATGTCCGGTGAATTCGACTTTGGTCTGTTGCTGTCAGATATGCCCTGCCAACAATCTACGGGTTGCCTGTACCTTCTTGACGTCAATGCCAGATGTGCCCTCGAAAACCTACGTCGCGGTTAGGAGCATGTACGGTGATGCATGTGACAGTAGCAATGTACCTGGACGATGGCGCGGTCACCTGTGTGCTTAGGTTAGCTTCTGCGCGTCGATGCAGGACTGCGCCAGCTTACCTCGAGCTTCGAGGACCTGTCCAGAGCGCTCAGTGCCATCGGGCAGCGTAAGAGAGACGATCTCGTTGAAACGGGGGAATTTGACCTGTCCACCAATCGTGTGAGCGTGTATCGCGTTGCGCGGGAGCTTCGATAGCTGCGTACGTTGTCGAGAATGACCAGAGGGCCGTTCACGCCGCCAATCGTGTTATACCGTATCCGCGGCTGGACGGACATCATGCGGGGGTCGAGGGAGGCCATTCTGGCGGTGGTGATGAGCGATTCTTGGTGGTGAGTGTCGCTCAGGGCAGGAAGTTCGGCGGGCGCAATAGGCGGTGGTCCTCGCCTCGTGTGGGTGACGAAGTTGGAGGTGGGCGGCGGGAGGGCTAGCGCAGCAGCTTGGATTGTCCGTGCGGCAGGAGCAATGACGCTGTTGCCGTTCATGAGATAACCACCGCTTCACGTACCTATCTTGCATCAGGATAACTTAACTAGGTATAGCAGTTCTTCAGGTTGGAATGATCGCGGGGGTTTCTCCTGTGCAGCATAGTCACACAATGTATTTGCAGCTGTCCAAAAGGCATTGGACCGTTGTTCTGTTAAAATTGTCGCACATTGCTGCTGCTGTTCCTACAGAGGCAGTATAGGCCAAAAAGGTCCACATAAGCCATGCTGCCACATCGTCACGCACAGATCATATCAGACCAAAATATTGTGTTGGGCTAGAAATTGTTTCAATTCATGGTAGATATGTATCTTTCCTGCGATCCTGCCTACAACCAATGCATCTCTTATACCTGCGCAATTCGAATAGTGTTCTAAGTCATCAGGGCCGCGCTCGTGCTGGCAGAGGTAAGGTGGGGATATCGCATCTGTCATATCTGTTAGCAGATGCACGGCAAAGGCAGTGAAACAAACAAGGCGTGGTGTGTGCCAAAATCAGACATCCAAGGAAGACATTCGTATTGCGTTCAGAGTCTCAGTTAAGGTTCATAGGTCGAGACTAACGTGGAAACTGCGAATAGTGGAAGATTTCATCATGTAGGTGGCAGTTGAAAAGAAGAGAGGAATGTGTAACGTACCATGACTACAGCTGCACGAGCTGGGACCTGCTGGGGGATAGTCACGAGGAAAGGCGCAGACACTGGCCCGAAGCGTTGCACACGCAGGCAGGCAGCAGCTCTACGAGTAGGCGCGAGTCACCTTAGGCATGTCGGATGCGTTGAGTGGGTTAGTCAAACTCTACTGGATCTGTGCTTGGCTGTTAGCATTGTGGAGCCAAATGTCTAGCAGCGAAGAAGAGAGGTTGTGGAGGTCAGACAACAGTACTGGCAAGTAGCAGTCGCCCGGCGAAGGGCAACCGAACAGCGCTGCTTTCTTCAAGGTCGAATCGGATTGGAAAAGAAGTTGCATGAGTATCATCTCGCCAAGTGTGCGAAAAGCATAGGAAATCGTGAAGAAGCTTACCTCGTGCGTGATCCTGCAAGAGCCCAGCACCAGTCTCATGGCCAAGGTCGGCGTCCAGAGCACGACGTTGCGCAGTGAGAAACTTGGTGTTGGGCGGTTGTCGAAAAACTGTCAGGGAGAAAACGGCAGACAGACAGCTAGGAAAGAAAAGTGAGAGCCTCGACTAGCGTAACGCCAAGGCGCGAAGGCCGAACTCGTCGCACGCCCTCATCGCAGCAGTGGGACCGCCCGGCCTCAGCAGAGTGGGAGGCACTCAGAGCATCGCAGTGACGCTACATAACGAAGAAAAGGGCACGCATCACTCATCCCAAAGGCGTCCAGCTGCACAAACACCGTGTTGTCGCAAAAGTGTGCAGCGAGCGCGCGACACATCACGCCGCCGAAACGGGAACGGGGCTCTCCTAGTCCTGCCACGGCCTCTTCTACTGCAGATCACGTCGACACCACCACCACCGAACGCCCGCGTTCCTGGCACCACCGCAGGCCCTGGACTCTCTGCGCCCCGCAGATGCACTGTCGCATAGCCATCCGCTGACACGCGACACGCCCCGTGCCCGTTGCGACCTCTCTGCTGTTCCCGGGCATCGCTTTATCTTCGCTCTGCTGGCGGGACCGGATGCGACACGACCTCACCGCACGACCGCAGACCGCGCCAGCGCCGACAGCAGCCCCAGCACCCCCCGAAACTTCTGCTCAGCGCGCCTGAGAGCCTGCGCCGCCCATCTGCACGACTGCAACGCCCTGTAGACGTCGCTGCCACTGACCAGCCGCGCTATCTGCCGGCCGCCGACCCCCAGCGCTCGTCGCCCGGACCGCGACTTTTGCGCGGGCCGCCCACGCGTCCCCGTCGCCACGCCTTCGCTTTCTGCGAGCAAAATGATGACAACGAGCTACCCTCCGCACAACGGCGGCATGCATCCTCAAGGGTTACCACCCGGACACCCCATGGCCGGTGGAGGGCCAAATCCAGGCCAGCACATGCCACCCGGCATGCATCCGGGCGTGTCAGGTCCCAATGGCCCTGTCAGCCAAGCAGGGCCTATGATGGGCATGCAGCCCGGTATGGGCCCCAATGCGCATGCGCTCTCCCACCTGCAGCCTCAGCAAGCCCAGATGTTCCAGCAGCAACAGCAGCATCCCGGAATGAGTGAGTCGCCTGGCCTCCCCTGGTGGTTCACAGCTAATCACATGTAATAGTGAACCCTGCAATGATGCAACAGAGGGCTGCCCTCCAGCAGCAGGCCTTCATGCGTCAACAGCAATCGCAGCAGATGCAAGCCCAGCAGCAAGGTAACATGGGCATTGCATTCCCCAATGCTATGGGCGGCATGGGCGGCATGACACCACAGCAAATGCACCAACTACGGGCACAGCAAATGGGTCAGAACTTCGTTCAGCTACCGTCACATCTGCAGCAACTGCAACAGCAGCAGCAGCAAATGGCGAGCCAACAAGGAGGCAATCCTCAGCAAGCTGCTGCTATGGCTCAAGCTCAAGCCCAACATCAGGCCGCCCAAGCGCAACAGCAGCACCTCCAGGCGCAGCAAGCAATTGCCATGCAGCACGCGCAGTCCCAGTCGAGCAATCACAGCCAGTCTGGGAACCAAGGACCGCCGACCACATCGCAGCCTCAGCAGGGCCCATTACGGCCCCCTTCCGCCATGAGCCATCAGGGACAGGCTTCTCCTGCAGCCCAGCCTCAACCGCCTCAACAGCCGCAGCCGCCGCAGCAACAACAGCAACAGCCACCGCAACAGCAGCAGCAACAGCAACAGCAACAACAGCAACAGCAACAGCAGCAACAGCAACAGCAACAGCAACAGCAGCAGCAGCAGCAGCAGCAACAGCAGCAACAGCAGCAACAGCAGCAACAGCAGCAACAGCAACAGCAGCAGCAACAGCAGCAGCAGCATCAACAACAACAGCAACAGCAGCAGCAACAGCAGCAGCAACAGCAGCAGCAGCAACAGCAACAGCAACAGCAGCAACAGCAGCAACAGCAACAACAGCAACAGTCAGGTCCTCAACCTGGGCAGCAGACACCGGCGCCGGCTCAGCCTCCAAGCCTACCGCAACAGCCCAACCAGCAACCTCAAAACCAAGCTCAGATGCAGCAGCGCAATGTACAAATGGCACAGCAAGCTCAAGCACAGAATCAGGCACAAGCTGCGCAGCAGGCTGTTCACGCACAGGCTAGGAATATGGCGATGATGAAGCAAAACCAAGCACAGCCTGGTGGACAGCACTCCGGCGGGCAGGGAACGCTGAAGCTGATGAACTTTGTAGACCAGCTGGGGAAGTTTAATTCCCAAGGGGGCCAAAATCAAGTCTCATTTTGGCAGAGTTTCGTCGACAAGTTCTTCAATGAGAGCGGATCTTTCATCCACGTTCTCTATTCCACTTCCAAGGAGCGGACGAAACAATTTGAGATTGTCTGCGCTGCGTTACCGCGCTACTTCTACACGGTATTCACCACGGATATTCAGAACATCCAGATCACACTGGATGGATCCAAGGAGAACGCAGGCCCTGCCGAAACTAAGGTCACCTGCGAACGAGCGAAGTTCATCTACACTTACGAAAACCAGTGTCAGGTATGTACCTCACATCTTGCTGCATCAAGCCCCATACTAATCGAGTCACCAGGTCGTCTACACGGGAAAATTGACAGCATTTTGGTCAGGGTCGGACAAGATGGAGTGGCTGCAATTCGAAGGGACAAGCCATCAACAGTACATCCCGCGCAACGCCTTGGAAATCCTCTTCCTCCAGCCGTCGCCCAACCAGATGAACCCGACCCAATCACCTCGTATGAACAAGAACGCTGCGAAGAACAAGCAACGCAACGCCCTCGAGCCACCAGAACCGTACCTACCTTTGTCGAAGCTGCTCAGCACCGGCGTTACCGACCTAGGCATACCTCCTGCGCTGCAGCACTATCTCGAGGTCAGCTTTCCTCAACAATATTATCATGTGTACCGACACTGACCGGACCAGATCTACGAAACGATGAACAATATGTCGAGCTTGATGACCCACTACCTTGAGAATACTAGCCTCAAGCCGAGCGAAGCCCTCGAATCCTGGAACAACATGATGCAATCAACATCTGGCGCCATGGGACAGAACTCGCAAATGCAAGGACCACCGAACCCTGGACAGCAGCAAGGGAACATGCCGCCTGGCATACGTGGACCACAGGGCCCAGGACAGCAAGGCCAGCCAATGTTCATGTCACCAGCCATGGCGAATCAGCTGCTGCCCAATGGAGCCATGAATGGATCGCCTCACATGATGCACACGCCATCCCCTGCGTCTCATCAGATGGTCAAGCAACAGAGTCAGAGCTCGCATACGGCTAGTGTCAACACGTCGCCTAACATCACCGGGAAGAGGCGACGGAGTACGGTGAAGATAGACCAGGACGACGATGGGCCTAAGGTTAAGCAAAGCCCTCGGGTAGGAGGCGGAAAGCGAATGAAGCCAGGTAACTAGACATCACCTGGCGTCCCTGAGGTTTCCCAGGTTCAGTCCTCCGACAAAGCTTAACTGCTCTGGCGAGGACGGGGTTAATCCTGTCTGATGCAGCTCTGGTCGTATTACACGAGTAGTCCTTGTTGAGGAGCAGTCGCCAGCATTGGTTCACACCACCAACATACATCAAGGCCTGCACCCCACCATCCGAGTGGGTCACTAAGCACGTCACTTGGTACTCACGCCAGGCGTCTCATCCTCCTCCACCCTCGGCATGCTCGGCACCCTAGCCACGTTCTCGATTCATGTACAGCGCGGCGTTCGATCTCACATACTGTCACCATTCGGCACATCATCTCTCATCAGGCGCAGACCATCATTTCAACATTGGGCGGACTTCATCTTGTTGTTATTCCTGCGATCCTTTTGTTACCTATTACTTGTTGGCGTCATGGGCATCCTGCGCGCATATCCTCATTGCTCGCTTCAGAGCTATATAATCACCTCTTGTACATTACGACGATCTGTGTGCGGTGCGCGTCGGTGTTGGTGTTGGCAAAAGCATCATGGGTTGGATATGCAGAGATGGTTGGAATGCGTTTTATACGGAATCAAAGATTTTACGACTTCAATACTGACCGTGCTCTGTGTCTCTGTGTATCGGCCAAGTTGTTGTTTGTCTGTTTCTCTGTGAATGCTCCTATTCGAACAAACAAGTCGACGCGCACAGTCTGGACGTCGAGAGCTGAGACTCGTGTATCTGCATGGCGCTGCGCCGAGCATAACGATTCAGAGCTTTTCGTTGTGGTTTGGAGAACGGCAGGTTCTTGTATCGACAGTGCCGAACATGTGTGGTGCGTAGCACTTGTGAAGGTTTCCTGCAGAGCTGAAGCGAGACTCATTCCCACTCGCCACTCTCTTTCTAGTCAAGGACGAACACATAATAGATCTCCCGGCCAAATGGAGGGGCAGACAAGACATGAATTGCCATTTCTAAGGCAGATATCAACATTACGTTGTCTCGACACAGGGCCCGGATCCAAGGCACTCGCGGCTCGTCGAAGGAGTCTATCAAGCGGCTGATGCGGTTTCGGTAGCTGTTGTTCCCAAACGATCCAGACGTCAGATTGCTAGATGCAAGGAAGTCCCGTTATTGTTGCTGATTCGTTGCGAGGCTCGAGGGCCTCCGCTGTGCATCGGGACACTGCCTGTATCTGTGATATATACACGTGTTGTTTTGTTTGCCTTCGTGTCTGCCTGCGTGTACTGATTGAATGCTCGGTCCAGCATAATTGCTTCTATCATCCATGCGAGTCAGCGCTTCGGTCTGATTTGTCTTGATCTTCTGTGTTCTGGGCTCCCCCCACGAACGATACTTTGCTTTGCGTCAGCGCAAGACGGCTCGAAATCGGTGAGCTTGCGAAGCTCCGACAATCTGGGCTGTTCGATCTTCATGGCTGACCAGTGAGGATGGAGATATCCCAAGGCCTGCTGGTGGTGCCGGATCTGTCTCTTGAGCCACCTGTGTGTTGGTGAGGAAATTGCTGTGGCCTTTTGAAGAGGCCGGCTGCAATCAGGCTGAGGCGGTACGGTCCCTGGCACAGCCTCGACTAAATTGGACCTTACTACCCACCCACAAAGTAAGGGATGCCATGTACCGAGTAGGTTTGTTCGTAATTTGAACCACCCATCACCTGATTTTCTCCGTTGCCCTGCCTCGTTTGATCTGGGCGTGGAAGTTTCCCCACTTCGATCAACTCCTGTAATTGTGCTTTGTCGCCCCACTGATCGTAACAATCCGCATACTCATCAGCAAAGAAGCGCTTTACCAACCGGGCTGTATCGTCGTCTCGCGTACCGAACACATCTCGGCTTAGCGTCCTGGCCCAATTCTCCATTCCCGCTGGGTAAAAACCGGCATACTCCCAGTCGATCAAGGCTCTGACCTGTAGTGTAATTGGATCCACAATAATGTTGTGGGCCGCAAGATCACCGTGTTGGAAAACGTACTCGGGCTGCTGAAGAGGAAGAGTGCTTCAGGACTGCTTCCCTATCCATGGAGGCTGGAGGTCGGGGCCCAGCCAGGAGGGCGGCATGACAAGGCCGTCGATACTGTGGAAGTGCGATGTCAAGTTTGCGAGTTGAGGTAATACTGTGCGAGAGATGAAATCGACAGCATTGGAGTAAGCCATATCTGAACACGTTGGGCAAGGTGTTGAGTCTGTGTGCTTTACCCTTCGGCCAATGAGCAGCATCTACGAGCAAGCGTACTAAGCACGACACCATCAATGTACTCTGTGATCAAGTATTGACGTCCATCTGGAAGCAATCCGTGGTTGAGCAGGCGCGGAACGGGAATGTTAGTCTTCTGCAAAACTATCTCCAGGGCTTTGGCCTAATTGGCGATGCGCTCGTGGTTCCTGTTTATGGTTAGACTTTAATGAAAGTGACGTCATCTACTCGCTAGACCCGCCAGGAGTAGGTATGATTGGTCATTACCAGCTTCTACGCCATTCAAAAACAGTTCCATCTTTGCGTTGAATGTTGAACGAAAGTCGAGAGGTTTTCCTGAAAATTTTATCGCTCTTTTCGTAGGTGTTATCGTAGGTTGTCCAAAAATCGCGGGTCTATGTATAGACAACGACATTATGGAATTATTCTCAAGAGGTGTTTGCCACTCTGTGCCTCCATCCTGCGGATGTAATCTTCTTCTGACTCAGCTGCCTCGAACTTGAGCAAGCAGCCTCTTGCTAGTTGCATTATTGTGGTGTATCTGAAGCTCAGCGTGCAAATGCTTTCCAGAGGACCAGAGGAATGCCAGCTTTATAACCAGCTGACAATTAGCGCAGGTACCTTCAGCGGCAATCGCGTGATTGGCTCCAAAGCAGCTTTAAGTAGGGCAGTTGCTACGTCAACCTATGCAACAAGTGATTGGACCTGTGTGGCTCAAATCATGCAGGCCGTTGTTTGATCATGATCAAACATGGTCTCACAAGGCAGGGAGGCAACACTTAGTCACCTTTCTCTGATTTTTGCAGAATTCTGGGGTTCTGGTTTGCAAGGAGCATTACACCGCTGTTGTCAATCTCGACACGCGTCTGTTGCAGCATCACGCTGCGACTCGAAAACAGGTCCTTGAGCGCTTTAATCGCTTCACTTTAGTTGATCTGGCTGTCATTGAGCTTCCAGACGAGCCCGCGCAACCGATCGAGGAGCTTGAGAAGCCGCTCGAGGGGCTAAGATGTAGGACATGCAGATCAACTACCGTCAGCAAGGATGCAATGCGTATGTACCGTAGGGAAATCACCAGCAAGTTCGGACAGGCAACCGAAGCTCATTGTACGGAGCAATGCCACGTGCAACAATATTGTCAATCGCAAAGGTGACACAACAGGGCCTCAAAACGTAGCCAGTACTGATCACCTTTATAGCCATATGTGGGCAGTCGCTGTTCGTTAGTCCAAGACCTTGATGATGCTAAGTCACAGCCACTGCGAACAAGGGGATGGACTGTATAGGCATTGGAAAAGCTTTATGACGACGGAATCTGGCAGTTCATTACCCCATCTAATGCTGCAGAGTTACAAAAGATACGAACGGTGATATACAAACAGGCTACACTTACACCACTATCTTACGCATGCGGTCTGCTCTCAGCCGGTGTGTTACTCGAGTTGACTAGCGCGGCCCACGCATCGCCTCCAGGGTTCTTCTCTTTCCTCGACCCCTTGAACAACTCACTCAGCCCCGGGCTGCTGGCCTTCTTCAGCTCCTCGAGCGCCATCTCGACATACCCTTGTACGCCACCGGCTTGCTTGGCCTTGATGGCCATATCCGCCTTGTTTATCGCGCTCTCGTAGTACTGCCGTGTCTTCTCGTCGAGCGACTGGTTTGTGGATGCAGTCTCGGCCTCGGCAAGAGCCTTTGCAAGTTCAGCCTTTCTGCTGGCCTTCACGGCCTCAGCGCCGCCGCATTCCTCGACACGCGCCTTGAGCGCAGCCAGCTTCTCTGCGTTGGATGCCTTCTTGACTTCATTGTAGGGCTCCCAGCCTCCTGCTGCCTCGGCCTGCGCCTTCTCGCGTTCTTTGAATGCGAGTTTTCGAAGTGCGGTGATGTGCTTAGGCGGGTTCTTGAGGCGCTTCTTAAGCGCCTTGAGATCTTCCCTGGTGAACAACTCCTTGGCTTTCTCGGTGAATCTGGCCTGGTGCTTGAAGAAAGTATCTGTGCGCTTTTTCTGCTGAACAAAAGCGATCTTCAGTCCCTCTTCTTCGCTGTCGACGTAACCTCGGCTCAGGTAGCGTCTCGCAGCTTTCTGCGCTGACATGTATTCACCGTGTGCCCTCTTGCGAGCTCTGATCTCTTGCTCATTCAGCACATCTCCAATCGTTGACTCGGTGCCCTCGACCTCGTCTTCTGCTCCTTCCTCTTCAGCCCACATACCCTGGTCTACGTCTTCGACCTCTCCTGCCTGCGCAAGGACGGCCTCACGAGCCAGAACACGGTCAGCGTAGCTCTGCTGTTTTTGCATCGCTGGTGTAGGCCATTGCTTGTCGATGGTGGCTTGGTCAATGCCCAAAGCAGCAGCCTCGGCGCGCAGTCGCTCGATGACTTCAGGCTTCTGCATCAATGTCCATCTCAGCGCCCAGCCTGTAGGTCCCAGCTCCTTGATACGATGTATGCTGTCCTTGAGCAGGTACTCATCGAGACCACCTTCGCGATCGATGATCTTCACCACGTTCGATGTGACCTTCAGCTTAATCCTCTTTTTCAGCGCAACCGAGTAGAGACTCTTGGACAGAACATTGGGTGTCCACTTCCTTCTTGTCTTGGTCTCGGTCTTGTGGGAGACGTTGTTGCCGAACTGAATCATCTGCTCGCCATAGAGACCCTTATTCGCCTGCTTGAAGAGCGAAAAGTCGCCGTACGGATAGTCGGGAATATGGGGGTCCTTCGAGATTACATGCTTGGGCAGATGGGAGCCGAGATCGCCGCCCTTCCGCCGTTGCAGGGGGTTCTTGTTGTAGAGAGTCGCAGAGGTGGTGAGCGTTCGCTGGGCGGGCTGTGGCGCGCGGGTGACTGTGACCAGGTGCCCCGAGAGCAATTGACAGCGGGGATGCATGATCGAATGGGCGACTGGCGGTGGCGATGTGGCCGCAGCTTTGGGGTGGATGGCAGCGACACGGAGGTCCGATGCTCGAAATCTTTCGAGAGATGGCGGAGAGGCCCGAGCGCTGCACCGCATCAACTTCGTGGAGTGCGGGCAAACCGCTACCTCGACACCACACTTCTCATACGATTGCGATACCCTCGAAGATCTGAAACCCAAGGTCGCAAATATATATACTGCATTGCCTGCAAGACACCGAGAACTTCCCGAACGCACAAAAATGCAAGACGGCACGCCGCCCTCCACGGCCAACATTGCGCTGGCATGCGCCATACTCGCAGGCGTCACTGGCTACTTCCTCGGCACAGCAAAGTCATTGGGGCTGTTTGGAGGCAGTCCAATATCTGAGCCAACACGGAGCAAGAGCGAGAAGGCGCAAGACTCGGAAGACGAGTCCAGCGACGAGGAGGATGACGACACAGCACCTGCCGAATTTCCTGGCCACACCGAAGAGTGCAAGATGGTATTGGTAGTGCGAACAGATCTGGGCATGACAAAGGGTGCGTCAAGTGTGAAAATGACTCCAGAGCTCACTGTTTGCTGACTATTTCCCAGGGAAGATTGGTGCGCAATGCGGGCATGCGACATTAGCATGCTACAAGCACTTCCTCCGACACGCACCAGACTCGATTATTCTCAAGCGTTGGGAACGGATGGGTCAGGCGAAGGTCGCGCTGCAGGTCAAGGGCGAGGAGGAGCTGGAGATTCTGCAGGCAACAGCCGTGAGCCTGGGACTGGTTGCGCACATCATCCATGACGCAGGCCGCACTCAGATTGCGAGCGGTAGTGCGACTGTGCTGGGAATTGGACCTGCGCCAAAGGGCGTGATTGATCAAGTGACAGGTCACCTCAAGCTGTTGTGAGTATGGGATAGAGCGAAAGATACCACGAAGTCATGACAGCATATTCGCCATGAACAAAAGTGCAAGGCACACACGAGCAACCATCTATGTATGAAAGTAGATCTTCTACTGCGCCAGCTCCGCAGAGCTGAAGTGCAGTCGAAACAGATGTGATGTAGCCAACTGGGTTTGTCCCAAGCGTCATGGACCGACGGTCTAGCAAAAGGGAACAGGAATCAGTCTGCCTGGCACGCACCTTTCACCGAGCTCAAACCTTGCGGCGAACTCAGGTTTCTAGCGACGTACCGACTTGCTCTCCAGCCTGTCGTTCGAATATTGACGTCCACTGATCAAGACGGCTCCATGGTCACGAACGAACTGCCAGCTTTCGACCGAACACACCCCTAGAGATGGACGGGAAACTGACACAGGCTGTTGGTGAGAGAAGGTTCACGCGCCGTGGAAATTTATTTTGTACCTGCCGCGCAGGGACCGGACGCGCTAGTGGTAGCGCCGCTTGGCGCTAGAGAGGAAGGAACGTTGTGCTTGAGAATCCAGCGATATCTGGCGAACACAACCTTGAAAAGCAGAAATACGCTACCTTTGCAATTCTAGAACTGTCGTTTTCTGATCTGAACCCGCGTGAATCGCTCCACAGCTATGCCGGACCTCAGCATCGATGAGGCGAACAAGATCCGCCTGTCCATGGGCTTGCCTGCCTTGCCAGGCGGTTCTGCCAGCGCTGTGCCAGAAGGACCGGCTTTCAAACCTGCGAAGGACGGCGATGAATCAGAGGAAGAACCCGCAAGCACAATCGATACGCGCCAGGCCGCCGCTCACGAGAACTGGCTGAAGCTCAATGCCGAACAAGAAGCCAGGAAGAAGCGCGAAGAGCGCGCGCTCGCAATAAAGAAGGAGCGGGAGAGGGCCGCGCGCACAGCGAAGCTCGAGGGCACAGGTCTTGCAGACGCGGTCGAAGATGACGACGATACGGCCTGGTTGAAGGGCAGCAAGAAGCGCCAGAAGAAGATTCTAAAGGCTGAGCAGATGCAGAAGGAGCTTGAGGAGCGGGAGCGTCAGGCACGTGAGGCGATGCAGTACACAGAGACCGATCTGGCGGGCGTCAAGGTCGGGCACGAAATTGATCAGTTCGACGACGGCGAGGATCAGATTCTCGTTCTAAAAGACACAGCAGTCGATGGCGAAGATGACGATGAGCTCGAAGCAGTGGCGTTGAAGGAGAAGGAGCGCCTGCAAGAACGCCTAGACTTGAAGAAGCGGAAACGTGCATACGATCCCAACGACGAGGACGGCGAGAAGTCCATCCTTGCGCAGTATGACGAGGAGATCGACGGCAAGAAGGGCAAGGCATTTACATTAGACGGCAAAGGCCGAACGGTCGAAGACGTACAGGCGACGGCTGCCGATGCTGCACAACCCAAGAGGGTCGCCATAAGCCTTGATATCCTCAACGATGATGCGTTGGCGAACGACTATCAAGAGTACAAAGAGATCAAGATGAAGAAGCCAAAGAAGAAGAAGACTAAGAAGCCCAAGCGAGAACGTTTTGAAGACGACGACGAGATGATGCTTCCGGCGGAGGAGCCCGTCGACGATATGGAGCTCGACGGTGCGGAGACCACGGCGCCAAAGGCGAAGAAGAAGAGTGTTTATGACGAGTCGTTCATCGACGACGACGACCTACAGGCCAACTTGGCTGCACAACGGCAGAAAGCACTGAAAAAGCGGAAGAAGATGCGCCCAGAGGATCTCGCACGGCAACTGCGAGAGGAAGCCTCTACATCCCAAACACCTGACGTGATGGAGTCGACTGAGGACGGCGATACCCAAGGACTGGTGATTGACGAAACCACCGAGTTCGTGCAGAATCTTGGAGCCAATGCAGACCAAGGGGAGGACGAGGCGAGAAGGCGGCGGAGGAAGGCTAGCCACGCCTCTGACAGTATCAAGACCGAACAGCCTATCGATGACGATGGTGACGTCGATATGGAGCGGTCTTACGCGGAAGTAGCTGAAGCTGAGGACGCACGACAACGCAGCCAGTCTCGTGCCAAGTCCGCTGCCGCCGAAGACTTCTCCACCGGGCTCGATGCCGAAAAGACCGTTGATGGAGGCCTGGGTGCGACACTGGCACTCCTGCGTCAGCGTGGCCTCGTGGCTGCGGAAAATGATGCTAGCCAAAAGAACGCGCTCTACCGCGATCGCCAGAAGTTCCTAGCAGACAAGCAACGCGCCGAAGCCGACGCCGAACGCCAACGTAAGGTCGCCCGTGAGCGTGAGCGCAATTCCGCTCGCTGGAACACCATGACACCTCGCGAACGTGAAGAGTGGGCTCGTAAGCAGAACACCAACGCCGACGTGAGCGAAAGCCGCAGGCTAGCGGAGATCTTCAACAAGGAGTACAAGCCAAATGTCGAACTGAACTACGTCGACGAACATGGTCGCCAGATGAACCAGAAAGAGGCGTTCAAGCAGCTCTCGCACCAGTTTCACGGTAAGGGTAGCGGTAACACAAAGACGAAGAAGCACCTCGACAAGGTGGCGCAGGAGAAGAAGAAAATGGCCGAGAGCTCGCTGGAGGTCACGAAGGCCGGTGGTGTTGGGAATGCTCACGACCAGCAGGCGAAAAAGCTCAAGACTGCTGGTGTGCGGTTGCAGTAATCGTCTTGATTCGACGATGGCCTCAGGTTAGTGGTACTGATACCTCATTCATGAAGAACTTTTGTTAATAGCCATATTCCAATAGACGGGCGACGCTTGACACACTATGGTAAAACTGTCTTGATGCTGTGACTTCCTGACTTCTCATGCTTACCTTGTAGTTGCCTGAGCGGGTAAGTACCTTCTTGATTCCACGTTCCTGGGTAGATCTCGAATCTTTCGCATTCGCAAACATGTCGCAGCGAGTGCCGACATCTCTCCGCCACGCAGTCACAAGACAAATTGCTGTCCCTTGGCAGAGTCGTGTTCTGTGGGCACTCCGCCTCATCCTTCCTGCCGTTGTAAAATGGTCGTCGGATTCACGCCGAACTTCTACCTAGCCTCGGGATCGCCGACTAGTGAGCCTTGGCCTCCCCGCGTGCTATATTGTCTTTTCTCACTCCCTGTGCTGCACGTCACGAGCGATTGGCGGGAATGCTACATGGTCCCTTTGGACTGTTCCTGGTACCTGCCCTGCGCGCATTAGGTAGGTCTTGACGTCGGTCAGCCAAGAATAAAGTCAAGTCTGTGTATCGGAGAAGTCGGCGCGTCCACCGACCTACTTTTAAGGCATGTCACTGCTCTCCGTGATGTGGCTGGTCGTGATGCTGCGAGAACCTGGTGTGGATCTGCGGTTGCGCTGTATTACTTCGCGTGAAGCAAGTATAAATGTAGGAGGTATCTGTCCGTGAAATTCAAGAGACTTCCCTAGATCAGCCGTCGCCGTCTCAGCAAAGTGGCATTAAATCAGCATGTTCTTCTCCAAGATTATTTCCGCTTCGCTGGGCCTCTACAGCTTGCTTGGCTCCGTAGCAGCCTATACTAACCCCATCCGTAATCCAGGAGGCGTCAGTAGCCACAATGTACCATCATCGTCAGCACAGACTAACGGCACGTAGGGTGACCCGCAAATCTCGTGGTACGACGGCTATTACTACCTGATCTCGACGGAGTGGACCAACCTCCAGCTCTCCCGCGCAACCACCATCGAGGGGTTGAAGACCGCAACACCAAGGGTCATCTACGAGGACTCTACGCCAAATCGATGCTGCAACGTGTGGGCTCCTGAGCTTCACAACTTTGATGGGGCCTGGTATCTCTACTACACAGCTGGCAATGCAAATAACGGGGACGATCAGCGTATGCATGTGCTGAAGGGTACGTCCATCCCCATATCCTCACCATGCATACACATACACTGACAAAATTCCAGGCGGCGCCTCCCCCTGGGACACCTGGTCCTACGCCAACCAAGTCACCGACGACTGGTCGCTCGACGGCACCGTCGTCCGCATCAATGACTGGGGTAACTACTTCGTATACTCGTGCATGACCGGCGTGCCCCACCAATCGACCTGCGTCCGCAAACTCAACTCCGACTACATCTCCGCTGGCCCCAACATCAGCATCATCTCGACCCCCGACCAGCCGTGGGAGCAGTCCCGAGTCCCCGTCCAGGAGGGCCCGTACGGTCTCTACTTCGGCGGCAAGACGTACATCGCGTACTCGGCGAACTACTGCTGGACGCCCGACTACTGCGTGGCGTTGCTGGAGTGGGACGGTGTGAGCGACCCCGAAATGGCTGCGGCATGGGAGAAGAGCGATGGATGCAGACTTACGCAAGCGAATGGCAACTTTGGCACGGGGCATAACAGTTTCTTCACCAGCCCGGATGGCAACACGACATACATTGCCTACCATGCTACTTCGGCTGCTGGCGGCGCTTGCGATGACAACAGATATGTCATGGTGCAGCCCATCTCTGCGAGGGAGGATGGCAGCCCTGACTTTGGTGTCCCGCAGGCGTTTGGGAGCGAGTATCCGGAGCCGAGCGCTTAGATCTAGATGCGATGGACAGCAACTTGTGAGGTCATAGCAGGCTCTGATGGTCGCCATTAGACCAAAATGACATTCATTATCATTGTGCTTCAAGCTTGTTGTTGGGGTGGAATGACTTGCACACTAGTTGCCAGGAGGACCAACGGACGGTATGCTTGAGGCGGGCGCAGGTACTTGCATAAGAATTGGGCAGCTAGACTAAGCTTGATGCTACCTGGACAGTTCTGCGTCCAATGCCAGCTCATCAGTGAGAACAGTGTACAGCAACTTGCCATGTATTTTTGATTGGTGACCACGACTACGTCTATGCGCTAGGCTACTGTGTTCTGGTGAAATGGAATGCTTCGCCATATGTTCGTCACATATACAGTAGTATCAGTCATCTGCCCGCTTCATGCATCTCAACATCCCTTCCCATCATTTGTAAGGGGATAGACCCCAGCGGCCATGCAGAAGACTGCAAGTAAGTGACTGATCAATAGATGCCTTGGTAAACTAAGATTGATTGCTAGCAAGCTACATGAGGGCAAGGCTTCGCTTAACATAGGGGCTCGCATCGGAAGGCTCGGATACCTAGATGCAGGGTCGCTGTACCCTGGAGCGCCTTGTCGAAGAGCCTGAAAGTTTGACACCATTGATATCGTCTTGTCTTGCTGGAATTTCCGCTGGGAATAGCGCTGCCTCAACCCTGCGGATGAATATTCTTGTCGTCAGTAGAATTCAATGTGACACACTAGAAAGCTCACTCTGAGTTGTTCATGTGTATCAGGATGTACGAAGTAGCGCGGGAAGCCCCGACATAAGACCAGTACCCCGGTAAACACGCTAACCTAGCGCGTTTGGAACGCATCTTCTCCATGTCAGCTTCGGGTCAATCTTCCCTCACGTCACCTCGGGCTTTCCTACAGTGCGCGCAGATCACATTCTTCGATTGAGCATTCATTCATGTAGCGATTCCGATGCTGGCATCCCGCGTCACGAGCGACAGGTCAGAAAACCTCAAAACTCTCGACTCAGGAAACACAGCCTACCAAAGAATTTAACTACGTGCTTATCTACTGAAAGATGGCGAGACGTAGGCTAATATCGAGCTGTACGCAGACCTATCCCAACAACCGATTGACCGACGATTCACTCAATCCTGACGTAAGTGCGAAACCAGATATCCTGGGTCTTTCTAGCTCGCGTTGTTCCTGTGAAATCGCTCTACGATGTTGATCCTCACTTTCACTGCGTTCTGAACAAACGCGCAGGCCTTGAGACTTCCCGCGCCGAGGACAAACGCGCGATCGATACCACCATCAGTGCAATGAATGATGACTTTGCTAAGAGATTGAAAGAGGTTGAAGCGAAGACAAAGCAAATGAGCGAGTTGCACCCCCAAGACAAGGCCGCGCTGGAGGGCAGAATTGAAGATCTACGCGCTGAGACACTTATGAAGCGTGACGGGATCGCGAGAATACAGCACGTGAAGAGGGTCGAGGGCGAAGTCGAGGAATTTGGCCGTAGAGTGGACAAGGGTGGCGCTACCAACGACAACTCACAGTGCAAGAGGGGGAGCATTGGTCAACTTTGGACAGACCTTCGAAGTCTTACGACATGCGTTAACAGCTTGTCCGCCTCCCTGATGGAGAACGACGCTGAATCAATCGGGATTGGTGAGAGCACTTGATGTTACAGCCCGTCGTTGTTGAGCTGTCTTCGGGTACGGATTATCGAGTAATGGCTGGAGAATTCTTTTATGATACGTTACCAGGAACTGCTACCGCGCAGTGGCCACAAGGTGTGGTCCGCAAATGGATACAACTAGTTTTGTCGCTTGTCTAAAGGGACAGGGTCTTGTGTTAACCAGATTCCATGTTTGCAGCGACTGCTAGACACTGTTCAGGGTCCCTGGCAGAAAGAAGCGGAAGGATGCGAACAAAAATGGGATACCTCTTGCTGTTTGAATTTTATCAAAAGGGAGTATATGTTGTCCGCGCACCGAGCAAATCCTGAATCTTCATTACACTTCCACATACCTCACAATCCTGTTGACAATTTGACAAAGCACACCCAGCACAATTCCCCATATTCAAACCGTACTATGCAACCATGGAGACAACCACTCCAGTCTCGCCATTCTACGATGCTTACACATACTACGAGTCTTCCCCATACTCTGTAAGTGAGAGAAATTCACCTCCCCATCGACATTTAGTTCAGTACTAATAGATACATAACAGCTTCCAAGCGCATGGGAAAAGCACACTCCCCCTCCCCCCGAGGCGTCAAAGAAGCGCAAGCCCACCCACGACGACAAAGGAGCAGAGCCAGTATGTTCCACAAATCACTTTCTGCTTGACCATCCTACTAAAAACATTAGCATGCCAACACGAAGCGGGCGAAACTTTCTTCATCTCATGCAAACGTTCTTCACGCCGATCAGGCAAAGCCAGCAGCCCAAGCACTTAGCCTAGCAAACCCCCAAAAGGCCTGGCTACCCACCGTCCTTAATCCAACACAGTCATTCACGCCCCCCTCACCAGCAAAATCTCCCCACTCCATCAAAAGCGCCCTCGCACCTCAACAACCCCATTCCCCATTCCCACGCTGGATAGCAGAAAAACAGCGCAAGCAACACACTTTCGACGGGTGCATAGACGTGATCCTTTCAGACATGCAGGAGGACAGCGAACTCGAGGATGCGATAGTGCGGTCGTGGGAGGTAGCTGTGGACCGCCGGGCGGTGCGGAAGAGGGCAAGGGCAATGGTGCTTAAGACGCCGTGTCCGGAGTATATGGCGGGTGTGTTGACGTATGGGAGGCAGGGAGCTAGTCTGGAGGTGTGAGGCTGAGTTGGCGTTGTGTCTGGGGAGTGTTTGTAGCGGTAATGAAAGATAAAGTCTGACTGAAAGCTCTAATCTGCTACCTGCGAGGATATCTTCCTGATATGCTGATGGCCTCCACACAAGCCCAGCACTCCTACACCCCCCTTTCTCTGTCTTCCTCGACGCCATCAGCTCTCTGCAGACCAGAGCCGTCTCGAGTTCGCAGGCGCTCATTAAAACACAGACGATGGAACCACATGGACACGTCGAGAGAGGGAGCGAAGCAAGCGCAGAACAAGAAACAGCCATCAGAGGGCCCAACACCAGAGTGCATCAACCCGATCAACCAACGTATCCAGTAGAAAAAGCCAAGCAGTCGACGCTCCACATCACAAACAGTGCCCGCAAAAGGGAAGTTGATACAGGCGCGTAAGGACACAAGATAGAATCCATGTCACACGTGAAGATCCGTCGAAACCGTCAGCACTCTACGCTCGTGAAAAAACGCCACCAGTCAAGAAACGAAGGCTATGCATTAGGCAAACGGGTATGCAATGCCAAAAAAACAAACAGATAAAGTGCACGACTACACAACACCAGCTCCTGAGACCGCAGGCTCCGCCCGGGCTGCCGGCATAGCCATCTAGGTTAGTGGCGGCGCGGTTCATACCCCCTGTCGTCGTACCCACTGGCACCGTTGCGAGCTCTGTAATCATCGTGACTCGATCGCGACGGGGGGTCGTGGGAGCTGCTGTCTGTGCCGACGGTGCTTCGCCTGTGGCGACTCCTCCACAGCTCTTCGTCCTTGCTGCGGCGGCGCCCGTCGTCTTGGACGTTATGGAGGTTGGACGAGTAGTAGCTGGCGGGGGTGTCATTGATGTTGCCGTCCGAATAGGTGCCGTAGCTAGAGAAGTTGGGGCTTCTGGTCCGACGGGTACTTAGTCGCGGTCCTTGTTGATCGTAGTTGTCGCTCGGGGGTGGTACCCATTGGCTCTGACTGGCTGTTGATCCTGCACGTCTGCGTTGAGATGGCGCTGGTGTAGTGTCAGAGTACGTGCTCTGGGAGAGGTCGTCGTACATCTTGCCACCACTCGGTGTTGCTGAGTAGGGATTTCTCTGTCGCTCGATGGGCACGAAGCCCGTATCACGCTCGCTGTCCGAATCACAGCTCTTGACCTCAGGCTGTCTGCCGTACGGGCTGCGCTCACGCTCCAAGCTAGGGCCGGCGCTGCTGGTGTCTACTTTAGGCGGGGGTGGAGGGAAGCTGGGAGCCTTGCGCAGTGGACCAGCGCCTTCAGCAGAAAGGCTGGCGGCACACCTCTGCTGAGCTTGCACGTTCTCGGACCTTGGAAACATGCGGCGAGGCAAGGTTTTCGGGAAGCGTTCTTTGATGTTGTCCGCGTTGCTAATGGGCATGTCCAGTGCAGCTCTCGAGATCCGCTCGTACTCTGTGTCAGGGTAGGCCTGGATCATGGCAGTCATCCATTCTTGGAAGCCCTGTGGGGTCAGCGCTGGGATGCAAGGGGCTTCTGCAGGGTGCTCTTGGATGAGGTGGTGCTGGCAGCGCATGCTCTGGTAGGCCCTTCCTAATGCAGTATAGGACAGCTCCCCAAAGATCGCTGGTCAGTGTTAGGGACACTAGTCGATGTGGTGGGATTGAGTAAGCCACTCACTTTGCCAGGGGTAGATCTCATCCGGCACCTTGACATCTTCGTAGAACTTCTGCATCTTGGAAGGCGAGATGACGAGGCTCTTCTTTGGTTCGTAATCTTCAATCTGGAATTCTCGTCAGCCGTGCATGTGGCACGATCGGCCTGCGCTACCCACCAGATGCATTGCAAGGCCACGGAGGAACTCTCCAAGACGCGGCAGAGGTCGGCCCTCTGGATCGAACAGACGCTGCCACATCTTCTCGATGGGTGTAAAGTCGTCCGTTGCCATCCTAACAGCGCGAACTGGTCGCTCAGGTGCTCGATCTCGGTGTGGAATATCGATAGGCGCGCTCGAGCTGTGACGAGGGGTTCGAGGGTCGTCAGTGCTTCCGTCGAATGTTGGTTCGCGGCTGGGATGGTCGTGTGGAGGAGCGTGTTGACCAGGAGTGTCTTGGGAGAAGGGAGATGGCGGCGTATAAACGTTTCTTGTGGGGAAGGATGCGGTCGTAGAGTCAGGCGAGGGTGGGATGTGTTGCTGCGACGGTGCTGCAGGCTGAGCTGGCGTTGCACCAAGCCCACTCTGTTTGATCTCATCAAGCACCGACCTCTTCACCTCAGCTGCTATCTGGGCGATGAGGTCGGGATGGACGGTCCTGGCTGCATCCGATTGATCAAAAGCGTTTCCTATAGCGCTCTTGAGCGGCTGCTGGCCGGGCTGAGGTACTCCGTCAGAAGCAGCGTTGGACGAGGAACGTGACCTTCCACGGAGTGGAACATGATGCGGGGTGTCATGGCGGTACGAGGATTCGTATGCTCGGGGGTCACGAGGGTCGTAATTATCATGAGAGGTGTTGCGGTAGCTGTCGTAGTCCATGGCGCCGAACGCTACCAGCCAATGGAACAGGCTAGTGCGGTGTAGCAGGCCTCTAGCGGTCTGTCAAACGGGTATCGTTGCGGAGCGACGGTTGAGCGCTGATGCAAGTTGGAAACTCCCATGCAGATAAATCGAATTCAGTCTTGTGCGAGACTGGCAGTGATGTGGAAGTCGTGGAATATGCTGGATGCTGTCGCAGAGACGGCTGGCTCAGCCTTCCGGCGCCTGATGTGACGACTGACTTCCAGAAGGCGGCAGGCTATTTGTGGGCGACAACGACGACAACGCAATGCAGCAAGCTGGCAGCAGGACAACACAAGGGTCCTGATGTTTGGCTGGGCACGAGCAACAGTTCGCATGTGCGTTGTTCCAGTGATGCAGCTCGATGAACGATCACTGCTGCTGCTTCTGCAGGAGCGTTGTTGCGTCATCTCTGGCAAGAGCATGTCTGCAGACCTGTTTCTACCGTAATCTACCTGCACGATCGCTTACTCACCGGGATCGGCGTAGTCAGCAGTGGACGACGACATCAAAACTTTACACTTTCAAGCAATGGCAGTAGCCGAGGACTGTTTTGAAGTCTGTCGTGGAGTTTGTTGCAAAGCCTTTTGTTCGTACACGCAGTCTGCGGTGCTATGTTTACACCGAATACGCGCGGTCAGTGTGTGAGCAGTGGGTGCTGACGGCGCCGTCCCACTTTGTTTACCCGTCTTTGTTTCGACACGAAGCTCGTTACCGGCAGATGCTTGTCTGCAGCACTGCGGCCTGGGATCTGAGGTTTCAGCACGGTAAAACCACGACCACGAATGACAGGTCGATAGGATCTTGTCGCTGTCACAGCCGCACAAAGGCAGCCGTACGATGCCCACGGCGGCTGCTGGAGGGACAAAGCAGCGTGCCATAGTGAGACATGAAGCCGGGCGAGCAGGCGTGGTGGGCCTGAGCGATGCGCAGCAGAGACGTATGGAGTGCTTTGTTGGAGACAGCCTGACAGCTGCTCCCTGCTCCTCCACGCAACAGAGGCGCGCATCGCAATTATACGCGGCACGTCGTCGAGCTGCGAGCAACGCCGAGGCAGGATGTTGCATGGGTGCGTGCACAATGCTTCCTCGGCTAGGATAGCTTCGGAGCATAACAGCGAGTGCGCTTGTCCGGGTCCGACTTTGCGCGTTTCATGTTGTTTCATAGCGTCGGTAGCGCACTCGCCCACGGCGCGCGACTGGGCGTCTCTCGTCTCCTCGGCGCAACACTCGACTGTCTCGCCAGTGCGGCCGCTGTCTTGTTGCTGACTCTCAGATGCTGCAATAATAAAGGCCGACGAAACTCCACGCCGCCCCCCCGTGCTCACGACGATCCGTTGCTCAAAGGCCCGTTGACGTCCAACACGCGCCCTGCAGCTGCCTGCGAGCACCCTAAGAGCCTGCAGCGGTCATAAAGCCAGCACCCACGCCACCCTTCACCGCGGCCTGCATCACCGTCTACGGCCATCCCTGCGCCACTGCTGCTGTCACCGCCCCGCCTCTCTGCGGTCTACTCCGTCATCAGACCCTGACGCCCTCGACTCTCGACCCTCGACCCTCGACTCAGCACTGCGTGACTGCCCGTACATGATGTGCATATGAAAACAATAAACATCGACGACCGACCTTCGATCGCCTATTTTTCCTTCCGTTCAACCGCTCGGCTGCTCCCGGGCCCTCGACATGGCTATGCTTGCTGCAAAGTCCCCTTACCCTACACCGTCGCTCGGCGGAGGCCCCTCTCAGTCGACCTCCCAGTACAACGCCGCGATGAACAACTACCGCAGCCACACGTCAGCTGCGCGCGCCGACCAGACCATGTTTGCCTCGCCCACCAATTCCGACTTCTCCGAAATCTACGACGCTCCTGATGCCGTCCGGTACGCCGTGCTCTGCCTCGACAGGCTGCCACCCACAGCGCTGACACGCACAGGAACTGGGATGAAGACAGGGTCGTTGACTGGCTGAAAAGCATCAGCTGCGCCCAGTACATCGAGCTGTTCCGAAGTACGTGAGCTTTCGCTAATGGCACGCTGCAGCTGCTGACGTGCACAGTGAACAACATCAACGGCGAGAACCTGATGGAGATGGACCAGACACATCTGCGAGACATGGGCATCAAGAAGGTCGGCGACCGCGTGCGCATCGGTTCACAAGCAAAGCAGCTGCGAAACAAGGAGCTGAAGAAGGGCTCACGGCGGATATCGAACAGGCAGTCACTCGCCACCCTCGACCAGTCCGCATACACGCCACCCTCTGGCTCGCCACGGCCCTTGCACTCGGCAACACGCGCTGCTCAGGCCAGCTCGCGAAGCGAGAAGCGCATGTCGCGCCAAATCACAACCGCCGAGATGAGCTATGCCTATGGCACCAAGTCGCCATCACGGCCCAGCTCGCCTCTTGTCGATCAAGAGAACCGCAGCCTCCGCTCCCAGCGGCAAGGAGGTCTCAACAGCCCCAAGGACCCTGCCAAGACGTACGGCGCCCACCCTCTCAGCGCCCGCTATGCGCCAAACCAGCGGACCACTCCCACAGAGACCCCACAGACGGCGCGGTTCGCGAACCACGTACGGGCCAGCCCCAGTGTGGACAGTGCAACCAACAGCATTATCCTCCCTCAGGACAAGGCCTTCATCCGAGTCATCTACGACGGGGGCCGAACATCAGTGCTCAACATTGAAGGGTGCAAGACTGCCGAGGAGGTCATGCTGAAGACCCTGAGGAAGGGCACACTCAACGAAGCGCACGTCAAGAACTACTGCTTCTACATTCTCAACAGTGCCGAAGCGGACCCGTCGCTTGCGGAGCGCCTGAGTGACATTGAGGTTTTCCGGCTCGTGAAAGACTCGAATCGCCACGAGCGCGGACGGCTGATACTACGCAAGGTGCACGCCGGCGAGCCCAGCGAGGAACAGCTTGCCGCTGCTGCCAGCATATACGCACAGCAGACCTTTCAGCAAACGCAAACCTCGAACATCTACGTACCGGCCACCAACAGAAGTCAGCTCAAGATCGAGAAGCTTACGGGCGAGTCTCTTGCAGCTGTCAGCTACCCCCTTTCACCTGCCTCGGCACGAGAGCGTGAGAGGCACATTAATTCGACCGCACAGAACCTGGAGGGGCCTGAGAGCTCCATGCGATCTCCAGTCTACCAGGCCCGCGCACGCAAGCTCAAGCAATTTTACGGTGCCCGGCCACCCAGTGAGCTGATCACCTCCGACCTGACGTCCTACTTCCCAGACGTGCAGAAAGATGAGATCGACAAGACCGTTCGCATGTCTGTCCGCCGCTCGCGTCGCCTGAGTAAAGCTGCGTCCCGCCTCTCGATGGCGTCAAACTTCAGTGTAGCTTCTAGCCTCAAGGATGCACCACCCCTTCCATCCATTGCCGACAGCTGGCTGCAGGGTGGCAACCAAGCTCGTCCTTTGCGGCCACTATCGGTCATGAGGCTCGGCTTGCCGTCGCAACACGGCTATCGCGATTCGATGGCATCGTCAGTGCTGGAACCACTCGACGAGGAGTCGCCGCTGGAGCCCAATCGCAAGTCGTACGTATCATTCGGCGACGGCAGCGGATCAGACACTCTAGCTGTGACAGATCCGGATGGCAACACCAGCATGCAATCATACTTTGACGATGGTGGCAGCAGTCTTGCTGGCAGTAGTACCGACAATACAGAGAACGGTGACTCACTCAACAAGCGCCTTTCTGAAGCCATTGCTGAAGATGGCGAAGAGTACGACGACGAATTGACGGAGTACCTTGAGCAAGATTCATGGGAGAACGTCAAGTACATGAAGGGAGCACTCATTGGACAGGGTTCCTTTGGTAGCGTGTACCTCGCGCTGCACGCCGTGACTGGCGAGCTCATGGCTGTCAAGCAAGTCGAGCTACCTTCGGCAGCGGGTACAGCGCAGATGGATCAGAGAAAGACCAACATGGTCGAGGCATTGAAGCACGAGATTGGTCTTCTTCGTGAGCTCAAGCACAAGAATATTGTGCAGTATCTCGGCTCCAATTCGGACGAGAGCCACCTCAACATTTTCCTGGAGTACGTTCCAGGTGGATCGGTTGCAACCATGCTGATCAACTACGGACCCTTGGGCGAGTCGCTTATCCAGAACTTTGTCCGCCAAATCCTCACCGGTCTGTCATACCTCCACTCAAGAGACATCATCCACCGCGACATCAAGGGCGCAAACATTTTGGTCGACAACAAGGGCTCTGTCAAAATCTCTGATTTCGGTATCTCAAAACGTATCGAACAGTCAACGCTGGGTGGTAGCAAGAAGGGTGCTCAACGCGTGTCGCTGCAAGGTTCCGTCTTCTGGATGGCACCGGAAGTCGTTCGTCAGACAGCTTACACTCGCAAGGCCGACATCTGGTCGCTGGGTTGTCTCATCGTCGAGATGTTCTCAGGCAGCCATCCTCACCCAAGCTTGACCCAGCTCCAAGCTATCTTCAAGATTGGTGGCAGCGGCGACGCAAGTCCCACCATCCCCGACAACGCCGGCGACGATGCTCGTGCCTTCCTATCTCAGACCTTCCTCATCGACCACGAGAAGCGGCCCAGCGCTGATGAGCTGCTTGCAAGTCCCTTTATCACGAATCAGGGTGCGTAAGCAAGCACATCCGAGGCCTCGCCCCTGTTCACGCTGGAGTCCGCGTCAGAGCCATCATTGCCAGGCGTCATTGCGCTGCTTTCTTCTTCCCCCTTTAATGCCCAACGCGCACATGCGAATGACTGTACTATATGATACCGCACCGAGGTGCATGGAGCTGGTGCTTTGACAGCAGCTCACCCGGGTGAACCTACTGGTATTGGATTACGGATCAGGTGTACCATAGCTATCTATATCCATCGAACAAACACATCTTTATCTACATTCACGTCCCAAAGACAATGACGAGTTGTGGCTTGCGAGTCAGCGCCGGGCATGCGGAATACGGACGTCTTGGTGTTCCGCCATGCGCCCCTGTCCAGCTCCAGAGTTACCACCACGCACTAATTGTTTGGCTAGTCCACCAGCCCCACGATCATTGACGCGTTGCGGGGTAGCTCCGACAGCTCCACAGACCGAGGCTTACGACAACGGCTAATCATGGCCCAGGGATGGACTGCCCAAATGCCACATGTGGAGTAGCCGATACACTGACGCCCCCGAGCATCGTCCGTTGCTAGCAGGACCCGTTTGGAGACTGGTTGTGGGGTAGCTGCTAGCTCGTGGGTCAGATGGGGGATGAGGGGGCGTATATGTAGGATGAGCGCTCCAGCTTCTCGACCTTCTTATGCCCTGCCTCTGCACTGTTGGTTGCAGCTCTTGACTACCATTGACTTTGCAATTCACAGTACATTATCTTAGAGAGAAAGCAGCGAGACAAGAACAATGGGCGATATCCAGATCCCCAAGAAACACAAGGCCGCTGTCTACGACAAGCCAGGCTCGATCTCGACCAAGATCGAGGAACTCGACGTCCCCGAGCCAGGCCCCGGAGAGGTCCTGATCAACCTGTACGTCTTCATGTTCACAGCACTCCTCGGTCTCTCGTCGTCCCCTTCAACCCTCCCCCGCTTTCCTCACAGGAACATGAGCTAACGCCATGTCTAGAACGCACTCCGGCGTCTGCCACTCGGACATGGGCGTCATGCTCAACGCGTGGAAGCTCCTGCCCTTCCCCACCCAAGCAGGCCAGGTCGGCGGACACGAGGGTGTGGGCAAGATCGTCAAGATGGGCCCCGGGACGCAGAGCTCCGCGGTCAAGATCGGTGATCGCGTGGGGATCAAGTGGATGGCGGGCATCTGCGAGGCGTGCGAGGCGTGCCTCGCAGGCATGGACGCCAACTGCTTCAGCGGCGTGCGTCCACCCCTCGGAACCACGTGAGCGTAAATGCTAACACGGACAGAAAATCTCAGGATACTACACCCCCGGTACCTTCCAGCAGTACGTCCTCGGGCCCGCGAACTACGTAACGCCCATCCCTGACGGTCTCGATTCTGCTGCCGCCGCGCCGCTGCTGTGCGCCGGAGTAACGGTATACGCCGCGCTGCGCAAGGCCAACGCCGAGTCTGGCGCCTTTGTCGTCATCATGGGCGCAGGCGGCGGCCTAGGCCATCTCGCCGTGCAATACTCGGCGCGCGCCATCGGGCACCGCGTAATCGGCATCGACCACTCGAGCAAGAAGGACCTCGTGCTGGACTCGGGCGCAGAGCACTTTATTCCCGTCGACGGCACGGAGTCGCTGGCATCCGCGGTGCAGGCGCTGACGGGTGGCCACGGGGCGCACGCCGTCGTCGTGTGCACGGCACATCAGGGCGCGTACGATGAGAGTGTTAATCTTCTGCGCTTCGGCGGCCGCGTGGTCTGCGTGGGTATCCCCGAGGGCGATATACAGCCCATTGCCAGCGCGTCGGCGGGGATCATGGTCGGCAAGGCGCTGCAGATTGTTGGCTCGGCGGTGGGGACGCGGAAGGAGGCTATTGAGGCGGTGGAGTTTGCGGCCAGGGGGATTGTGAAGACGCATTTCCGCGTTGAGAAGCTGGATAAGTTGACGAGTGTGTTTGAGGAGATGGATAAGCAGCAGCTTAAGGGTAGGGTTGTTATTGATCTAAGGGATTGACGGGTGTGTGTATATAGCCTGATATAGAGCAAGCGTTCACGGCGTGCAATGTTGAATGTGCTACGTTATTGGAATACAAGGAAAGGGGATGATATGCTCGTACATCGTGAGATCTTGACTCGATCACCTGGTTCTAGCACCGGTGCATAACCCTAGCAGCAGTGTTGCGCGCAAACTACCCCCATATACAATCTCGATTTACGTTGAGATTGTTGATGAAGTTGAAAGTATTGCCATTTTCCTTGGTGGCCAAGGCTTTCTTTGAAGCTTTCCTAACGATCGTCGCGGGTTGGCGGACCGGTGTTGTCTGCTGGTCTTCGGACGTAGGTTTCGAGGACGCAGTGGGTGTTGTTAGCTTGCTTTCTTCTCGTCCCCCCGGCGACTTTAGCAGTTCGTGGCTGTCGAATTTCTTCCGGTCTGCACGCGAGGCTGCAAGGAGAACGCCGTCCCAGTGCGCCCATCTAGCCCTATGGTCGTCTTGTTCAAAGCCGTGACGAGGCACCCTTCCAAAATCCATCAGCCAGGCCCACAGGGGCGTCAGCTCGCCGCTGCTCGCATACGGCTTTTGCTCGTTGATCCACTCGGTCCATTTCTGCGCCACTTTCCTCGCCTGCGCTTCGTCGACGCAGAACCACTCCCTGTGCGTTTCGGAACACAATGAACACTTCCAGTCTTCTTGCAGATGAGCCATGTCGATCTTGGCTAGCCTCTCTGCGCGCTTCATCTTCTCCACGCAGTTTGAGATGTATACCCAGCTTATCATCAGACCGCATTTTGATTTGTGCTGCTTTGCGCGTTTCCAGCTGTTCATCGAGCAGCCTAGCTTCAAGAGACTTGGGTCTTCAGGATTGCGGATGATGTAGAGATAACCTGGTTTCTCTTCTGATGTAAGGTTCTCCTTTGCGGCTTGGATGAGTCTGTGGTGTAAGACCGAGGCGTTGTGGCTTTCCACGACGCTGGGCACTCCTGGTACATTTTCTCTCTTGTCATCGTCGTTGTTGCTGGCCTTTGGACTGCCGTGCAAGACTGAGGCGTTGTGGCTTTCCACGACGCTGGGCACTCCTGGTACGTCTTCTCTCCTGTCATCGTCGTTGTTGCTGGCATTTGGACTGCCGCCCCCCTGGTCGCAACGGGAGGGTTCGGATTTTGTGCGCCACGACAGTATTGAGAAGTCCCCGTCTCCAGAGGCTTCACTCCCAAGTTGGTCGCTCTGCAGAACCTGGCATGGCAGGCATACACGACGGTGCTTCTTACTCCACTTGCCCTCGGGTGATGCATACACCTTTCCGCACGGAAGCCTGCTTCCTTGCCGAGGGTCTCTCACTCGATCCTGGAACGCTTCTTGCATAGCATGAGGATGGGGTCCAGGATCAGACACGGGGTCTCTGTGAGGTTGAGGTCGGCCATGGTTGGGTGTCGTTGGCTGCTGAGGGCGTGCACGCCTTGCTGAACTAGGTCGTGGATTTGGGACGTCGTCTCGTAACTTGGATACCTGACGAGCGCTTAGAAATTCTAGCTCATCATCATCATCATCGTCATCTTCCCTCACACCTTCCCTGCGATGTCCACGTTCCGGAGTTCCCGTTCCGGATGGCTGTCTTGCTATGCTCGTGGCTTGAGCGGCGTTGGAGGAACGTGCCTCGTCGTTTGCGCTTGTGCTCCGTCTACGAGTGCTGCTTTTTTCTCTCACAGGCACAGCAAGGGAGTTTCGGCTAGGCATGAAGAAGAACAGAGATGTTTTGTGATCTTTGAGTGACAATGGTAACGTGTAGTGAAAGTCCCGACGCTTCTTTTCTACTTGCTCTCTTATCCAATACGGGGGAATCCTTCGTGGGTGGGTGTTGTTGCTGCGCCGCAAACGAACACTTCGGCTCGCAGCATAGACGGACATGGACCTAAAAGTCGACCTCATCCGTATGATGCGCATCAGCCACAGCTTGAGGTGGAAGGAGCCAAGCGTCTGAATTGATCCAAATGTGCCTGAAATTCAAATACCAATACGTTGAGCTGTGGGAGTCAGCCAATCTGCTATCTTCCTTCTGGCCGCGCGCCCGGCCCCCACCTCTATGAATCCTACCACAGCCTCCGGGTGTTCAATGAGGGGCCGCTCTTTCCGTGCCCTGAATCAGTTCAATCACCGAGTAGATAGCAACAACTGTGGGCTCGTCCGTTTCGTTGCCCAGTCAGTCCATGGTCCGGATCGAAAGCGATGAGAGCAAGTTTGTTCGAGCGACCGCACGGACTGGCCAACAACAATGTGAGACTTTAAACGTATACGATGGGTCATCTCAAGTCATTGCATGTGTGATATGTACGGCGCTCGAGCTCACCAAGCGCTCCCTAGACTTTGTACAGCGTATCCAGAAACCCCTTGGCCAGATCAACCACGACGCTCTTGTTGGGCAGACTGCCTGCTACCCCGTACAAGGCCGCGGCGTCACCTTTGGTTGCGCCCTTTGCCCCCTTGCCCTCTGCGATGCGCTTGCGCTCTGCCTCCTTGACGTCCTCGACGACGTCGACGAGGTCCTGGACCAGCTTGTCGACGACGGCGACAATGGGCAGGGTAACGGCTACGTGGATCGCAGGCGGGTTCTGCAGCGCGTTCAGGTGCCAGCCCTTGTGCGACATGGCGTCGGCGACGTCATAGATGTCCAGCGTGGTGCTCAGGAAGGCGACGACGGACACGAGCGGACGGCCGATGATGCGCAGGTCGGCGTTGAGCTCGGGCCGCTCGCGGATCGCCGTCTCGATCTTCTTCATCCCGCCCACGATCTTGTGGCACGCGTCGATGTAGCCGCTCTCGCCCTGGCTGACCAGACTCGCCCAGCACCCGGCGATCAGCGCGCCGGGCCGCGACCCCGCGATGCTGGGCGACGCGTACACGCCGCCGGACCAGTCGGGGGAGATGAAGTACTGGTGCTTGCGGTACGTGTCAGAGCGGTACAGCACCGTGCTGTTGCCCTTGGGCGCGAAGCCATACTTGTGGGTGTCGCAGGAGATGCTGGTCACGCCCTTGAGGCGGAAGTCAAAGGGCTCAAAGTCGAAGCCGGCCTTGGGGAGCAGCGGGATGATGAAGGAGCCCAGACAGCAGTCGACGTGCAGGGGCAGGCGCTTCTTGTGGGCGAGCTTGCTGAGGCCGGCGATGTCGTCGATGATGCCGTGGGGGAAGTTGGGCGCGGAGCCGACGAGCAGGACCGTGTTGGGGTTGATGAGGCGCGAGACAGAGGGCAAGTGCACCTTGTAGCTCGGCGCGGTGCATTTGACGAGGTGAATCTTGATCTTGAAGTACTCGCCGGCCTTGCGGAAGGCCGTGTGGGCCGTCTCCGGGAGGATCATCTCGGGGGACGTCACGCCACGCTCGGCGTACGCTTTGTTGCGGGCGGACAGGCAGGCCATGAGGATGGACTCGGTGCCGCCGCTGGTGGTGACACCGACGGCGCCTGCGGGGGCACTGAAGAGCGACAGGACCATGGCGACGATCTCGGCTTCCATCTTGCGGACACCCGGGAAGACGTCGGGGTGGATGGGGTTGGCGACGGTGAACTTGCCAAAGGCCTCCGTCTGGAGTCTGATCAGCTCGTCACCGCCGTGGTAGACGGCGCCGCTGACGCGCCCGTCTTCCCAGCGCGTGTGCTCCATGTCCGCGAGCTCGCCGAGCTTCTTGCGCACTTCGTCCGCGCTCCATCCTTGGCTTGGCAGCGTCGTGATGCGCTCCACGCCGGGCCCGCTGGGGACGAGTTTGCGCTCGAGCTTGAGCAGCGACTCGGAGATTTGCGTCTGCACCTTGGTGCGCACGCCGGGCAAGCCGAGGAACACGCCGTACAGGTAGCGTCTGGCGGCGATGTAGAGGTCAGAGAGCGAGCCGAAGATGCCGCGGCCCTTGAGCTGGTAGAAGAGGATCCGCGTCCAGCGGAGGAGGAAGAGGACGAAGACTACGTTGCGCAGCCTTGAAGCCGTCACCGTTAGCATCACGCCTATCGTGCATGGCGATAACATACACTTCGAGGTTCAGCACCGCAAGCTGGCCCTTGGGCGTCGCCCGGTGCGCATTGAATGTGTCGCGAAGACTGACAGGCAGACGCGAGGAGCCGGGCATCTTGATGCTGGAGTGCCAAAAACCGCTCCGTTTGAGATGCTCACTGCCCAAGTGCGGTGTGGTTGGCAGCTGTCATGCCAGGCGAACCGTTGTGGTTGTACGTTGTCCTTCACATGTCAGACGTCACTCGGAATCCGTCGGCTTCCGAACCCCACTTGCAACCGCCTTCTATCTATTGCTTCTAGAAGCTTAATTAACATCACTCTCCTTTCGGCCAGCCTTGCAAACACAAGCATGATGTGGAGTACGGACGTGCTCGCCACACCTGAAGTGGCAGCTGCCAAATCGCAGAAGTCTCCTCCTATTACGGGTACTACGAAAGCAACTCAGACCGGACCGAAACAAGAGTATTCTTCGCGGCGCATGATTTTGCCAACAGATGGGGACGTTCGCTGTCCGTATCGTGCAGAGCCGTGTGCAACAGACTACATTGCCCTTATCTTTGCGTCGCAGATGATTGCAGAACCCCAAATCTCACCTTCGTCACTGATTAACGTTACCGAAGATTCAAACAGACATATCGTTGAGGAACATACTGTAGCATCCACCAATGAATTTGCAGTTACTGCGCCCACGGGGCTAATGAGCAACATCTCGACGAGACTGTCCTTTTGCAGCAGCCAATAATTGGGTTGATCACGTCAAGACGGTTCATCTCCCGAAAACTCCAAGATCGCAGCCTGAGCACCTTGGTCGTCACGACGTCTCTGAAGTGCTTTCTCAAGAAATAAAGAAAAGGGTATTTTTCCTCAAAGAAAGAGGGTACATACCTACCGGTAGGGCAAAAACCCAATTTCTAGGCTAGATACCCCGATTTTAGGTCAATAATCTAGATAGAGTACTGTCATGACTGTCGTGACTGTCGTCCCTCGCAGACTTCGGATTGCTTCAGTAGATTTTGAGACAGGCCCGAGTCTCACGTAAGGCTGAGGAGATTCATGTTAGAGAGCCTAGCGCATATTCATACCGGTCTGTTCGCGTAACAGAAGGCGCGAAGGTGTTGGGGCAGCTGAAAGGGGCGTGCACACGGCAAGAGTGACGTCAAGCCCGTGTCCGCCTGCTGAAATCATGCTGTCAAGAGAGATGGGATTAATACAATGTATTGGGTAAGGCAGAAAGGCATTTGGGAGCCGCGTGGTGTGAATGGTCCGGCCTGAACCCCGAGTGTAGTAAAGGGCCTCTGGCATCATATCGATGAATCATTTAGCGGCATGATGGTGTGGGGCTACCTAATCGCGTTCGCCGGTCCAGGTACCCGCCCCCAGCCCACAGCCTTGTTCCAACACTTTCCATGCTCGCAGCACACGACTCTGAACGATCGCGGTTCTTGTTGACTGACCCCAAACAGACTATGCATATTCAAGCCATCCACAGCATCGCTTCTGTTTCATCGCTCTCTGTTGGCTGGTGAAATGGACACGATTTGCGCTCAAGAGTCGGACGAGGCTGGACTATCGCAGTGCATCAACTGCTGTAACCCAGACTATCTGGAAGACTCTCTCATAGCGCCCTTATCCGCTTAACGCCAACCTGATACTCGTCACAATCCTTCAAGTGTCGAGGCAAGTTTGAGGGGCCCTCGAGTGCTGGCATGTCTTCATGAAACATCAGCAACGGTGCATATGAGCGGCTTCAACGACTGTTTCACTTCGCCCGCCAACAGACGTATCACTGGGTCACGCACGACGCATACTCGAATAGCCACAAACAAGCGCCATCCTGTAAGATCTCAACAGGCGCAACGCCACCTGCGAAGTGGTCACATGGGTTTGTGCATCAGCTAGCCCGGCTCGACACCATCAGCGCATCGCTTGATACTCGTTTAAACCCCGCAAAAATAGAGCCCCGCCTAGCCAATACACATGGTGGCTTGTGGTATGGCGCGATGCCCCGAACCTGATTGAGAGGCAGTTCAGATTTGTAGGATTGGTCATTACATTCCATAAAAAGGGCTAGAATGCTCAGCACTCGATTTGTCGAGTTCGTTGCACCACCTTTCTTTGTATAGGACTCTCGAATACCCTCTAAAAATACCGGCAGCCTTATTGTAACATAGGTTCTGTGCAACGCTCCGATATCTTCTAGATCCTCACCGCTTTCATGGTTCAACTTCAAGCCAAGTGCGATCAATTATCCTGGTAGCTCTACGACACGAGTAGATATAGTCTCTGGGGCTCAAGGCATATCTACAGAATCAAACAACCCTACGGTTGGCCCAGCCGACCCAAACCAGCGATCCGCCAAGACGCAACTCAATCGTACCGATAGCTCTTCTTCCATGTGCGGACATGGTTCTCATGACGCATGTCTCTTCTGCAAGGCAAAGTCACACAATCATTGACCCGACCCATCCTAGTCAGGGGAATGACGGAACTCAAAACTGCAGCCACTCCAGCAGCTCAACATTGCCAGCGAATCCAGCCTCAGAGCAACAAGAACATACACATGAGCCAAGCACGCCAGCCATCGACCTAGGTTACATTCGAGAGGAGATCAGCAAAATTCTGGATTCAAACCCTATAGGGCTCGATCCCGAAGGTGAATATGCGCCCGACCGTGAGCTTGAAAGGCTTCTCAGCGTTATAAATGTCCGAGCAGTTCTGGGTGGGGACGCAGGTAAACCGCTAGAAGATTACGCTTTGCGAGAACGAGGAACATTCGCCACACTACTGCTGATGCATTATGGCCGAGCAAACCTTAAGAAGGCAATGCAAGCTTTCCAATCCAGTGCCTTCACGGATGCAATATTGCAATCGAAAGATCTGGCTCTTTGCGATCCTGACCCCTGCGGACGAGACTGCAGACACCACTTTCCAAAACCGCCGTGGAACAGCGCCAGTCTGAGAGACCTGAAGAAGACGCGCTGGCATTTCCTGGTCCCCAAATTCGACCACAAGATATTTGAGTACGACGTACAACCCGAACAATATCTGCCGTTTAAGAGAAGCCGAAAGAAGCCGCAACAGCGGGCCGAAGGCTTCTTCAGTACGGTCAGCTGTGTCGAAATGTTATCCGACAAACAGGACGCGATACGATTCACGAAGAGGCCGTTCATCGATGTTGCCCTCAAGGAGTTGCAACGAGTGATTTTACCTTCAGGACGACCATATGACATCAGGCAAGAATGGTTACGTGAGGTCAAGGCTCACAAGGAGCTCTCCGACGTACACGCTCATCTTGTCCAAGGTATCGCAGCCTACCGCACGGACGCGAATGATTCCGAGAACGAAAAATACTGTATCGTCTTAGAGTGGGCCGACGGTGGGAACTTGAGAAGCTTCTGGAATAGCAATACCGAATGTCAACTCAATGACGACCCAAGCAACAATCGGTATCGCATCAAAGCCATGCTTGGTCAATTCCTAGGGCTCGCCGAGTGTCTGGAACTTATGCACACGAGAACGACACAGCGCGAGAGCTTCGACGAACCAGATTTGGATACAGGCTTACAGCATGTTGATCAGCAGAATCCATCCCGGTCCCAGGTCTCGTTTCAACCGAAACCGAAAATCGCTGTTCAGGGCACCGATGAGTTTTCGGTGACTGAGAAGGACCCACGGTTGGAGTACTGGCGCCATGGCGACATCAAGCCAGAAAACATCCTAAGATTCATCAAAGGAGACGACAAAAACTGGCTTGGAACTTTAAAACTGGCAGACTTGGGAAGAGCACAGCAACATGCGGAGAGGACTGCCATGAGACAGAGCGCAGAGAGAGAGCAGTTCAGAACAGTTCTATATGAACCACCAGATCTCTATGATGATAAACACAAGAATGGTCAAGGTCAGATCTCTCGACTGTTCGATGTTTGGTCCATGGGATGCGTTATCTTCGAATGCGTCGTCTGGATGCTGTATGGTGCAAAAACCATCGCGAGTTTCCAAGACAACCCAACGATCAAGAAGTATGAGCTTGTTGGAACTCCGTACTGGATCATAGACGGAGCCAATGGATACAAATTGACGGATCGCCTGACCGCTTGGATGCAACACATATCTGAAGACAGCACAGGTTATAGCAACGCCCTTGGGGACCTTGTGAGACTGGTCAGGGATAAGCTTCTTGTGATCAAGTTGCCTCAGGATTCAGAACTGCCAGCCCCGGGTACTCGCATAAGCGCATCAAACATGAGGAAGGAGATTGAACTCATTGTACGAAAGGCAGCTGAAAATGATGACTATCTTTTCAGTAGGGCCAACAAATTCGTGGCGCAACCTCCTCCTGCCGACCGATCCAACACCAGCCTGCTATTACCCCGCAGCCATGGCAGCCCTGAAAAACAAAGAGACTCCTTGATGGTTCCAGGCGCAAGTACCAGCCGCCCAACTGTTGGTGGAGCCGCTACAACTTTGGCGGAGTCGAGAGTATACACCGATACTGTTCGCGATACCTGGCTGCATCTCGATGACAATACTTTTGCAGGCTCCGTGAGTATTTCTGATCATCCCCATGACGATGATGCTCTATGCTCCAAGTGTCAACAGATCGATCTCGTGTCCGATCAGTTCAATTTCGACAGGAAGGACATAGAGGCCACTATCAACAAGTGCCGTCTTTGTGCTCTGGTCCCAACAGTGCTTGCTCGGACAGGAATAGGAGCACATCATTCAGTTAATCTCACAAGAGATTTTGACCATTTCACCGTTCTTCAATCGGATGCCAAGGTGACTAAGGTCCTGCGTGTCTGCCGTACTGACGAGAGCAAGTTTCCAATGTGCTAGAAATGAGTATCCGCTGACACACAACCTAGGCTCGGACTCCAGCTTGCAAGAGTTACCTCGGGGTGCGCCCAACCTGTTCGGTCCGAGTGATCTCGGTGCTTTTGTGAGACTTCCGCACGCCTGGCTCAAGGATTGTGATGGCCATTCTACATGTCATCCGAAGCGTGACCAGAGTATACTGCCTGTCCGATTGGTCTGCGTCAAGGACGTAGACAGGCCTAAGATCGTCGACTCAGCGGCTATCACAGGCGATACGACGAATGAACGGTACATTGCGTTCTCTCATAAGTGGGGCGACAAACACTTCCCGACGACGACAAGTCACAACCTGGCCGCCCGCCGGGAGCTAATACCAAAAGACGAGCTACCACAGAGCTTTATTGACGCGATCAAGGTCACAAAAGCTCTTGGATGCGACTACTTGTGGATAGATTCTCTGTGTATCAATCAGGGAAGTGATGGCGATTTTGATGCGCAAGCCAGTTCCATGCAGAATGTATACAGTAACGCCTACTGTGTGATCGCTGCGTCAAAAGCGGAAGGCGCAACAGAGGGATTCCTGTTCCGGAAAAATGGACTCGCCTCGGCAGGCTCTGTGAGGAAAAGTGGCGTATACGTCTCCGCTATCACCAATGACTTCACGAGGGACGTACTTGAGAGCCCATTGAACCGAAGAGGCTGGGCGTTCCAGGAGCGTGCGCTAGCCCGCCGTACCATATTCTTCACGGCCACCCAGATGTATTGGGAGTGCGGCCATGGTATACGATGTGAGACATTAGCGAAATTGGGACAGTAAGCGACGTACAAATCAGAAATTTTTGCACCGACTGACGATACCACAGTGACGAGATCGCCTTCTTGGGCGATGCAAACTTCCCCAGCAAAGCCATTGATCGCGACGGCAGTCGAGGTACACAAATACACATTTGGACTTCAATTTTCAAGGACTATGCCTTGCTCGATATCTCACGTCCACCTGATCGATCAGTCGCTATCGAAGGCTTGATGGCTCGCCTCGCGGGCGCTTTCAAGACAGCCAGCCTTTACGGCCTGTTCAGGAGGTTCTGGGGACGTTGCCTGCTGTGGCGGCGTCCGCAGAATGGCCTCCCAATGAGGCGAGTACTTCAAGAGGGATATGACATCAAGTTGGCTCCAACTTGGTCGTGGATGGCTGTCCTCGGCGGAATCGACTTTCTCAGCCCAGAAGGCGGGCAGGTGCTTTGGAATTCCGGCATTGATCTGCCACCAGCCTTGAACAAGGATTCCCCACAACGCCAGCAGAAGACCCTACCTCAGCGACCCACAGACAGTATCGCAGAAGAAGATGCAATCATTGCACCGGCATACCGCTTCACAGCTGCGTCTCAGTACGAAAGCGAACAGGGTATTTACTACGATGACGATACGACACGTGCTGATGAAAAAGTCAGGGCTGTCATCATATGCACGTCGCAGGAGCAAGATGACAGCAAGAAGGAGCACCATGTACTGCTGGTGTTGGAGGCCATGCTCACCACAGTACCGCCGACTTACGAACGAATCGGAGTCGGTCTGTTGCCAGAGACTTGCATTGATCGTAGAAGTCGTATCGAGATTGCTATTGGGTAGTGCGCGCGAAGCGAAGACGCGGATAGCAACGATGGCCATGATATAGAGATTTGTTTATGAAAAGGCGTGATTTCGGTTCGGAGGGAAAGTGCGCAATGTGTTGTAGTTTTCGTCTCTGTTACTGCTAATACATACGGGAGGTTTATTTGTTTCGTAAATGTGGTCTTGATTTTATCTAATATCAGCACATCGTCACCAAGTTCAAGGCTTGAGAACGCCTTGATTGCCAATTACCATAGTTACACATCATAGACAAGAGAAAAATCTCGGAGTCACCACAATTGAACCAAGGCTACCACTGGACCATATTCGCATGATGGCAGCAACACACATTTACCGTTCCAGCCTCTATTTCAATAGTGGAGTGGCTGCTCTTAGCAGCAAGCCAGTCCGACTAGAAGGTGACACAACAAATGACAAACAATGTGAACCCTTGAGATAGACGTGATCCCAATTTGATGCCGCCGGGGGAAAATAAAAGGCAGCGAGTCTTCGTGCAAAGTAAACCCTGTCCAATACAGAGGGCCATCTGCATCACCAAAAGGCATCTCTATCTGTAACCACGTGGCTTAGATCACATGATATCTTATTGTAGCAGGTACTGCCGGTGGGCAAGTGCGCTTACCCGAGAGCTGAGAGCCTGTGTAGCAAAATATCACACAACACGACAACAGATAGCAATACAATTGTTGATCACAGTCTCCGATCGACACTGCTCACGCAGTTACACTATCACAGGAGCCACCATCACAAAGTACATTCCCAGTCAAGCGGTTGTTCTAACACACAAGCCCACCATTATGATGCTCTCGCGTCACCTGCTTGCTTCTCTGGAAGCAAGTCATCCATTCGCAGTAGTATGCGTGAATGAGACATGGTCAGCGAAACCTCGACTTGATCGATCGATACTCCCTGCCAGGTTAAGCTACGGACTAAATTTGCACTACAAGCTTCTTCTGCAGCCTCGAAATGTCTCAATCTAATTAATCAACCGAATCAATCGCGCCAGAGCAGCACTCTAATTGCTCCGATTCAGTCAAATCGCTGCGCTAAATAAGCCAGTTAAATCGCTGCGCGAAACAAGCCAGTGAAATCGCTGCGCGAAACAAGCCAATTAATCCGCCACTGCTTGATTGTTTGAATTGGTTCTTGGAGACTTTGGTTCCGTTAACCGCTGCGTCTGTGAATTCTCACACACAGCGCTGCCAAACATAAAATATGTCAAGACCCGGATCTGGCCTACCTAGGCAGGAAATCCTTAAAAAGGTATTCATGTTCACTTAGATATTGGGCCTGTGGCCGGAACGGTACTCACTATCGTCATCCCATCTCAGGTTGGAGGTGACCTGGAGCCATACCGTATGCCTAGCAGGGACTGAAATAAAACCAAACAAAAACCAATAGGAAGAACTATGCTTGTCTCAATAATATTAAAGCTCGCTATAGAATTGTTACACCACAGCTTTACCTGCATCTACTCCCTGCCCCATCTCTAGCTTCCTATTCCCACCCCTCAACATCACCACCCGCAGTCGACATACCCGTAAATTACAGTACACCATCCACTCCGCAACGCCGCGCGTACGCGCACGTCGCAAGTCCAAGCCAAAGTAGAAAGGTACCTTAGACACATGCAGCGCCATCCAAGCCTCGCAGCCCAAAAATCGAAAAAGCAAAATAAAAAAGCAAAAAAGAGAGATAAACCCCAACACAGCGATAAGATGCAGAGATATCCGCCACCCAATGGTCTCCAACCCTCACAAAAACACAGCACAGCCACGTTTATCCAAAACCCTCCCGCGGGTTCAACACCCACGACTCTGTTGTGCCAGACCGAAGGACGACCACGGACTATCCTGGTATGCCGCGGTATATCTGCCTGCGAGGAACTACAAACCACCCTTCACAATAGAAAGAAAGCAGGGAACGGGGAGCGTGTAGCGTCTCAGTCTTCCTTGTATTAGGTTGGAGCAGGGGGCTAGGAGGGAGGGGTATATGCAGTATCAATAAGTCCAACACACCCCCGCAGGCCCTCACGCTCACGCTCACGCACACGCACACGCACACGCTCATGCACACGCACATGCACACGCACACGCACACGCACACGCTCACGCTCACGCTCACGCTCACGCTCACGCTCACGCTCACGCTCACGCTCACGCCTCGCCATGCCCCCCATCCAAATGCAAAATCTTCCTCACACTACCAACACCCTTTTCCAAATGCGGATGTCTATGTATAAACCCTGCGCCCTCCCTCCCAGCTCCTCCACCCAACACAGCGCCCGCCCCCCTCCGCCGCCCTGCGAGCGGATCCAGCGCCCCAATCTTGGGCGGCCACTCGTTGGTGTCTTTCCAGCCCTGCACGAGCGCGCGCGTCATGTCGGCCAGGTTGATGGGGACGCTGGGCGTGCGTGACGAAGAAACGATTTTGGCGTAGATGTCTGGGTAGGATTTGGGTGTTATGCTTGCGCGGATTGCGTTGGTGGGGAGCAGGCGGGGTGCGACGGGGACGAGGTCGAAGGTATCTGGCTCTACGTCTTGGGCGGTGGTGTCTGCTTCTGCTTCTGCTTCTGCTTCTGCCGAGGGAGGCGCAGACGAGCATGGGGCGAGCTGCGCCGTGTCTTCTGCGCCGGTGCCGGAGTCGTGCTGTGGGATCGCAGGCGGTTTGGGACGGCCGTAGCGGCGCACGCTCGCTGCGCCTGTCCATGCGTCGCGCCGCTGGACCCAAATCCGCAGGCCTTCGTTCTCGGCCATCTCCTCCTCGAGCCGCATGCGCCGCCTTTTTCTCTTGCGCTCGCGCGTGCGGCCCACAGCGTCGCCGATGGCGTCTGGGCTGTCGAATTTGTATGCTGCGTCCGGTGAGAACTCGGCTTTGGCGACCGGTAAGGAGCCTGCTGGTAGGGACTCTGCTGGTAAGGAGTCTACTGGTAGGGAGTCTGCTGGTAAGGAGCCCGCTGGTAGAGAGTCCGCAGTGAATTCCCCCTCCGAGTCCGCACTCTCGCTCTCGCCATAGTACCTCTCCCTAAACGCAACGGCGCACCGGACCTCCTCATCGCCACTGTCGCGCGGCGGCGGCAGCAGCGGAAACGCCCAGTCGGTGCGCGTGCGCTCGTCGAGGAAGCGCTTTGCGGCGCGCGCGGCGGCCTGGTTGCTCTCCATGCCCCGCGGCGGGCGTGCCGTGCTGGTGCGGGGTGTGCGTTGGAGACGATGTGCTGGTGCAGTGGTTGTGGTTGGGAAAAGGGGGGGGGACGGGTAAGAGTGGATATCGAACCCAGCGCACCTGTCAGGAGGAGTGTTGGCGTCAGGGTAGAGGCTGGTGGGATTTAGGATGCAGAATGCATCTGTCGTGACGTCTTCCCGGGTTTGTGGGGCGACCCTTGTTCCCGCTACCGGTAGTCGATCGCTCGCTCGCCGGCTTGTCACGTCACGCTTGCTCTGGGCCGGCCATTCACTCACTCACGCCAGCTGTTTTGCTTCTTGCGGTAACAACTTGTGCTGCCATTGCAACGTACGTGCTGTCCGCTAAGCACTATTGCAACACCAAATACTCGCCTAGATGTACACGTGTACCTGCACATGAATTTTACTCACTGCTTCTTCACTCACTGCTTCTTCACTCACTGCTTCTTCACTCACTGCTTCTTCACTCACTACTTCTTCACTCACTGCTTCTTCGCCTTTGTCGCGGCTGCCTTGCCCTTGCCCTTTGCCTTTGGCTTCACTTCCTCCTCCTCTTCGTCATCGCTGTCCTCCTTCGCCCGCTTCTTGCCCTTGCCCTTGCCTGTTGCCGCAGCCTTCTTCTTGGGCGCAGCCTTCTTCTTCGGCTGCTTGACGTACTTGTCTTTCGACAGGTCAACATCCTCGTCCTCGTCCTTGACCTCCTCGACAACCTCGCCCTCATCCGACTCATCAATCGCTTCTTCAAGATCGGGCTTTTCCTTGGCTTGCCTCTTCGGCGCCACTACCGACGATGCCTTCATGAACGGCAGAGGGTGAGATTGTTGGTTGTATCTGCGTCTGTGTCAGCATGTTCCACGGCATGTGCGTATTCACTTACAGCCGTGTGAACGTGGCCTTGGCCTGTGTCTCGATTTTGACCTTTTCTTGGTCCATCGGGCCGACACCCAACTCCATGATGGCATCGAAGTCGTCTCTCGTGAGGAAGTAGCTGTCCATGAGCTCAATGATATCCGGTACTGCTTCTTTGCCCTCTTTCTGCAATTTGTTGATCGTTTCCGCCCACAGCACCGGAATGTACTGCTGTCGAACCTCGTGTCTGTCGCCAGACGATCGCAGGCGCATGTGAGCCTGGATCTCCTTGACCAGACGCGTGAGCTTGCCCTGGTTACTGTTCTTGCCCAGCCATGACGTGAAACGAGTCTGGTTGCCAGCGGTGCTGCCGGAAACAAAGCTTGCAGGCCTGACGAAACTGAACACTGCGTGTGTTGGCATAAGACTCCACTGTTGTTGAGAGCCGTGGATCATGCGGTCGACCAGGTCTCCGTCACTGATGCTATCAGCCGCTTCGGACGCGAGTTCCAGCTTCTTGAGATTCGACTCCTTGCCAGCGTATCCCGCGGCTCTGATCGGATTCGTGCCAAGATAATTCTCCTGAAGCATGAGCGGGCTGAACTCGTGGTCGTTAAAGTAGAGCTCGATCTTTTCGTTCAGCGTCGCCTTGCTGCTTGATGCGAACATGCCGCCACCCAGGATCTTCTGAGTAATGTCCCATGGCTTCAGAATGACGTGCTTCTCCCAGCTCTTGCTCATCTGCTTGCCTTTATCGAAATCCATGGCCTCCTCATCTAGCTTGGCTGTGGAAAGCATGTTGACGACTTGGCGGATGTCAGCATGACTACCCTCGATCAAAGCGTTGATGACAGGCGTGGGCATCTTAAGCCCTTCCCGATAAGCAATCGTCATGATGCGAGACCGGATCTGGTCGACAGTAGGCCGTCTGAATGGTAGATCGTATGTGACGAAGTCGAAAGGCTTCATCTTGGGCAGCTTGCGGTCGTTGCAGATCAGAATCATGGGGACCTCCGTCTTCTTGCAGACAGCGGCGAGAGCGCCTACGCCGCCGCGGTCACCGGCCGACATGCCGTCGACTTCATCCATGATTAGAACTAGCTTCTTCTTGGACGCTACGACTTTCTGACCATCACCAGCAAAGTAGCCGTGCAGCGAGTTCGTGCTGAGCACACCACGGAGACCCTCTTCGATGAGTTTCTTGCTTCGAGTGTCACTGGCGTTCCTCTCGACAATGTCGTAGCCCTCGAGCTTGGCGACCAGATGTGCTGCTGTCGTCTTGCCGATCCCTGGTGGTCCGTGAAGCATGACTGCGCGGAAAACGCCACTGCCGTCGGCGCCCGCAAGTTTGAACCCAGTCTTGAGGTTCTTTGGGAACTTCTGCAACCATCTCTGGATCTTTTCCACTGTAGCTTTGTTGCCGCAGATTTGGTTGAGCGACGATGGCGCATACTTTGTCGTCCACAAACGGGAGTCTACGCCAGGGCCAGCACCTTGTGCAGCAGCAGTGATACCAGGAGCAGCCGCCTTCCCTGCAGCTGCTTTGGCTGTTTGTGCGGCCTTAAGGTCCCGCAGGCGCTGCTTCTCTTGTTGTTCGAGCTCAGCGGCCTGCTTCTTGATTTGCTCTTCCTCTTTCCGCAGCTTCTCCTTGTGTGCCGCTTGTGCTTTCGAGTCGCCTTTGTTTCCAGCCTCCGTGAGCTTTTCAATAAGCACTTTCAGGCCGTCCTCATCAATCGTCTTGATGCTCATCTCCTGGATCTTCCGCAGTTTGCTCGGGCCGGCGTCTGAACCAAGGACAACATAGTTTGTCTTCTTGCTAGGCGCGCCTGTGACTTTGCCACCGTGTCTTTTAACCAGCTCTTGTGCTTCCGTACGACCCCACTTCTGCAGCACTCCAGTGAAGACGAAGTTGAGCCCAGCAAGACACGTCTCAGATCCAGAAGGCATCTCCGAGTCTCCACCGCCGAGAGGCGCTGGTTCACTGCGACCGGCATTCGCCCTCCAGTCGAACTTCTTGTCTGCGTCCTGAGGTGGTGGAGTAGGGGCTCGTACGGTGGGGATACTGTCGTAGATGGCTTGAATGTCCGCGCTCTCGACCTCGTCCTCCTTTTTTGCTTTCTTCTTCGCCGGTGCCTTAGCAGGTGCTGCTTTCTTTGCGACCTTCTTCTTTGGCTTCTCATCCTCTGATTCTTCCTCTTCTTTGAGATCTGGTTCTGGTGATTTGCGCTTTCGCCCAGCTGTTGTCTTCTTTGGCTCACTCTTGACTGATTGCTCCTCTGCATCTGGCTCCACAAAGTCATCCTCGTCATCGACGTCATTCATGTCAACGTCCTGTTCCGGCTCAAAGTCATCTTCGTCTTTGATCTTCTTCTGAAGTTTCGCGGGCTTCGCTGGTGTTCCTCGGTGTGGAAGCTTGACTGGCAGGTCATCGTCGCTGCCCACATCTTCGGCGTAGTCGTCCTTGCCCTTGCCCTTGTAATCGTCTCCGAAGATGTCGTCCGCATTGTCAAGATCATCATCGCCAAACTCTTCTCCATCGTCACGCTCCGCGTATGACGTCACTGGCTTCTTTGTTCGCCCTGATGTCTTGCCGTTTGTTGCTGGTGTGGCAGTCTTCGGCGGTCGTCCAGCCGCCTTCTTCGTTGTGGCCTTGGGAGTCTCAGCGGACCTCTCAACAGCCTTCTTGACTGGTTCGCTGCGTTTCGGCTTGTTCGATTTCGCAAAGAAGTCCAATGTGGTGGTCTCTTCGAGTTCGGGTGTAGGTTCACGCTTCAGTTTCTTTGGCACAGGTTTCTTAGGTGTCGCTTTCTTGGGTCTGGCAGCCGTCAGCACGTGTCTTCCATGTCACTGCACTCAGGGCGCTATCTGACTTGACTTCTTCAACCTCGTCGTCGTCGGACTCTTCTATAACCACACGGCTTGCACGGCCTTTCTTGGGTGCCGCCTTTTTCGCAGCAGGCTTCTATGACGCATGTTAGCTTGGAATATCAGGCATCTGCTCGACATCAAGCATTGTATCAATCGACGAATTCCGCCTGGAGCCATGCCCGTAATGCACAGCCTTGACCGAGAATGAGAGGAGCCGCGACATCTCTGGTGCATTGCGTAATGTAGTTCGACATACCTCGTCTATCTTCGGCGTGCCATCGCTGCCCTGGCTTGCCTTTGGCGGCCCACCGCCGAAGAAGCTTCGAATGTCGGCCGGCATATTATTCGCACAATTTGTACACAGTCTGTAGTCGCAAGAAAATAATTGGGGTATATACAACCAGATGACAACAACAGGTGGGATGGGCGTGTTATAACGCTGTCTGCGCTCGAGGCAGCATTGACGTGATGGACGCGCCTTCAACGCGAAGTCATTAGGCAGCGGACGCGCTGGAGCAGCCACACTTGCCTGCGCCACATCTTGGCGCAGAACTCCGAACACCAAAAGATGCAGGTGCGCACCTCCGTGAACGCACATCGACCCCATGCCGCCACCCAGGATACCGCAAAGCCTGTTGGCTTCACTCAGCTCGCTGAGCTTGAGCGCCGCTCGTCCGAGGTGTACGAAGAGTCGATTGCGATGCTGGCGATCGTGAACTGACAAATGCAGCGGCAATCCCACGATGCCAATTCCTCACACCCGCCGTTAAGCCCACCGCCGTACGATGCTTCTCCTCGACTCCCGCACATCAGAACTGGCTCGCGCCTAAAGCGGGAGAATCTCGCAAGTCGCGAAAGGGTCGCTGCCGAGTGCCCACCGGTGGCTCCATGCGCGGAACCACCGTTGTCTGGGGCGAGTACGGCCTGCGTATGCGCGACCACGACCGCCGAATCTCTGCACATCAACTCAAAATCGCCGAAGACACGATCCGCAAGAGGCTCAGGGGTATGAAGTTCCGCATGTACATGCGTATTGCGGCCAACATTGGTGTGTACACGTCCGGAAACGACGTGCGTATGGGAAAGGGAAAGGGTAGCTTCGACAGGTGGACCGCGAGGGTCGCCGTGTCAAAGATCATATTTGAGATCAAGGGCGACCTGCACGAGCAGGTTGTCAGGGATGCTTTCAGGCTGGCAGGCAATAAGCTGCCTGGTAAGTCTACACCACCTGTGACACTGGTGGATGCGCATGCCGGACTGACAAATGCCAGGACTGTACGAATTCGTCAAGAAGGGCGATGCGCCGGTCATGGGCATTACCAAGCTCGCGAACGGTATCACAGAGGAGGACCTCAAGAGGCCGAGGAAGCTGTTGCCTCTCGAGCAGCAGGCGGCGAGGATCCCGGCTGCGGCAAACCAGCCCTCGGCGCCTTTGTAAAGAGGTGTATCACGCCATGTGCTATGTACGTTTGTAATTATACCATCCTGAGCATCGAAGCTGGACGTCAAATTCATAACCTATCAACAAGCCGCATGACACTACAGCACTCAACTTCAGATCATTACCGCATTCAACTTCAAATTATTACAGTATTCAAAGTCAGATCGTTACAGCATTTAACTTCAGATCATTGTCATCGTAAGTATCTGTGTTGCATCAGAGCTGATGGAGTGCAGGCACGAGAGTCACTCTTGCACTGCTCAATATAAGTTTGGAGATGCGCCGCTCATGTAAGGAGCAGTGCGACGCTTCTCTCTGGTCGACCTATTACGCCGCGCCAAGCGTGGAACCTTCATAACGAAAATAGCGGTACATCCAATATCTTTCCAATCATATACCAGTCAGCTCAGTTGCTAGGTAAATTCCACCAATCAACGTCTGTCAGCGACGCGCACACTGTCTAGCGCGTTCTCTAAGCTGCATGCTCGCTCCCAGAACTGCAGCGCTGCTGCAGACCCGGGCGCCAAGGATGTAAAGATGATCGTATCGGTACGACGAATAGAAATGGCTCGGTGCTGCCTCGATTCCGATTCACGCCCGCCCGAGCTACATTCAAGAACAACATCACAAGATGTACAATCCATCAACGAGTCTGCCTCTACCTGCACACTATCGGAATTCGAAAAGTCACTTTCAGCTCTTTGGCGGCAAAGTCTTCCGCTACAGTTCTAGACTACACTCTTGCCGCTATCCAACAGGAAGTGTCAAGGTTGTTAGGCACGCTGCATGACTTCGTGGGGCTGGCTGAGGCTGACAGCCAAGCTGAGGCGGTCCGGCTATGCGGTGTGACTATGAATCCCCCCCTTAGATATATATAGCTGCTGGATTCTGCTCTCGCTGCTTCGTCTTCACACTGATCAACCCCTCCAGCTGCAGCCAACATGAACGTCACACTCGCCATTTTCGCATCAGCTGTCTGCGCTCTATCACAGAGTTTTGAGCCGGCAAACTTCAACATCACAAAAGCTTTGCTGGACAATGGCGTCGAGGCGTCCGCAATTCCCAAAATTTCAGATCTGGCGGATCGCTCAGCATTCAGCGGTTGTTCGGCAGCGGTAAGGCTCTTTGTTCCAGCAATACTATCATCATGCTGACAGTACAGTGCGCCTCCCTCAAGCTCACGTTCGGCTCTAAGATAGTCGCTGAAGGCGCTTCGGGATATGACGATTTCAGCAAAAGCTACTGGTCTCAGCAGCAGGAACAAGTCAGCCCAAACTGCGTCTTCTACCCTACAAAAGCCTTGGACGTCTCAACAATGGTCCTTGTGTCACGCCTCACAAAGTGTCCCTTTGCTGCCAAAAGTGGAGGTCACGCATCTTTCGCGGGTGCTTCGAACATCGAGGGTGGCATCACTGTCACCTTCCAGAATATGAAGGGTGTCACGTTCTCAAAGACTAAGAAGACAGTGGACGTTCAGCCAGGTAACGTTTGGAAGGATGTGTATACCTCACTCCAGAGTGATAACGTTGCTGTTGTCGGTGGCCGTGTACGTCTTTCAAGTACGATACGTCCACAGGTGGTCGCTGACGATACCTCAGGTAGCCTCAGTCGGCGTCGGCGGTCTCACTACTGGTGGCGGCATCAGTTTCTTTGCTAATGAGCTCGGTTGGGCCTGCGACAATATCGAGTCCTACGAAGTAGTGACCGCCTCTGGTGTCATCGTCACTGCGTCCCTGTCTTCGTACGCTGATCTCTACTGGGCCCTTCGTGGCGGAGGAAACAACTTCGGGCTTGTGACCAGCTTTAAGATGCGCACGTTTCCCTTAGGCAAGATGTGGGGAGGTGACCGTGTCCTCCTCGAGCCACAGATCCCCGCCGCAATCGATGCCTTCGTCACCTTAGGCAAGAACTCTGCTAAAGACACAAAGGCGGCGCAAATCCTATCGTTCGCCATCCTAGGGGGCGAAAAGTTTGCATTCGCACAACTCGAATACGCAGAACCCAACGCCAACGCTCCCATCTTCAGCGAGTGGAACAAGATCTCCGCTGCGCAGGACAACATCGGCATCTTCACACTCGCCGAGCTCACAGAAAAGCTAGACGTCGTAAGCCCGTTCGGTCTGCGACAAAGCTTCTGGACGCAGACAGCCAAGCTGGACAAAGACCTCGTCAACTTTATCCTCAACGTCTTCTACGAGGAGCACGAGAAGGTAGCTGATATCAAGGACTTACTCAACCCCTTGTCGCTGCAAGTCATCACCGTCCCACAGATGCAGAAGATGCGGCAAAACGGCGGCAACGCTCTGAATCTCGATCCGAGTCAGGGACCGCTGTTGCTGTTCAACCCGGCGCCTACGTGGACCGACGCAGCGGACGACGATCGCGTCAACAGAATGATCGACGCCATGTTCAAGCGTACTGCTGCCGAGGCGGAAAAGAGGGGACTGGCGAGTAAGTACATCTACATGAACTATGGGAGCAAGTATCAGGATGTTATCGCCAGCTATGGGAGTGCGAATAAGGCGAGGCTCAAGAGCATTGCGAGGAAGTATGATCCAAAGCAGGTGTTTCAGAAGCTGCAGCCGGGGTACTTCAAGTTGGAAGGGGCGCCCGCGAAATTATCTTGAGCAGATGAAGACATAACATATCCCTTTTTACCAAGCCGGTAATGCAGAACTACCACTGACCTCGATGACGCTGGTGCCTCCCAAGATTAATTCTGCCTCCGCACCAGAGACTTGTTTCACGGCCTAGGATGGCATTTTGCGTCACCTTCAACTATCACAGATTTTTTCCCGGGGGGTACCATCACTTCGTCCACAAACGCACCCTTTCTGTGATGTAAGTTCCCTTTCCCCCGAAAGCGCCCTCTCATCTTCAAAGCCTGTGCAGCAATCTTTGATCGTCAGTCGCGGGTAAAGATACCTTTCTTGTGACCGTCAACTCGGAAGACACGCTGACGGGCCCGAAAATCAGAAAAGGACCAGGTTTGCTCTTGACCTTCGATGGATGAGTTCCGTTATCATGACCTCACAGAACCTGATCGCGTTCTGAAATTCGAAGATGTTGTTCACCGGGAATCCGGATGGATCAATTCGGCGCTTTGGCTGAAAGTCCACGATGCGACACGAAAGTCTACATTAACGTCCATCTTGGCGAGTTTGGGATGGGATGAAGGAGTTTCATTAGGCTCGCATCGATGATGTCACGATAGCGTCGGAGATAGTGTGATGTTATTGCCGTGGTTGTTCGTCAGCTAACAGCCGACACCACAATTTTCCTCACATCACACCACCAGTTATGGCACGCATTCTCATCACCGGTTCATCTGACGGTCTGGGCTCCATTGTCGCCCAGAAGTTGATCTCTCGTGGTCACTCTGTTGTTCTCCATGCACGCAACAACACGCGCGCCAAAGATGCCACCGCCGCAGCGCCAGGCGCCGAAGGTGTCGTGACCGGCGACCTTTCAGATATTGCATCAATGAAATCCATGGCAAAGCAAATCAACGACTTGGGGTCCTTCGACTGCATCATTCACAATGCGGGTGTCTACCAGGGTGACTTCCGGAAGACCGGCGACGGCATTCCCTCATTAGCAGCAGTCAACACACTCGCGCCCTACATTCTTACAGCTCTTATAAGTAAGCCAAAGCGCTTGGTCTTCTTGTCAAGTGAGATGCACCGATCTGGGTCCTCGGACCTGTCAGATCCCCTGTACGCCAAGAAGGGTGAAAGTGGGTTCAGCGACACCTCAGCATACTGCGGCAGCAAGTTGCACAACATCCTGTTTGCAAAGGCATTTGCGAGACGATGGCCTGAAGTTAAAAGCAATGCACTTGACCCAGGATGGGTGGCCACGAAGATGGGAGGTCGCGGTGCAACAGGCAGTGTCGACGCTGCAGCTGAGACGTACGTCATGCTCGCTGAAGGCGAAGAGGAGAACGCAAAGAAGACGGGGCAGTACTTCAGGCCGGCAAAGAGGATTGGTTCACCGCTGAAGGCGGCTGATGATGAGCAGCTGCAAGATAGGTTGCTGGAGATTTGCAGTGAATTTTCTGGGGTCAAGTTACAGTAAGTATGTGTTATTCATACCTGTCTGCTCCATCTTTCTGTATTTATCTGGTCGACTCATATAAAACTCAAATACCTAGCTTTTCCTTGGCTTTCTTCGACAGCGCATTCCGTCCACCTCGATACGTCTCACCCTTGCCTGAGCGATGCGGCACCAACATGCCATCGAAGGTTACCTCTACTCGAGGTCGGGAGTGGATAAATCCGTTGACTAAGGGGCTACTAACTCGATGTCTAGCCGTTGGTGGATGGGGAGGTCGGTACGAAACAGGTCGATGGTCGTTCACGAGGTGGCTACCATTGCTGGCCGTTCGGCTAGCCGCAACATAATGCGCTCGCTCTCGAGCGATCGGCTCATCCGCGGCCTGTGTTAATACCGGTGCGCTGCTGATACGCAACTTGTGGAATTCATGGAATAACTGCTGCTTGTGAGTACGTGCCGTTCGCCCATCAGTCACAATTATCACTGGAATGATACACACATGCTCATCTGGACCGGTGTGCATATTCGTAGGTCGAAGGCCTTTGCGCTCTTCTTTGTGCAATATTAGATTTACCTCTGTCCATGACTTGAGGTTATGATTATGTTCACCCTCAGCCAGCGCCGCTTGATCTTCAGGTGTGAGCGCAGAAGCATAGTAGCGGGCCATTCTGCACGGTTGCGCGGGGTGAAATGTTGGTAAGCTGAAGTTGCGCACTGGCGATGGTCGACGGCGGTGTCTGTTATTTGTCGGCGGTGCGGGTACCGCAGCGTTCTCGATGTCAGATTGTGTCAGGATTGTGGAGGACAGCTGCAAGGGCTCTTCGGGTGTAGGGCGGTGTACTGTGCCGGATTGGCGTGATGCAAAGGACAGTTCAGGGAGTTGTGGTGGACGTGAAGAGAGTGGACCACCGGCTGTCGGATTTGATCGCCCAAAAGGTTTTGGTTGAAGTGAAACGACCTCCGCTGCAGCAGGCGACGATGGCCCATTGAGCGGAGCTGCATCTTGAAGTTTAGAATAAAACATCTTCATAGAGAGTACCAACGTTGCCCGCAGCGTACCCTGAGACTGCAATATGTTATTTAAACTCTTTAGTTGAGACACGTGTGAGTTTGTGTACAAGAACGATCTATTGTGGTAAAGACGATATATTCGGTGTTCAGACCTTCACAGTGTCGCTACCTACACAGTAGGGACACAGTAGGGACACACTGGAACATTCTCGTAGCGTAGACTAAGTTGACATGTAAGCCGTGTTCCTCCCGAGGGTCGACAATATGTAAAGATAATGATGAGCATCTGTAACTACAGTGTTTGCGATATCAAGTACAAACAATAGTCATGCTTTTAGTCATCCACCGTGGCTATGATCCCCGCTTGTGCGGATACACTTATAGATCAGTTCTTTGAAATTCAGTCGCGCTCATCTCGCAAAGTTAGAATATACAAGCTCGCGACTGTCGCACCGTGGGACGGTAGAGTGACAGCGCATACGGCGATCGGCGATTACAGTCTACAATGCCAGTGATGACGGAGAGGAACTACGTCAAGGCTTCCGTATCACAACATTCGCCGAGATTCCAGTTGGTACCAAACGAATTCAAGTCAGAGTGAAATTGAGACCATGTTGCGTCACTACCTAGAGCAGCCACTCCACAAGTCAAGCCGGGAGACAGGACGGATAACTCATGAAATAATCATCAGCTAGTATCCCCACCCAATGTCCGTATAAAAGTTGCATGTAATATATCCTTCAGCCGCTTTGCAGAAGGTGAGGCTGTACAGCCCGAGAGTAGCTCTGGGAATTCCTGAGAGCTATGAGTGTGGGTGCCAGACTCGGGAAATCGTTTCTGGGTTGCTTACAAAACAAAGAGAACAGTGACAGGACAAGGTGCTGTAAATTTGCCCTTCGACAATTTTATTCACCTGTAACATTTGAAGGCGTCCTTCTCAGCAACTAACCTAGTAACAAAGAAGACCACTCTACTTTACCCGCGATTTATACTGCAATGGTATGCGTTGACAAAGGGGGCTCACGCCACTTGTAGTATACCTTGAAGCTGCGTGCCATACAGGCGGACTCTGTCCGACTTTGTTATTTTAAAACGACCACCACAACATAACCATGTTCGAGCCTAAGACTCGTAATTGCTTCGAATCGCGAAGGAGACGGCTTTTCATGACATGCAATTACCGCTACAAAGCCTTGAGAGGGTAGCGCGATCGTAAATAGCTCTTCGAGCAATCACTCCGGACTGCGTTCGATGGAATGCACAACATTTGTGTTGAAGGTGTCTGCGTTGTAGGGATGTCGTTGCCGTCGTTCAGGAATCAAGAGACTGGAGTGCCGCCGAGATACCCCCGAAACTCATTCTCGCAATCTCTCGGGACGGGAGAGAACGAACCCACATCGACCTCCAAGCGCGTCACTCCTGCGCAATCATCTGCATACTATATAGGTACATGTAACCATAACCCTGCTTTCGCACGAGACACGAGTTCGCCTTACCGGACGCCGCGCACGCACAGCTCGAATCTTGCGGCTCAACCAAACGTGCCTTCATGCCCGGAGCTGGCCTCGAAAAGCACACAGAAATTGTACACGAGCGTAGATCCACGTTTCGTCCTTGGATGTCTTGGCTGTTCCTGTTTCAACTCTCGTTTCCGGGCCCTGGCGTCGGACAGGGAATGACGCGGCAGAGGTAAGATGGGATGTCCCCGAGCCGCAGAGTCGCGCTTCTTCCTTAGTGCTCAACACCTACGCGCCCTCGAAGCTAGGACTGTCCGGTGTCTGCCTTGACAGATTCTAGAAAAACTGAGGAACGGATGGCGGGACATCGAACGGCCGTACCAAGATCTCGCCAGCAACGAGCCGTTCTGCGATCTTGTATCCGCAATCGCCTATTAAGGTTAGTCCGGGTTCCATGCAGCCGCAGGGTTGATCCACAGAGCCTCTGCACCCATGCATCCACACCGGAACTTTTGCCAGACTGGACCTGAGTCCAGAGATTTGACTCCTGGACACCGTGCTTGCTTTCGACTCGATAGTTTGTGCGCGGTGTGAACCAATTGGCTTGCAGTACTGTTTCCACCACGGGCTGGCAGAATGTCACCACGGGGGCGAGGCCGTTGACAGGTCCACATCGCGGACACGCTGGAAAGAGGCAGAGATTTTCGGCATGAGCTTCGTATCATCTGGTGATATATAAGTAGTCTCGGACCCACCCTGTTCACGTAGATTATCGCTGTACTAAGCCACCCAACGGACCGATTCATACCTTTACCATTACTATGCGCAGCCTTACTCTTCTCGTAAATGCAACTTGCGCTCTGTTCGCATCCACTGCTTTCGCTGCACCGGCGGCATGCCCTGCTCCTGCATACAAGACCGTTTCCACGGAGTCTACCCCAACTTCTTCGTCAACTCCTGCTCTGTCCACGGTCTATCAGTTCCCAGCTGATTCTGGAGCATGGGTCGAGAATATCGCCGAGCGCTCCAATGGCCAGCTCCTCGTCACCCGCATGTTCACTCCTGAACTCTGGCTGATCGACCCTTCAAACGGCTCTGCCTCGTTGGTTTACAGCTTCCCTAACGCCAACTCAGTGACCGGCATCACGCCCACAGGCAATGCCGACGAGTTCGCCGTCGCCGTTGGTAACGTCGATGCTGCCACCTTCACACCTGAGGCAGGCAGCTGGAGCACCTGGAAAGTCACCCTCCAAGCAAACGAGGCCACTGCCTCCCTCATCACCAAGCTTCCCGAGGCCAAGTTCCTGAACGGTATGGGATACTTCCACGCTGGAGAGTCGACGGGTCTCCTGATCACTGACTCGGTCGTCGGTGGCATCTGGGCTGTCGATCTCAAATCAGGCGCCAACAGCCTTGCACTGCAGGACGACACCATGCTGGCTCCCGCTGGTGCGACTTTTGCTGTCGGTATCGATGGCTTCCGCATCAAGGGCAACTCTCTTTATTACACAGTCTTCGCTGGCGGTGTCCTCCGCCGCATCGATGTTGAATTCCCGTCCGCCGCTGATCTCGCTGCTGGGACTGCTACTCTGAAGCAGACCGCTGTCGAGGAGCTTGCCAACACTGGTGGATCGTTCGACGACCTCGACGTCGCAACTGATGGCACCGTCTACGTCACCACCAACCCTGAGAACACCGTTGTCAAGGTCGCTGCTGCTGGTGGTGAGCCTACCCTCGTTGCTGGTAACGCTGGCTCTCTTGCTCTTGCCGGCGCCTCGTCTGCCCTTCTTTCCAAGGTCGCTGCCAACGTTCTGTACGTTACTACGTCCGGTGGCGTTGCCGCGCCCGTCAACGGCACTCTCTCCGAGGCTGGCAAAATCATGAAGATAGTGTTGTGAATGACAAGTATCTATCATTTCAACAGATCAAATCGAATAAAGATTGTTAAATTGCCTGAGGGCCGCCAGCCACTTCTGCAGATGGAGAATTAAACGCGAAAGAACAAAGGGGTATTGAGAGAATGCATGTAACACAAGAACACCAACCACCAGCAACAACTCCACACAATACAACAGCATAAAAGCCCCTCCTAAGCCAGAACGATCATCGACATGCGACGCCGTCCTGATTCCTCACATGAACTTGCTCGCTCGCAAACTTACAACCATTTTTCGTTCCCCCTCGGCTCAGGCGGCCATTCTTACGGGTAGCGCATCATCGTGCCTATTCTTCCGCGAGCCCCGCCCCTTGGTGCTCATGACGCGCTTCAGTGCCCTCGCAACTTGCCAGCTATGGCCAACCTTCTTCGTCTGCCCAGCATCGCCACTGACTTTGCGTGCGTCGACGAATGTATCGAAAGTGTGTGTGCGGTCGCAGCGTTCTGTCTTGCCATCGATAGGCGATAACGTGTATCGTTTGTACTTGTCGTTGACTTTGGTATTGGTGTTTATCCTTTCGAGGTCGACGGGGGCCGCGGTCTTTGCGCGCAGATAGTCGACAAACATAGGTGAAAGTTGGGTTTGGTCGGGTGAGGCGCGGTGTTCCATGTCCTCTTCGATTCTCCCATCAAGGAATGGATTTGTAGGAGGAATCTTGTCGTCGTAGTCGCGGTATGGATTGCGCGAGCTGCGTTTGCTGCCATGTGTGGACATCATGTTGGGTAAGGAGTGCTGGCAGACTTCGTTGAACAACGATCATCGTGAATTGTTCGGTGCGGGGATCTGCCCACTTAAACGCATACCGCGCATCCCGCTTGCTGGCACTTGGCAATAGGACGCCTCAGAAAGATCAGCCACGATGCAGATCTAGCGAGCGCGACTTATCTTTAACGAGGTGCTGGATGACTGATAGGGGAAGGTGTCATTGGTGTAGGATCTCATGCTGGTAGGCACCACATGATCGGCTTACCACTTGGGGAAAGGCCTGGTCAACCCGGTCAATGAGAAACACCACTCGCGGGCATTCTTCCACCCTCTTGTCAGCATCATGACTGCATCGTCGAGACTATCGAAAGCGCCTGTATAAAACCGCGGCAACGTCGTGAAATACCTACCTGAGTGTCGCCTGGATAAGCCTCGCTCATATCGCCCTGCTTGGCATACAGCTCGCTCATCAGCATCTCTACTAGGCCCCTACACTCACGATGTCCCGGTCAACCTCAAAATAGCTACATGCAATTCTCCCGGATGTCGAAATATCACTAACGGCACAACACGGGAATTACAGTTCGTAACTTAGGCCCGAATATCACCGCATCTCGACGACCGCTCCTTTGGAGCTGACCACTCGCGCAACTGCATTTGTAGGTTATCCTTTCTCAGCACTTCGTTAGATTCACAGGTATCGCGACAAACATCCACAACAATTGTGGCGCATAGACTGACCACCGATGATCGAGCCGCAGTGGGTAAATGAGCATTCAGACGTCCAAGTTTGAAATTTCCGTCACTTTTGCAGACATCATTTCCCTCCGTTCTATCACCGTCAGCCCGATGCGTTTTTGAGATTTTTATCCTCCTATCGATTCTTCTTTCCAAAAAGCTTTGGCGCCTCCGACTCATCATCACTACTATTCCAATCGAACTGGCTGATCAGCACCGAACGATCAGGAGGCGCGCGCATCGTAGCCCCGCTATCAATTCGACAAGGCTCGTCGATCGAGCTACGTTGGGCAAGTTCACCGAACCAAACCATGGCCAACTTTTGTTCCTCGATTGTATATGCCTTTTCTTGAAACTTGCGATGCGCCTTAATGAAGTCCACCATCAACTTCTCGTCAACAGGCACGCCATCAACATCGCTCATCTCGCAGAAGCGCTCCTTTTGCGCGCGACGAGTCATGGCTTGACCAAACTCTGGACTACACTGGTTCAGATCCGCTTGCATCGCCTTGCGCACCGCGTACTGGATTCGCGAGGTTTGTCGCCGCGCAGTGTGGTACTCGGTGAAGCACTGCATCTCACCGTGGCCGACGAGGCCCTTCTTTGCCTTAGTGCCGCGATGGAGGAAGTACGGCTCCAGCACGTCGCGGGCGCGCTGCATCACCTGGCGTCGGTGCAGGATCTGGAACTCGTCGTAAGGAAGATTTTCGCGCTTCCAGTTGCGATATGAGGGCATGCGCGGCATGGGAGGCTTGATGACGGGCTCCTTGACGTACTTCGCTTGCGGGTACATGCACACGCGAATCGGTCGACCCTCTGGGTTTACGTCGGAGCTACAGTCGGAGTCAGCGTCAGAGTCAGTGTCAGAATTAGAATCGGACGAGAACTCAGACTTCACTGGCCGCGGTCGTCGCACGCGACGCGGAGAATGCTTGGGACGCACTGGATAACCGTCGCCTGCCCTACGCTCACGATACTCCTTACCAGCCACAGCTAGATCATACTTCGTCGTTCGGATGCGGTGCTCGGCTTCCAGTTTTGATCGCCGCTTGCCATTTATCTGTGGGTACATGGAATGTCGGATGATGGCGTCGTTTTCATTATCATCATCATCATCGTCATCATCATCATCGCACGTACGATTCAATTGTTCGACCTGGTTTGAATTCGACTTGATGCACCTTCGCTGCGTCGGTGTCGCGTATAGGCCTCGACACGCAGCTGGAAGCACCGTGGAGTTCAACGTCCGCGTCTCGAAGGCCCTCCCGCCCCGCTTGTACTTCATGGTAGTGTGCTCGTCATCGGATTGATAGAGTGCCTCGGCGCGAGACTTCAGGTTTTTGAAAAGATTTGGCATCTCGACACCTGCTCGACTTTGCTAGGGGAGTTTTAGGTTTTACGAATTTTGACGGTGTTTGCAGCGGGCAGGGTTGAGACTGGTCAGGATGATGCATCGTTTCGGAAATGATATGCGGCCTTTTGCTAGCCCAATGGATAGCAGGGAGTGAAAAGAGGGAGTTTGCGAGGAGAGTTTTGTGCGGAAACATGTTTATTGAGATTGCTCGTGGTGCATCAACAATGAAAATACTGATGAGCTGAACAGACAACTGCCCCAGCGTCGACCAAACACCGATACCAACTCGACGCCAACCCTGTCCTAGAGTGACACCATGCATCGATCGCAGTGCCATGAAAGTTACTCATCAACTTTCCTCTCCAAATGTAGCCTCCGCAGCATCTCCTTGATCTTCCCGGACATACCCGCCAAACTTATACTCCGCCTATGCCTATCCTTGCTTGACTTTCCTTTCCTTCCTCCAGCATCAACAACCGCAACAGACCCAAAACACACACCGACCGCGTGATTGCCTACATCAACATCAACAGCCTCAACACACATCTCCGGCCGGTACGCAAAGTCCTTCGGCCCAATGTACGAAATCGGCGACGAGACTCCACCCGGGCCATCGTCGTACTCCACATCCTTGAACTCAGCGAGCGCTGACTCAGACCTGGCGAACTGCTGCTCCCGACCGCGCAGAGCCTCATCCACTACACCCCGACCATCGGTGTACACGTCCTCCCCCCACAGATCCGGAACATAGTGGTAGAAATGCCCAAAGTGCACCGGCGGGCGCGATCTGAACCGCGAAACGGGCGACAGGTTGCACACGTGCGAATTGCTAAGCGTGTACACCGCCTCGTCGTCAGTGCTGATGTGTGGCAGGTAGTACCGGAATTGCGCCCCCGTGTCGAGCGTGCTGTGGGCTGTGCTGAAGGAGGACTGCGACGAGGCTGTTGAGGGTTGCGGAGAGGGGGGTAGCGTGGTGGTCGTCTTGAGTGCGGTGTCGAAAGTGCGTATGGAGATCGTGCGGCGGTGATGGCTGGTGTGGGAAGGCGGGTGGGTGGGGGTTGTGCACATTTTTGCTGGGATGGGTTTGGTGTGATAGTTTCGCTGGGCGTTCGCGCTGAGGATTGCGTGGAGGGGGGTTATATGGTATTTGCTCATTGTTTGGATTGTATCTTTGATCGAGGTCGGCGAGTAGGTTGCCTTATCTGATGGACAAAGACTTGGATAGTTTTGCGACGATGTCGAGAGGCACACCCACACAAAATCAATAGCATTGTGCAGGAAGTAACGTGGTACGATTAGAAGTGAGCGTAAAGATGTCAAGACGGGCACATGGCAGATATCGAATAACTTTAGCCAACGAGTGCAGCGACACACCTATTATAAACCATCTTCTCCCAAGCGTATTGCTCCCAGGCCTCTACCCGACACCTCCGGCTCATACATACCCGTTTGATTAGCCGGCACGCCCCAATTCAGCTTATGATACCCCAAAGGCGAAGTATCCAGCCATCTCCCACGCGGCACCTCGTGAAACGCCCGTATCGCATCCGTCTTCCAGTCCCGCGGAGGACCCAACCGCTTGATACAGATGATGCATTTGCAGTCTTTCAGAGGTCCAGTCCAGAGCACATCGATCTTGCACCGCAGCATCTTGCGCTCATGAGATTCGGCGTCGCACAAGACCTGAGTGTAGTTCCTGATCCGCTTGCCGTACTCGCTAAGTTTGGCTTTCCACGACCGCGCTATTTTGCACTTGCCTGTGTACTGCTTCAAGCTCACGAGATCGGCCAAGGCGACCAGGTTGGCTTGGATGAGGGTAAGGGGAGGTGACGAGGAGTTGGGGTTGTCGAAGGTTACGATGCTGGCTGTGCTTGTGTTCCGGTCTGGGGATGGGTGTTGGGCATATGGAGCGATTGGGGTAGGAAGAGGGGTGTGCTGGTCTTGCAGTTCCTGGAGTTCTAAAGGACTGAGAGAATTGCTCGTTGGACTACTTGCAGAGGCCTGTTGCTCGGTGATAGTGGGACGGTGAGTCTCGTGGGTACGACTCCTCGTTGAGCGTGGTGATAGGCGAGCTTGATACGATCGTGATAATGCGAGCCTCGCTGCAGATGAAGAGCGTGAGATCGGAGGAAGTACGTATGCCTCGGCGCTAGGCGAGTAACTGGTGAAGCGGCTGTAGCCACCAGTGCCCGTGACTGCGTTGCGATTAGAGGTGATGGTGGCGCTGGTGATCCCATGACTTGTCGAACCGTCTCTAACTTGGCCGTTATGTTCTCGAGACACTATATTCCGCAGCGAAGACTGCGCCGCTGCATTCCCACTAGTGGCGTTGCGACGGGCAGTTGTGGTCGAGCGATCCTGGGTCTGATTGCCATCATCCTGAGACACTTGACTCCGGAGCGAAGACCGATTCGCGCATCGGCGGAGGGTTTGTTCTAGCGACGGAAGGTGGGATGTGTTTGGAACATAGAATAAATGACCTTGGTCATCGCGCAGGTGGGTGGCATGTAGATGCTGGTGATAAGTCGGCGGTGGCATCCGAGCAGAAGAGTTGGGTGCAGCCCGTGGGTGTTCGTGTGAATTAGCGAACCAAGCTGGACTTTGTGAGCGGACGGGAGGCGGCCGTGAAGTTGCTGGTACCTGTCCTGACTCTGCGTCCCGGCGAGCGGTTTGCGGTCGGCGCCCGTGGTTATCGTGTGGATCATGCTCCTGTACGCTGTCGCTTCGCGCAGGCCGTTGGTCGGTCACCCCTGTGTGATAGTCTGACTGGAAAGCTTCCAGTATAGCAGGCACAGGAGGAGGATCAATCGCCGGCAGACGATCTGGCAAGAGCCCAGGAAATCCCTCGCGCAAAGGCGCAGTAAGCGATGGTGTGGAGTCCCATCTAAAGCTACTCGGACGAACCGAGCCAAAAATGCCCAAAAATAGCGACGCCCTGCGCTCCTGGCTCAGGGGTGCAGCGTAGTCGTGTTCGCTCATCACAGGCATAGTGGGCTGGTGGTGACGAAAGACTGCTGGAAATGGACGAGTGACGGGGAAACGAGGGAGAATGGCAATAGTAAGAATAGGAGGAGCCTGCTTGAAAAGAAATGATAACTTGAAACTACTTGCAGTCTCGTATTCCGAGTCGCATTAGCAGAGAGGTCTTTGCACTGAGACCAGCATTTTATATCACGAGCCAGGCGGATACTCACTCGCAACCTGCATCCAGACATCTCTCTCAAAGCTCTGAGACTCGCGCACACGTGGTTTACGCCTCAGCCGCCGATTCTGAGTCCTAAGTTGCGGAATCGTAATCGGGCACATGGGTGGTGATGGCGTTGGGTCGTGCTCCAGACACGTCTGCTTGTGTCTCAGACAGTAGCGTTGATTGCATAATGATTCTACAGTTCGTAACTGAGGGGGCTTATGAGTGTCCAAATGTGCAGAGGGAACAGCGAACAGCACCTCGAAGAAAGGTGGCGCAGGTATGGGGGCTGTTTGTATCATTGAAGGTGCAACGCTGCTAATCCTCCGGTCGTTGGGCTTCGCCGGTGTTGTCAAGGTAGACATATATCCACTGTCATCGTGGTGGTGATCGGTGCCGTCGTCCGCAGTTGCAATAGAATCGTCGTCTAGGAAAGTAGGCTGCGGCAGCATAGTGTCGGCGATAGACGAGCCCTGCGGGGATAGCTGAGCTACACGAGCGCTGAATGACGTGTTAAGCTGCAGAGGTGTAGGTAAAGTCGGAGCGTCTTCAAGGCTCTGGGGTCCAATATGTCGCGTTTGAGATACGGCTATCCTGTTGCGTAGAGAGTTGACCGGGCCGCACGTGTCGTTTGTCTTGCGATATCGCAGTATGGATGTGGCAGAGGAAGACTGCATATCTCGCAATCTTGGGCTTGTGTCGAAGGGGCGTTGGAAACCAGTGGTATGCGAGGACTGCTGACCCGTGGTAGCTAAGGTCTGCCTCGTATCGAAGAGATTGACCAGAGAGATCGCACGGACAATTGTCCTCCTCGACATGGAGGACAGTGACGTGTTTGGGGCGCTCGGCAGCGGTCGTGGTGAAGGCATCCGCGGCAATGTACCAGACTGCTGAGACTGTGGCTGGGTTCGTTCTGCGTATCGAAGAGGTATCGACTCTGATACCGGGTTGAGACATGATTCTGCTGAACGACGCGCGCGCTTGTATCTTGAGGTCCTGGCCCAGAAGCACCATCGACAGCGCATCGTTGTAGGTGTGGAGTCAACCGCAGGAAACTGTGAGTGTACAGGGGCCAGAGGGAGGCGATGGTGAGAATGTCATGGAAGCTGTCAATGTGAGCAAACTCAATGACATAAAGGACTTTGGACAATGTGTAGACGACAGAATGTGACAGTATATTCCAGGGCTATGCAAACACCAAGTGCAAGCGTCGTGAAGAGAGACGCTTTTCCAATCCGTAGAACGCCGGGGTGCGGGACGTTTCGTGTCCTCATGCAGCCATACAATGTAGAAGGAATTTGACAAGGGTATGTATAAAAGTATGTGAGCGACCGCCTTGAACCGCAGGTTGCCGTACATTCTTACACATCGTAGCCTTCGAAATGTCTCGTTTAGCGGCGGCTCTTCAAGCCAGCGCGACCGATTGTGGACCTCTTTGCTGGTTTCGACTCCTCTTCGCTAGAGACACCTTCGCCGTCATCGAGGTCGTCGCTCATGGGCTCTGACATGTCGTCGCCAGCATCATCGTCGGTCTCCTCGGCCTCGTCATCGATCAGATCCTCAGAGTCTTCACTGCCCTCGTCTGAGTCCTCGTCGACCTCCATTGTGGTGGGCATTTCGTCATCTGAGCTCTCTTCGTCGTCGTCGTCGACGTCACGTATTCTCTTGCGTGTGCTGTCTGGTGCATCCTCCTCCTCATCTACCGAGGACTCATAGTCGTCCTCACCCTCGACGTAAATGACTGCTTCGTCTTCATCGTCACCGGCAGCCTTCTTCTGGTTCCTCCTTCTGAGCTCAAGCTGGGCCTGAAGCATGTCCAGACGGCCCTTGAGTGAAAGCAATGGCTGCAGTCCACTGGCACGCTCCTTGAGCACCTTGTTCAATGTTGCGAGCTGTCTGACCAGCTGAGGCTGGCTTGCCAGGTAGCCACCGTGGGCAGCGAGCGACCACTGCACCCAGACCATGAGTACACCTGCGCGGCCAGGCTTCTTGTGTAGGCGCTCAGCAAGCTTCTGCAGCAGGTTGCCGACCAACGGCGAGGGCAGGCGCTCCACTGTAGCGTAGATTGTGTCGATGTCGATAACGCGCAGGCACGATTCGAGGAGCTCCTGGTCGTTTGTGCGCAGAGCCTGGGTGAGGACCGTCCCGAGGGACGAGGCTGAGGGGGCAGAGAGAGGACGGTTGGTGGACGTTGCTGCCAATGCTCGTGGGTCGTTTGCGCCAAAGGTGCTCTCTACGTCGACAATGCGCGACTCTGTAACAGGCTCAGGCTCTTGTGCGCGCAGCCTGTCGCCAAACGAGAGCTCTTCCGGGTCTGCAACCTCGTCGTCTCCCTCGCCGTTGACAGCCGGCGCTGCATCGTCCTTCTCGTCGTCTGAGCTGGAGTAGTGGCTTTCTTCCTCGGCGCTGCTGATCTCGATCACGTCCTTTCCAGCATCCTCCATGTCGACGTCACCATGGCCGGCCTGGCCTCCGCCGACAACGGCGGCAGACTCGTCGACTTTTGTGTTGCGCGCATTCTTGGAACCGTTCAATCGTGCTGTTGGCTTTGCGGCACCACCGTTGAGTAGTGACTTGAGACCATTCGGGCGGGTTGCGGCGGGCGACTGGGCGAGCTTTGCCTTTTTCGCAGGCGGTGCTGTGTCGCGGCCAGCCTTGTTTGGCTTGGTCGTGCGAGAGGAAACGGCGGCGGGCATGTTGAGCGATTCGTGCAGTGCACTTGGCGAGGCTGCAGTGTGCGAGGTGTTGTCGCGGCCTGAAGCAGAGCGCAAGATGGTGCAACCAGCAGCCGAAAAAAAAATTGGTGGAGCTGCCGCTAGGGCCAAGCGGCAGGGATGGTGGCCTGCAGCGAGGAATGGTCGTCAGTACCGCGGTTCATCACGTCCCATCTGAAATTGGTCGAAACTCGGGCAATATCTGCAACGTGATGCGCTCAAGACGCTGACACGCCATTCAGAAAGTGCAGCGCAAGGGCGGCGCAGACGCAGTGGTGTAGCAGTTTGGGCAACAACGACACGTGACGAGTTGGGCTTAGCGCCAGCTCAGGGGGAAGGCACGCTTGGCACGCATCGGAGTTTCTTAAACAGAGGGCCGCCCTCTCCTCATCTTCTTGTTCTTGTTGCTGAAGTCCTTCCCGATCTGCCTCCAATCAACGCGCGCCTCCTCCGAACACCGCCCACGACTCGCGCTCGACCAACCACCATCAGCGCACCGCTGTCAGGCCCAGTTCGCGACCAGGAGCCCAGCCCCCCGGCGCTGCAGACCAGGTCGCGATAAATTACTGTCGCGTCCCCCAGCTGCAGCTGCTCGCTAGCGTCTCTGCTTGACGCCTGTGCTCAACCTCTCTATCGCCATCCGTGCGCACCATCACGGACTGTGTGTTGTTGTTGCACCTCTGCCCGAGGGCGCGCAGCTGCACAAGGCTTTCACTGCAGCTTTGTACGCGCCGCGCACACCAAACCGGCCGCCGCCTTCACGCGGTTCGCGCTCGATAGTCTGACTCACTTTTCCGTTCCTGCGCGCAGCTCCTTGACCTCGCCGCCACCACCCGGTAAGTCACGTGCATCTCGACGCCGTTTCAGCGTCCGTAGCATATATTCCCTCCGCAGCCCCTCTTACCTTGGTCGCATTGCTTTTGCGACCCAAGCCACACAACAACCCAACCCCACCCTACCCTTGCGACGCGCCCAGAAACACACCCCGCCAACCCGTACATCCGTCATCACTACGCGTCGATCATTAAAAGTCGCGTGCGCGTCACCTCCAGCTCGCTAAGACAATCAGCCTGCAGTATCAAGCAACGCACATCATCTACAGCGCGCATCCACGTTCATCCCTTTCATGGCCCTATGGCACTAATGACACCACCACCTACCTTCGACAAGCCCATGCTCGACCCCAAGGCTGACGCGCTTGCGCCGACGGACGCAATGGCAGTCGACACCGAGGCTAATGGGTGAGTGCGATCTTATCTTTTCGCGTCTGACCGCGCGCTTGACTTACTCATTCGCCCAGCACACACGATGATCTCTTTGATGAGCCCGTCAATGGCACCGACGCCAGCGCGACCGAGGAGTTGAAGCCAACCACCAACGGCGATCACACAGCCTCAGACGTACCAGCGCCTGCAGTAGGACCCCCCGTCCAGTCTATTACAGATGTGTCCAGCGGTATCGATGGCATTGCGCAGTTCGTGCCTGATCAGACAGACAACAACTCGCTGTTCGGCGACGACACCGTGCAATCAGTAACAGAGGCCACCGAAGCGCCAACCTCGGACGTCCGCGACGAGCCTGCACCGACACCACCATCTGCGCCAACCCAAACTCAGGCGACGACTGAGAGCACACAGGAAGTACCTGAGACGCAGGTCGCAGCTTCCATCGAGCCAGCCTCTACAGACGCAATGGATACCACTGCCGATGCACTCGTCGACTCGAACACGGCGCCCGTCGACTCGGATACCGCGCCGCCCACCAAGCCGATGAAGGAGCTCTCGATTCAACCAGAGTCCACGACACCCGCGAAAGTAGAGCCAGCGGATCAGGCAATGGAGGACGTGCCACAATCTAGCAAGGTGCGGCCGCGAGAAGACTTCGAAGAGGGCGACGAATATACCGCGCCCGAGGCTAAGCGCACCAAGACCGAGGAAGCATCAAGCTCGCAGGCAGACATCAAGTCTGAGCTGCCAGCGCAGCTTGTACAGGCCAATGGTGCCAGCACGCCACGAGGCGATGGTACAGCTACACCTAGGGGCGTGGCTACTGTGATCTCGTCAGAGCCGTCAGGAGTGCATCGCGCTGCAGACTATGAGCAGTGGCCGACGACACCGTTGACGCAGGCGCAGAACAAGTTTTTACTTGAGCGTATAAGGAACACCAAGAAGATCAAGGTGTCGTTGGCTTTCAAAGATCCAGTCGACCCTGTTGTCCTGAACATCCCCAGCTACACTGAGATTGTGACAAAGCCGATGGACCTGTCGACGATGGAGGGCAAGCTGAAGGCGAACAAGTACACTTACGTGAAGGAGTTCATGGAGGATCTCGACCAGATGATTGAGAACAGCGAGTTGTTCAACAACAAGCAGCACCCGGTCACGCAGGCTGGGTACAATCTTCGGGCCTACTTTTTGAAAGGGATGAACAAGATGCCGAGGGGTGCCGTGGACGAGCCGGCGAAAGCGCCAAAAGTCAAGAAGGCGTCGGTGAGCGCGGCGCCAAAGCCAAGACCAGTGTCGAGGCCGGCACCGCCCACGGTGAAATCACCAGCTGCGGCGGCCTCTCCTCCTGCGGCATGGCCCCTAGGACAAGATGGCATGCCCATCATCAGGCGCGACTCGACTAGCGCGAACGATCGGCCGAAGCGAGACATCCACCGTCCGTCGAAGGATCTACCGTACTCGAACGCCAAGCCGCGCAAGAAGAAGTACCAGCAGGAGCTCAAGTTCTGCGAGAGCGTGCTGACGGAGCTCATGAAGCCCAAGTATCAGGGGGTCACATACCCCTTCATGGCTCCGGTGGACCCTGTGGCTCTGAACATTCCGTCGTACCTCAAGATCATCAAGAAGCCCATGGACTTTGGGACGATCGAGAGGAACTTCAAGAACGGAGTGTACCAGAGCGCCAAGGACTTCCACGTGGACTGCATGCTCGTGTTCCAGAATTGCTACAAGTTCAATCCCGAGGGCGATGCGGTGAACGCAATGGGCCACGAGATGGAGAACTTGTTCAACAGCTTCTGGCAGGAAAAGGATGCTTGGCTGGCACAGCACGCACCTGCTCCGGAGCAGTCTCCCGAAATGTACTCTGATGATGAGGACGAGGAAGAGGACGAGGAGGAGGAGGAGACGGACGCAGCTCAAGCGCAGTTCCTCGCCATCCAGCAACAGATTGCTGCGCTCAACGAGACAGCGCAGCAGCTGTTGAACGCGCAAAAGGCCGGCAAGCGCGCATCGCCAAAGGCAGCAAGCAAGTCGAAGAAGGCCAAGGCGCCAGCACCGAAGGTGAAGAAGAACGTTCCCCTGGCAGTGCCGCCTCCTGCGAAACCCGGCAAGCCCAAGGCCAAGGCCAGGCCGGCAGCGCCTTTGAGCTTCGCGCAGAAGCAGGACATTTCAGAAGGCATCAGCACGCTCGGAGATGGTGACATGCGCAAGGCGGTACAGATCATCCGGAACGGGTGCCCTCACCTCGCCAACGTGAACGATGATGAGATGGAACTCGACATGGACGAGATCAACGACGAGACGCTGCGCGAGCTCCTGAGATTTATCAAGTCGCTCCGCGGCCCCAAGGGCGGGGTGTCGGTGGCCGACGATGACTTTGAGCCGCCGCGGGCAGTGCACAAGCAGACGACTGCGAGCAGGCCGAAAAAGAACAAGCCCATGGGCAAGACTGAGCAGGAGGACAACATGCGCAAGATCCAGGAGAAGCTGCAGTCGTTCCAGGGCGGCGCGTCCGGTAGCAGCCAGTCCCCACCAGGTATGTTGTCAGAGCGTGATGGGGGTGACGAAGTACTGACGAGTGCAGCAGCGCACGAAGAAGAGAGCAGCGACGATGACAGCGGGTCGGAGAGCGAGGAGGAGTAGGCGCTCGCTACCCCTTGTGTCTAGCGTTTTCGTTCAATATTTTTCTCTGCAGCAGTCTTGCACAGGCACGCGGCAGTGCACCCTACACACGCAACACGCAACACATGCAACACACGCGACACACGCGGCTGTACAGTATCCTTTTCCCCGCGCGCTGCGCTTGAAAGCAAATGAGCGACGATGTTATGAGTGCGACGAGGCGTGTGTACTTGGAGTTGGATGGTTCGATTCGGAGGAAACACTGATTGGCGGCTGTGGCGGCTTGAAGATGGAGGAGGAGCAGGAGATGGAGGTGTACGAGTATGCTTCGCGTAGACGCAGAATAGCAGCAGCATCTTCATGTCTTGTCGTGTGTGTGTGTGTGTTGTGTGTGTGTGTGTGTGTGTGTGTGTGTGTGTGTGTGTGTGTGTGTGTTGTGTGTGTGTGTGTCGTGTGTCGTGAGTGTGTGTCGTGAGTGTGTCGTGAGTGTGTGTCGTGAGTGTGTGTTGTGAGTGTGTGTCGTGAGTGTGTCGTGAGTGTGTGTGTGTGGAGTGAGAGAGTGTGTGTGTGGAGTGAGTGAGTGTGTGTCGTGAGTGTGTCGTGAGTGTGTTGTGTGTGTGCGTGTGTTGTGTAATGGAGTGTCGTGTGTCGTGAGAGGGGTGGGGGTCACACAGCGGTGGCCCCGGACATGTACCGATGCGCAGTGCAAAGGATGCATGGCATGCTATGCCAAGACTCGCTCTCTGATCCGCTCGCACTTGTGTGTGCTCAAAGTGCGAGCCTGTTTGTCGTCGAGGCGTCGTGCGCGTGCAGAAGCGAGGCGTTGGTAGTGTGTATACACTGCACTGCACGACGGCTCTGGGGCTGCACGAGCATGGTCTTCTGCATCGTGGCGAGGGATTGTGGCCTGCGAGGGGCAGGAAGGGGTGACAGGCGGGGAGGCGTTGATGTGGTACTCGCACTGCGGACGGGTGTGTGTGTGTGTGTGTGTGTGTGTGTGTGTGTGAGTATGTGTGTGGGTGTGTGGGTGTGGGTGTGTGTGTGGGTGTGAGTGTTAGTGTGAGTGTTAGTGTGAGTGTGAGTGTGTTTTGGGTGGGTGGGTGAGCGCCTTGCTTGCACAAAGGGACGGGCGCCAAGGGGGGAGGATGAGGCGGGAGGAGGGGAGAGGAGAGGAGAGGAGAGCGAGGCGGGGGTTGGCGTGCGGTGATTCCTTTTGTTCTAGTACGCGAGTTTGGGGGGGGATAGGCGGAGAGTGTTTCTACAAAGCATGTGGAGAGTGGTGTTTTGCAGAAGCGCAGAGCAGTGCAGAGAGCGTGGGCATCTATGCCGGGCGGCTGACGGCTGACGGCTGACTACTAGCGGATCGGTGGGCGGTGGGCAGAGCTGCGTCACGCTACGCGAACTTCTCGAGCTCCACTCGACGACGCGCCTGTGTACCAAGAAGTACTGTCAAACCCACGCCCATCGCCGACCACGACCACAACCACGACCACGACCACGACCACGACTGCAATCGCACCCACACGCACGAATCGCACACAGCGCTGCGACCGAGCACAACCGCCACTGGCACACGATCCTCCAGTAACCATGGCGACCGTCCCCGTCAGCGAGGTCAAGAGCAATGCGCGCGAGAGCAGGACCGCCGCGCACTCGCACATCCGCGGCCTAGGGCTGGGCAGTGATGGCAGGGCGAATCCGACCGCCGCTGGGTTTGTTGGCCAGGCGGCGGCGAGAGAGGTATGTCTGCTCACTTGATTTGCTATATGCGCCCGCTTGCTCTGCTATACTGCACCCACGTGCTGCGCTCCGCTACGCAAGCTAACGCCCCCAGGCATGTGGCCTCGTCGTCGATCTCGTCAAGGCTAAGAAAATGTCGGGCCGCGCAGTCCTCCTCGCTGGCGGCCCAGGCACGGGAAAGACTGCGCTCGCGCTCGCCGTCTCGCAGGAGCTCGGCACCAAGGTGCCCTTCTGCCCGATCGTCGGCAGCGAAATCTACTCGGCCGAAGTCAAGAAGACCGAGGCCCTGATGGAGAACTTCCGCCGCGCCATTGGGCTGCGCGTCAAGGAGACCAAGGAGGTCTACGAGGGCGAGGTCACGGAGCTGACCCCAGAGGAGGCCGAGAACCCGCTCGGCGGCTACGGCCGCACCATTGCCCACCTGCTCATCACGCTCAAGAGCGCAAAGGGGACCAAAAAGCTGCGCCTCGACCCCAGCATCTACGAGGCCATCCAGAAGGAGCGCGTCCGCCTCGGCGACGTCATCTACATCGAGGCCAACACGGGGGCCGTCAAGCGCGTCGGCCGCTCCGACGCCTACGCTACCGAGTTTGATCTCGAGGCCGAGGAGTACGTGCCCATCCCCAAGGGCGACGTCCACAAGAAGAAGGACATGGTGCAGGACGTCACACTGCACGACCTCGACGTCGCCAACGCGCGGCCCCAGGGCGGCCAGGACATTATGAGCATGATGGGCCAGCTGATGAAGCCCAAGAAGACGGAGATTACCGAGAAGCTGCGCCTGGAGATCAACAAGGTCGTCAATCGCTACATTGACCAGGGCGTCGCCGATTTGGTGCCAGGCGTGCTCTTCATTGATGAGGTACGCTCTACATTTCATCTCGCCCACGACGTGCTAATCCTCCACCAACGACATTTCATCTCACCCCAACATGCCTTTATCCACCCCAACATGCCTTTATCTCACCCCAACATACTTTTCATTTCACCCCAACATGCCTTCATCTCACCCCAACACACCTTCATCTCACCCCAACATGCTCATCCTCCGCCAACGACATCCAACATGCTAATTCCACCAGGTCCACATGCTCGACCTCGAGTCCTTCACCTTCCTCAACCGCGCCCTCGAGTCCCCGCTCTCCCCCCTCGTCATCCTCGCCTCCAACCGCGGCACAACCCACATCCGCGGCGCCGCCAACCTGCCAGCGTCCGCCCACGGCATCCCGCCCGACCTGCTCGCGCGCCTGCTCATCGTGCCCACGCACCCCTACACCGCGCCCGAAATCAAGCAGATCATCGGCCTGCGCGTCGCCACGGAGAAACTCAACATCAGCGAGGAGGCTAGGGATAAAGTCACCGACCTGGGCGCCCGCGTCAGTCTCCGGTACGCGCTGCAGATCCTCGCGCCCGCCAGCGTGCTGGCCAAGGTTGGCGGGAGACCGGGCGGCGAGATTGCGGTCCAGGACGTCGACGAGTGCGAGGGCTTGTTTCTGGATGCTGGGCGGAGCGCAAAGGCGTTTGGCGGTGGCACAGAGGGGTATATTGCGTGAGGGTCGTTTTGTTCATGTCTGTAATAAAAGCACCACATGGTGCCGCGGGGGTCATCATCTAGTTCGTTGGCTGTCGAGGGTGGAATTTCACGATATTGAAAGCCGACCGTGTCCAAGATTTTGAAAATGACCATTTCTAAGATTTTGAAAACGACCATTTCTGAGATTTTGAAAATGGCCAATTCTAAGATTTTGAAAACGACCATTTCTAAGATTTTAAAAATGACCATTTCTAAGATTTTGAGAATGACCATTTCTAAGATTTTGAAAATGACCATTTCATAGATCTTGAAGACGACCAATTTCCAAGAATCTAAAAACGACCAATTCCCAAGATCTTGAAAGCGACCATCTCCAAGATCTTGAAAGCGACCAAGTTCGATTGGCATCGAACGTCTGCTCCGTTGCCACCCGAGGCCTCCGATTGGCGCGCATCCAAGTAGCCGACCGAGGTTGCCTCATCAGTCTCGAGCCTCAACTTTCTCTTGCCTCCCATTTGCAAGCCCCATATAAGCGCACACATGACAGTGAACCTCCTCGCAAGCTGGCCCGCTCTACTTTCCATCAGCACACTCGACTGCACACTCACCCACCGCATCCGCACCACACCCACCACAATGCTGCGCACACTCACCCAGCTGCCGCGCCAGCTCTCGCGCCGCGCAGCACCCTTCAGCACCTCCGCCACACACAAAACTGCCTTCGGCGGCCCCGCGCCCCCCCGCCTCCCCAAGGAAGACCAAGAAGTCTTCGAGAAGCTGCAGAAGCAATCCACCGGCGCCTTCTCGCAGCCCAAGCCCGACCCCGAGCCCACATCGCAGTCCGCATCGCAGCCCAGCACTATGCGCGTCAACCAGTCCCCCGACTCATCTTCTCCCGAAATCAGATTCGAGAACGGCAAAGATATCAAGAAGGGGGATGAGTTCCATCCTAACATGCGCCGTGGCGCGCCGCCCGAGTTCGAGGGCGATACGAATCCGAAGACGGGCGAGGTTGGTGGGCCGAAGAACGAGCCGTTGCGCTGGGGGAGTGGGGAGGGGAGGGGGGATTGGAGTTATAATGGGAGGGTTACTGATTTTTAGTGTGGTTGGAATTTAGTCTTGGGATGTGTTGAACGGGATGTGTTGAACGGTATGTGTTGAACGGGATGTGTTGACCGGGATGTGGGATCGAAGACTTGTTGCTTTGTTTGAATTTTGAAGCCTTTCTTCTGTTGTTCATGCAAAATGCTACGTCGTGGCGTTCTGCTACTCGACCAATATCTTCCATCACTCGGTTTCCCCGCCACGTGACAAGGCCGCAGCTCCAGCAATGTAGCAATCACCTCACGCTTACATGCACCCACACCTCCGAATGACTCCCTTCGAAGCAAAATCACGCAATTCCGTCCCAGCAGCATCCGGTGAAGCGTCGCGGCTGGCACGAATCCTCACATTTTCAAGGCGTGCAGCTCACAGTCCTACACCATGCAGCAGCAGTCCAGACCCCGCAGTCTGTCGTGCACTTCCCAACACGGAGGCGGCACGCTGCAGGCGGCACGCCACACGCGACCACGTGCAGAACTTCCACCAGTCTCACGATGGCCGTCGTGAATCTGCGTGGTGACCGGGCCAGACTTGATGACAATGCAGCCAGTGCCAATAGCGGGGCGCTTGGGCAGCACGTCTCGACGAGGCCGAATTGCGAGCTCGCTTGCCACTTCGAAAAGCAGCATCTCCGCCGTGTCTTGCACGGTGATGGATAGCGATTGAACGTTGTGTCAGGCAAGGAAAAATATGTTGAGCCTCATCGCAGAACGGATTTTGAAACACCGCCTCCGCAAACGCTCAGGCGTTCAGGCACCAGATGAAACTGGGGCGATGCCTGCAGTGTGCACGGCCGTTTCGAGCGTGGCCGTTTTTGGAGACGGATTGCCCGCTTGGGATCGTCAGGCCTATCGCTTGGCGGCTCACGAAGCTCAGCATGCCCCATCCGAGCACCCAAGGTCGAGCTCGACCTCATCGTGTGCCAGGCTCCACCTCGCATTGGACGTCAATGCACAGTAGAATTGCCTGTTAGGGCAAGTATAGCGTTTGTATTTGAGTGTGCTCAGGCTTCGGTGAGACGCAGTGCCGTTCTTGCACGCTCCAGGGATCCTCAAACCGGACCCCCGCTGAATACGATTCGTTAGTCTGGGCCGGCTGCACGCCGAAAGTCTGGATCGGCAGGGACCATACTTCGTGGCGTGCGATGACTTGAACGGTGGCTTATGGCTCCTGCATCGAGTGACTTAAGACGTGAACCCCCCAGACCCGCCGAGGAAGTCGATTCGCCAAACACCTGCAGAAGATAAGAAGATATAGGCTGGAGAACCGTCACCTTGGTTCGTTCACCTTGGTTCGTGTTGCGGAACCGCCTCCGACCATTGTCAGACTAACCGTAGGTAGGGCCTCATCTGGACTTCGGGAATACCGCGTCTCCATGATGGAGTAAACACTATGCGACCGGACTTGAAGCTTTCTTGTGCGTCTTGTTAGACGTTCCGTCAAACACCCACTGCTCTGGCCGGTGTTTCTATTTCCGGGATCATCTCTTCACGCACGCATCCACGGACTTTCTAACCGACCATAAGAATCGCTGAGACTGTTACGCTGGGAGACAGGTGGTTGACAGCATGATCCGTCTGCTACTGTATGTGGCTGCGCTGCTGCAGCTTGCAGCAGCTGTCAGCGAGACCGTCGACCTCGGTTACGCCAGGTACAGAGGGAAAGACATCGGCAATGGCGTGTTGAGGTGGGCCGGCATGCGTTACGCAAGGAGTGTGTCTCGAGTCGACGGTCTACGCTTCACTGCTCCACAAGAACCGCTGGAAGAATTGAACAAGGTCACAACAGACGCGAGCCAGGTAGGCTTTCAGCAACACTCTGCATTGTTCCTGCTGATTTGATGTAGTTCGGCCCTCTCTGCATCGGCACCATAAGCGACCTCAAAGCCGAGTTCGGCAGCAAATGGTCGGAAGACTGTCTCTTCGTCAACGTCTTTGCGCCCTCGAAAGCGACCAACACAAGCAAGCTCCCGGTCTATGTTTTCATTCAAGGAGGTGGCTTCAACACGAACGGCAATGCAAATTACGACGGCGCTGATCTCATTGACGCCGCGGGTGGAGATATGGTGGTCGTCAATTTCAATTACCGAGTCGGGCCGTATGGATTCCTCGCCAGCAAGGAGATCACCGCCAATCAGACACTGAGTCTGAACAACGGATTGAAAGATCAGAGGCTATTGCTGAAGTGGGTGCAGAAGTACATCCACGAGTTTGGGGGTGATGCCGACCACGTCACGCTCGGTGGAGCCAGCGCAGGGGGTGGTTCAGTCGTTCTCCAACTCACAGCCTTCGGCGGCCGTAACGACAATCTATTTCACGCCGCAGCCGCTGAATCCGCCGCCTTCCCACCCCTCCGCAACGTCGAGCAAAGCCAATGGCAATATGATGCCCTCCTCCAGCGATCCGGCTGCCCGGACCTCGCCTGCCTTACCTCCCTCGACGCGGTGACTTTCCAAACCGCGGTCCACTCGCTCAAGATCCCGTTCCCTGGCGGCAAGAACGCCCCAATATATTTCTGGAATCCGACGCTCGACTATGATTTCATCCAGGACTACACATACAACGAATTGAAGAATGACCGCTACGTCAAGCTTCCCACCATCTTTGGCGACTCGACAAACGAAGGCATAAACTTCACGCCCAGAACAATCTCAAACTACAACCGCGCCCGCCAATTCATCATCGACCAGTTCCCCGCCGCCAACTGGAAGAAAATCCGCGCCGAATGGAACAGTCCCATGAATGCACTCGCAGATGCTCGCTGGCGCGCGCTCGCGTCCGACGTGTACGGACACATCCGCTACAACTGCCCGAATCTGAACATGAGCTCCGTCTACGCAGAGAACAACACGTTCCCGACGTACCAGTACCGTTGGAATGTCGGCACTGCGAGCCACGTGGGCGAGCTGCCGAGTATCTGGAACAACGGGACCAGCGCGGCGAATGTCTTCATGCAGGCTTACTGGGCGAGCTTCATCCGTAGCTTCGATCCTAACAAATACACTGCCGAGTTTCTGGTCGGCAAGGGCAAGGAGATGGATAACCCCGAGTGGACGACTTTCGGGAACAGCACGGGCGGCCTGGGGAATAGACTGAGGTTCGCGGATGACAACCAGGTAGGGATGGAGACGGTTAGTTCGCAGGAGTGGCAGCGGTGCATGGTCATTACGAATATGGGGCTGCATCTAGAACAGTAAGTTGCCTCCTCGCTTTCCCGCGCTGCGTGGAGTCGTGCATTCCTCTTGGCGGAATGTCTGCTTTTGGTGCATTCCTGCGATGCCGCAGAGCCGCGTTCTTGGAACATATGTGCTGACTCTTCGATAGGCCTGCTAGCGCTGCCTTGCGTGTCCCGCCCCTTACTTCCTCGCTCTCCCTCACGGCCGGCATAATTGTCTTCGCACTGGCGCAGTGGCTTTGCCCCTGAACAGCAGTATCTGGAGCCGCATCGATGCGGCTGATGATTGAGAATTCCACCACCGAGATGCTTGTCTCGACGCCAGCAGTGCCGCCCACAGCAGGCGGTCGCGACTAGACAACCCAGCACCGTATGGCACCCATTACGGACCCATCGACGGATCCACGCGCGACATGATTCGCAGAGCACACCACCCACGCGGCCATCGGGCGCTTTGGAAGCTGCACTCGGGCCTGTTTCCCATGTGGTCTTGTAAGAGTGGCTTTTCAGTCTGCCCAGTACGACGGAACAGGGGACGTCGAAGTTTAAGTTTCGAGAGTTCTTGCAGAACCATCACGCGTGCTTCACGTGCGTCGATACCTGCCTTCACAATCCGATCGGGCAGATCTGGCAGGTCGATTACCGCGCCACCAGCTCATTCAGCCAATGACCCCGGGATGCAAGAAGAGCAGTGATGCTCAGTCACGCCTCCTTCAGCTGGCAGTAGAGACACATCTTGTGTGAACCAATATCAATTTATGTTGTACCTGCGTTCCCTGCCGCTTCTTTGAGCACGCTTTGCTTCTTGCCCTCCGGTCATCGTTCTGCTAGGCGCTGTTTGAATATTTCTGTTCGCACACCGTCAGGCACCTATTTGATTCACTGTGTCTCATCACTGCAGAGCCAATGTCGATCTTGCTGGCCACGGCCCTCTGGGCTGCGCTGTTGGCAGGTGTTGGTGTCTGTCATGGTGACGAAGACAGTGCACCGTGGACACACCGGCTGCAATGACAGCATGAATATGGGTGCCGGGATAGATGGGTCCGAGGAGAATGGACTGTCTGCTATCAGAGCTAGTTTCGGTAGCGCAGGAAGTGCAGTCACTGAGGAAGAGAACGGTGCGAGAGTCAACACAAGAATACAGGATTTCTAGGCCATGAGACACAACGAGGACTTCTGCTGGTACGTGTATCTTGACTTGACTGCGCCGGTTGCATAAGCAACATCATGCTCAGAACCAGCCATCAACGCACATAAGACACAATGAAAACCAGACAACCCGAGAGCGCGGTCTGAACAACTGAAGCGAATGCAACGTCGCTTGCACCCCCTTGCGTGATTCAGCCTGCGCCTCACACCTCATGGCAGTTCTAGATTGAAACAGTGCCCGCTAAGATGCAAGTATAAAGAAGCAACAATAACAAGTGGACGCCATGCCGGCGCCCGAGGAAGACAAAATGGTGGAACGCGGTAGGACGCCCAGGCGCGATAGAAACACAAAACAACATGGACAGACAAAAACAGAAAGAGTGCGGTAAACGAAAGTTCAGGCCTCACCAATAACACCAACAGCCCTCCAAGCCTCCTTCTTGCCCTTGCCAATCGGCGTCTGGTCGCGAATAGCCTGCGCGGGGATGCGGTACATGACCAGATACTCGCCGCAGTGCAGCCACCCATCAGCCTGTCCCGCATCCTTGCCCTATCATCGTCAGTCGCCATCCAAACCTCGTCTCGATGATTCCACACCAGGAGATCAGGACCCGTACCTTGAGCAAATCTCTTGCCCTGAACACGGGCCCCCGCGCAAAGTGCCGTGTGTCGACACTCACAACGAGAACCTCCTCGCTCCACATCTCCGCCCAGTGATGCGCTACTTTCTCCGCGTGCGCTAGTGTGTCGTACACGCTGATAAACGGACTGCTGATGTTGGTCTGCTGGTGCAGGTGTGCGAGACCGAAGCGGGAGAGCGCCGATGTGTAGTTGAGGATGGTGGTTTGGTTCTTCGCGCTGAAGCCCGTGGCGAAGGAGTACCGTGTTTGGGCGGTGAGGCGGTGCACGCGATAGACGACGGGCGGGATGGTTGTTGGTGGGGGTGAGGGGGTGGGAGGGATGTGGGAAGCCGGCTGGGCGAAGAGTGCTGTGGGTGTCAGATTTGTGGGGGACGGGGGTGGGGAGATGCTTACTAGCCATGGTTGGAGATGAGATGTTGGCTCGATGGATGAATGTATCTGCTTGGACTGATGACAATGCTTGAAGTCGGTTTACGTGGTGAGTGACAGCGGATGGAGTGTAAGCAGTGCTGAAGTGACTAGGATGACCGTCGAAGAATGCTGATACAGGGTGCGCTGATGTAGAGGAGTCCCAGGATTACTTTATACCTGTCATTGATGATAGATATCAGCCTCTGAGACTCCTAGTCCCTCTTGAAAGGCTGTCGAACTTCGCAGCAAATCTGATCACGGACATGCAGATACCCTTCCCCGTCCCGGAATAGATGGCTCCTGCCACGATCTGTACCTGTCCGGATGAGAGAATACGGTATCTCGCAAATGCTTCCCGCTGGCATTCGCTGAATGGCATCTGAAAGAACGGAGATTAGCTTGCTTGCAATCCATGAGTATTCGCGCACCCGGGTCGTGGAACTTCTGCCTTCTTGCTGCGATGCTCATTTTACAGTCGAGCCAGCCTCGTGTCTCGCAGCTCCGGAGCAGAGCCCACTCATAGCCGCCTGTCATGCAGAGCTTACTGAGTCGAGCTGTCGTTTCAACGTATGCACCCCACCGTACCTTACCGTTGGTATGCAGAGGCAGGGCCATGCGGCGTGAGTAGTGAGTGGTACGCAAACGTGTCTTCTGCGTGTATTCATGCACTGCTTAAACCCAACAAAGTGTCCCCCGCAGAAGCACTCCCATTTCAAAGTAGCCAGCTCCGAGTCATCACGTTGTGCGGGCGTGTGGTCGACTTCGCGCCTCTGCACAACCGGATACCGCTGCGGTCTTCAGTCCCAACGTTTCCATCTGTCCCAAACAATAGTCTCAACGGGAGCATGCGTCGCATCCGACTTGTTCAGATGTGACCTGGAGGCTCTTCACGTCCGTGTCACCTTTCGTGGTGAGATTGATGAGACTAGTCATGTCGCACACGCAAACGGCCACAACGCTATCACAAGAGCTGTGGGTAAGATTTGATTCGCCTGCCGTACGTCGTCGTCGCGGCAGCATACTTGAGATGCTCTGTGCTTTCCGAGTAGGCGAGCATGCATGCTTGAGCCTGTCTGCGCAGCTGCAATTTGTGGCAGCTTGCAGGCGGAAGGGTTCGCGCATGCCGGGGCTCTGTTCAGTCAGGGTAACAGAGATCGGCTGGCGAAGTAGCGGTGAGGATTATTCAAGTCGACAGTGCTCATCACTTCGATGGAACTAGATAACGTTCAGATGGGAGAATACATATAAGTTAGTAATTAATGGTCGGTGTTGCAAAGGTCGTCGGCACGTGGACCATGTTTGCTGACTAATCCGCGTGCAGATACCTAGTCCGACCTCCCATCATGAGGCCGAAAAGTTGAATGGCCACAGCAACGAGGCGCAACGGCAACAAAACGCATCAACACATCGGTAGGTACCCCAATCTCTTTTCCGCCGACTTCCAGAGACCCAATCTGATCAACACGCAGCTTTCTCGCTCGTTCAAAGCTCGACGTTCACTCCAAGCTCCGATTGTGCATCCTCAACACCGACACTCGATCTATCGCGCACACGTCAATATCTCCACAACTCTACACACAACCGCTCAAAATGTCGTACTTCAGGATAACACTCATGCGTTCCGGTATCGGTATGCCAGCCAAGACACAAGGTGTACTGAAGGCACTCGGCCTGAGGAAGCGCATGACGACCGTCTACCACCCCGTAACACAGTCTGTCGCCGGTCAGATCATGAGAATAAAGGAGCTTGTCGATGTCAAGGAAGTCGATCGCGCGTTGTCAAAAGATGAGCAGAAGGCGGCGAGGCGGCCAGCGCCGGGGTACTACATTGAGAGCAGGGCAGCACAGGCTATGAAGGAGATGTAGTAGGAAGCTCTATGTTGAGGGAGAAGAGGGAAGACATGTGCGCGACCAAGATTGATCGCTTTCTAGTTTCGGGCGTTATGAGGTGATGTACAGAGAATCCTGTGTACGATATATTCATTGTGAATGCGAACAGCTTGCGCCAGGCCTCTGAGCCTTCGACATACAGCGTGCCTTCGTTGTTCCAACAAGGCTGAAAAAGAAAGCGATAACCAGTTCAGGTATGGTGCCAGTCTTACGCGCTGTATCAGCAGGGACTGCGAGCCCCGCCAATCCGAGACGATGGTAAGCTCAGCCACATTCTAGGCTGGTCATCGTTCTGCTGTTGTGACGCTGCCTCTCTGAAACAGGTGGTAGATATACCAGAAGAACAGAGCCTTTTTGGTAGTTAAAAATCGCCTTTGTGTTACCACTGACCAGATACCACCATGTCTGCTGAGCTGGCAACGAATCAAAAAGCGCGGCCATGCCTGCCCTTTCGTGGAGTCACGAACGACAACATTCATTATCTGCCCCTCGATCCCGCAGCAAGAGATATACGCTATCTGAGGCTCCATGCCGGCTCAAACGAATACTCAATCCGTTGCTCAGGCTGCATCGCGCCAGTAGTATAGATTGGATCCTCGATGAGCTGTCAAGTATTTGTAGACCTCTAGTGCTTGATCGAGACGAGACCACTATCAAGAGCAACGTCTTGGCTATGATTCGGGTACCCTTCCCATTCGACCCCGGACTTTTCAGCCGCTCCCCTTCAGCGAAACAAATCGAACATACCTGGTTCTGGAGGCTTGCGTTCCAAGGATCATGGACACCTCGCAATGCGTATGGAGCGCCTCAACCGTATGTCACTACAGACAACAGACTCATCCTGGGAAGCAACGAGGGTCAGCCTGGAGACTACGTAATAAGAACGCCGGAAAACATATCGCTTTTCCTGATGGCAGCCGACAAGTAGCAGCAGGGCCAATGGGTAGGAGATTACAGGTTTGAAGGCCCCTGTGCGCTTTACCCGGGCGAACTTTGTCCAGAATCATCCAATGGTCCAGAAGAAGTACATAATCGCTTCACGTCTACAAGCCCCCGCAGTCACGAGGGTCCTCCGGTATCTTTCGATGGAAGTCATGAAGCGCGAAAACATTCTGTGTCTGCAGGTGACACCAGCCGTGAGACATCCTCAACCTTTCAGGCAGCAGACAACAAACGAGACTTCTCCGAGCCCGATATTCAATCCAGCATTGGAGTTGTCCGGGACATCTTCGACGGGATCGACGATGGTCAAGATCACCCCATGTTCGAGGACTACCTTGGCAGTGAGGAGTTTCTATGCACTGTGGAAGACATGGATCGTTCGTTGAGAGGCAACGATACTACTCCGTCAGTATCAAACGACGAACCTAGCGTCGTCGTGAGAACATTGCGACTATTGTCTCTGAAAGCTATGTTTATGGGGAAGGATGCCAGAGGTGGAAGGAGGCCCATCAAAAACATTCTTAATAGCCTAAACAAGATCCGGCATATGCAATCTTCGGACGCTCAGCTCAAAAACCATGCAAGCCAAGTACAGGGTCATCTCACGCTACAGGGCTATCGTAACGGTGACGCTCCTTTGTAAGCATCTTATGAATGCGTCGAAGAACAGAATAACACCATGTTCGAGGATGGACCAAATATCAAGGAACACCTCTCCAACTCAAGGATGTTCATGAGTCGCAGGGTCCCGAGGCTGCCCAGATAAATCTTTCATTAAATCCAGTCTCTCACTGCGAGGAAGTCTTGATTACAGTCTTGATTACAGTCTTGATTACAGTCTTGAGAACTGCTTCACTAGACAGCATTAGAAGGCACAAAGACACAGTACATCAGAATGCTCCACGTCAGCAAAAGGATGCGATGATCAGTCACAGCCCCATTCAATCAGTAGTAGACGAATCGTTTGAGTCAAACCCACTGCAGCCTTATCTCCATGACACGGCCTACGTGAAGCCGTGCAGGAAGCTTTGCAGAGGCACAAGGATACGACGTGGCCATCCCTCAGTGACTGGAGTGCCGGCGATCGAGCGCCCAGAGCGGCATACTGACAGAGCGAATATCGCAAAGCAGCCACGCACGCGCATTGTGGAGGACTATAGACCGATAGCATGAATGGAGACAATTGATTATGTCTTCCTGGATACTAACATGTGTTTTCGCTCGGCAACTCACCGAAGATACTGGCAATACCTGCACCCCTATGGCTTTTGCACTGTAGAGAGGCGATGAATACCCCCGGCTACACGAGTGACATGCCTCGTATACAAGAGCTGCCCGTCGTGGGGCCCAGTGAAAAGATCGGACCTACGAGCAGTTTCGCTGTTTGTAGCAGTCTCCTCGGATACCGTTCCAGGCACCTGCTTCATTCATACACTGGGGACTGCATTTTCATGATATCAAGTTCGTATTGATCGTGCCTGTGGCGGCTCTGAGGTCAGCCTCTTTGTGCTCAGCCGCCCAATGGTAATAAACTCCCGAAACAAACCGTCTCTTGAGGTCGCACACGTCTGCATCTTCTGATCGCGCGGACTATGTACAGCTCTGATGCTGTAACGTGTCGGTGCAGGGGTTTCCCTTGCTGATCCGTTGCGATGCTTTCAAGAGAAATCATTGGGGAAGCACTTCTCCTTTGCCCACAGCTTCTGGTCGTGAGTCAATGCATGTGCCTCCATCTGTGGTTTGTTGGTTGCGACAAGTTCTTTGCGGCAGTTTTGGCACTACACCACCCAAGCGGAGATGTTAGCAGTGTCAAGCCGCCCTTGGCTTTTGTGATTTGACAGCACGAAGCACGAGGGACATCCGGGATTAGATACAATCATACAATTGATGTTGGCTTGGGAGCCTTGACGGGAAGACCGTTGGCCTTGACCGGTGCGCGGGTGCCGGCCTTTTCAGCGGCCTTGTGCTCGCGCTGGACCTGCGCGTTCATTAGCGAGCTGAACATATCTGACCTTGCGCAGCGGCACAGTTTAGGTGTCACGTACTCTGGCTTTCTTAGAGATAGGCATCGTAGTAACTCGAAGTGGGGCGTGTTGTTGATGAAGATGTGCGTTTGTGCCTGCGCCGAAAGTTTTTCGAGGGTCCAGTAGGTAGCGCAAGACTAGGTACTGGTAGCGTACAAATTAGCGCCGCCCGCTCCGTCCAGCGCCAGCGCCCCAAACTTTCTGTGATGTACAAACACGCTCACGATACACAACATGCCCTCGAACAACGTGATATCTTCGTGCCGCGATGTCAAAAAAAGCACAGACCGCTCATATCCCTACTCGCGGCCACTCAGATTGCTCACTTACTGCGAACTTAGTGATATCCTGCAGCCAGGTAAAGTATCGACAGGGCTAGTTCCATATACGTCAACTCAATTTAATTATCATGCTTACTGTTACTATCATCTACCGGTATTATATGACGAGGCTTGTACCTCAGCAGCTATCTCTTGGAATTGATATTGCGTCATCGAGGAACGCTTCAACCGCGATCGTTCATGATGTCGTTTTCCAAGAGTGGCTCGCCTACGATTAATGCAACCACAGGTGACAAGGTGCTCCCTCTGCGATTCTGGTATTCAAACGATGTACTTTCAAAGTTGGCCTTGTACTTTGCTTCCCAGTTTGAAGATGTCTTGGATCCCGAGAAGCTTATCGGCAACTGGCACCTGATAATTGGGAGGGCGCTACAAGCGGAATGTCAGTGCTCCATCACACCAACAAAAGCGCTAGCGGCCATCGGACCGCAGACACATGTATTAGACAGCGGGCAAGATGGATATTCACATAGCTTGCTTGACGGTTGCCAGGGCGCCGAAGTCTTACGTCCCACACTTTACTAGGATGCAGGTATCTTTGAGAGCCTCGTGGCACACCCTGATCGACCAACAAAACTAGCGCAGCGGTTTGAAACAGACAACCCAGGACTATCGGCCCACTTGGTTTCCTTTATCGATGTGACCTTGGTAACTCTTAGCTTGGCAGCTGCAAAACTACAAAGCACGCTCGCTCGCCCATGCAATTTGATCATTGGAACCAGCTCATGTTCTCTCGGTCCAAATGCTCTCGTGCCAAATTCTTTGACGTGGACTTTTTCTTGGCTGTCACGAAGGTTGGCACACCAAGCAGCAAAAGGAGTACGAAAGTCGGGAGATGGAGTCTGGTCAAATGATGGACACACTGACGCTATTAGCCTCATGAGTGCTGACCGCTGATAGAGCAAGATGCGAATGGAGACTGGTGGGCTAATTGATCATGTGTGCGGAAGTATTGCCCGAGGTAGAGAAGGCGCTGAGCAGAGCTTGAATTGGTTTGCGCACATTGGACCGTCACGGGCTATGAGAAAACAATGCGTTTAGGGTATCTAGCGCTCGAAACCGTGACATGAAGCTGACGTGCGTGCTGACTCTTTCACCGCCAGGATGGATTCGCGTATTTCCCGTAACCCACATCAGACGAGACCGACGACGCGCTCCCTCTTTCCGTCTCGTGAGCATTACCGTCAGGATTAGCGGCCTCAGGTAAGATCTCCGTCTTACTCTCCGCAAGACTTGCATCGCTCTTTCGACGGCTATGACTCTGGATCTTGACCTCAGTCGTCTTGACGACGGTCGAAGGCAGCGCATTGCCGTTGCCTTTTCCACCACCAACGCGTACTTCCCATTCACCAGTACGATCCGATCCACGTGCCACTGAGCGCTGGTGTGTTGTATTGTTGCCCTTCATTGTGCCCAGGGCAAGGCCACCTGACTGGACTGCGTTGCTGAACGAGCGCGAGTCGCCGCTTCGAGCATTTCTTGTCAACTCAACGAGGCGATTGAGGATGCTGAATTCGAGCTTCAGCTTTACACTGTAAACTAGTGGCTTCCAGGAGGTCTGAATCTCGTAGAGATTGGCAAACTCAAGACCGATAATGCTGAAGTCCAGCAGCATGACGAGAATGTTGACATATATCAGGTGGTAGAGTATAGTCCTAGATCCGTTGTTGCCGATGGTCCTTTCCAGTCTGAGGAGTTTCATGGTCTCGTAGACGTAAAGACCAGAGATGATCAGTTCTTGGATGACGAAGACGGTGAGTTGAATTTTTTCGTAGATGGCATAAGGGCCTTGAAATGGCCCAGGGTTGTTCGAGTTTGCGCCGTATACCAAGACAATAATGGGTATATGCAACCATATGGCATCGACGACGATCATGATCAACACGGCCCGCAGCCGCTTTGCGTTGTGCATGACGATGTGCAACCGGGAGTACAAAACGACCGATTGACCGGAGATCATGGAACACCATCCTATCAAGATAATGGTTGCGTAGATATTTCCGTCGGTCGTCACCTCGAGGTGCTTGAGGAGATATCCGATCGAGTTGAACAGAATGCCCCATGTTGCGATGGTAAAACTCCAGAAATAGAGCCCTCTCCGTCGTTTGAAGGTGGTGAAGATTTTGACGTTGAGCTCAAGGAAGTTGTAGATGGCCACGCTGAGGAAAACCACTACAACGACCTTCAACACCGTGAAATCGGCCATGGTGGCACTGGCACGAAGTAATATCCAAGGATGGAGAACTGACAGATGGAGTGACGAGAGACCCTGGAGACTCCCCACTTTGCTTCGGCGGTCGATCTTTGAGCACGCGCAAACTTACTGAATGATTCGTGTTCTAGAAAGGGGCCTGAATTCGGACCGTTAGCCTACACTTTAATGCTATGCGATGTCCCCGCGTCGGGTCGTATGCCGCCTAGGTAGCAGGGGTTGCCATGCGTGCAGAATTTACCAACTGCAGGGTCTGAGGCGAAGGATGTGCACATTCACTGCCCAAATTACGACGGCTACCCTGCAGACCAGCATGCGGCCACACAGAGACCTCATGTACACGCCACTTCGGTAGCTTAGCGGACAGATGCCAATAGACATGAATCTCAAGGACGGATGGGTATGTTCTCTCAACTACGTGCTATTTTAGTTCTTCAACAGTGCCTGAAAATCAGCAAAGTCGGCGATCGAACCGAAGGCTAGGTGTGTGTGTCTAAGCGAAGCGCCTATTGTGTAAAGCTTGCGGATCCAGTCTTTCGTACGAAGTCTGCCGTGTGCCGTATCGAGAAGTCTGTCACAGGTGTCATAGGCCCTGCATCTTGACGCGGGATAATGCTGGCACAACTTAGTGTGTCGATATTGGAGGATTGAAGGATTGCTGCTGGCACATTTTATGTTGCGGCGGTTCGATACATAAGCCACCTCCCCTGCAGGATTGACGCGATGCAGACACGGCGCCGACATCTTCGACTCCGCAGCTTTGGGTGTCTTACGAGGTACGACGCCAATCGAGGGGATCTGATCGTTTGCGGCAGCGCCAAGATAGCCCATATTTTGGCGTGATTGGTCGTTGTGTCGATTGGTGGTCGTGTCGCTTTCCGGGCCTTGGAGCTTGAAAGTGGTGTGGTTGACTGACTCGCTCTTTGTCTGCGACCTCAGGCGGGCCACTAGAGAGCTCGGGGAACCGGGGCGCGGCTTGTGGAGTATCCCGTGGGGATCACTAGCTTGCGTAACGAGCTTGGCACGCGCTTGGAAGCAGCACTGTCCGAGCGACGTCGGTCCTTCTCTCATGCTTTGTTGCGATCAACACACATCTAGCGGGGTTTCCTGCAGTCAGCACAGCAGCAGTTCGAGAATCATTTGCAGCTACAGCAGCTCAACTTTGCACCTAGTACACAGGAAGGATCTTATTAGGGACTGTCGCGTCATGAACAAGCATCTCCCAATAAATTTTCACGACTCTCCTCGGTCTGTCTCCGCATCCTACACTGCGCTTTACGGGCCCTCTGCCGCGCACGAACGCCGTTGAGTTTAGCTTCTCAATGACCGCCGGATGCTCAAGCCTGCTCATAGCCTTGGCTGAGAGCGAATTGCAGGCTTCGTATGGAATGACGCGAGGCCTTGCCTGGGAATTGCCGTCCTCATTTCAGAGACTGTATATATCCTCAGGGTCCATCTTAGAACCTTATTCGTGACTTCCTCAGCTGTGTATGTCCTTTCTCTGAGGCGCTACACTCAGCCAAGTACAGACGTTTCACCCTGATCCCAGTTGCTTTTTCGTGTCAGCATGCCGTCCACCAACACGTTCTTTGCTGTCAGCGCAGCTGTCGGTTGTGCCTTGGCGCAGCAAGTACCTGCAGCTGCCCAGGTTGTGGATCAGAAGATCTTCAACGTGTTGGAGAATGTCCCGCCGCCCGCCATCGCGAATGCCACCACGGTTTGTCACCTCCACCTCAGATCAATCTCCACGTGACACCATGATCTGACTAGTTTTCAGCTGTTCGTCTGGCCTGGTGTTACCGAAGAGTCTCTATTAGCCAAGCCTTTTCACGTATACGACGAAGAGTTTTATGACGTCATTGGATCCAACCCGTCCTTGACCCAGATCGCCTCCTCAGAGTCGGACCCTATTTTCCACGAGGCTGTGACATGGTAGGCTCATCAACATCCAGCATAGAAGGACGCTCAGGCTAACACAATCAAGGTACCCCAAGCGTGACGAGGTTTTCTTTGTTCAGAACGCTGGTGCTCGCGCAGCGGGCACAGGCCTCAACAAGTCTTCCATCATTCAGAAGATCTCCCTCGCAGATGCCGAGAAGGTCCGCAACGGTACTCTCAAGGCTGCACCTGTGACCATTGTCAACACCACCAACCCCCAGGTTATCAATCCCAATGGTGGCACGAACTACAAAGGCAACATCATCTTCGCTGGTGAGGGCCAGGGAGATAAGGTTCCCTCGGCGTTGTATATTATGAATCCTGAGGCACCATACAATACGACTAGTAAGTTTCATCATGACCTAGCTCAGACCTAGACTAACAAAGCCAGCCCTCGTCAACAACTACTTTGGTCGTCAGTTTAACTCCCTGAATGACTTGGTTGTGAGCCCCAAGAACGGTGATCTTTACTTCACCGACACCCTCTATGGCTACCTCCAGGACTTCCGTCCCGTTCCCGGACTGAGGAACCAGGTGTACCGCTACAACTTCAAAACTGGCGCTATCACCGTCGTTGCTGACGACTTCACTCTGCCCAACGGTGTCACTATTTCCCCTGATGGTAACAAGGCTTACGTGACCGACACTGGCATCGCGCTCGGTTTCTACGGCCTGAACCAGTCCTCTCCTGCCTCTGTCTATTCCTTCGATGTCGCTAAGGATGGTACATTTGAGAACCGCAAGACCTTCGCCTATGTTCCGGCTTTCATCCCTGACGGTGTTCACACAGACTCCAAGGGCCGTGTCTACACTGGTGCTGGTGATGGTGTCTGGGTATACAACACCTCTGGCAAGCTCATTGGAAAAATCTACACAGGTACCACTGCTGCTAACTTCCAGTTCGCTGGCAAGGGACGCATGATCATCACTGGTCAAACCAAGCTGTTCTACGTCACTGTCGCTGCTTCCGGCGCACCTATTCAATAAGCCTAGGCCTCAGCCTAGACCTGTAACTATACCTATGACCGATATGCAGATGTACATAGACCCTAATAGACCACGACATAATGGTTAATAGTCTGCCGTCCTAACACTGTTCGCTCTCGCAGACCGCCCCACTCTGCACTATGCCGCGCTCCTATTTGCGCACATTACTTTTGACCTAGGTCAACAGAAATCGCACAGTGCTGTCCTTGAGATTATGGCCCATAAGACCGTGCCGTGCTTCGTTGCCCAACAGAGCTACGTCGACTTGTACGCTGTGCCTTTTCGCAGCGTTTGTCCATCATAGAAGCTGTGTATCCACATTACTGTCTCGCTCTCCATTCACAAGCCGCATGCAGGGTGTCTTATAAGAGCCCCGCAATCATGTATTTCAATTTTACGTTGAGGAAGAGATATTTTACATTCTGGCACTACTGCCGCATACCGTCTTACACACAAACAACCCGTCAACAAATGGCTGCAGATAGAAAGGCATATCTAGACCACCTGGCACGATGGCTGGATTATGAGGAAGAGTCAAGCACTCCGCCTCCAGTAGTAGATGGTACAGCCCTACCGCCGAAGAAGCCAAATCAACCTAAGCCGCGCAAGCGCGTCGACTCGTTTGTGGACGAAGCGCGCCGGGAGATCGCTCGTGATGTTGCTAAGCGGAATCAGATGAACGGAGCTACGCTTTTGAAGTATGATGCTGACCTGGCTACGGTTTCGCGTATGGAGATTGTTGCTCCGCTGCCATCATATGCGCGTGATGATGAGGACGAAGGATTTGCCGATGGTCCTTCGGAAGAACCTGGACTGATGCGGACTATGTCACAGAAAGTGAAAGACTTTCTGGGTATCCCAATCGCATCGTAGCAAAAGGCTTAACCTGAAAGTAAGCGAGCATTAAACTACCGGTAAAGTCAACACCTGCGAAATTCTCTGGAGATCTATCGTCTTTACAGTGCACACTATCTTCCATAACGACCTCCCTTAGGAGGCCCAAGTATTATCAACTCTTGAAATTATCATCAATAAGCTCAGAACAGAACCAAATTGTCGTTGACATTAAATTAGGCATGTGCAAAGGCAGACTGAACGAGGCACTAGTTGTCTTGAGGGGAGGCGCGACTGCGCCAACTTTCATCATCTCCGACGTGCATCCAACGACTGCCCAATTGACCAAATATTCCTCTTTCTTCCACGGCCTTCCTACTATCTACTCGTTTCAGACATGAGAAAGTGATGCTTAAACTGTCTGAGCGCTGTCCCTCAATCTAGCTGCACGTGCACAAACGGCGGATTATATCTACCTGATTCCAAGTCATGGAACCCAAGCTCCCTCAATTCCGCATCAGAGTCAGGGACGCAACCCGGCAGGACTGTTTGTCTCTGAACTGATGAGAGTCTACTGAGATGGCTACCATGCAGGAAGATGTCAAAGACAGCAAGTCGTTACTGCCTTTCAAGCATCGACCATCGGAATCGGACGCACCCGAGAAGCAAATGCGGACTCATCAAGATCCAGCGGTGTGGGGTTAGAGAGCCTATCCAATCCGAGCTTCGAGACTTTCCTCAAGCTCAGCATAGCGGCCAATCGTATACTGCGCTCTCCTACACGTGGGTCGGTCCTGATGGCACTCACCTCATCTACATCACCCACCACTCGGAGAGGAAACATGAGTGCCGGCTGACAGTCGCGAACAATCTGTACGAGATCTTGCGCTACACTGTCTACATGACAGACTCAGATAGGCCAAGTAAAAGTCGCAGATATCACTGTTTGTGGTGGATCGATACCTTTTGCATTGAACACGACGAAGGGAACCCCGAGGACATGCAAATCCGATCCATTCCGGAGAAAAATGGCTAGGCATACGAGATATTTGCATGGATTAGTCTAGGTAACGCGGGTACCGACAGAACCATTGTGCTACTGTATGCAGCAACACGTAATTACTACACGGATGCTGGCTCGCCGAGGATGAAGACGTAGGAAGTAAACCTTGACGCAGTTGAACGTTATTTACTTCAGACGCTCTCGCGACCTTCCTGGCGCAGACCATGGATTCTGCAGGAGCTTATCATGTCACAGCAGGCTACGGCGGTCTGTGGCAGCAGTGACCCAGCATGGCCGCAGCTAAACACATTTCCCGCTCACATAGCTGTCGCGAATCCAGCATCGCCACCTCAACTCCAGCATATCCAATGCGAGATTTGGAAACACCAGCCGATCGTTCTGGTTGCTGGAAAATCTACCGCACACAGGCTCCGAAACCTAATCTCGTCGGGCTCACCTTTCTTTCCGCCCAGTCTGAATGCGAGAGGGACATGAAGGAGCACATCCCTGCCCTGAGGCTGCTGGGCTTAGCAGGGCGCGGGAACGGGCGCGACATTAGGCCCGAACCGAACGCCCCAACTGCCCATGCTCGATGACAAGTCACGCCACAACAGCCATGGTGCAGGATATGCGGGATACCGAAATGATGTCGCGGGTGCGAAAGTAGCGTTGCGAGCACCCGGCCGAACAAGTCCGTCACGATCAACACACCACGCCACGCCATGCTGTTCATCGAAATGCCGGCTGTGATTGTTATCATTACGCTCCGTCGTTATATTGCGGCGTTGTCGCCTCTATACTGTGCGACGACCCTGTCATATCTACTATCGACGACCTCCCACAACAACATGGTATGGTACTTTACCCGGCCCCGGGTCCAGCCGCGCAAGAAGGCGTGGCACATGAACAGAGCTGAGCGACGGTCGATGCGCATTATTGCCCAGAACGCAGCGTTCCAGATGCTGCTGGCGATGTCCTTCTGGGCACACTTCGTTATTGCTGTTCCGCTATGTCTATTTGCTCTCTTGTACAACGCTGCCGGCGAGATGTACAGGGAGAAGGACCTGTAATACATGGTCCCAAGACGCAATTCGACAGCGAAATCACGCTGGGGGCATGTTCGATGGCAGAGTGGACATGACGCACCTACTCCTCATGCGAATATATGTTTGCCGACATCACTGCGAACGCGTCGCGCGGTGCAAGGCAACGTCGAGATCATCGTGGCGGTAATATGAAAGAGCAAAATGCATGGTCACACACGAGTCCAAACAGCCCCATTACCAACAGGCAAACGCAATAGAGTCAAATGGGTATATCATCTATCACATCCTCACTAGCTCAACTAGATACAAACGAACCCCGCACCATCTTCAAAATCAATCTACAAGAAGAGCGCGGCGACGGCACCAACACCAGCGACGAATCCGCCGACCTTGGCGTGGCTAGCAGCACCAGTGAACTCGGAGACGGGCGCGCTGTAAGCCCCAGTGCCGGACGGCGCAACGGTGCCGACCTCAGAAGCGAGGGGAGTGCTGGCGCCAGTGGGGGCGACGGGAGGAACCACGACGCTGCCAGTGGGGTAGGGAGCAGGCGCGGTGACGGCAAGAGAGGCCGGGGCGCTGGGGGTGTGGATGCCCACAGAGATCGTCCTGGGCGCGGATTAGTATCGAGGAATAGACGAATGCGGGGTCAAGACTTACTCAGTGACGGTGACAGTGACGGGCGCGGAGCAGACCTCGTCGCTGGACTGAGCAGCGACGGCGGCGATGAGAGTAGCGGCGATGATGGAGAACTTCATTTTGCTTGTTGATTGAAGATAAGAAGGATGGAAAGGGTATCGTTGAATGGTAAGCTTGGAAAGGATATGAAAGGTAAAGACCGTGGGGTTGTAATAATGAGTGGCTAACAGTTCAGAGACTGAGAATAGATGTTCGTCTTGCGATGATGAGGAAAAACACTGGAATGCATCTTCTCCGCCTGATATATGTGCCACGAAATGAATTGCGCGTCCTGATCGATCCCATGCTGCGTCGACGAGGAGACCCACCCGCTGCCTGGGCATTGCAGGGGTCAAGGAGAGGTTGGAGCTGGCAGCTCAAGCATTTTGGCGATAACGGAGATTGGGTTAATGATCGGCTCTGGGTACAAGAGTGGCTTCCCGCTCTTTCTGACTGACTCTCATCTTAGAGCTTCATGGGTGACGACGGCAGCCTCACGGTGCGTATGCAAGTCGCAAGCAGCATACCTTACCAGTGTGAACAACAAAGGAGGTGGAGCTCATGCTTTGATGTCATCGTGGACGCTCCCTTTCTTGGAACAGGCCCGGTCGTTGATCGGAATGTCGAACACGCAAACAAACAGCCAGACAACGTGGTGGTTGTTTCGAAACGCCCTCGTCGCTGCAAGGAAAACCCTGAGATGAAGCAATCTGATGAACCGATCTGAAACAGCCGCTTGCCGAGAGTGCAGCGGGGACGTAATGTCAAAATTCGGCAAAATTGAACAGGACCTTAAGGCGACGATCGAATGTGATGGTTTGCTTTGCTCATGTCCTTTGATTGGGGCACAGTTACGCGCACACCGTGGTTGTGGAAGGTGGTGAGGTTTGATTAGTCCGAGACCGAGAGGAAATCTGGGGTGTTGAGATTGCGAATTTCAGCTGACTCGTACAACCGGTGTGCTGCGACTACATCCTGCACTCACCTCTCTCGCGTCTACATCAGGGTCAGCTCTAGTTGCAAGTCAGCGCCCGAAGAGACGTGAAGTAGGTATCATCGCAATTGTCATGTTGGAAGAATGGCGAGGCTTGATCGACCGTAATCGTATTCGCTACGCTAGTGCCGCCTTCCAGTTCAGCAGGCGCGTGCTGAAACAAAAGCGCAAGGCTGACGTTTTTCGTCGTTCGAATGAGGTCCGAGCGACATCTTCGAGTACCACGCAGACTATCCGTGTTGCACCTAACCACGCTTGCAGTACATGATCGAGATCTTTGTCTTGTTGCAATTCGACTCTGCGCATCAGGTGCCCAGGATCATTCGGCTGAAATGCGGATAGGTAAGAGCGCCCGCAGCTCACAAGCAACACATGTCGATGCTGCTACGAAGCTGAAGCCACTCATTCCAGCCTACGAAGCAGCTGTGCAGCCCATGTAAACCCTCTTGCATGTCGTCTCCCTTCGCCATAATTGAGAGCTGGCGGCGTACCCAACAAGGGCAAACGCCTCAGGCAGACGCATGTAGCGGTATGGGTTGGCAATGGGATATGCAGTCTGTCATGAAGTAGGGAATGAGAATGCAACACCCCAGCGGCTCTGTGGGAACGGATCGCGAGAGCCACGGCAGCTGCAGTGCCGCGTACGTGTGTTCTTGACAATATCATGCGTATCATCATCGCTATCTTACTTGACGCGCCCCATGATCGGATCCGCAGGCGCATCCAGATCCTCGACGACCTGCGCGGCTTGCGCCTTCACCGCGTTCAACAGACCGCGATCAAAATCATCTCTGCTCCTTAATACGGCCTCGACCCAGCTGATGTGCACCTCGCGATAGCTCGCCTTGAATTCCTCATATACACCGGGGACAAGACTCTTCTCGACCTCAAGCAGGCGCAGGAAGAACTCGACCGCACGCCAGCGGCCCATGATCTCGCGGCCCTGGTCGCCGTAGCTGCGGAAGAAGTCAAACGCCGCGACCAGATCGTCGCGCAGCTTCGCCGCGAACGCGTCGGCGCGCCGGAACTTGACGCCCTTGTTGCGCACGGCGCTGAGGTACTGTACCAGCAGCTCGTCGGCGAGCGAGTCGATGAGCAGGTCGCGCAGCGAGCGGTGGACTTGCTCTTCGTAATCGGCGAGGTAGTCTCTGAACGTGATGATGATGGATGCCATGTCGGTGCTCTGGTACCACAGCGGGGTGAAGAATTTGGACAGAATGGGGCGGAAGTCGGTCAGGAAGATGAGCTGGCAGAAGGTCTGGATGCAATGGCTGGAGATGTCGATGTAGCCGTTCCTCAGCTCGTCGAGCTGGGGAGCGAGGCGGTCGGAGAGGTATTGCGGGGAAAGCAGCGGGGTGGCCTCTTTTTCGAAGAGCGTGACGAAGCTGGGCCGTCCGAGGTCGAGGTCGGCGTCGTCGATGCAGATGATCTGGTCGTTGGCGAGGGCGATCAGCCATTCTTGGAAGACGGGGACTGCTTCGCCATCGAGCTGGGGGGTCGGGCCCATGTACTTGTCTTTTTCGTCGTCGATGAGCGTGGTCCAAAGACGCTGGCGGGTGGTGAGTGCACGGATCATGGCGTCGACGGTGCCTTCTGCTACGTCGGCGCGCTCGCTGCTGGCAGCGACAGACAGGTTCTGAGACAGCATGGTCCATACGTCGCCCAGCGAGCGCGTCTGGAAGATGCCGTCTGGGTTGACCTCGTAGGCGTTGCGGTCTTGGTCGAGGAACGACTTGCGGTCGCCGGAGTTGATGCGGTCCATGAACTGGTCCACGGCGTTGATGATGACCTGGCGGTATGTGCGGATCAGCTCTGGGCCGCGGTTGTCGATGACGTGGGGCTCCAGGGCTTCTTCGGGGAAGCCCAGCTTGTTCATTTTCGCATAGTACCTGTCGACCCAGTTGATGACGGCGAGGAGGTACTGCGGCCCCAGGCCGTCGTCGTCGGCAAGGCTCATCAGGAAGTCGTGCATCTGGCGGTGGTAGATGTTGGTGTAGGTCTGCATGATGTTCCACTTCTTGGGCATCAGGTGCACCATGCCCAGCTTGACCGTGTTGAGGTTGTTGAAGTACCACTTGAAGTGCTTGTCGACCTTATCCGGGTCGTCGTCGAACTTCTCACGGGCCTCGGCCATGTTGGCCTCGCAGACGTACTCGATGGCCTTTGTGAACTTGTCCTTGTAGCCGCGCAGCTCCTTGGGCCCCGCGGTGATGGACTTGAAGCGCGATGCCAGGTCCTTGTACTCACGCTGGGCATCCTGTAGGGCCTTGACCTTGGCGTCTGTCTTCTCCTCGTCCTCGACGATGACGGCGAGGCGCACGACGACGCCGTCGTTGCCGGCCTGGACGAGGTCGATCAAATTGATGCACGCCTCGCCGATGTGCTGGTCGAAGCGCTCGATCACGTCGTCGAGGCGTGCAAAGAGGTCCTGGACGGTGGCGCCGTCGTCGAGGGCCAGGTTGTCGAGCAGCTCGGTGGAGGCGTCCTCGGTACTCTTGATCTGGTCCATGGCGACGTCGCGGATGTCGCGCAGCTGGGTCAGCCCGTAGTGGATCTGCAGCAGGTTACGCTGCTCGGTGGGGTCGGCGTCGTCCTGGTCGAGCAGGAACTCGAGCTGGGCCAGGCGGTCGTCGAAGGACCGGATGTCGCGGCGCATCTTCTCGACGCTCTCGAAGTTCTTGTGCGTCTGGGCAACGACATTGATGTGCGGAAAGTCCTGAATCATGTTCTGAGCCTCGGCGCACAGCTTGTCAATCTTCATCATTTCCTCCTTGATCAGGCCGACGGTGCGCTGGCCGTCGGTGATGCTGGTCATGCCCGCCTGCGTCAGCTCGAGCTGCGCGCGCAGGCCGTGGCGCAGCTGCCCGTCGACGGCCGCCTTTTTGCGCGAGAACTCGGCCTTGAGCGCGGGGATCTTGTCGAGGTCCTCGGGGTGCCGCAGGAGCTGCGCGAGGGACTCGACGTCGCCCATGGTGATCACGTGGGCAGGCCGGGGGGTGGTGGTAATCGTTCAGGTCATGTATGGTACGAAGTATGAAGGTAGTCGTTTACGTGTCGGGATCATGTATGGTATGGAGACTGTCGTTCACGCGTCGCGCTGTCATGTATGGTATTGAGTCTGTCAGTACCGTCTGCCTCCGCACAGGCCTCAAGGCTCGCAACTGGTGTGCATGTCCTGCTCGAGCGGTCGGCGGTCGACGTTGCGGAGCTCGCGGCACCCCCGAGCTGCCTAACCCTAAACCCAATCGGTAACCCTGCAGGCCGCCTAGAAATTCCCCGCCACCATCCCACATTTTGCCCGGCGACCCCCCCCCCCCCCTCTCAGCCCTCACACAGACATACGCACACAAACAAACACACCATTCTCCAGCATGCCCGACGACGACGTGAACCTCTACGACGAGATCGAGATCGAAGACTGCACCTACGACGCGACACTGCAAATCTACCACCACCCGTGTCCGTGCGGCGACCGGTTCGAGATCAGCATCTACGACATGCGCGACGGCGAGGACATTGCGCGCTGTCCAAGCTGCTCGCTCATGATTCGCATCATATTCGATCACGTAAGTGCCTCCAGTTCTCCATTCATTTGAAAGAGCAGGCCGCAACAGGTCCTGTGCAGGGCAGAGCAACTCGCTGATACGTGACAGAGCGATCTGCCGCAGGACGAGGATCATGGTGCGAGCGAGAAGGTGGCTGTTGCTGCATAGGGAATTGTGGGAGTGCGTGGAGTGCGTGGACATTCGGTGCGTGGAGACTCGGTGGGCGTTGCATTGCCGGCGTTGGGATACCATTTGGTCTCGCAGCAGACTTTGATTTAGGCTATGGGCTCGTTATATCATACATCCCCCCCCCGGGGGACTTTTCTCCACATGTCGCGCTCATGGCTACTCAGCCCTACCTGGGCACATCGTCGTCGACCTCGTTGTCAACCGCCAGCTCCTTGCGGATCACGTCGGTCAGACTGGTGCCGTCGCGCAGGTACACCCAGTCGCCCTGGCCGCCGCCTTCCTTTGCGTTCTGGCCCTCCTGCAGCACCACCCAGTCGAAGCGCTTGGGCCCCGAGATGGGCGAGCTGAGCCAGATCTGCTTGTTGGGCGGCTGCTTGTTGAGCACGTAGCTGAGCTGCTTGGAGATGAAGTCGACTCTGAGCACGCCGGCCTGGTGGTGTTAGCCTGCGACTGCGATTGCGACTGCCACTGTCGCTGTTGAGCGTAGGACGAACCGAGTACTCGACCTCAATGTCAGGGTTCTTCTCCTGCGCCTCCTCCAACCGCTCGACCAGCTCGTTCAGGTACTCGTCGGCGCGCTCGTGGAATTCCGTCGTCGACACGGCCGTCGGTGCCGTCGGCGTCTCCGTCTCCTCGGACTGCTTGGGCGGCGGGTTCTCGCTCTCGGGCATGATGCCGCGCGCGCTGCTGCTGCCGTGGAAGGCTCGCACCGACGCCCTGCTGGCGCTGACAGCGGTAGCTCGGGCAATGATACAATTGGCAGGCGTCGCGGCACGCAGAGGCGCTGCGGCAGCACGGCCGAGAGCCAGAGATGCAATTCGTGTGACAGTCTTCATGTCGATGATTCGCTTCTGATACAATGTGCGATTGATGGGTGGTTGCAGCTCCGAGGTGACCAGTGCCGAGTAGGAAGTGAAGAGTGCAGCTGCCCAGGAGCTGGTGGAGCTCCCCCCAATCGATAGCGAGCCATCACATCATAGTTACCCTGCACGTCCCCGCAAACACTCTGACCCGCAGGCACCTTCACATGCACGCACCATGATCAACGCGGTGCTCGTCTTCAACAACGCGGGCCAGCCGCGCCTGACCAAGTTCTACACGCAGCTGGAGACGAGCGTGCAGCAGCGCCTGATCAGCGAAATCTTCACCCTCGTCGCGAACCGCCCCGCCTCGGCCTGCAACTTCCTGCCGTGCGCACGCCCATCCTTTCCATAGCCTCATTCCCACCGACTGACTGACACGACAGACTCCCGCCGCTCCTCCAGCAATCCTCCAAATCCTCCACCCCCTCGACGCCCCACAACGACACGCCCTCGCTCGTGACCTACCGCCACTATGCAACCCTCTACTTCATCGTCATATCGACCTCGACCGAGTCGCCCCTTGCGCTGCTCGACCTGATCCAGGTCTTCGTGCAGGCCCTCGACGGCCTGTTCGAGAACGTGTGCGAGCTGGACTTGATCTTCAACTTCGAGACGCTGCACGCAGCGCTTGGCGAGATGATCGTGGGCGGCGTCGTCGTCGAGACGCAGCTGGACCGTGTCATCGAGGGCGTGCAGAGTCAGGGGCGCGTTGCGAAGAGGCCGGTGAACGAGGGCAAGTTTGGGAGTGGGGGCGCCATGGGGAGGGGTGGGGGGCTCTGGGTGGGCCGGTAATGGGCGATAGTCCTGTGATCCTTTATGTACAACAGTCGTATGGCCTGGACCAGTACGCGACCACCTCTGGATTCCATCTGCGTGTTAGTGTCGAAGTGACGCTGACCGAACACAGCTCTCTCTTTTAGCCCTGAGATCCTACAAGGTCTCATTGCGGATCGCAGCACCAAGAGGCAGAACAATCAACTTGCAGCACCTCCGCCGCAGACACAGGACATTGACCACAGCACAACACACCGCTCTTCACCCTACCCTGCACCCCGTTCTCACGCCTCCCTCCGACCAACATATACCCACACCCCCTCCCTCTCGCGCCACCGACTCGCAAACACACACATCCTCGCCCCACCAGCCCTCTCACCCTCGCCCAACTCACAGCTCACATCCAACCCCCACTCCCCACACCCCACATCCCACCTCCAGTCCGTCCAGCTACCGAGCCGCTGCTGCGCCTCATCCGGCCCCAGCGCCGAATCCGCCATGTTAGCATGCGTCCAGCATTCGCGCCGGGGATCAAAGCGCCACCGCGAGAGATAGATGCACGACTCGCCGTCGTCGGTGAAGAACTCGCGCCACGCCGGGTCCCACGTTCACTCCCTCCCCGCGAGCGCTGTTCGCGGCGTGAGCTCAGAAGACGGGTTGCAGCGCGCGACTATGTCAGCGATGAGCCGCACGGCTGTGCTGAGGTCCGAGAGGTCCAGGTAGTCCGTTGAGCAGGGTATGGGGGTGCGTGGTAGCGCGGGGAGCCACTGGTTGCGCTCCTGCAGCGTGGTCTGCAGAGCTGATAGCCGGGCTGTGAGGGTGGACAGGTCGGCTTGTATTTCACTTGTTGGTTTTGCGAGGGAGAGGATGTCGGTTGCCGAGGTGTTGTCGAGGAGGTGGCCGATCTGGGGGCGTTAGTGGGCGGCTGATGGACTGTGTGGTCGGGGCTGTTGCGTACAGGCTGGGTTGGGTCGAAGACGATAGCTTGTTGCTCATGCGTTATCTTTTGCTGCACGCTGCGGATCGTCTCTTGCAGGGAGATGATGGTGTTGGTTAGCTCTTGTGAGATGTTTGGTTCCGCGGCTGCCATGGCGGAGAAGTCAATCAATGTACAAGTCAAGTCACAGCGAAAATTGCTATAGCATCTGGGAGATGTGTTGTTGGTGGGACGGCGCGCATGGTGTGATGGATGTTGTTGATGAGGCCGAAATCTTGAAGTAGCGGCTTTCTCGCCACCTCTAAATATGGTTCCATAATGATCGCTCGAAATCTACGAGCAGATGCGGTCCAGCACCGCTGGCGATACGCCTCGAACATGTAGTGCGCGAGATCGATGAAACGCCCTGTTGTATTCCAGATGGAATTGGGTCGTTTGGCAGACACATGAGCAAGGTTTAAAGGTGGTGGCAGCAGGTGTAGTAACTACCTAGCGCTATCCGCTTGCTTCCTTCCGCCGCAGCTCGCAACCGCAACTCCACTCTTTCCCCACCGCAACTTCACGAGCGCCATGTTTCGCGGAGCCAAGATTCCATTTCCTTTTGCGCTGAAAGACGGCGAGGTCTGCAGCTTTTGCCAGTCCAATGTCTCTAATGAGAGCCTGCGCAAACCCCTGGAGTCCGATGTGGGATACAGTGCGGACGTCAAGTACACGCAGACATGTCTGGGAATCTACAGGGCCCGTCGAGAAGCAGGTGGTGTCCGAACGCTGCCTTTCCATCTGAATGAATTATTGCAGGGAAGACCTGGTTGTTCTAAGCGAGAACACTAAGACAACAACGTGCTAGAACGCTCTCACGACGCGATTGCTAGGTCAATTTGATAAAGCTCACAAGCACTGAAGAGGAGGTGATTGTTTAGCATATATTAAAGCTGGACAAGCAAGTGTAACGACGCAGGCAAGAAGAGAGATATCCGGGATAGGTGTGAATCCGCTACGAGGCATATGGGAGTGCTGGGATGATAAGAACACTAGGATATATTCTCTACACCTAACGTAGATTATCACCGAGCCAGCCATATCACTGAACCGGCCACTTTCTCTTGGCACAACTAACACAAGTTACTGCAACTATAACTAACGTACCTCACGGGTTCGTGCACCACACAGGTTCGTGCACCACTTTTGCCAAGCCCCCACCAAAACCACCCCATTCTGGCGCAAAACAGCCCACTTTGGCCCTGTATAGAGCAATATAACACGAGATATTATTCAGAGTCTACTTCTACTGCTTGCTTACACGTACGCGCGTTATGCCCAGTCTAATTGCACTGTCTGCAGCGCCTTTAAGTTGGCTCACCTCCTTCAGCGCGTACCTGCTTCTTTGCCTTCTTCCCATCACTACGCGCCCCAAACTCCTTTAGAGTAGTTAGACAAGCTCTATCCTTAACTATTAAGGTCCCTTCTGCCTGAACCTGCTTTCTTTTATGCAATCTACGTTGCGTAGCAGCCTTGTTTGCCGCTTGAAGCTCTGCAATCTCCTTTTGCGCCAACACTAGCTTGTGCGCGATAATCGCTGCCCCCTTTAAGACCTTCTTAAAGGCCTCCACCATAGACGTTAGTAAGCTATCTATATGCTTCTAAATCCTTTCCTTAACAAGCGTTAATTGCAACCCTAGTTTAAGGGTATTGCTTAGGGTTTGTGACTGCTAGGACTTAGTGTTAATAGGCAGTAGTAGTAATAGAGTACGCAACTAGACGTTAAGGGCTGTTATAACCTGTTCTAGGTTAAATAGGACTAATCTAGCGCCTTAAAACCCTCCTTAGATATTACTAGAAGTAATTGCTGCATTATAGGCGCGTATAAAGCATGGTAGGAACTCAAGTTTTGTAATGTAGGTGATCTAGTTGCGCATAAGATCTTCAGCTTGGCGCCTGTACGCCTTCTTTAAAGGGGCAAAACATCCTATATCAAGAGGCTGCAGGAGGTGCGATGAGTGCAGAGGCATGCAGATAGTGATAATCTTGTTCTCCTTGCAGTACTGCTAGAAATCAAGCAAGTTGTGGCTCTTATAGCTGTTAATAATAAGGAGCTAATAAGCGCCTATAACCCTCCTCTTTGTATACTTATTAAAGTGCTTTAACCACTGCAGCCTAAGCTTATTTATCGTCCAGCCATTCTTAGAGACTGCAATAACCTAGTCCTAAGGCAGATTCTCCTCCTTGTACTAGGCAGAGAGGTGATAGCAGCCCTTGAAGATGATGAAGGGTAGAATAGCCTACCCTGTTGCGTTGATGCCCTAGATAACTATTGTCCACTCCCTATTGCCTTACTATATTACCTTTAGCCTTCCTTGTCTCTCTAAAGCTGTAACAACTACCCTAGTTAATATCTAGCCTATTATAAAGCCTAACTTGTTAAAGTTATACGTGTCTTTATCCTAGATACTGTACTTGGCTTTTATATTAGCTACTAGGCGAAACTAGCCCTAGATAACCTTAGGATCCTTGCAGAGTGCTCTCTTGTAATTGTACTTGTGATTAAACTTTATTGTAAACTTAGGGCGGTGCATAACCTACGTACTAGGCTAGTTTAAGCTAACCTGGCCTAGATTGCGCTCTGCGCGTAAGGAATTGGCCATATCAGCTACAGCTGCAAGCCTGGGGGGGAATCCGCGCGAGATGAGGTCAAGTATATGCTTAACAACTACGCCCTCCTCAGTCTTTGTCAGATTCCTTGATTTAGGCCAGCGATCTGCTTGTGGAGTCTGTCCTGCGCGTTAGCGGCTTAGTGTTGTATGAGTAACTTTGTAGATAGCTGCAGCGCGTTGCAAGGAGAGTGTTGCGTCTTATTTAAGAGCTTGAAGGGCAGTCTGTATCTGACGCTTATTAGAAGGCTCTATCTAGTGTTGTTGTTGAGGCATCACGTATAGAGGTAGAGTTGGTGGGGGCTTGGCAAAAGTGGTGCACGAACCTGTGTGGTGCACGAACCCGTGAGGTACGTTACTTACTATTAAACAGTGACCTAGCATACTGTATGCTTGTATTAGATTTAGAAGATGTTTCTGCACCCTCCTAGCACGTTTGTGCGTTGTGTCTAGTCTTGCTGCAGTTCCTACAGCGCTGAACAGTTGACTAAGCTCTTAGTTAACCACCTCTACCCCAAGTCTTCTTAGATAGCTGAGCTGCTACACACGCCTCAGCAGCTACCTGCAATGCTGCTGGGCCATACTTAAGTGTGCCACTATGCTAAATCTGCTTTCTCTTACGCGATTTTCTCTTAGTTATTACTACTAATTGCTCTTCAAGCTCTTGCACGCGGGCCTTAATAAGGACATTTTTATGCAGCATCTCTTTAGCCCCTTTTACAAGCTTTAAGAACCCCTCTTGTGCTACACTTAGTAATTGTTAGAAGGAGTTGCTTATAAGCTTAGATTAAGACCTAAACTTATGTGTATTACTTAGTGTCTTAGATTGCTACAGCATTTTAGGTAGAGGTACTGCTAGTAGGGTATACAGCTGCACTTTAAGGTAATCTAACACTACCTATGTGTTAGTAGGAATAAGCCCTAATGCCTTAAAGGCCTTTTAGTAGTTAACCTTTATAAACACATTAAGGAATATGTCCCTAAAGGCTAGTAGGAAGCCTTCCTTATTAATATAGAAGATGTGTTAGTGTGCTAAGTCTTAAATATATTAGGAGTACTTACGCTTTAACAGCAAGAAACAGACTATATTAAGTAGCTAGAGGATGTGCAATAAGTAAGGTAGTATATAGAGAGTAAGGATTTAGTTCTCTAGGTAATAGTCCTTAAACTCCTAGTTAAGATAGCTCTTATAGCTGTCTAAGA